CAAACATAATATTGGAAAATATGAACTTAAGCAATAATAAGCATACTATTGAAGCATTAAAAAATAACAAAGTATTGAATATTTCCTCATTTGAAGTTGTATGCCTTCAATGTTAGACACAGGTACAGGTTCAATTAAATGAAAATAGCCATCTTCACTGATGATTGCTTTATCTCTCTATAAATATGTGTTTTGTGAGTTACTTAATTGTTTCTAGGTTTCTGTGAAGGTTAAAAAGGGGTGGGGTTTTATAATTCAGCTTCAGTCTTGTCGTTAAGCTTGGTTCGTGCCGTAGGCACTTATACCTCGTTGGGGTGGGAGCTTGTTGGGGGTGCGTTGGGCATATCTTAGCCCTGTTAAAACTTTTGGACTCGTTTTCGACATAAGAATAATTCTTCGTCGCAATCACTTAGCCCTTGATTTATTGCATCCACATAATTCACTGATCGTAGTTTGCCTAACCTTTGGGAGACAAGCAAAATAAAGTTTTTTAATGAGTAGGGACAACCTCCATCTGGAGCAAAGAGCATGCTCTCATCCTTTACAACACACTTTCGATTGCACACCAGCATCCACGATTTCCGTCACACTAGATGTAAAAATCACTATACACAAAATTTCTCAAGATGAGGTTCATCAAAAATCATTATGGGGAAAACCCCCGATGCTATAAAAATACAACAAAAGGTGATATTAATCATATTAACCTTTACATCTCTTTTATATAAACAAATTTAATAAGAACACAGCCTTAAAATTGGTAAAAAGTTTAGAACAAGCTGACGCTGAGCTACTGGAAAATGTAATTTTGAACAAATGTTTCATTTCAAAAACGAGCGAGTTTTTGCCATTAGGGGGCTTCTTCGGTTACCTTTCAAGCTTGTCAAAAATATGGATTCTTACTCAATTTTTTGCATATAAGCTGCAACACTTCCCTAGAGGCAATAGCTAGCATTGCATCTGCTTTATATTTCAATAATTTTAGAAAAAAATTAAGAACAATCCAGCCTCAATTTCGAAACAAATTTAAGAACAACCAGCCTTAACTACACTTACTGGTTCATATAAAAAAGAAACGTAATTGGTAAAATTTTTGGCCCGCAATGGGGGTATAATTTATCTCCTTGAGCACCGCAAATGGAGACCTGCCCCAAATATATGCCAACAGTATATCATGACAACAGTAGAAAAACATAATCTTGTTTCAAACAAATGTAATAGATATAAAACAGTATTCAGTCGACTCTGCTTATAGTCACTACGCTAAGTCACACTATTGTACAGTCAATCAAATTTAGATCCAAATATGCCAAACTATCAATCAAATTTAGACACAAAATAGCCCCTGTCACAGTCTATAACTCGGTTTACAGTCACCTAGTTTTACAAGCAATTATTTGATGTGACTAATAACATGAGTACGTACAATCGTATTCTTAGTTCTTGCACACACGCCGCTTCATTTGGCACTCTCTCTCTCTCTTCCATGCTACGCTATGTTCCTACCGACAAAGGGGCTACACTTCCACGGAGGGCTAATTTTTTTAGAAACATAGGGGCTAGGGCGACAAGAATGAAGGGTCTGTGCGTAGGCGGCGTTGCGAGCCGAACAATTCATGGGGTCCGGGTACTCCCGACACTGCATGGGGAAATTTTTGTGGCTACACATTAATAGCTAAAAATCTATCAAAATGATATGTAATTGTCCTGTTTTTACTACGTTTTGACATATTACTAAGAGACGTTTTGCCCCCTCCCTTGGCCCTCCTAGCAAAAGGCAGAGGAGCGTTTGCCCCCCCGCGCCCCCCTTCTCTTGTTTTCGGGTCTTCTGTTGTTCTTTCAGTTTCAAATCATTTACCTTTCGTTTCTTTGGACACAAGTACCGCCTTTTGATTGAAAAAATGTTTTTATTTTTCTCTGCTGCGAGTCCGTTTCAACTATTAGCAGTCGATAGAGACAGTCCCCATTGCCAGCCAAATCTTTGTGCTTGACTTCGTTGTGGGCATCGCAATATTGTTAAATACCCATTACATATACTACATCTAACACTAAAACGGTCAACATTTGTTGCCATATCGCTATCGCACAAAAATATTCCGATGTTGTAGGTTGGTTATAGCAAGCAAGATTTGGACGAACTGCACTATCCATAACATAAGATCAAATTTAACAGCATGCGGAAAACACCTGGTACTGAACATCTAAACAACCAATTCAAACTTCTTATAACAGATTATTATTTACCATGAAATTGATGTGTCGATGAGTTGTTTTGGGATGAGCTTCCTGAATTCTGATAACAGTCCTTTTAGAAATTTCTATTTCCGCCAAAACTTAAAAAATTCGCTCCGACAAAAAAAATTCAAGCATAATTTATCTTCCGACGGAGGGGCTAGCCTCCTCCGACGGGGGGGCTGTAGCCCCCCCTGCCCCCCCTCTGGCGCCACCACTGCTGGATTCCAGATCTCTCCCAGCAAAAGGCTGTGTGGCAACGCCAGGTTGGGATTAAACCATTTTTTCTTAGTTTTTTGGCAAGCAACGTTTGTCTCACACAAATAGACACAAATATTGATCAAAGGTGTAAAACTTAAGTCCACAGTGAAAGAAAATCAGAATCTATTTAGAAATCTTTTACATCCAGGCTTACGCTAGTAATTTCTATTTCGTGTCACTGGTAGTCTGTATCATTTTACTTTTAGAATAGGTAAATTCCAAGCATATCCTTCTTTCTTGTTACATTTATATAAGAAAAACAAGAAAAGCAGATCCATTGGTAGAAAACATTTGCCCTGCAAAAGGCTACTTCGTCGTTTTAAAACATAAATGTGGTTTTGAATAACGCACAGGCTCATAGCTCTTTTCTTAGTAAAAATATGTGCCTTTTGACGCTTTCCATGTTTGGGGGTTTGGGGTCTGGAACTCAGGCTAGATGATTAGTAAAATGTTGCCCAGTCCACACGTAAATAGACACTCTTGAATCCGCAAATTTTCTTTGAAGATGGGGCTTCCTGTTCGCACGAATTCAATCAAAATCTCCGCGTTTCTCGAATTCGCTCTCCGGAATAGAAATTTTTAAATACACTATGAATTCGACGTGTTGATGCTCGGATCCGGACGTGTTTTACGGTTTGACGAGACACTGCTTGATTGTGCATGTCCTGACAAAAATATTAACGGAAGACCTGTGAAAACTACAGTGAATCCGAAGGTGTGGGGATGGCCGGATTCGATTTGAATACGCTAGGTGTGGACCCAAAAGTTTTTGAACCCCTTAGAGAATAGTTTGAGAAATATCCGCATAAGTGTGAATTGGATCTCAGTTAATTGATTTTATATCAGTAACTGACTCACAACAGAAGCCTGCAGTCTGCAAAAAGTTTGGTGACCCACTCTAGTCACGTGATCTTGGAGAAGAAATAGTTCACGATCGTATACGCCTATTTTATTACGTGCTGAACTCCAATCGAAGAAGTCGCGAACTGAGCTGCTGTTTCACATGTTTCTGCCCGGCACTCTCAAGTGAGATTTAAGGAAATATTACATATGCTTTGCTTTGTCTCCTTGAAGTATACAATTTCTCATTTTGATTGCTATATTTTCTTATACTGACGCCCTATCCATTGCAGATCTAGAACCTATTTTTACTTCTTATAATTTTATTCTGAAAATTGACTTTTTTCGGTGTCGATAAAATTGTATCATTAACCTTTTGAAAATACACTCTTTTTTATAAGAACCAGTAAATTTAAGTTCAGGCTGACTGTTCTTGATTTTTTCGAAAATCTGAGGCTGGATTGTTTTTAATTTTTTCTTAAATTAAGAGGGTGTAAGCAGTGCAATTGCTAGCTTTTTCGCTCTAAGGAGGTTTTCAGGCCTCATTTGTCAACAAAGTGAGTGAGACAGCCTTAATTTGCTGACAAATTTGAATATTCACCGAAAAAGCACCCACACATTGCTAAAAATCCTCGATTTTAAGAAAAAACGTTGTTCAAAATTGCATTTTGCAGAAGCTCAGCCTTAGCTTGTTCTTAATTTGTTCTTAACTTTTGACCAGTTATCCAGTTATGCTTATATCATGTAAATTCAAAAACAAATTAGAAACAATCCAGCCTCAGATTTTCGAAAAATTTAAGAACAATCACTTAAATTTATCTGTCCTTATATGGAAAGAGTGTGTTCGGGTGATTGGGAAAAAGTCTTGATATCGTGACTTTCAGAATGAAATCGAGAAGGTTGCAAGCTGTGTTATGACATGATGATGTTTCACGAAAATTTATTAGATTCTTTCAAGGCTTCTTTTTAAAAGCGACCTTGGTAGGATCAATGTAGTCAATGAGATCCTTTTCGCTAATCAACAAGTGAAACTGCGAAGGTAGTTCTTCATTCTTTTAACTGTACTGAAAATTCCCCGCACAGCAGTAAAACAACTCGTACAATTTCGCCTTGGTCTTGAAAATAAAAGGTTTTCGATTTTCGCGTTTCACCAAAGGCTAGGTAACCAGCACCATAGTTGTCAATTTACCCCCCTTTTCAACTTGGAATATATTTTTAGCATGAAAAGAAATCTGAAGCTTTTACTTCTCCTGGAAGTATTAATGATACATTTTCATCTTAGTATAATGATATAAGAACGGTTCTTTTAACAGAAAATCCCAATTGCTAAAAGCAATTGAAAATGTACTGCCATATTGATTTTAGAGACAAAACTTGTTTCAATAATCTTGTTTCTTATTCCATCGTGACTTCAAACCTTTTTCTATTTTTAAAATGATACAAGCATATTAATGCGCCTTTAAATGTTTATATATAGGTAAATCGATGTTAAATTTCCCTGTAACTTGACATTGTACCGTTGTCTTTAAAACTTGTAAGGAATAGCTCTAGTCAGCAACAAGTAATATTCTGATTGAAATTTGCTTTTGTTATGTGTAATCTAAAACTAACTTGTGACTGTGGTATAATTTTTTGTTCAATAGAGAAAGACAGGTAAAAAGTATCCAGGAAAAAATGAGCAAGTCACTGAAAGCAGTATCACCTATTCTGAGCTGCAGCAAGCTACTAAGATCTGATCCGTTTATCAATGGGACCTGGGTGAAATGCAAGAAGACATTTCCAGTGTATTCTCCATCGACTGGTGAGCATCTTATTGATGTTGGCGATGTTGAAGAAGAACATGTCCAGCTTGCAATCGACGCAGCAGCTAATTCTTTAAAGGACTGGAGCATGCTAAGTGGAAAAGAGCGTGGAGCTCTCTTGATAACGTTTTATGAAAATGTTATGATTCACAAAGAGCCATTGGCACAGATCATGTCAGCAGAATGTGGACGACCAATAAAGAAGACAAGACTGGAGGTTGATTATGGTGCTTCATTTTTACAGTGGTTTGCTGAAGAATCCAAGCGAATATATGGTGATATGATTCCTGCTCCAAGCAACAGTAGCAGAAGATTTGTATTGAAAAGGCCAGTTGGTGTCGTAGGGCTTATTACTCCATGGAACTTTCCATTGGCAATGATTACCAGAAAACTAGGAGCTGCCATGGCTGCTGGTTGTACTTCAGTTATCAAACCATCAGAGGAAACTCCATTAACAGCCTTAGCTTTGGCTGCCATTGCAGAGGAAAGTGGCATTCCAGCTGGTGTTATCAATGTACTTACGTGTTCAAGCGAAAGCACTCCAATGGTAGGAGACCTACTTTGTGACAGTCAGATAGTGCGTAAGATTTCCTTTACTGGCTCTACAGCAACTGGTAAGCTCCTTCTTAAGAAGTCAGCTTCCAGTGTCAAAAGAATGTCACTGGAACTTGGTGGAAATGCCCCTTTCATTGTATTCAACTCTGCAGATATCGATCTGGTTGTCAGGGCAGCACTCTCTGCCAAATTTAGGGCCAATGGCCAAACATGTATTGCTGCTACACGGTTCCTTATCCAGGATGGGGTTCACCAAAACTTCATTCAAGAAATGACAAAAGCTGTGAAAAGCCTTGTTGTGGGTGATCCATTTGATCAAGGTACAGATGTCAGCTCACTAATAAATGAAAAAGGTATGAAAAAGGTGGAGACTCATGTCCAGGATGCAATCAGTAAAGGGGCGCTGCCGCTTGTTGGCTGTGAACGACATCGTCTAGGCCCAAACTTTTACAAACCCAGTATTATTGATGGCTGTGATGAGACAATGCTTGTCATGAAAGAAGAAACTTTTGGGCCAGTTATATCTGTGATGAAGTTTCATTCTGAAGAAGATGCTATCCGCATTGCAAACAATTCAAAATATGGTTTGGCAGGATATGTTTTTTCACAAGACATTGCGCAAATTGTCAGATTGTCTGAAAACATTGAAGTAGGAATGTTGGGTGTAAACGATGGTGCTATTTCAAGTGAAATGATTCCATTTGGTGGAATCAAGGAGTCAGGCATTGGCCGGGAAGGATCAAAGTATGGTATAGATGAATACCTCGACTTAAAATTTGTCTCTCTTGGAGGACTGAAGTCATCTCTCTAGAGCCAGGGATAGGCAGAGAAGGACTGAAGTATGGGTTGATGACAATTTTGAGTATAAGTTCACGTCTCTAAGGAGGCTGAATTAGCCTGTCTGAAATTATATTTCATCCGTCTTTGTAGTATTTTCACACCCACCATTTATACGTCCTTACTTCAGTACTCAAATTTATATTTTTCATTAAAGGACAATCTTAATGTTTATCAATTTATCTAATTATTTGAATTAGCATATTTAGTTAAAGTTCATCCCTCTCGGGAAAAGTATAGCATAAAGCAAAATTGTACACTTTACTTCTCTCGCCCTCAAGTCAATAATTGGAGAATTAATTGAGGGGGGGGGGGTGTTTTTAACTTTTTACATTCTACATCTATAATCTTACTAAAACCATTTTATCTTTGATAGGTTTTGTAGAAATTTCTTTTTAAAATTAACGACTTATTGTTTAATGCATTCGGAAATTTGTTTTCCCATAAGATTTTTAATGTTTTATATGATTGTTAAGATACGAATGGATTGGATACATGGGGGTCGACCTTTAATTTTTGCCGGGGATGGCTCAAACTTTGAAAAAAATATTGTTTCAAAAAGGGTTAGTATAAATGCTTTATTTCCACCTTTGCTGCGTAGTCGGCACCTATGCATGGTTTTCGAGTATAACGTCTTTGGAATTGTTAAGAATCTTTTTTAAGTTAGACATTTAGAGACTTCTTTTGGTCTAGTTTAGACAGTAGAATTGCTACTTATCGCTACTTATCCAATTTTAAGCATTGTCAAGTTAAAGAACTTTTGAGACAAAGATTTGTTTCTTTATCTCTTGTATATCTGGACTGGACTATATATCTGGAGGATCAAAGCTGCCGAGAGGGGAGCAAGGGGGCAATGAGAGCAAATTGTCCCAAGGCCGTAGCAATGTATCAATGTAGACGACGTAGCAATGTATCTCTAAAATAGTTTAACATTTTAAATTATTGCAGAAGAACAACTGTGAGAAAGGTTCTGAAATGCATTTTAAGCTAATCTGAATGGCACGGTCGCGAAAACTCTCAGGGGGCCTGAACCGCTGGCTTGGTTTATGTTTTCTGGTGAAAATTTTGGACCAGGTTAATTTTGAGGTGCCACCTGAAAGCGAACAAATTGCTGTGGTTATTTTCAAGTATCCACATTTGTAGGGGTTAAGTAAGTGATGGTGAGCGGTGATCTGTTGGGATCTAAGGGGTGAAAACGAGGGTGAAAGCGGGGGTGAAAACGGGGGTGAAAACGGGGGTGAAAACGGGGGTGAAAGCGGGGGTGAAAGCGTGGGTGAAACAGTTAGCAGGCAGCCGTTAAGCCTCTGCAGAGGAGAAAATGGGATCTCTCTTTTTTAGATACAACACAAGTAACATCATTTGCTTCACAACCGTAGGTAAAACCATTTTTGAGAACATTCAGTTGAAAACGATCCCTTTTTGCAATTAAAGAGGGCCACCTAAACACAATTTACCCTTTGACCTTACAAGGAAGTCTTGGCTCTTTGGTGCAATTAACCGCAATGATGCTGCTATAAGTATCTTAACAACTTATATGGTTAGTTCATGTTAAACTACAGAATTTTGAAAATTTAACTATTTTATCTCCAAAGGCAACTCTTTCATAAATGGAAAAAGATAGTTCACAAAAGGCTCTCCTTAGCTGCCAATTATTTTGTTGATTAAACACAAAATTGGCTTAAAAAGCTTTTAAGTAACATTTATAAATAAGTTACACTATTTATCATGTAATGAATGAAGACATGGTAGACATGATAAAAGGTTTTTTATAAAAATGGCTTCTAAACAGAAGTAATCCATGGCATCTCTGTATTAAACCTATATATCATTCAATACTACAAATTCAAAAAAAAACATTCCAAAAATACATGATCTTTTGAACAGGAAAATTGAAGTTTCTTTCCATGTCACTGTTCTCCTCTTTTAATGCTTGGGGTTGGGGGACATTCATATATGATATCAGCAGATAGGTAGAGCAGGGGTCAAACGAATTGCTGATCTTTTAGAAATTAGGAAGGAGGTAAATATATACTCTGATATCAGAAAATAATCAAACCCAGGAAAATAATATTCCAAGAGTGTAAAGCAAAATGGCATGAAGGTATTTCAAAATATAAGCATATTAGCAATTTAAAGATTTGTTTAGATGACAAGAAAGACTGAATAAATTCATATTATTACATGGTTACATAAATTAACAGTACAACGTCATTTCTTCCACTTTTTCTCAATGGCAAAAAGAGCTGCACTTACCTTCTTTTTGGGTGTTTCATCATATCACTTCAGGAAATTAATCTGAAGGCAGAACCACACTAAGGAGAGAGTTCGTACCAGAGTCAAATTATTTGGACCTAACTAAGCATTCAGAAATGAGAAATTGCTACAAGCTTTTTAATTGAAACCTAACAACGTCTCTCAGAAAGTCCCTTGAGCCATCAACCCAAACTATCTGTTGCTGTTGTTGTTGCTTGGTTTGTTGATGAAATTTAACCAAAGCAAAGGGTAGTGTGTAAAAAATTTCAAAAAGACGGTAATAAGCAGGCTGTACAAATAAATTTGACTTGAATACCTCGCCACTGCTACCTTCTTATTACCTGTAACAACCGCATGTCCTTCACGATATTCATCACAAATTTTCCACACAACAACATCAGACCTGCCAAGTTTGGTGGGTGCAAAACCTTGAGATTTCTTAAAAATTTCTTTAAAAACCTTGAGTTTTGTAGAAAAACCTTGAGAAAAGTCAAACAACTTTTTTAATGATTTTATAAACACAAAAAGGTCTTAATACGGGTTCAATCACATCATAAAAAGTTAAAAGAACTAAAAAGAAACATGAATTCCAAATGAAAAGTAGGCTATCTATTTGTGTTCTTCATTGTATTTGTTGGTTGCTTTTTTGGAACTTTCCAAGACTTCTTCTGTGGGTTTCCAGCTATAACAGGGCGTGTTGGACTCAGGATACATTGTTTTCATCGCTAGGATACTCGACAATGTCCCTCCTAGTTTCATCGATGACCTTTCTAACGATTTGTTTTTCTTCACAATGCTGAAAAGTCTTTCCGATTCAGCATTACTGTAAGGGATGATCAAGATGATTTCAGCTAGCTTTGGCAGAAACTTGAAGCGCTTGGCATTTGAGCCCGGAATTTTCATATCTGCAATATAGCTCCACAAAACATCAATTCTAAAATGAAATGAAATTTCACCATCCATGTCTTTCTTCACTCCTTCAGAAACACGTGCCTCTTCCCAGGCTCTCTCTTCAAAATCATTATCATTTAGTGTCTGGTAGTCTGTAAACTCTTCATATAATTCATCAGCTGAAATAGCTGACATTAAGTTAGGATACAACATCGTTAGAATATCGCAGAACAGTTCTGTGAGCTAAATATGCAGATACACTAGCATTTGTTCGTTAAAGATGGCAAATTGGGAGAAACTTTTTGATTTTTTTGATTTATGAATAACCGTGAGAATTTCCTGACCAACCGTGAGATCGTGGGCTTTCTTTAAAAACCGTGGGTCCCACGGCAAAACCGTGGTACTTGGCAGGTCTGCAACATTGAATGCAAAATACCGGGTCTTGCACTGGGAAGGGTCCTTCGGGGTGGTGGGCAGCAAAATGAATTTACACAACATACATCTCACCTATGCCGCAAAATCGCACAATTTGATTGGTGGGTTGATGCTTGTGCGAACTTTCAAAAAACCATCAGTCTTACAGATACCCTGAATGTTACTGCATTGGATCCCTGCGGTCTCCCGGATATCATAATTTGGAATCCTTGACTTTCATTTGATACGCGTATATTGACTAAGACACCGAAACCAGGCCATTGCCTAAGTTTTGCCTATGTTTTCCTTTTCATGATGGAGGACGTTATTTAGACAGAGATTCAGACTCAAATAATATTTTGAAGAATACGTGATGCTTTTTAAGGTAAATAGCCAATTTTATGCAGGCTGTCAATCAGAACTTTTAGGGTTCAAACGGGTACATCTTGATAATGATGATGTAGCATTCTTACGAATGATTTTCTCAGCCATTCCATAGCGACTCGCGTAACAAAGTCACACACATAGTTAGTTGACTACTAAAGTCAGAATTATTTTCCAAAGCTTGTGATACAATAATCGAATTCCCTTAAGCCATTCTATATCTTGGCAATGTTTTATTCCAAAAATACTTGCTTACCCCTGCAATTATTTGTTCATCTGGTGTGACTAGTGTGACCGTCACACTTCAAAGTCTTTACTTTCAGTTGCCTATCTCAATTTATCTGAAAAATTTCAAAATCTTTATGAACAAACTTTTTAAAAAATGGCTACTAATAATTGAGTTGCAATATGAGTATAAAATTTTAATTGAAGTGCCTTCGCTTTTTGAAATAACAAAAACCAATGCAATTTAAAGCAACTTGAAAAGCAACTTTTTACATTCAAATTCCAAAACTTTTTTTTCATCAAGATGTGTCATTTCTTTTAAAGCAACTTGAAAAGCAACTTTTTACATTCAAATTCCAAAACTTTTTTTCATCAAGATGTGTCATTTCTATGGAATGTCATTACTATAGTTATCTTGATGAATTCGAATATGCTGGTTTTAGAGTTCTAGATATTTTTGTTATTACCACCAACCTGTAGGTAGTTTGACTGTGTTAGGGATTTGCTTTTGAATGAGATATTTCATTTCCTACTGCGTATGATTTTGTTAATTTTATTCTGTCAGTTTTGGAAAAATCTAGACTGCAGCTTCTAAATGAGAAATTCTGCTGGCAATTTGATTTTATACCGTTAGTAAGGTAATCCTTTTCATGATTCTAACCTTTTAAAATTAGTAAAATTATTTGTGGTTCCCAAACTAAGATGTATAACATGCCATTTGAAACTTTTAAACCTAATCTGAAATACCCATAAGATTAATTAATTATTGTTTATAAATTTGCAAGTGACTGAAACTCAGTGTGACCAGATCACAATTTCAGAATTATGCAAAAATTGTCATAAAATTATGCTAGATTTACAAAACTTTTTGCTAAATTTCACATCAAGGCTATGGTATTTGGAAAAGAGGAGGCTGGCGCATGCGCAAATTAGAAAGAGTGGCCAAAATATGTTCACTTTACAAAATGAATATAAACAGCAAAGAAAACTAATGCAATCAATTAATCATAAAATATGTCTATATGTAGTTATGTATATGTTGAATAAAGATGGCCCTTTTTTTTAACTGGCAGAGCTATTTCTGGAAACCATTATTGCCAACTTAGACAGTAACAAATCAACTATCTCCACATAAAGAAGGGATTAAAAACCCTTGCTGCCTTGTACTAGCCACATATGTGGATGTAATGTATTTGCATGCAGTTTCGATAGACAGCGGATCACTTATCAATGGAGACAAGCACTTTCTTAACAAATTCTAAAATCATGCCAGAATTATGCTAGATTTCCAACGATGCCAAATTTTATGCTAAAGGACGATTTCTGGCCAAAGTTATGCTAAAAGCATAATATTATGCTAGATCTGGTCACACTGCTGATACTTTGCTTGTTTATGTTATTGTGTGTTGCACTAGCATAGGTTCCAAAACTTTGATTGGCTGAGCAACCTAAACTCTCGTTACCCCATTATGAGAATTCAAGAATATGACAACCAACGTGCCTCGCAGCAAGATTTAAGCCTATTTTGGACGTTTTTACCACTACCCAAGAAAAAATTAACGTGTAAAATGCGCTGAAAGATAACCTAAATTTTCTTTTGAAAATCAAAACCTTTGATAAATTAATGAAAAAGCTGCCGTTGTACTCAGTAAAAATTTTTCCGCGATCGATAGTTATGAAGTTTTGAAACTGTCTCTTTCAAACCCTTAAAATAATTAGGGAGAGGGAGCATAAAAAAATACAGTTTTAAATCTTAAAAGTTGTTTATCCACGTAATTAACTAATATGAACTTACCTTTACAAGCCAATGTTAAAATCATTTCTTGTCGGCATTGATGCTTGTGTTAGTAACGGAAAAAATTGCTAAATTCGACTGAGAGAAAATGCGGTGTATCTTTCTCTTAAAATAACTGCAGTTGTACGATTTTTTGCGCTCAGGGTTGAAATCAGCCCGGGTTGAAGTCAGCTTGGGTTCAGTTCTGTTCAGTTCAATTCAGTTCATTCATTTTTAAATTCGATTACATACAGACACTCTGTAAGTTAAAAACTTACAATAACTACATATAGATTAATAAGACAATAGCACACATAAAGGGATAAAGATACATGACACCAGATGATTTGTATGAAGGGGAATTCTTAAGGAGAAACTCTCTCAATAGCTAAGCTAATCGAGGAGAGAGCACTCCCTCTTTTCAGATAAATTTTAAGAAACTATGGGTAAATATTGACTATCAATAATCTGATTCAATAGTTAAGCTCAAACAGGAAAGTTTTCAGTTTCTGACGAAACATCTTGACTGATGACGACCTTTTTTTGTCTACAGGAATGTCTTTCCAGCATTGTCATTACATCGGTTTGAAGTCATGACAACCTGGGATGACTCCAGCCCGGGCTGAAGTCATCCCAGGTTGAAATCGTCCTGGGTTGAAGTCAGCCTGGGTTGAAATCAAACCGGGTTGAAGGCATTCTAGGTTGAAGTTATCCCGGGTTGAAGTCAGCCCAGGTTGAAATCAACCAGGGTTGAAGTCATCCCGGGTTTAAGTCTTCATGGGTTGAAGTCAGCCCAGGTTGAAGTCGGCCTGGGTTGAAGTCTTCATGGGTTGAAGTCAGCCAAGATTGAAGTCGGCCAGGGTTGAAATCAGCCTGACTGAAGTCAGCCCAGGTTGAAGTCAGCCCAGGTTGAAGTCAGCTCGGGTTGAAATCGGCCCGGGTTGAAATCAGCCCGGGTTGAAATAAGCCCAGGTTTAAGTCAACCCAGGTTGAAATCAGCCCGGGTTGAAGTTGTTTCGGGCTGAAATCAGCCCGGGTTGAAGTTGTCCAGGGTTGAAGTCGTCCCGGGCTGAAATCGTCCTAGGTTGAAGTCATCCCGGGTTGAAGTCATTGAATTTGAGGATTTACGGTACTGCATCGTCAATGACAAGGAAGCCTCCAGCAGTGAGAGTAAAGTATGCTCATATAAAATACATGGAAAACTGGTACATCTAGTAAATTTTTGGTGCACTATTCACAAGTGTGTCCCCTGCCTTTCTCTGGTGCACGTAGTCACCCTTGGAAAATGATATAAAATCCACTGTTTGAAAGAAAGCCTACATAAAATCCAAATGGAGATTTGTTAGTATTTGGTTTGATCAAGATAAAATAATAGATACAATAGTCGGACTCCAGAAAACATTACGGTCGCACGGTCATTGACCGGAGGAAGGTTTGATAAACAATAGAAATTTGGAAGAAGGTTTTGGTAAAATAGAACTTAAAAAATAATTAAGACAACTTATTTCGCACTTGTTTCTTTGTTGCGCTTTTAAAACATACTTTGAATCTGTCGCGAGTCGAATGGTGGCACGAACAGACGAAACAATTTTAGGCCTTTTACCGCCAGAAAACACATCTGAAAAGAGAATATGTTCGACTTCCATGGTTTTGAAATTTTTCAGTAAATATTATATCATGTTTCCATTGATTTTATTATTCGACATTTAAAAAGAAATATTATTCTTGAGCTGTAATGTGATTAGTATTCTAGCAAAGTTTTATCTTATGCGATAATTACCATCGACCAAAACACATAACTTTGTCTCGATTTATTGCATCTGTAGCCCCTCATGCCGTAGCCACTCCCTAGCCACGCCCTGGATGAAGGTTTTGACGGGGAAAATTTGACCGGATGAGGGTTGAGGACTTTTCTGGACTCTGACAATAGCTATTATTTTATCTTGGTTGTGTGTTATATGTCTGCTGTAAACAAATAATTTATCAGGTGCGGATCCAGAAAAAAATTTGACAGGAGCAAAAAGTGGGGGTACAAGGAACAAGCCCGTAGCCAGGTCAGTGGAGTAGGGGTGGCAGACTCCCAATGTCCAATGCAGGCAAGGTTTAAGAGAAGTGTTTGTACAAGGGGGGCGGGGGCGGTGGTTAGTAACAAACAAGCAAAAAAGGCTGTAACATTTCTTCAGCAATTAAACAACTTAACTTCCATTAAACTAAATAACTTTCAAATGTTACGTCTTCTATCAAAATCTTACTTCCAAATGCCAGGGATGCAGGATTGCATTCCCTCTCTGTTTTCAGGTCCACATTAATCGAGAAAACTCCGCAACCATCTCAAACATTGGTCCTCAGTCGAGTTTTTACATCGTTACATTGAAGCTGCTTCACAATTATGTTTGTTGGCTTTAGAATGTCCATCAGCATGCACTTTGCAAATTTGAACATCCCACTCCAATGCAGGAATATATCAGAAAATTTTCAAATTTTTCCTGGGAAGTTTTTGTTTAGCATCGGAAAACTATTTCAATTCCGATATAAAAAACTTCTTCTGTCCGTGTTGGCTTGACTCAAATTGCCATAGCAATCCAATAAAACGACGAAAAAGACACTTTGAAAAAATTTAAAGGCAAATTTCTCGGAGTGGCAAACAGCTTGCATCTTTATGTTCCAGGGGTGGCATTGCCACCCCATGCCACCCTTTGGCTATGGGCCTGACTGTCGTAAAATCCCCATCGCACTTTCTTCGGTATTCTAGTAAATTCCTAAATTTATTATTCTTAAATCAACACGTTTATTTCTTATTGTGTATGCTATGCTTTTGTTACATAACTGCGAAACTCTACAATTTGCGTAAAAGCCTCGCTTTGAGGCTGAGACAGGAGATTATGGATCCAGCCAGAATTTTCTGGAAGCAAGCTATTGTAATAGAATTAACTACGTCAATCATATTCTTAACTTTTATTGGCTTGAATACTAGTAAAAATTTATTCTGACTGGCTAGGATAAATTTGTAGTTCCTTGTTTGCTTCTATAAAAGCTGTTAATCCTACCCTCCTCAACAATAAACAGATTAAACCGATTCTAAAAGACACTGGAAAAACATGTTACTTAAAATGGGTAGAAGAGGGGTCAACAAGACAAGGGATGGACTTAGCCAGAAATAGCCTACAACTTGATCTAAAACTTTGAATCTTGACTTAAATTCCAGGAAGTGAGCTTGCTAGGTGCACCAGCCCTTATACTGCCTGGAGAATACGGATTTTTAAGGTCTGTGTCACTACTAGGAAACATTCTCCCGACTGATGCACCAGCCCAAAAGACGAAAAGGTGTTCGGGAAAAGAATGACAGCCAGGTTGAAGGAAGAAAAGGTAGTAAGAATCAGTGGGTGGGTGGGAGGGAAACTTCAGTTTTAATCGCTCCTTAAAGGCAAACAACCATTTGTGGCAAGCTTAGGGGGGAATCGATTTGAGGGGGGGGACTGGGGGGAATCGATTTTGTATTTTGTCTAAATTCTATGAGAAAATGTTGGGGGAGGGGTAATATTTTGACACCGTACTTTTTGTGATGTATTCCTATGATTTTCAAACTGACAATTTTCAAACAAAAGCTAGTCATAGGCGTTCCTTTTGGATAAAATTGGCGTTCCCTGTTGATAGGAGGACGTGGCTTAAATTTTTTGGTTTGTCCCCCCCCCCAGAGTTTAGTGGCTGGCGCCGCCATTGTTGAGCAGAAAATACTGAAAACGTCTAGATTGTCTTTCTCTAAGAGTTTTGTAACGACACAGGGTTCCCTTACGGACAGTATTACGTGACAATTGCACCATTGCGCTGTGATTGCATCAGCGTCTGTAAATATGTTTTTTGTATTACGTAATTATTATTTTAAGGTTTGCTTAGGTTATATAAAGGGTTGTTCCATAAGTTAGGAGTAGTCTTGTCGAAAGTTTTGCCGTACTGCTTGGAGCTCTGCCGCTAGTTTTGTCGTGCCTGTTGAAGCCGTGTCGTTATTTGAAGCCGTGTCGTTATTTGAAGCCGTGTCGTTATTTGTCGAACTTGCTGTTAGCCGTTAGTCGTATCATTGCCATAAAAGAAGAATTTTGATCTTATCTGCCGTTGCCGTATTTTTGAGAATTTCTGCCTACAAAGAACTCACGTTTGTAAAACCCTCATTTTAAGAGGTTTTACAGTTTACTCTAATCATTTATTGAACCTGCGTTAACAAGCAGAGAAGCCAGCAACCTCTGCGTGGCAGCCCAGTCTGAAATAGAGAAACTTCCACCATTAGTTATTTCTTGGAAACAAAAACACAAAAAAGCAGGTGGCTGAAACAATTACTTATTTATATATTTCATTCGCTTGAACTTTCGATCGGCTTGCAGAAAACAGTTTCAAAATGAGCGAGGAGTGCTACGTGACATGTTCGAAGGATGTCTATTCCATGCAAGAACTGTGGGAAAGACTGGCTAACTTCCAAGCCATCCCTGCATTAAACCAGGAAGCAGAATATAAAATATACTCCTTGAAAAAGGCCTTTGCTGATCATATGTCAGTTGTCTTTTCTCACGATCAGAAGACCTACATATCCATTGAAGTGGTTATTCGTGATACCAGACGTGGAAAAGAAACTGCTCTCATATCTAGAACAATCAAGGACGAACATGTGCCAAAACTTGAATTCTACAAGGCAGTGGTGACAACTGCTTCCACGATTGTCGCAAAAGCAACCGAAACCTTTCAAAGGTTCATAAATGCCGGGGAATACAAAAAGGTATTTAATAATTGCCAAAATTACGCCATAAATCTGTTAGAGGCTTTGGGAGTCGATAATGCACCATTTTCAGATGTTGCCAAAGCGACAACTGGAGGCATTTTGGCAGTGATTGGTGGTGCGCTTTTGGCACTGTTTGGAGCTGGGAAAAAACAAAAATGACTTTATGAGGGTGTTAAAATTCCACATTCAGAACTTATTTCTTCACCAGTAACAAAATTTGTGTTTGTTATATAGCAAGTATTACATTTTGTTCATTAGATGAATTCTCTAGTTCTTTAGATGCTTTCTTCGTCAAAATTTTTTTCTCAAAAATGTGAAGTTATACACTTTGGAACGTTGAAAAATTAATCTCGCCTCTCTGATAATCCCGCCTCTCTGATAATCCCGCCTCTCTGATAATCCCGCCTCTCTGATAATCCCGCCTCTCTAATAACCCAGCACAAAATTAGTTGGTCGAATCAACAAACCCCACAACGGTATTTAAAGGCACCGATTTATGGTAAATACACTATCTTTTTTATAAGAACCAGCAAAATTGAAGTTTAGGCTGTCTGATCTTAATTTTCCGAAAAATTTTGAGGCTGGATTGTTCTTAATGAGCTCTTAAATTTTAAGCGTTTAATCAGTGAGATAGCTAGCTATCGTGCCCACGGGGATTGTTCAGGCCCCAATTGCCAACAAAGTGAGTGAGCCATTCTTAATTTACAAAAAAATTTGTAAATTCACCGACAAAGCACCTAACCTCAAGATCAGGGGCATAACTTGGCCAATAGGTTGGAGGGGGGGGGGGGGTGAAAAGGGTTTCTGCCCTGCAAAACTGAGTTGTGCCCTGCAGACCTCGAAGCAAAGATTTGTCTATAGGTTACGAGTGAAAGCTTTACCAATGCACATTTATATATTTTAGCTTTATATATTAGTTTTACCAAGGATAAATTTCTAAGCAATAAAAACAAATTTGAAACTAAATTGCCTATGGAATATCCATATCTCTACGTTAGCGTAAATTGTGGTTATGGCATATGATTTTTGCTACATGATGTTGACGGCGCGCACGAAATTGAGCCCGGGGGGGGGGGGAGCTAAGAATCAAGTTTAGTGAGGTAGGAAGACCCACCATGGTTGGGTCCGACGTTAAATAAAACTTTTGAAATCATACGTTGTAAAAGGGCTAAGAAGCATCTCCCAGACTAAAATTTAGCAAAATACTTTACTGCTTAGGAAAGATATTCGATGGTTCTCGAAAAAAACTGATTATTGTTTATTGGGAAAAATTGGGAGGGGAGGTGTCATGCTAAAACTCTGGTGACAGAGGTTGGGGAAATAAAGAAACAGTAACCTTTCGTTTCAGATTGCAAATAGATATGAATGACAGAGAAAGATTTTGTTTTGACTGGGAGAATTTCATTTCCTGAACAGAAATGTGCAGTTTCTTGTCTCGAGAAGGCCATGTTTACGCGCCCAAAATGAAGACATTGCAATGATACAGAAAGTAATTTGCTGAATTAATGCAAATAAAAAAAGAATAATAGGCATATACGTGAATAAGTTAGTAAATAGACCAAACAAAATTGGCATCTAAGCAGTTTATTGTCTTTTTACTTCATACACTGTTTTTAAAAGTATTTGAAAAAAGGGTAACAATATTCTCATCTTGACCAAAGTGGGAGCCTTCAGCCCCCTAACCCTCCAGTCGCGCCCTGCCTGTCATGAACATAATTTAAAACTTAAATTATTTGTTTGGACCCAACCTTGTCCTCATCTTCGATTGCCCTGCAAAATCAACTTTTTTTAGATTGGGGGGTCTCACACCCCCACACCCCCACACCCCCGGGATTTTCGCCCCTGCCCATGATGGCAGAAAAGGTTTTTGAGATTTGCCCAAGATTACATGTTACAGTACCTCAGCCTCAGTTTGTTTTTAGTTTGTTCTATAATGTTAACCAATTTTGAGGATCGTGCTTTTATAAAATGGTTAGCTAAATAAATATTATTAGTATTAGAAAGTTAGAAATGCATTATTAAGGACAAGCCATAATATACCCAAAGCCTGGCTACAAAGTTTTTGCAAACGCAGCAGCAAAGATAATAGAAAGAGATTATGTTAATAAAAAATATAACTTCAAAGTATAATCTAAACAATCAACCATCACCAAAAGAAACAAAGAGAAAAATGAGTAATAAGACTTGTCCCTAATAAGGTTCAACAATACTCAAATTTGGCGCTGCAATTCTTTGGAATCTATTACAGAAATATGACAAAAAACGCGAAAACGCGGGAAAAATCTATGCCAGAGTAAAACACATATTGAAAATGAAATAACCGTAAAGAAACATCTAATAAAAATTAATCCAATCATATCTAAGTATTATAAATCGCAATCAGAACACAAATTATCCATGGATCCTGACACAAGAAGATCTTCAATTGGGGAACACTAGGATTCCAACATAAGGTGTGCAAATTGTGCAGAAACGAGAAATATATCTTCAATCAACACAATCAAACTAAATCTTCATGTAAAAAACAAAGGACAAAGGTTTTTGCTTTTTACTTTAGCTTCATTAGCTTATCCGAAACGCGATTAGAGATTTAGTTATATTTCGAGTAACACTGTTTTTAGAAATTTATATGAATTGTAACATGGAAACATGTTGGGGACATCCAAAAAATTCGATGGAAAGTTAAGGCTGATACGTTGGGCGTGGCAGCACTTCTGACCATGCCTTTGCTTATATTTATATTTAACGTCATCTCAGTCAGTGTCAAACAAGGGAATGCCGTTTATGTATATTCAAATTCTTTTACAGAAGTTTGCAATATAGCTAAGGTTTTCTATATTTACGGTAAATGCAATCAAAATGCGATTCAATATCACAGAACTACATAATATACAATATCTTATCACTGATGGGATCGAAATCGAAATTAGATAAAACATTCAAAGGATACTTTATTATATTTAATTCATGATTAATGAAGTTAGTTGCAAGCTAAATTCTCAATGAAATGCTAGCTGAGGAAATCCAGGAATGTAGGCAGCAAACACCCCACACAGCCCTGTGCAAGGACCGAGATACCGGGGGGCCGAGGGGGCCTTGGCACTGTTACCATTGAAAAGCGTACACCCGATCTTGGGATCTGAGACCTCTGTGAATAGATTCATTTTCATTACTACTCTAGACAGGGTTCTGAAAAACGAGAGAGGGGTCGGAAAAAGTTTATTGTGTGTGGGACTAGGAAAAACTGGAGGGATCGAGGATCTAAAATAATACCGAAATGAAACTTTCTATGGGATAAAGATGCAAAATGCAAGGGAGAACATCGATTGACAAAAAAGCAAAAAATAGACGTAAGAAAAATATTTTTTTCCCGGTAAAAATTCAAGGTCAATGACCAAATAATTAAATAGTGGAGGGCTGTTTATCAAGTCCCTAAGAGTGGGTAAATATCAATTACCCAATTCTTTTTATAATCATATATAAGTTTTGTTTAATTACGAACGCGACCCTAGTGCAATTTATTTAACACCCAAAAGCGCCTTGCTGCTTGTGTTGGTCCATTCTTGCGAAGATTCAAGATGCTAAACTTCGGCCGCCGAATTTAGATTGTTTTTATTGCGTCTTGACAAGATAAGGTAAAGAGAGATACATGCACTGGCAAACATAAAGCCAGCGTTTATGAAAAATATGGAACCAGGGTATGTCGACACAACAGCATAGTAGACCAAAGGCCCCACATCGCACCGATCATAATGGAAGATACTTCAACGATCAGCATTGCCGAAAAGAGAAGGCCAACTGTAGAAGGAGGGGTCACTTTCGAGATCATGGCTCTGATTGTGGAAACATTCAATGTAGCCATAGCGTGTACTATTTGACTTAAATAGAGCATCAAAGTCGAATTTGCCAACCCTAGCAGAAGACAGTAGGCCACGTAGGCTAATGCTGTCCCTAGAAGGATTGTATGATCGTTCAGTTTAAGGAAACGTGCAAAAAGAAAGTTGAAGCCGACAAGGCCGAGAATAGCCAATGCTCCGCTTTGAAATGCCAGAAAAAAGCCTATTTCTACTGAATCTAGGTAGTAGGGGTCGGTTTTTAAATAAAGAACAATAACGGCAAGTTCTCCTGAATATGTTATAGCTGCAAGTATCATAAGAAGGAACAATAAAAGCCCGTATGTCAGCTGACCATACAGTTTCAGGACTTGGCAAACTCTCTTCAAATTTCCGATAGGATTTGAGGCCTTCAGTATGTTAAGAAGTTTTGCTGCAAAATTTCCTCCTGTTTCACCACAAAGTCTCGCAGATTTACCACAATCTTCTTTGTTGGCAGAACTGTTTGTTTTCTTGATTTTGCATTTTTCAGTGTCACTTTTTTTTGCAACCATCAAACTTTGACTCTCTTCTCTTGCACTATCGCAATTTTCAACATCTTTCTTCACTACATTGTCATCTTGTGCGGCTTCTGTTTCCTCCAAACTGGTCTTTGAGTTATGACAATCCAATTCAACGTTGTCCTGCGCAGCCATATCTTTTCTCGTGGTTAATTTGTCAATGGGTTTTACAAAGAACAGAAGATATATAATAGCTAAAATATCTATTACTAGGCAACAGACATAGATACCAACATATCCAAAGCGTTCAATAATGAACCCACTCGAGAACGATGATACAAAACCAGATAAAATCGAGGCTGCTTCTAAAAGATTAATTCGCAAAGTCCTTGTTTTTTCTGTCGTTATCTCTGATATGTATGAATATGTGAAGACGTACAGGCCACTGACATCACCCACTGTAGTAGGTATCAATCCAACAAGAACCAAAAGCCATGTAGGGAAACGCATTCCTGCACTCAGTATACACACGAGTATAACGCTCTGGATTAACTGACTCAGTGGAGACAAACTCATGATTTTGCGTCTTCCAACTTCATCTGATAACGTTGCAACAACGGGCAGAGACAAAACTGTCACAAATGAAGCTGCAACCAACAAAGCACCGAACCATATGGTCGACTCCTCTTGAACTGTGTCATACTCCTTTTTGAATGAGCCAGTGTACATGGCTGCACACTTCGTTTCATTGTGCTTTTTCAAGCACACGTTCTCAAGAACAATCTGTGGCAGTGCAACCAAATGCAGGAAGAATGACTGCATGCATAGGAACATCAAAGGTTCAACAGTTATTGCTGGAAGTTTCAACGCCATCCTGTTTCACTGCTTGCAAAGGACTGTTTTCGGTCAACTCCCTTGCTGTAATACGAAACCTTGCTGCAAAGAACGGAACTTAAGAAGATCTGTGCTCGCGAATGGAACGATGGGCGGTGGAAGTTGAGATCTCGCTCACGAACGTCGCGCAAAATCCTTCAAATCCGAAACTGAATAAGCAAGCCAAAGCAGACACTAGACACTATCATTAGAGGCAATATGGCCAGTGAATAAATAGCTGCCAATTGAATCTCCACTAATCAGTCAAGTGATCTCTCCACCGCAACGGTGGAGAGTAGAGGCAGGGGCGGGGCGGCTTACAGCGTTATCAATGTTATTACGTAGTCTAATAACAATACTTTTTCAATGCTATAGGGTTGTAGTGGCCGTCATCGTTTATTTTCATACACCCTGATTTGGTTTCGTGCTCAAGGCATCGCATGTCAATAGACTTTTATTGAAATTCTTTCGCCTTCAATCTTCCTTTGAATATGCTAACATCTCCGTTGTTAGGATTGCGTTTCTAATAACGCGAATCGCCATTTCCCTTGTGAATGTGACCATTCGTCATAGAAAACAGGAAATGAAGCATAGAGATGGAGTAAACCAATTGTACTTTACTCGCACCGCAGCTCGCACGTTATTAGCCTCGGTTTTATAACGCATTTCGGGGTACCGGCCGCTTACTTTGTGAAACAAAATCGCAAACAAAATAACTACCACAATTCAAACTTGTTCTGGGCACTGGGTTGTTTCTAAAGTTTTTCCCCGCAATTTCAACTTGTAGTCCAATGCATGAACAACTGTTTGGCCTATAAACGATGGCCTACCCAAATACTTCTCTTTTCTAATAGAGATCGTTACAGTGTTAACGAGACATTCCCATGGATTTGCGGGGAAGAAAAAAAATACTTATTTTCGTTGCCCGGGTCTTTTGCTGGGAAATTTTCAGAAGGTAATATTATTAAGTCTTTTAAAAGTATTGTTTAGAGCTCTTTTATATCCAGGATGGTCTGTTCTTTCTATGTCTTCAATGCCCCTGTAATTCCTACCACTGCTTGGCTGACTAATGACAATTTATTTCTGATGCCAGCCGCCCCTGGTAGAGAGGTGCAGCATTGTGCCATGCCAGCAAAAAGCAAATCTGTTAATGAAATAAGTAGGAAGGGGTGCTGCAACAGAGAGTTTTCAAGACATTTAAGGGAAGATTACATGGCAATTCATAACGCCCAAACCAAGAGATTTCAAACTCTTTGGATGGACATGACCTTGAAAGCTTTCAATGTTTATTCTGGTTTTTAGTGTTTTCTGTGCCGCTCCTAACAAAGTAGCCTGCGTGCAGACTTTACAAAGCTGATCTCTCATGAGTCAGTTGGTGCAGCATGGAGCATGGTGATTTATTTAAATCTCCATTTATTTACATTTATTTGTATTTGTCATTTGAAACCGATGTTCAAGGAGCTATGCATAAAGATAATTGCGGTTGCAGGCACTAGTAAGACCTCTTGATGCACGAGCTATGTCCTTGTCGATGGCTAACATGTTCAAATATGTTCACATCTCTTTTTATGACGATTACTTTTGTAAAGAGGGGTGATTTACATTTCAGAACAGAGATCCTAGGTCAAGGAAAACGGGCCATGAACACGGTCATACGAGACTTTTGAGGGGGCTTTGGGTCTTATTCCAATTTTCTATGAAAAGACGATAATAATGATTATTAATCATAAAATTCAAATACCTTAATAACAACAACCATTGCCCTGGTCAAGAAATCCACGGCAAATTAAGGAAATCTTTCAAAGTCACGTGGCTACAAAAATGCTGACATCGGCTAATCCTAAAAATGTATATATCAATCGAAAGAGATCTTAGCAGGTTTTATTTTAAGGAATTTTTATCGCTGCACATTTACAAAATTTTTGAAAATTTGGTTCTTGCATTTGAAAATTCTAATGACCACACCTATCAAACTTACTGTATATGAAAACTTGACGATTTATCACTGAACGTTCAAATAAACCCTGGCTCTTAGAGATCTTCCATTATATGAAAGTTTTTTGCCATATGTCGAATATCGATAGGTGTGGTATTTTCAGTTATTACCATTTAAACGCTAAAATCATGCCATCAATGACGTCATCGATCATGTGAAAACAAAGGATATTCTAAAAAGGTGCAAATTAAAATTTTCAAGTTAATGAGCATCTCTAAGAATCTACTCAGAAGTTAGCATGCTTGTTCGGGACTTCAGCAGGAATTTTGGAATCAGGGGACCTATTGGGTACCTTCTAAGTAACATCGCTATGTTTTATAAAAAGCAGGTCAGAAGTTAAGATGGGGGTCTGGTTTGGCTGAAGCAGGTCAAAATTCCACGACCATACGCGAGATAAAAAAGGGCCAGCGTATTCGAATCTAGCGTACGTGCAGCCCCCGCTGCTTCCTCGGTAGGCAACCACATTGTTTAAAGATTCAACTTAATCTTGGATGTGATGGAAACAGCAAGGAATGACCGCAGGCTAATTCGAATTATGTCAGTAATCATATTGCATAACAAATTCATTTTGTAGGTTGATAATTTCAACAGTTTTCATGATTTGTTTGAAGAAATTTTCAAAGAAAGTTAGTGTTTCTTCAACGTGTGATTTTGTGCTGTTTCTTGTTTGCAAATACAGTGGAATCCCAAAATAACGAACTTCGGATATAACGAACTTCTCGGTATAACGAACTATATGTCTGGTCCCTTGAATTCTACCTAACTCCATACAAACTCTCTCGGTATAACGAACCCCGGAAATAACGAACTCTCGATATTATGAACCAAAGTTTGGGTCCCTTCATCATAATTGACCTCAATATAACGAGCTTTTCACATTTGTTTCGTCTGTTATTTTCATTTATTTATTTGTTATGTTCAGTTATCACTTTCTCTTGGGGGAAATCACTATTGGCATCTGGCAAAACATGCTGATAATACATTACAAGCCCTGGCTGATAGGCTCAGAGCACGAGATGAAAGTTTGATCGCGTCAAAAATTAATGCGAATGAGTACATTGATACTACCGAATACCTTTTTACATAAGAGACATTGGCAATGAGTGGAACCACAAACTTTTATTGAGAGACCCAGATGGAGAAGCTGAAGACAAAAAAAGGTGAAGTAATCGAAGACGTCATTCAGCCCGCCTTCGAGTAAAGTGATACCAGCTTTGCTAATCTCTTGGTCCCAAATTATAAGAGGAACATAAAGATTTTCATCTTCAATGACCAGTCAGTATTTTTATTTGAATTCAGCTTGGTTTTTTGTGTTAAATGTGCACAGAAGTCGGATGTAGTATAAACAGCCTCATCGCAGGTTTTTAGGCGTGAACTGTGAAAAGACCTAAAAAACGTTTTCTTGCGATTGAACGAACTCCCGATATAACGAATTATTTTCAGGTTCCCACGCACTCACGATATAACGAACTATGAATTATGTTCTAAAATGCAATTTTTCAAAAGTATCAGGGTTATGTCAGAAACGAATTACGCAGTCCTCGTGGATTTATTTGAAAGACAAGAAGCTGTTATTTGAAGCAAAAATGTAATTTGATAATGTCACAAACCAACATGAATGTATTCATCCAATTAACACTCATTTAAAAGGTCCACTTGATTCTAATTACACTTATCCAGATCTCCCAATGCAAAAATATCGTCAAGAGATTACAATTTTTCCCCATTAATTTTGTTGAATCGGCCTTTGATGGAATAATGTCTAGACAAAATTATCCAACCTACACACTTCCAAAGTCATTTTTCATATTTAGCTTTAAATGCATCCAATCCCAATGTCTTTAAATGTATCCTATTGGATATTACTTGGCATTACATTTTGATGACAACACACTTAACCACAGCTTATAACCAGCTCGCATCTTTGAATCCTACAAATTGCACCCTTAGACTCGTCTATTAACCCTTTGATTAACCAATTTACTAGCTATGTCTAATATTCCGGTAATTGGCCGTCAAAGAACCCGTTTACACTGCCCCTTTCAAAAACGGAACCGTGACGGTACAAAATTCGTTCGCATTCATACCAGGGTCAAAACTGCCTGATAGCAGAGCAAAATTAGCAAAATCATCCCGGTTTCACAAGGGCGAACTACGACCGTTTTGTCACGGTTCCAAAAATGTAGCCAAATTGGATCCTGAACCAAAAACAGTTTCCTGAGACAGAGACAGATTCTAGACTGATTTAAGCCATTCTTATAGAGAGATCCTGCCTTGAGTGTTAGAACATAATTGATTTGTTTGTTTGCGAAAATAATTGCCAGGCTTGTAGTAACTACATTAACTACAAACAATTTCGTCGTGAAAAAATTTCGGACAAATATTTTGACGAAAAGTTCTTGGACTAAATTCAAAAGGAGACGAAATTTTATCACGACGAATTTTTTTGCAATTAAGATTTTTGAGAATTAGCATAGAAAATCTATTACGTGAGGTCAAAATTCAAATTTATGTATCCTTTTAAACCATTCGATGTCAATTACGTCATTCTATTCATTTACATCATCTTCATAATTATCTTTATCGTAGGTATCATCATCATCATTTTGTCGGTTCTTGAACTAACTTCTTTTTCACCATCGTTCTATAAAAATAGTTCTAACTCAGTGGCTTAGCGAGGGGGCGGACACCACCCCCAATGGCAAAAAATATCTTTGGTTTGGTTGGAAAAGTGCGTTATCTTGTGTCCAAAACGGTGTGGACCCCAATGTTCCTTGCTCAAATCGTCTTTGTCCAACCCAACCCCTCCTCCTCCAATCTTACCACTCTGGCTACCCTACTGTTCTAACTGTGTTTTCTCGCCGGTTTCAAAGGATTCGACCTCTGTCTTTTTAGGAGGTTCATTCTTTTAAGGTATTTGCACTTTTCAGCCCAAATTTTTAACTCTACAGGAAGCACAATTTCGAGAACCATTTCTCGTGTTGGAGATGGTCTTATTTTTTCCGTATCTTATACTTATATTGACAGTTATACTTTAAAATATACTCGTTGAATGCTAAAAGCATCATCATTTTTTACCCCACTTTCATAGCCTATTCCAAGGGAAATAAGCTGCGGGGGCAAACCTTAATATATTTCAGGAGAAGGATAATGGCCTATTGTGAAATATACCACTTTAATTTGGTGCTCCTGACATGCGGTTTTGTGTGAAAAAGCTGCCTGTGGGGTTGAGCCGAATTCCGAACGGGAACTCAAGCCCCTAAGTCTCCACGAAGTCGGTACCTATGGGATTGAACATAAAGCAACCTGTATGGTTTTGCCTCTTAAGATTTTGGTAATATGTTGCTATGTTTGTGTTGAAAATCCACGACGATATTTTGCCACGACGAAATTCTGAAAAGTTGTCGGAAATTTTTTTCGACGAAGTTTATCCGCCGAAAATTTATCTGACGAAAATTTTTGTTGTTAATGTAAATGGTCTCGATATCCTTAAGATTTTAAAACAGAATTCTGGCCACACAAAGAGATCGCCTTTAGCTGGGAAGTATAGTTTCTCGTAGGATGCTACAATATAAATGCTAAAATCAGCCTATAAAACAAATCTTTCACTCTTAATTGCCGTCAAATGATAAACATCAGTGGCGGAGCCACGGGGGGAATGGGGGTACGATTCCCCCACTGTTTCAGAAAGTTGGTCCTTGAGATTCTTGCAAATCTGATGAGAAAACATGGGGGGTATACATTATCTGGATCGTCAGAAGCTGATTTTGGTGTGAAGCCATAACATTATTTTCCATGTACAATTATCAACTTGTCAGTAATTTTGTAGAGTACCTTTCTTTGTTTCTTGCTATTTACTAAAATGCTGTAAAACCTTTTTTTAATATGCAGCGAGAGAGATGTTTCCAGCATAATTGACTTATCAACTCTTCGAAACAATCGAGGAAGCTGATCTTATAGTCCATAATTATAAACAGCTAAAAACTTGGTTTATCGATTAAAACTTGGTATCTTTTCAAAAACTTTTGTGAACTATTTTTACCTTGAACAAATCGTTGCATAAGATTTCGTGACAGTAAAGCTTTTGAAAAATTTTACTAGTAGCACTTGATCATAGGTCTTTTCATGATTTTTACACACCTAAAGTTTTTATTTAAGTTTCAGGCAATAGTGTTCATTACCATCGGTAAATTAAATAGCAGTTCTTGGTTTCTAAGGAAGAAAATGCTTCTCGCGGGAAAAGGGCGTGGTCCACAAGAGCGTGGTCCCGGATCCCCTTTTGTCCCTCCCGTTTTTTGTCCTTTTGTCCCAGCCCGGGCTGGAGCCGCCACTGATAAACATGAATCTTCACATGAAAATAGGCTCACAGTTTTCTTATTTCTTGTATAGTACATGCTGATTTATTAAATGAATAAACGTTCACATTGCTCTATAACTCTTGTCCATGCATGAAAATTAGACAGAACAAGTTTGATTATTTAGGTGAGGATCCACGCACTTTTTATTCTTCATTTTTAAATGGCAAGTCTTGATGTAAGTCACCGCCTATGTTCTGGTGTATAGAATTTCCCAATTCAATGTTCCTATTCTCGTCCCTCCAAACCCTGGCCAAACAACTATAAACATCTACACAAATATAGATGTCTCTTACAGTTTGCTGATGATTTCATTACGTGTAAAACTCGGAGCTGCAACTTAGAATCGTCCTGTTCTATACACCAAAGCGCCTGTCTAAATACATTAAGTTATTTAGAAACAAATAATAATCTAAAACCGGATTCCTAAGGAAGAAGAGGAGTAGAGTTATAAAACTGAAAGATCTCAACTCAGCAACATAGCAATCAGACATATCCTAAATGATCATTATTTGTAGTGTCTTGGTATTTCCTCTCTATGTGACCACACCTCGTTATTCTTACGCCTGGAACTACAGCAAGCTGGCTCTCCTTACTTTTAGTTAAAGTTGGTCATGGCAGGGGCTCGAACCACAAACCTTGGATATGCAGTCAGCGACCCTAACCATTGAGCCATCCTTGCACTTAACATGTAGCTCCTTTTGACATATACTACATACTATAGACTTATACTATAGACTTATACTATAGACTTATACTATAGACTTAATAGTATGTAGACTTAAACGTCGTTAATGTTAGCTTGTAGTCGCCATCAAGAAAATGCCTGTCAAAGGGCTTGATACTACACTAGAGTTTTGAAAATCTTTCTATTGCATCTCACTTCCTTCCCCTCCCCCAAAACAAGATTGTTTTATGCAAAGTGAAGAGGTTCGGTATAGTCCAATGAAAATAAACTCAAAAAATCTTTTGGTGGTACAAAACTTAAAAATGGCTTTGGGAAAAGCAAAGATATGAGTAGACTAAAGCTTTTCGTCTGACACTCTTTAGAGTCTAAAACGTCAGAACATAGATCGAAAATTCTACGCCAGGGAATGTCTATACCCAGTTGGCGTACTTCGTTCCACAACTGGGTATAGTCCTAGCGTAGAGTTTTTAGATCTTTGTTCTATAAACTATTGTAAACAGCACTTCAGCAACTAGGAGTTTAGGAGGACGATTGGCAGGGATTGAAGCTAAGACAGCAAAGAATATTTGGTCTATTCGTTCAGCTGGTCGAGGAATACAAATTTGAACATACCAAATTTAAACATAAGCAGTAGAAATTTCAAACAGGTTGAGTGAAACCTCAATTTTTGCAAATGAGTTCTGAACAGAATGATTTCGGAAAAAGGGAATTCTCATGAAGGGCCTGAACAAAGTACCATCATCAAGAAAATACGAAATCGACAAAAACAGGTTTTGATGAAAATAACAGCTCCGCGAAGTTCTCTTAGAACCAAGGATCACTTTGTTGAACAAAAGACTCTGGCAGCTTCGCACGCCTGTTGCAGACTGAACAAACACTGAGACAACATTACCTGAAGATGATCGCAAGAATGTACATAAAATTAAGATTACATACAATAGGCAAACCTCGCTAGTTTTGATTGACATTGAAAACACTGAATTTGGAAGCCATGTAACATTCTGAAGTATATGAAATATCGCACGCCAAGATAAAGCAGCTAACCAATTCGCCACTGTCAATGTTCGTTATGAAACTGCCACGAATTTCGGGTTGAGAAAACTTAAAGATTAGATTGGAAGTTCAAAATTGACATGCACATCTGCGGCCTGTGCGAGTTCGACGATGCTGGCAAGTTTAACAACCTGCAAAGAATGATATTACCAATGAAAGTAATAAACGAAGCAAATTTTGCTCAAACTTTCAGCTGAAGGGTTGCTGCAAATTGACTATACTTGTTAAGGTAGATAATTAGGGAAAAAAGCAACCTGATAAGATATAATTTATATTTTTAAAGTTCAAGAGAAATATTTGAACCCTAACGTCCAGGCTACTTGGAAACAATTTCCATGAGGTCTCAATGGAGATACTATTTGACTTCCATAAACGTCATAGCCAGTCATCCAGCACGCGATAATCATAAACTGTTTAAAGGCAGTGGCCCCAAACCAGAATGTGCCAAAAACTCACAGTTTCCTATCTGGATGAAAACCTAAAAAAAACATAAAAAAACGGAGCAATAGGTAATGGCTAAAATGTTACCAAGATACTTACTAATCTTGCAGCATCTTCTAGATTATCTACAGGTAAAATTCGAAGTCCACTGGTGGCAATGAGTGCCTTGGCATCATCGACTTTCGTACCTGTGGAGGTTGGGATGTTGGTTATAAGCGCAGAAAACTTTTCTCTGTTAGGTCAGCTGATAAAGGCTGACCTATCTATGGCAAAATGCAGTATTGAACGACACAGATAACAAGGACAATCGGTTAGGAGCAAGTCAACATTAAAAAGTTATTTATTTTCAGATTTCTAGAAGATTTGTTGAATCATTTAATACTGTTGAGCTTTCTGGTAACCAAATCAAGAGCTGTTACTTTAAAAGTTAAAATGTATATCAATCTTTCAAATGCTGAAAATTACTGTATAGCGGTCGGCGATAAAGTGTTCCGTCCAATATATGCAGGACTATGTATGCTTTCCTGCCATGCTTAACACACCAAAACGTATATGCCTAAAATATATAATCCTAACGAGAGAAAATACTTTCTACGCACCCTGCAGCCTTACGACAAGTGGTATTGACAACTTCAGGCTTTTGGCTGCCTCTATGATACCTTCAGCGATGACGTCACATTTCATGATACCACCAAAAATGTTCACAAGAATTGCTTTGACCTGCATTTTGTTTGATATGATTACTGACAATGAAAATCTGTCCAACAGAAATTATCAACAGCATCCAACAGAAATTAACAACAGCCACACTTAGTTATTGTTGCTTGCTATACCTCAGTCAATTTGCATCATATTTTCTGATTTTTTAACCTAAACAACATTTAATGGTGTGCTTTCAAGTTATGAGGGCTGATTGTCAAAAATTGAAAAAAAATTGTATTTTGATGAAGTCACATTTTCGTACCCTGTTAAAATGTTTTTACATTTCTTCGAATACGATTGCCAAAAAAAATGTTCATTCTTAGCAATTAATCTTTATAACTGGTAGATATTACGATGATAGTGAGGTAACTCCTTAGCAATTTAATTTATGGTTTTAGCCGATTCTTTATGTAAAATAACGATAATCGAGGTTTAATTATCATCTTGATATATATGAGCATATAGTTGGTGCTGGTCAACCAAAAAGAAGGCCAATTTGAGATAACAAAATATTAAAATGCTTGAAGAAGTGTGTTCAGGATAATTGAAACTAGGGTGTTTATAGCATCAAAGTTATCGTTGTTTTGATTACACAAAACGGCTTACATGTTTATCTGAGCTAATGAGCCTAAATGCCGTCGTTACTGCATCTACAGTTGCTCCTCCGCCAACATCCAGAAAATTAGCAGGCGATCCACCATGTAACTTTATAATGTCCATTGTTGCCATGGCAAGACCTGCACCATTTACTAGAAAAAGACAAAAAGCATAAAGCAAATGCATGATGCATAGTAATTGAGATAAAATTTTGCCATGGAGCGTGAATCTTTTGAACAAAACGTAAAACCATTAGAGTATAGTTAAAACTCATTGCTAACAATGAGCCACTGCCCTGCGCAAGCATCCCATAATGCATTTTCAGACAGTCCTAAATCAATTTTGGATAATCTATAGAAGTTTGCTGCAATTGTTAGCAATAAGTATTTAAACTCCAAAGTTGTGTAGCTCATTTCAAAGGCAGCAACGATGAAATTGAAGAGCAGCTGATATGGTTCTTTTTTAAATACAAATATATATATATCAATGTTATAAAAAACGCCGTAAAAGATGCAAAAACGTCTCGAACCTAAACATCCAATGGTACCCTGAAGCCCTATGTAATTCAACTGCTTGAGCGATGCCTCAACCTCCCTTGGATCTTCTTGGCTTGGATCTCTGAGTGCTTCGATTTCCGGATGACGATACAAGGCGTTGTCATCGAAATTGATTTTGACGTCCATACAAACCACTGGAAAACAATAGATAGTACAAACATACATACACAAGTTTCTTCTGTTATTTCATACTACATACACTTCGTTGATTGACATTACTTGGTCGTGCACTTAAAGAGCTGCTACTCCAGGCATTTGTGAATGTAATTGCAAGGCAACAAAAATGCCTAGCATGCAAATAGCATTAAGGTCTGTTTAAGAAATAAAAAGATTTTCATGTGTTGAAAACCATTGAAACGTAAAACATGACTAACAGAATTTATCTTGTAATCTTTTAGTTAAGCAATTATATCTGTCATTGAATGACATGAGTATTCTTTGATATTAAGATATGGAGAAAGATTCATGATATTAGAATTATGCGAATTTTTCACGAATCTTGTAATGCATAATGAATATTAGACTGTGCAGTTCATCATTTGTGAAATCTACGAGTTGTCACTGTTGCTGCAAAAAATTGTCGCTGTATACCTTCGCCCGAGGAGATCTCTGTCAGCGGGTTGATTTCAATTAATGTGCAATCCTTCTCAATAAATAAATTGTACAATTTGACAAAAATGTCGGCTGCAGGCTCAACACAGTGTGGACCAAAGCCCATTTGGCAAGCGAATCGTATTGCCTGGTCCATGCTTAGCCCTAGGAAAAATTTACAAATCAAGTAATACACAAATCAATCAAAAACTGCTTTATGAAAACTTTATCCATCTTGGTGGGATGTGCAGAGTGAAACCTGGGGATATTTGGAAAACTGGGCCTAACACGCGGAAACTGGGACTCAGGCAATCTTAAAAGAAAAAGTAGGTATCTTTAAAACTCACAATAAAACTAACCATTGCTATGATGATGTAACAAAAGACAAACTATGTTTAGCTGAGAAACTTTGCGATACTTGGGTTAAAGAGGGTTATATGGTAATGCCCTGTTTATCGTTACAGATGAAACCCAGAATAATTGTTTGAGTAAAGGAGAAGTACACATACCATCGTCAATATTGACCGGGTCAGTTACGATGGAGTCAGTCATTTCTTCAATGTTCACCCCACCGCTGCTGCTGCCAATGATAAGCGGACCCTGAGAAGAATCGCACCAATATCATTCAACCATGAACTCACATTGGGGTTACTGACAGATTATTTTTCATAAAGAAACTTCAAACTCAGCTTATTTCCAAACACAAACAAACGCACACATAGTAATAAACAAAACGTTACTAAATTGAAAACTCGAAGCAATTCTTAAACCATGCATTAGATTGACAGACTGGCTAAATTATAGACGGAGAGAGAGAAAATTGGAAGCAGAGAAACGAATAAAGGGAACTATCTATTAATTTGTTAAATTTTCATTGGTATAAACAGAAACATTTTTTAACTTTTTACGAGAAATTTTAAACTTTTCTTTAAAAGATATTTTTAGAAAAATTGATCATTACATAGCGGGAGTAGCATTGCATACTTAGTACTCTCTGTCCGACACTTTCAGAGCATAAACATTGAACGCAAATCTGTTCGGATCATGACTAAAACTCCTCAGACCTTACTTTTCGATCAGCTTCTGGATATAAATGTCTGCTTACTTTAAGTCACTACCCAACGTCTATTTCTGAGGACCAGAAGTACTTAAGTAATTTGCAAATCTCAGAAATTCTAGGCAACATAGTCCAATTGCCCAATCTGATAATTTCCGTGAAATATCAAAATTGTGTAGTATAATTAAATAGGAAAACAATTTTCATCTGGCAGTTTTGGAATCGATCTACATACAAACGAAAAAGGCTGCTATTGTGTAGACAGAAGGAGTTCGTATTCTCTCTTGGACTCCATTGCTAATTTTTCTATAGGCACGCAGCACTGATTGGACAACTATGCTTATGGTCATGTGCTTGCGTTTTTCTGATTGGCCTATTTCGATCCAAAACTGGGTATATATTTTCCATCGTGTTCTTTCGGACCCTTATTCTGATGTTTTATGCTCTGAGGAGTGCCAGACGAAAAAGCTCTAAGTAAGCTGTGAAATGATTGCTTTTTTCAAAACCACTTACAATTATATAAGAAAATGTCAAAAACATTATCACAGTAAGCACAAATGAGTCATAAAATGATAAGGTATGGAGACAAACGGTCATCACCTTTGCTTTCCTGTCTTGTGTGATTGCAAAATAATACTCTCTTCTTGGGTACAGCCGCTCACAAACAAGAATCTTGAGTATAAGAAAAGAAATGATAAGATTAAAACCCTAGAATCCCCTGATAAACAACTTGAAATTTCAAGAACCTGAAAAGCTTCACAACAAGAAATAAAAAAATGGGTCATATTAAACAATTAAAGTATTTAAAACTTGTGTTTGAACTTACCGCGAAAATGCAGAGACATATCTTAATAAAGCACTTTTCGTCTGACAAAATCAGAGTGTAAATGTCGGATAATGTCAGAAAATAAACAGAAGACTGACTTGTGCTTTACATGAAGAAATTTTCTTTACTGTAACAGAAAACTATGGTAAAATTGCCAACAGCAAAAGTAAATTTGAAAAGCCTATTCGAAAAGGTATCAAACTGCAAGTAATGTAGAGAAAATTTAAACGAATAATCTGGAGACAAACAGTAAGCCTAAACTATCCACTGCTGGTCAACAAAATGTCACTTATTCGGAAAGATATTATTAGGAGAAATGCTTACTTCATTACAAGGTCTGCCCATCTCTCCAGTCTGCTTCGTTACTAAGGTTTTCCCTAGCATATGCTTTGAATAGTCTCTAACCTCATCTGGTCTGCAAAAATAAATAGAAAAAATAAAACAAACTTATCTTGCATGCTACAAAGATTCGATACTCTTACAAAAGTCAAGGTTGATGAAAATATAAAACATGGAGGCAGAAAGGACATGGGAGCTACACGTTATGCTAGACGCTGCAGCCATATGTATTTATACAGCTTGAAACCAGGGGTGTAGTGCAAGGCCAAAAAGAGAGCACTACACCCCTGCTTGCAACTGCCTCCACATCAGTTGCAAACTAGACTACAAAGCGATATAGTTTAGAAGCAAGTGATAGGCTAAAATTGAACATAGTAAAATGGATCTTTTCTATTTACTATGAATGGAGCTAGCTTGCATCACAGACAAAATCAAATATCAATTTGGTTTGTCTTATGTGCAACAAAACTCTGTCCCATCACGTGAAAAAAAACCAAAAACTCTGGGAGAAGATGATTTATGTAAGAAAGCAGTAAGAAAGCTTTTCCAGAAATGTCTTTTCCGCTCTGTATGTTAACAAAAAGTTGGTAAAATTTTAACCAGCTCCCATATCTGATCTTTTTTTACAATCTAAAACATTTCTGCTGTTTGATCTTCAATAGGCTTCAGGAACAATGCACTTCGTCTACCATAGATACATGGTGTTTCTGCTTGTCTCCGGAGAGGGTGAACCTATCTATGGTCAAATCTCTTCAAACGTTTACATGATAACAGCAGCCAACCTGGGTCATTCCTTCTCGACGGTAGGGTTGACCAATTGAGACGGGTTTCTGAAGTTTTCTGATGTGAAGTCGAGCCAGTTAAACCCCGGTTAGTGTAAACATTTCAAAGTAGCAAATTTGGGGTAATTGTTACATTTGAGCTAACAAGTTAAGCTTATCCAGATGAGGTCAACCATCTAAAGAAACCACGACCTGGGCTCATGTAAACATGGATTTTTTACTACGGCCTGTTGATCTGACCTGGAGTGGAATCCACCCCATACTGATGTAAACAGGACCATGATCTGTTAAGCAGGCTACAGAAAGATGAGCTTTTACAGAAATGATTGGTGGGGAGACCATAATTTTGTACAAGTCAGTCATTTCCATTTCCCTTTTTATTTTAAATTTCAACCATCTTTAATAATTAGGAAAACTTTCTTTCTTTTAATCTTAAATGCAGGAAACAATGTTCGAAAAATAACACAGAATATCAGAACAGCAACTAGATTAAGCAATAAAAGTGAACACAAAAATTAAAAAAAAACATAGAAATGAAAAAGGGACTAAATATTCATGAACAGTAGCACGAGATATAGATTAGCCAACTTTCAATTGAAATATTGTCTAGCATAAAAATTCAGAATCAGCTGAAAGATACATTATAAGGAAAGTTGTATGGCAAATCAAACATACGAATAGACAATCTTGATTCCTTTGTGTCCAGATTCAAATTCTCCTTTTCCTCTACCACCAGCCAAAACTTGCGCTTTCACAACATAATCATTGGATTCTTCAAGAGAAAGATACAATGTTAAATGATACAATTCTAAAAGAAAATATAGTTCTCAAACTATTGTTTTTTAATAATTTAGTATAAGATTTATGAAGGGCAATTTGCAGAAAAAAATCAAGCTCCTCAATTTACAAATGCTCTATCTACCAGAAATTTGGATGGCACAGAGCAAGTGAATAGGTAAATCACAATAGAAATAAAACTATATTCTGTTGTCAACTATAATGATATTATATTGTTACACAGTAATAAAAGACTAAGGTAGATTCAGTTGGTTCTCATCAAAAAGGGTAATGGAAAAAATGAGTTCAAATAGCTGGTCCATTATGTGTTGAGGAAGAGTGGGTTTAAGACGGATGAAGGAAAAGTGCAAACAGTTCAGTTATTGCAAAACTAGATAAGACAGAGCTATTGAAGAAACTAATAATGGTGATAGGTAAACACATGCAGCAGACTTACGCAATTCCTGGGCAGCAAGGAAAGCTTCTTCTGGAGTTTTGGCCACTTTTCCGTTTGGGACTTTTATGTTAAGATCCTCAAGAATTTTCATGCTCAAATACTCATGAACAGACAGTGATCTTTGCTGCTGTTTCTGAGATGACCATTTTGATGCCAGCACATTTGCACCACCAAGGGATCCCTAGAATTAGCATAACATTAAAAGAAGTGTCTTTGGTAGAGGAAAATCAAAGGATATTAAAGATTGTAAGTTTCTGATCTACTGGGTGCATTTTATTTTATGGGCTGATAATCCTTAACAAAGGATCCTAGAAGATCCACAAATGCTGCCACATTTACGGACTGCGCAATATTGATGAGTATCCTGTCCACAGTTTCCACCAGGATCTGGTGGTAATTTATGCAACCCTTAAAAATTATGCAATTAGCTGAAATTGACAATGGTTCCAGCCTTGTAAAACTTTGAACTCTTCATGCACCATCTACAACCTGTTTAGCTTCAGTGAATATTTCTTCAAAAAGATTTTTCTTGCAAAGTGTGAATGGTTTCATTGCATAAAATTAATTTCATAAACTAGACCCAGCCCTCTGTCTGGACAGAATGTTTATCAATATTGCAGAGTCCATAAACATAGCAGCATTTGTGGACTGGAGCGCAGACTAAGAAGATCACACAAACTTTTAAAAAAGTGCTATGGACTGGCCAGGGGTACGTTGCCTGTGTTAAAATTTATGTAGATGCCCAACCAGAAAATGAAGTAATAACAAAAACAACAATCATGTTAAGAAGTGAAGTTAGTTTTCAGAAATTGTTCTCTAGAGGTTAAGCAGGGCTGGAGGTCCACTTGGGTTGTGGAGATCCTCAAATTCATATTTTCAAGCAAATCTTACTTTTTCTCTTGACTGCTGTATGGTCATTAAATTCATTCTGTCAAGACTTCAGCCTTTTGTGAGGAAAATCACAAATTGTATTGAGGCTATCTTCTAAGAATTTTTGCAAGATATTCTTTTAACCACAACAAATTTTGTTAGGCACACAACCATTTATAGGCCCTTTTTAGATACACATTAGCTTTTCCACTTTAAGCAGACCTCTCTTTTAAGTAAGGTCTAGAAAGAAAGATTCTGATTCAATAAACACAGTAAATGGTTGCTTGCTGTGTTATTGGGCTTCTAGCAGCAAAAACTATGCAGGCCATCCTCAGGAAAGGTGTGCGATTGCACAGGCACACCTTGGCACCCAATTTGTTTTCCCAAGAAATGCAGTTTGTCGCACGCCTTATCAAGGCTATGAGTTACCACCTTTAGATTTACCATTCTTAGGCCCTGTTTAAACGATAACACTTTTTATTTCATATTGTATTTAGTTTCCCAATCTGACACAAAATGTTTGTCTGTTTACTTGTTGCCGTTTTCATTTCATTTTGGATTTGGAGTGCACCAGAGCGCAATACTGCGGGGGGTTTGGCTTAATTGTGAGACAAGGTACGCATTTTGCCACGCGCCTGCTTTTCGGAAACAAGTGATATCGAGCACCTCAACTGTTTGCATTGTGTAAAGATTGATTTTCATCAGAAAATTTTCGTATTGCTCCAGGAATCAATTTTCAATAACAGCATTCACCATTTAGAGAATCGCATGACATGATTTACATGTTAATCAATGGAAAACTGCCTTGCAATCACAGTAAGTGTTGATGTGTGAGGATGAAGCCGCTTTAAGTGTGCATCACCACTGTTATCATTACAGGAAATAATTATAAATTAAAAACATGTTAATAGTTTCAGACCTTCCTGTCAGGAAAATGAGCCGGGTTACTACAATAATGTTGCTTGTTCTTATCTTAGTCATTCATTCAAGCATCAATGCATGTAGAGATTGATAACAATATTTTGTAAGTGGTGGGCTTTTTGAAATGGCGGATAAGTGGAAGGGCAATCCAGTTTAGTTTGTAACTTTTCAAAAAAATTGAAAAGACCATGTGGTCGGGTTAAAACTGAAGAAAAACAACTTACCACTGCAAACAGTTCTATGAAAGGTTTGATGGTAATCAACTCAAACGACCGACTATGGACGCCCTTGGGGAGGAAAATGGTTGCAAACCATGCTGTTTAAGTATACTTGGAGAGGAGGAGGAAAATTTGCCTTGATCAGGTTGGCAAAAGGCCTGTCAAAGAAGAAATGCTTGTGTACCGATCAACATCATCTGAGTCATCCGATGATGCAAAATACTTATCATAATATTATTATTCATAATATATCAAATGTTTAATCTAAGAATATTATTTTTTGATAAAATTTTTGTGATGTATTGGGATCAAAATAATTGAAGCTTATTTTGTGACTGTCTATCACTTGAAAGACAATAGTTATATGCTACTTTGGTTAAACAAAGCTTAAAATCCCTCAGAATGCGGTAACATCCATTTTACTGATGATTCTGCTTTTCCTTGCAATATAAACCGAAAGTTATGAATTGCATGCCTCGATGAAAAATTATGCTACAAGGCGCAAACAGCCAAGAAACTGCTAAAACAATTACGGAGAGGCCTGCTATAGGAGGTCATTTGCTTTCAGTGTGAGCGCTATACTTACATTGTGATATCGGCATCTGTTGTTGACATCTTGCTATTGATGGACACTGTTTTGTTAATTAGTACGGGGTGAGTTCATGTGACCAATTATAGGTAAAGCAATAGCATTGTGGCACAAAAATAATGACAGATTTGGGTACGTTTGGGTAAACCCTGGCCTTTTATCATGACCCAATGCCTTTAATCCACCATACACAGGGAATTAGTTATAAGCTAAAGATTTTTCCACACATGTCTAGTTTAAAACAATTTCCGCCTTCCTATAATTTTGTATGCACACTTCTAACCTCTTAAAAAATTTTCCCTGCCTTCTAATTTCCATGAAGCCCATAAATCAAGTTGGAAAGGTGTTTCTGTATTATTTGCATTTTCAACAGAACAGCCACTGACAATCAAAGTTGAGTTAAGTAAGCAAAGAAGCATGCAAACTTGCTCAAGAAATGGTGAATTGTGGCATCTGAAAAGTCAAGATTTGTGAAGTAACTTACTTTTAACCTGTGAAAAGGATGTGCCAGATTTGGGCTTAAACAAAGGAAATATATATGATATCAGAAAATAAATTATCTGGGAAGCTGCCCAATGACTGCAATTCTTGCAACATTAGGGGTGCGATTATACATGCATGCCTCCAAAAACACCAGATGTGCTTTTTATTGCACAGGCAGTGCAACATTTTGCTTCATAATTCTTTTTCTCTTTCAATTTATTGTTAATTTATTGTTAAAGTTGTTTCTAAATTTGCTTGCATCATGTGTTAACATAAAGACTTCCCAAGGCCATAATCACTCTTTAAGGCCAAAGGGCATAATCACCGCTTTCCCTCACAACCACCCCCCCTCCCCCTCTCCTTGTGTAATAGCCACAAAAACTTATTGCAATATATTATAAAATCCCAAGAGTCCGTGTTTACCATTAAAATCTGGACATGGTTTAAAAACAAAATAACTTATTTTTGAACAAAACAGTGATTTAATGGCAGCTCCCCCTGCCACAACATGAAAAATAAAACTCCAGTTAATTTATATATTTGGACGACAAGTGTTAGGCCTGTTATTAGGCCTCCCGCCCAGATTCTATGAATAAACCTAGAATCGACAGAAAAGTGAACCTTATCCTTAGGTAAACAGAAAAAGTACCTTGAAAGTTTTCAAAATGCCTCTGTCTGCCAACTGGCTGCACCTTCTACAAATTTTCAGTCCCAGAGAGGCCATTTCTATGCCAAAACTTTTTGCCCTGTCAATGGTGACAGGTCTGTAGAGTGAGTGAACCGTTGACCCTCGTTTCCAGGAGACCTCGCTTGAGACCGAGCAGGAGACTTCGCTTGAAAGAGCAGCTGACTATCGAGAGATAAAGAGTTCCTTATCCAAATAATTCCCTCCCTGCAGATTGGTTTGTTTTTATGTTCTTGTATAGCATTTGAATCTCCTGTAACAATCTGTATATTTTTTATTGTTTGTTTCGCTATTCTCACTGGCTACGTAGGACGCCCAAACCCAAAGATTCGGGGATAGGATAAAACAGTATATTCCTTCCAATAGAACTGATCCTCGAAGGGAACAGTCTCCTCGATCTTATAGGTCTAAAACACAATAAAAACTAGTGACACTGCCATCGGACAGCACCTTTTAGACAATTCAGATTGTGCAAAACTCTATAATGCAACATGTTTAAGATAATTGGCAGAGCACGGTCGTCTTATCTTCTAGCAGTTTTGGAATCGATTTGCATACAAACGAAAAAGGTTGCTATTATGTAGAGCCAAACGATCAGGAACTCGATCAGGAATCTACAATGCCTGCCAAAAGTCTTGGAACACTGACATCAATTTCCAAGGTCAAAATCAATGATCCCCCTATCCCCTACAGAACAATGTTGGTTTACTATCAAACGGGTTAGGATTTTAGGAAGCACTTTCTTTTGCGCTTCTTTTATGACATTTCTCTAAATCATCAACATTGTTTTAGGGGGAAGGGGGCGGAAGTAGCAATTTTTTTTTCATGAAAGGAATGAAAGATATCAAATGCAGCGTAAATTGCTGGGTGTTCCAAGTACTTTTTGCAGACATTGTATCTATCTATCATCTGGACGAAATCATTGTAGGTTGAGCTTCTATCATCTATTTTTTGGCTCATGTACATAATCTGGTTTTTTCAGTTTTTGATCTGTCATTTCAAACCAAGAATCACTGCATTATTTGACAGTGGTGGCGCCAGATGGAGGGGGCAGGGGGGGCTACAGCCCCCTCCCCCTCGGAAGATATACGAAGAAAATCTATAATTTTGTCGGAGCAAGATTTTGCTACCGTTTGTAAAATTTTTTGCTAATCTGGGTTTGGGGGGGGCATGGATAGAAATATAGCTTTTTCTATACCTGCCTTACGTAATACTGTCAGATCAAGCTGCGCTTATAAGATCTTCAAACACCAATTTCGCAAACTATTAGAGGGGGCATCGCCCCCCCTGCCCCCACCAGTGCCTACGGGCCTCATGATAAAGGTAGAAAATATTGCTCAAATGAGACATTTTCCAGCAAAGTGGAATCATCAAACCTGCGGCAACCATGGTGCCGCCTCAGGTAGTAACTTTCGTGTACTTGTTTATTGCGACACAAGCATCTGCAAGCTAGCAAAGACCAAACCTACCTATATAAAATTGGTCCCTATTCTGTTTAATGATTAAATGATGTCTTTTTCCTCTCCCAGAAAAATTGAGAGCGTTGGGAATATTGAAAAATCACGGGAAAAGATCTACAAAGAGCTTTTTTAATATGTCTGTTTTCTTTTAGGGACATTTTGTTAAAAAAGTGAGTCCCCACAAAAATTAATAATCCCGTTTTAAAGATCTGCTCTTTCTTGTTTGTTGAATTCATATCTTGTCGTAATCTCAATGTTTGTGCGTCCTTTTCAACTGGGATTCCATGTTTTTACTCCGATTGCCGAGCCCCCTGTCGGAAGGTCAAGCCCCTCCTTCGGAGAATTTCTAGCGCCACCACTGTTATTTGGTGGATGCGGCTTATAAGCAAGGGCCGCGCACATTCTTTTATGAGCCCAATTTGCTGTGGCTTATAATCGAGGGTGGCGTATATAAACAAGGGCGGCTTACAATCGAATAAATACGTTAACTTGTTTTTTACCCAAGAGCCAATCACCACTTGCTTGACCTATGCAAGTGTCTTATAAGCCAATGTGTATTTTCCGTCTGCAAGATTCAGCGCGAGTGTAGATTTCATTTATCAAATAAGAAGCCGAGATTGCTTTTGCTGCGTTAGATGCAACCAGTAGGAACCTGACCCATGCAATTGTTTGCTGTAACCAATCAAATGAAAGTTGACAATTGCTGCATCACCGTTAAAGTGTATACAACTACGGGTTGCCTTGGTTCGACTCCAAATTGTAAAGCTACTGAAGCCTCAAAGAACAGAATGCCGAAGGAATAAGGTGATCTTACAACCTTATGTCAGTTGTGATGACGACAGCAAAATCGGCTATTAACGTCTACAAGTGCGGCATATCTTTCGAACTTCCTAAAGCCATGGCCAAACGAGTCAAACATCGGCATAAATCATCATCCAACATTGTTGGATAAAACATGTTTTGTTTGTCTGGCCACTACGTTTTACGGTGTTTTACGATGTTCAACGATGATTTGCGATGTTCAACGATGTTTTACAATGATTTGCGATCTTTTATGATGATTTGCGATGTTTTGCGATCTTTTGCGATCTTTTGCGATGTTTTGTGATGTTTCGTTCTCTTGTGTTCATCTTTTGGTTACTTATGTTGGATCAACAATGTTGCGTTCGTTTGGCCACCCCTTAAAGCATTTGTTTTACTCACGCAAGCGCGGTAGGTTGAAATTCGGTAAATAAAACAAACTAACCGTAGGAAGCTGTGCAGCAGCGCTTGATCGCCACAGATGACTTTACAATTGTTTGATTCGTTTTACTAGGTCATAAAACATCGTGCAACAATGCTGGTACAACAATGTTGGGCAATTTTTTACGGATGCTTGATTCGTTTGGCCAGGCCTTAAGTAACAAAACGGTGTGCAAATATTACCCTTGAAATGCACTGACTTTTCAAAATAGATTTTCACATCTGATTTTACGTGCTTGTCAAGTTTTAGCTCGTCTTCAAGAGTTATCCCAAGTAATTTAACAGATTTTGCTACATTAATTAATTTGTTTTGTATTTCTAAGAAAATTCGCGACGTTTTTTCAGGCTAAGGAACATCACTTGAATTCTTCTTTTGCATGCATTCTATTACCTTTTAACAAGTCAAGAGCTCTAGAGATTTAATCCTCAAGTCTTGTCGCCGCTGTTCCGAAACTTTGCCACATCCACAGATAGCATTATCGTTCTGCAAAGTTGCAGACATGAAAATACCTAGCTAAAAAGAATTCATTAACAAAAATTTTAAAGAAGAGTGTACGGAGAACTGAGCCCTGCGGAACTACTGACAACATCTCCTGGCATTCGCTAAATTTTAAACCCACTTTCACACGTTGTTTTCGGTGTTAGCGATAGACTGTTTAGTCCAAACCCATACGCTACAAGTTCAGCTTTGAGTTAATTTCGTGGGAGATGTGCCTTAAAGCGGATCTACACTAGACGATTTTTAAGACGATCGTCATCGCAACAGCTCATGCGTAGTAGGCAAAAGCGTACCGTCGCGACGAACCTTTTATCTTGACGAAAAGTAAAGTAGAAAAGTTCAACTTTCGTCAGACCTTTGACGGTCGTCGCAATATTAGCCAATAAATTCAAATGAATTTTCAGATTGGTTGTCAACGTATCTCCAAGTTGAATGGATTGAGATAAATAGAAGAAGAAAGTCACTCCTCAAACAGCATTATACCGTTTATTTTGAAGCTCAAGATCTGTGGCACACGCTTCTACCAATCGGAACTGCTTTTACCGCGCTATTACACTTATTTGGGCGAAAGTTTGCCTTTTTTATGAAAAAACGGTGAGACGGAAGCCAGCTTTCGTTCACCGGGGAATTAATATATCTTAAAAAACACCCTGATATCAGTTTAACGATTTCAACGGGAATCCCAACGCTGGTCTTTTTGGAGTTGTTTAATTTATTGATTTCCTCCCAAACTTCCAAGGGATTGACATTTTTGAATTCATTTAATTTGTTTCCAGTCCTGTATGTTTTACTTTGACGATACATGGATTACGTTAACGTATATGAATTCACCGTTAACACAACAACACAACATGAAGCTGCAATTTTGACGTCACCAAAAGGAGTACGACAGTTTACTGATCTGACGTAATTGCGATTTGCATGTCGTGCCTTCATTTCTTTCAAACCATGTCGTGAGGATCGTAAACAACGACATACTTTGGCATAATGGCAGATGTCCCCAAAGTAGACAGCCGATTCGATAAATCTTTGAAACAGAATCTTCACCACTCCTTTGTAGAGCTAGAGAGCTTTACGAGAATTGATAATGGTTTCAAGTGGGTGGAAAGAGCCCGCTGGATAAAATTCGAAGAAGATGTCGATAATGTGACAAACCAATGGTGCCAGCCGTATGTACCAGTGCTATCGCTGAAAGCGGTATCCGAGCTCAAGGCATGTCTTCGGAATGGATCTGTTTGCATTGGACTGCAGGATTCATGCATGATGTCCATATCTAGAACAATCGTTCGTAAGATGCTGGAGCGCCATCTTATAGCTCCTGAAAATGCAAGTCATCTTGAAAGTGTTCTTATGGCAAAGCACAAGCACGTCAGAAAAAAAGCTGACCCCCCGAATCTTGGTCAAAAATGGTTGTCTGCAGTGCGTGGAAAATATCCTTCTTCAAGAAGAAATACGATTGTTTCATTGGAGCTGCAATCGGTTTACAACATGCCAACGTATGTTGCTATTTCAAATCTTCTGCCTGAGACAAAAAACTCTTGTAAAGACCAGCGGTGGAAAATTATTTTGTTATTATTTGATACGACCAAGAAAATTATTTAACCATTTAAATAGAAAAAAAGGCCATTCCAACAATGGACTATAAAGATTCTTTCTGCTTACCCAATCACTTAACACGCTTCTTTTCCACTACTGATAGGGCTCGGGCGCACTTGTATCAAAGTTAAATGATTACTTTGTCTAGCCTAGACTGAGATCAGACTAGAACGGATCTAAAGCTTTGACAAACCTGGAAATCAAGGTGAACTTTTTCAACTTGGACAAACAGCGGGATCATTTCCGTTGTCATGAGTTCGTCCTGCTTCAAGGCATGTTGTAAATCGATTATTAATGGAGGGCCACCAAATAAAGGCAAGGTCACAGAAGCAAGCTGCTCGACGGACAGCTCTGATGAAACTCCAAATTAATTTACGTGTGTTCTGTGTTCTCTTTGGTCCCGACAATGTTGCTTGAAATTTTGTTGATTTTTTGTCGTCGAAACATGGTGGCCAAACTGGGCAACATTGTCGTGCAGCATCTTTGCTGATGTTGTCAAAACAGCGCGCCAAATTTGAATTGATAAGTGGTTTTAAAAGTTTGGATAAGTATTGCTGAAAGAAAGCAAGCTGCAGCCACTGGAAGCTGATTTTGACACATCACAACACCATCGTGTTGCTTTTAGCACTCTTTGGTTGAGCACTCGTAGAAGCAGTAGCATTAGGCTGATTTGTTGTTTTCAAGAACTTGCACTTGGACTTGTTTCAGGCGAGATATTTATATTCTTCCTGAACTATTCTTCCTCTCCATGGTTTCTTCCCATTCTGCAAAATCAACTTCGAAGCTTAAATCTTGACAGGCCATTTTAATTGAATCGAGTTTAGGATATTGTTTTGCAATACAACACTGCGCATGTTGATTTTTTCTCAGATGGGAAATTGAGGTGAATTGTTGCCCGACAATGTGGCCAAACTGGAAAACATAGAGCTGAGCAACAAATGTTGCTGAAAAATGTTTGAGCATGTTCAAACATTCAAGCAACAAATTTCTTAATGAATTTGTCGGCCGACATGGTGGCCAAACTGGACAACATTTGAGCAATATTATGAATTTGTGAATGTTGCCCGAAAAGGTTACCCAGTTTGGCCAAGGCGGAACGCCATAACAGTTGAGCCAAGCTGTGCGGAAGAGGGGTCCTAGGGCATTAGGGTCTGGTTTTTCCAGGATGCCCTGCTTCAAGTTAGGACGACGGAACATTAAATGACAGACGACGGAACACAGCTAGTCTTGATCACTTCTCCTGGTAACTCTGTTTTTCAAAACATTACCATGGACGGCTATACAAATTTTCCAACTTCCTCTAGTTTCCAAGTTTTTGGCCACCTTCCTTAATTTCTCTTTGTTTCGACAACCTTGTGGTGCCATGATGTTTTTTTTGGACTCTGGGATTAGGTGAAAGTTGATAAATTCAGCAAGAACGAATTTTGCTGGGCGCACTAAGAACGTTACATAACAGATTACACCTATTGTTAAAAGACAATAAGGATTACGTTTCATTTCATTTTATAATATTTATACAGGTTAAAGGTTCATACATATGTTTTTCAACCTGACCTGTTTAAAAGATTAAAATAAGAGCTAATAACTATGTTAAAATACTAGTAACAAAAGAAATTTACCAATCAAACCTAATTTACAATATTTAATAATACTAAGGCTATAAAAACGTTTTTATCATCTTCCAAGTGCAAGTGCGCCCGAGCCCATTAAGACCATGCACAACAAGTCTCTAGGGGTGATAAAAGATCACCTCCCTAATGGAGTGTGGTGATGACATCATCATATTCGCGGAATGCCTGTGAACGTCGTCAGGGCATGCGCAATCATGTTGGCAGCCTCGCGGTTAAATAGGGAACGAGGTCATACATTTGTGAGACTCATTGTCTGAAATGAATTTATCTACTGATATAACTTGATTTCTAATAAGCAAAAGAATTTAAACAACAGATTGAATAAGATTGTGTCCTTCGTTACCTCTTTTTGCATTTTTTCCGCTAAATTACGGCAGTTGTATTATAAAAGAATCTGTAAAAGGTAGATTGAAGCACCTAAAATCCGTTCCCTATATGACCCAGAGCGCTGCCAACTATGTTCCCTAATCGGATTCAGAACGTATCAAAAATTTCCAGTCTGGAGAGCGAATTCGAAAAGTTGCAAATGCGATAACGAATTCGTCAAATTTGTGTGGACGTGAGCCCTATCCGCAAAGAAAATTTCGCGGATTCAAAAATGCCCGTATACGTGTGGACAGGGCTTGAGCCTTTTGTTCGTATCGCTTTGTTCCCACTGTATTTTTCATGCTACGCTTAAGCCTAGCGCATACAGAAGATTTTTATCGTGAAAGACGTAGATTCTTGTCTCTTACGACAAAAATCTGTAGTGTGCAGGGTCACAATCGAAAGATTTTTGTCTTTTGCGATAATCTTTGAGACAAAAAAGAGAAAGACACGGTAATCACAGAGCTAGGGAAAATAGACAATGTTAAGTAACACTGGGAATACTTTTATCTATTGGAATTAGTTGCTAGATACACGAAGTAGTTAGCAGCTTTGAAAGAGAAACATATGTTTTCGATCTAATACAGCGAACGTCATCCGCACCAACGCCGTCTTCTAATCTTTGTAAGTCTTTGTAAGTTCATGTTTAATACACAACTTTTTGACAATTTAAAAACACTAGCATGATACTTGATTATTTACCAATCGGTCGATATATAGTTCTATGCCTGTTTCATATTTCTTTTCCAGTGTAATCGAAGAAAATGAATCTTCTTCATCCGCACGCAGTGGTAGAGCTAAGTTAGTTGACATCACAAGTAAACTGCCGTCAAATACAGAAGTCACGACGATACTTACAGCAACTTTCGACTTCATCAAGCTACCGATGGCCATCTTCATTAAATTGAAAGAAGCTGCACATTTCGATAATTTGAACGAAGTTTCATGGCCTGCTCGTTTTATCTGTTTCATTGCCGGGCCTCCACATGAAGATATTGCTGACTACTTTCAAATCGGTCGCTGCCTTGGCACTCTGATGTCCAATTCCCAGTTTCTCACTCTTGCATATTTTTGCGAGGTACGTCACATATGGTCAATTTGCTTGGCTTCCACAATCTTAGCAGTTCAGTGTCCTAGATTCATAACATACCATTTGGCACCTTAATCGATTTTGATATCTGGTCAAAATCTGTAGAATCACACTTTTCTTCAATGCGCCAAAGGCCAACTTTTGATGCCACATGTCATGCTGACAACAGTGGTGGGGCAACTGAAATAACTCAGAGAACGTTCCTCAAATAAAAGGATAATTTTCGTATTTGATAGAAAATAGAAGAGAAATGCTGTTTTAACAGGAAGCACTGAAAATTCGCTACGCTAACTTCACCACAAAAACGGTCCATTTCCGTCACTGACTGACTATGTAGTTACATCTCTTTATGGAATAGATAATATTGGAGTGTTTAAAGGCTTGTTTTATGTATCGAATGATATAGACTATGATTAAGATGGCTTAAACCATCAGCGAGATGAAGATTATGTTTGAGAAAATGTGCTTATCAAGCAATGTCCTGGTCCTTCCGCATTAAGTGATAACACCTCGTGATTTATACCCCTAGAACTCCCGGCGACAATTTCACCATCCTCAAATAGTCTTTTGTCAAATGCTGATTGATGATTATTTATTATTATGATTTCTAGGTAGAGGAAGATCTTCTCTCTGGCATCGATCGATTTCTTGATGAAAGTGTCGTTGTGGGTGCCGGGGATTGGACAAAACAGAATCTCATTCAATCAGTGCCCAGATGGGAAAAGAATTTCCCGAATAGAGGAGGAGCTACCCATGCTGATAAAGTCAAGAGAGGAGCAACATTTGCTCTACAGTCCGGGATTGTCGGGTCAAAGGACCGGGCACATCCACTGAGCCGTACAGGTAAATTGTTCGGCTGTCTCTACAACGACATCAAACGCAAAGTGAGGTTTTACATCAGTGATCTCGTTCCCGTCTTTGATGTACATTGTTTAGCTGCAGTTCTATTCATATATCTCTCTGCACTAGCACCATGCATAACCTTTGGAGGTCTGCTCTCTGAGAACACAAACGGACAAATTGGGATTTCCGAGATGATAATAGCAACTGGAAGCTCTGGTATCCTATATTCTCTTTTTTCCGGACAGCCTCTGCTGGTAGTTGGAGCAACTGGGCCTATGTTGATAATGGAATCCAAAATATACGAGCTAGCAAACATGATGGAACTTGAATTTTTGCCATGGAGAGCTTGCATCGGCATTTGGACAGTGATAATTTGCTTGGCTTTCGTTGCCTTTGACCTGTGTGGATTGATACGACAGGTAACTCGTTTCACAGAAGAAATATTCGCCGTACTTGTGTCTCTCATATTCATACAGAAGGCTGTATCGTTCATAGTTCAAACGTTCATTGATCATCCAGTGGGGGAACATGTTCCACCAAAACATTGTTTACATATTGACCATGTTTTGAACAGGACTGTACTGCTAGACAATGCGACGTTTCATTTGGTGAAAGAGAACTATACCACTGTCGCCAATCCTGATCAGAGGCATCCATGCTATTCACTCATGACGGCGATTCTTATAATTCTTACGTTCTTCTTCGCGTTATACATCAGAAAGGTGCGCAGTAGCATGTATTTCCCGGTGAAGATTCGTCGCATCATTAGCGATTTTGGAGTTATCCTCTCTGTTTTCACCGTTGTCTTGATTGACCATACCTTGTCCGACAATTTCACGAAAAAACTAAGTATAAAGCAGGACCACTTTGTCAGGAAATGGTTTGTAAATCCGTTCGGAGAGAGCACGACAATGGGCATCGGTTACGTTTTTTTGGCCGTGATCCCAGCCTTTCTGGTCAGTATTATTCTTTTCATAGAGACAGGAATAACAGGGGTAATGCTCGACAAAAAAGAACATAAATTCAAAAAGGGATTTGGCTACCACCTAGATCTGCTTGTTGTTTCCATGCTAGTAGGCGCTGGTTCCTTACTGCGCTTGCCCTGGATCTGCACATCTCCGGTCAATTCACTGTCCCACTTCCACACGTTGACGGTGCTGAGCTCCGACCATGCCCCCGGCACCAATCCATACATCGTCGAAGTTAAAGAACAGAGACTTACCAACATTATTATCCACGTGCTCATTGGAAGCTCCCTCCTGCTGGCACCAATGCTTGAGCGGATTCCAGCAGCAGTTTTATATGGAGTGTTTCTCTATGTTGGCTTTACATCGCTTTCAAGGATGGAGTTCATTCACCGGATGCAGTTGCTTCTAATACCGTATAAACTGCATCCTGACACACGCTTTGTGCGCAAAGTAAAAACACTAAAAATTCATTTGTTCACGTTGATTCAGCTATTTTGCGTGGTCCTGCTGGCCGTTATTAAGGAAACCCAACTTGCTGCTATTTTCCCATTTTTGATTCTATGCCTGGTTCCTCTAAGAAAGTGTTTGAGAGTTTTCTTCAGCGAAGAAGAGTTGGAAGACCTTGACAACCCAGAAGACGAGGATGAACTTGCAGTGTCAGAGGAGTTTGAGATTGCTCATGTTTCAGTGCCATTTTGAATTTGAAGCGGAACTGATTTTATTTCATGTAATTTGGTTTAAGAAAAATCTGATGGTTGCAAGAGAGGCTGCTAATTTGGTTACTGTTTTTTCAAGATTCGTTTCACGCTCAATGAATACATTTATGGCGCAAAACAGAACATAGGAATTATTGCTAGCACTTTTTTAAAGCTTTGTAACCTCTAACATGAACAAGGAATGGTTGAATCCCCGTCCATGCGCAATGTGAGGTCGGATCCACCAAGAGAAAATATATTTTTGTCAATGACAACAAACCATAGGAAAGGCACCCTAAGAAATGTATAAAAAATAAGGGTCATGAAACTTAATTACATTTCGAAAACAACGTAATTTTTGTATAATATTTCACGACATGCCGAAATAAATTATTACAAGAGCCTAGATATTGAAAAAAAATCAAAAATGCTTTGGAAAAGTGCTAGGCCATATAATCATATCTCTATGATGGAAACACAGTATCAAAAAATTCATACCAGCCGATATAAAATATCTGCGAAGGAAATCAACACACCCGAACTGAACTCTGACCGGCGTTAGTTTCAAACCGTTCTGAGAGTTTAAAACCGGCTTAAATTTCTCATGCGAAGGACCTTTGATTTTCTTGCAGGCCTCCCACCATTCGTTTGTAAATTTTATTTAGGATCTTTTGCAAAGGTTTTAGATAAAAAGAAGAAGTCGTGCAATTGTTTTGAAATATCGCTTGGAAATGAATGCGTGATTCTTTAGATACATATCTGTGGATCTTATAGTACTAGACCAAGGAACCAACAAGGGATAAACTAAGATTACTAGGGACAATACAATTACTATGGAACCAAAACTAAATGCTATAAACACAAGTCAGACTAAACTTAAAACTAACGTTAAGATAATTAATGAAATGACTTAGGCACTTGTCACCGACCATCCCGTTTATCGGATTAAAACAATGCTATAAGCAGTGGCGGATTTAAGGGGGGGGGGCAGTTGGGGCAGTTGCCCCTCCCTCGACGAGTTGAAGCAAGTCTGGTGCCACTTTTTTGGAAATTGTGTGCCCCTTTTGAAGAATGAGAATCAGAATATAAAGTTTCTGAGACCGATAGGTTAATTTGCTTCAAGGACTACTTCAAAGTTATGTTGTTTATTCTGAAAATGGGTCTATAATTGTTGTATACAGCGTACTCTCGTCACCAATTTTTGAAAAATTTTCAGCGCCCACACTACCAACTGCCCCTCCTTCAAATTTGCTCTGGGTCCGCCCCTGGCTATAAGTTATTAAGCATAGTATGCAATGCAAACTTACAGATGAAACTAAGATTTTTATACTAAATATTTAAAGGGATTCTTACTACACAAAGTATAAAGTAAACCTACTCTATTTACAAAAGCAAATAATCACAAAATGCGAGATACTAGCTTTTGCCTGTCTGTATTGGTCCACTGGAGAGGTGAGAGAGCCTCGGGGGGGTTGTATCTTAGCATGTTTGAAGGTACGGGGACGTGCCATTATTTAGGGGTAACTTTTTTCTGAAAAGTGCGGAATTATCGGTATCAGTTTTTGAAATATGTGCGGAACTATAGGTACCATTTAGAAAAAATGCAGAATTATGGGTATCACTTTGGGAAAACATTGCAAAATTACTGGGATTTACAGATGAAAAATATGAGATTTTGGGTAAAGGATATGCAAAAATTGTTCGATTATTAATTTATGCTTTAAGAATGTTATTTGCTTTGCGGAATTATGGGTATAGTTTTCATCATGTTTGCGGAATTATGGATCACATTTTTTCAGATATGTGCGGAAATATGGGTCTAAATTTTTAACCAAAATGGCACGTCCTCGTCCAAAACTAGGCTCAGTAAGTTTTTTCTATTGACTATGATGGAACCAGAGCGGCTTCCTCTCTTCTCTCTTCCTCCGCACTCTCCCGCAACCCCCTATTTCCTCGACGCCCCACTTGCTACACTTGACGCTCTGGAACCCAGGGTAGCAATATGGCGAAGGTGTCTCGTCTCTCTACAAACAAGGCTTTCAATGCTGTTCTGTTCTTCATGCGGAAAATATTCTTTGAGTACAGTTTTAACAGCATCTTCAAACTCAATTGTTACCGTCGCTAGCATTTATTTATGTTGTGTTCTGTTCAATGTTTTACAGCAGAGCTACGTTTATTGTTTCGCTGTGACCTTTGGACGTACAGAAATCTGCACACTCGCTCCTGATTGGTTAATGTCAGTACACCAGAACGAGAATGGGGCGCACTAGACCAGACTCTCTATTATTTTATAAAGTGAGTCTGGTACCCAGGGTAACGGGAGAGCAAAGTGGACAAAATTTGTGCGGCACAGTGTAAACGCAAATCAATCCGAACAATCTTTATGCGGATAAATTTTATCCGGCACAGTGTAAACGGGGTCTAAAGCAACTTCCAACAACTCCCTCAAACATATCATCGTCGAAAACTAATTAAACGAACAAACACACCTAAGATTATAAATTAACCAATCAAAATTAAGATAATGTTAATGTGTTAAGATTTATTATCATCTACCGTTCAAGATCACACATTAGCTCAGCAACAATTCAAATGAATTACAATACAAATACTGAAGGGAATTGTAATGTGTCATTAGTGCATAAAACAATGTAATGTGACCGTGGGATAAATTTCCCTCGCAGCGCATGCTTCGCAGCATGTAGACCCCAGCTGAGAAATCCCCCCAAATGCTATGTTTAGAGTTTCACCAGGTCCCAGCCCCAAAAGAATCTACCAACCCTGATACCAAGATTGGTAGAGATGGGCAGTTTGATATGCTCAAAAAGACATAGTCTGGGCTTTTGGCACAGAATTTGACTTGAATTGTGCAAGTCGTGATACCAGCATAAAAATGGGTACACTGTAGTAATTTCACACGCTGATGACGATGCCGAACAGACACAAGCCGAAAAATGCCCCCAACTGCTATTTTTGGCCCCAGTCCCCACATTGGGTCAATCTCCATATCTCGTTATTGATTTGTAAAAAAATGCAAAAGGAAAGATTTAGGTACATTATCGTATATCAAAATATATTAGGGGAAAGGAAATAAAAGATTAACATTGGTACCCATGTCTCTATTTAAGCATTCTTCTCTAAATAATTACTCTAAATAAATAAATATTAAGATTACTTCTCTAAATAAATAATTACTTTTAAATGAATATGAAATGTAGCTTTCTCTATTCTTTAAACAAACTGAAAAGTTATAAGAAAAGATGTAATTGACAATCTTACTCCTTGACGCTATTTTTTAGAATGGGGTACTGGAACCCAGCTCTCCAATTTGGGTTTTACCTTCATAGTCTAGGCTCTAAGCACTGTATTTGAGTTGAATTGTGCAAATTGTGGTACGAGCATTAAAATGGGTACGCTGGGGCAATTTGACACGTTGATAATGATGATGAACAGACACGAGCTGAAAAATGTCCCCAAGTGCTATTTTTAGACTGGGATACTCGACCCCAGTCCTCCATTTTGGATTTCATACATACGTAGTTAACTAACTTTTAAAATGACCATGAAGGTATAGGTTTAAACAAAATTTTACACGATAAAAGTATAATACAGAAGCAAATAAAATATTACCCTTGATGCTATTTTTAGAATGGACTACTGGAGCCCAGGCCTCTATAAGCTTTGTTTTATAAATCATTAATATTTTTGGTATGAATATAAAAGAAAGTGAATATTAAATCTCTGGATTGCTACTACTCCTCTCAGAGGCCTTGAGAGGCCCTCAAAGAGGAACTACCTATTGAAGGCTGAAAGCACATACGTTCCAGTTTGAAAATGCAGTAAGGGTACTTAACATTTTTGATACTTTGGATTGTCGGCATTCAGAAGTAGCGAAATGTGAAGGTCACATTTTCTTGTACATCTTATAATTTGCATTGATCGTCAGAGAAAGGAGACGCCTACATATTTAAACATATATCTTAAAATACCGTAAATCCTCGAATTACCCCCCCCCTCGAAAAAGCCCCCCCCCTCGAATAAGCCCCACTCTAGAACTACAAATTTTCAATAAGCCCCCCCCTCGAATAAGCCCCACTGCTATCATAAATTCTCAAATTGGATCCCTCAATTTGATGATTTTTGCAATCTGAGGTCGCCTATGGCGCTTTATTAAATTACCACAACAAATTCATACTTTTGGTAGTAATTAATTAAAAGCTCATGAAGAAATTTCTACTAAAATACATGAGGTCTTTTAATAATGTCTTCTTAATGTCAACAATGATTCTATAAGCCCCCCCTCGTATATGCCCCCCTCGAATAAGCCCCCATCCAAAAATATCAAAACTAAATAAGGGCTAATTCGAGGATTTACGGTAACTGCGTTTTTTCATAACATTTTTCAGGTATTGAAAAGTTGTATGAAGCTACAGCCGTGGATGGATGCCAATTTTCATTATTTAGCTGGAGTTTTGGTATTTCTTGAAATCCAACCAACTGTATTGCGCTGATGTATGTTTTATTCTTAGAGATGAAGTATTTACGCAAAGACCTTTCGTACAAGGTATAAACTGGTAGATTGGCTTACTGGTTTCAATATTCTCCGATTCCCCGGTTCCCCGATTCCTCGGTTCCCCATTCCCTGTTTTGGTAAAAGTCAATTAAATGCCTAGTGTATTCCACCTTTCAAACCACCAGCGAAATTGTAGTGATAAAATCTAAGCCTTTGTTCCCGCTACGCTTCACTGCTCGTAAATACCGCTGTGTTTATTTAGAAAAGCCTAGTTGGTTTCGGTGAATACGACCTTCGCTCTTCAATAATTCGTCCTTCGAGGCTGTTATTTTATTAACAACACAGGTTGTTAAATTGGTGGTAACGTTATTTTTTTCTTCGCCTACAAACAATTTGGCATGAATACGGACGCCAACACGCCATCGTCAACCAGCACTTCAGAACCAGCATCAGTTACTTCGGTAAGTGATAAACTTCCACCTTTTTGGCCTAACGACCCCTTGTTTGGTTTGCACAAGTGGAAGCCCAGTTTTTCACCAGAAATATAACCTCGCAGGCTACAAAATTTGCTTATGTCATATCCGCTCTCCAGCCTGAAATTGCACAGGAGGTACGCGACATTTTGACGGCAGACATCAAAAGCGAGGGGCATTTCACTTCAAAAAATCCGAAAATCCTTTAGACATCGAAAAAACCCTGCAAATCTTCTTGTGATCCTAAATCTACTCAAATCTTTCAAAAGTTCCATTAGTTACGACTTTTTACCGAATCTTGGCAGAAATTCGGGAGGCTATATTTCTGGCAAATCTTGTGTCAAAAACTTCAGCAATGCTCAATAAATACAGCAGAGATGTAAAAGTATAAAGAGTGGGTGCTAATATTGAGGTTGCTGCGCCGGAGCTTTTTTGGTTACCATAACTACCATCAGCACATGCTTATTACGTTCTGTAATCTGAGCTCAGTCATAGAGATGGAAGTGAAAAACCATAGACCATAGATGTAGGAACCCCACATAGGGTACGTGCAAATTTTTTTTCAGAAAAGTGGTTAAGTACCTACTTGCAGCTAACAGAGGTGCCCCCAGAAGAGCTGGTTCTATTTTGACCTTACGTGCCCCCCCAGAGCTATGTTGAATGTTGGTTAGGATTTTAGGCAGCATCTGCTAGTTCCTGTCGTCAATAAAAGAGGAGACATAAATTATTGCAGGAACCTTGGCAGAAGCAAACGAAAAGATCTGAAACATTTCTTAGGGTAAATTTTGTGTGTCATGGAAGTATTTAGTAAGGAAAATGGAGAGGGGGGGGGGGGTCTGAAATATCTTGCCCAAAAATCTGAAATGCTTCCTGCCCTTTCTTTTTATTCAAAAGTAACAGCTCCCTAAGGTGATGAAATCCGAGGAGGTAGGGGCAAAATAAGAGGGCTAAGATTGTTGGGAAGCACCCTGTTTAAAAATATGATACACAAATTCATCTACCCTTTCGATGTGCAAAGATTTCTCATCCACTATACCAGGAAAGGCTCAATTAAAAAGACGCATGGTCCCTTGTAAATCAGCATTGCTGAATGGGCTATCGTGTTTAAATAATTGAAAATGAATTCAAATGAGTGAAATGATGCGAACACCGACTCAGAAACGGAACGCAAAGTAGATATTCTATTTTCAAACGCTGAACTTGATTTTATATTTTTCGGAGAGTCTGCAGAAAGTGGATCAGAGAGTGGCAACGAAGCCTCTGACAGATTACCCTCAAAATATGAAAATCCTGTCATGCTTAAATTTATTATTGCTAGACTTAATTGAAATCACTTCTTTACTAGGGAACTATAGTTCTCTACCGTAGTTTTTATTTTAAGTTAAATGTAAGTTAATTGCAATTAAGAAGAATCCAAATCTTCGTAAGAATACTGCAGTAGAATTAAAATGAACATGATGACGTCATCACTCAAATAACTAGTATATAAGCAAGTTGATGAAACAAATTATTCCATGCACTTAATGATTTTGAGGATTAATTTTGCAAAGAGTCTTTAAAACGAGTTTCAGGCTTAAATTACTAGGCTTTAGCGGCAGTTCAGTAAGATGATGACGTCATCACTCAAATTACTGATGCGTGCAAATTATATTAAGTTCGATATCATTCGTTTCGTGGTTGAATGCTGATTGTAAATATGTATTTCTTTTTGCTCTAACTACTACAACAAAGCTGTTAAACTGTAAAATTTGTCGGTTATTGTTGCTTAATGACGTCATCAAAATCTGCAACTTCCGGTCAAAATTTCAAAAGTTATATCTCGGATTTGGAATCTACGTGGTCTTTTTAGTCAGATTCGGGAAAACCATTTTCGGTTAGGCTGATATTCAGATTGTCTGAGAAAATCCCCTACCTATTAAATTACATTTTTACCAAGTTATCAAATGATTACGTCACACAAATTTGATGCGAGATGACGAGCACAGGCTATAATCTGGGACAAAAATAGTTGAAACTTTTTAAGTAAAATTGATATTTTCTCTTTCCTTTGCAAAATAGCTTCTGCCCTCCCCCTATTCAATGTTGAATGCATGATTTTGAAGCAAAAATATAAAAAGTAATTAAGTGAAATTGTAAATTTAATGATCTTGAACATCATGAAAATGTACAAAACGAGCTATTTGTATGGAAACTTGGAGATTGCTTTTACAAGCACCCACTCTTATAAGCCCCCCTCGAATAGGCCCCAATCTAAATATTGTCCAAATTGATAAGCCCCCTGGGGCAAGAATTTAGGGTACTCAATAAATTATCCTCCGCATAGCTGATAGCTACCCATAGAGATGTAACTACCATTGTGGCGTCGAAACCTACAATTTCTAGAACGAACGTAGGTAATAGGGCAATAAAAAATTGAGCAATAGGCAGAAGGAAATCGGAAGGATTTTTCATACATTTAGGAAGGAATTTTTAGCACAAATAAGGATTTTTTCGGGAATTTGGAAGCAAGGACTTGACTTTGAATAAACATTCCGTCACTATTTGTACGGTAAGTACTTTGAAACGATTTATTGATCTTTTTTGGCTTATTCAAATCTATCTAAGTGTACGTCAGTCGTTTTATCTCAGGAATCTCGCGAAATGGTTAATTTTCAAAATGGCCTAAGCATGAAAACGTTATTATTCTGCAGATGCCAGGTGATAACTGCACAGTTTTTGGTTGCGGTACAAGTAGAAAGACCAAAGGAGTTGGAATTTTCAAGTTGCCAGCTGCAAAAAATGAAGAATACAAGAACTTGAGAACAAATTGGTTGAATGAAATAACTAAGGGCCGTGTTGTTGATAAAGATTTCAAAGAGCGAATAAAGAATGCCCGAGCGAGAAGCACTTCAGACCTGAGGAAATAAAAATCTGTGAGTACTAAAACCTACCAAAATAATGAAGTACAAAAGTACTAAAGCATGATTTCAAAAACACGATGCTATAGAGCAGGCCTCGCCATAGTCAATAATGAAATTGATGCATGTGTTTTTTGATTGACCGTGCAAATAAATAGCACATTAATTTTGGCACGCGAGACTATCCTAGCATGAAAAAATAAGTACCTTTATTACAGAGGGAGGGCTTATTTGAAGGGGGGGGCTGCTTATTCAAAACTAGATCCTTTTAACGAAAAGAGGCTCACTTTTACACTCTAAAAAGAAAATTTGTGAACCAAGAACAGGATGAGAACTAAAAATTAAAAAAACCAATTTTTGGTACAATTACTTCACTTTGTATGCCAAAGAAGAGCATTGAAACTGATGGAAACAAAAACTATAAGGAAGGAGCGAAAAATTGTTTTGTTTCCAACTGCACCTGAGCACATTTTGAATTCGCTAGGAGAAGTGCAACAAAGTTTGAAGAAGCTTGCATCCTCAGATGGATACTCAGTTATCAACAAGACAGACAGATGCCTTATACATTTTATAGAAGAATCATTCCTTTTATCAACTTATAATTTGATAATCAGTGATAGCCTTGGGTGGCAAAACAACCTTTAGCATATCTGTGTTTAGCTGGTATTTACGTGAGAACCACCAAATTTATTTCATGAATAAGAGATCGGTTAGAAACATAAAGATTTCAGACCTCTTGGTTCAAGTTAGAGGCTTCTCTATTTGTTCTAGAGCCCAAAGAACAAACAATGCAAAAAATATCATCATGCCTATCATTCCAAAAGACCTTGAAACTTTAAAAGAGGAACATCAACCATATCTTTGCAAGGATATATGGAGATCTGTTCACTGTGAAATGCTCATCAACGAAGTTCAACAATGCAAAAGTTGTCAGTCAGTAGACAATGAGAGTTCTACCATTAAGGCAATGGCAGCAAGAAAACTAAGATCTATGATACCTGGAAAAACCAAAGCACCAGTTTCAAAGACAAGTTTTGGAGAATAAAACTCACTCTTCAAGCGCGAAGAATAGAATGTGCACAGGAGCAAAAGGAAATTGTCAAATGAAAGCAGAGCTTTTGAAATAAAGTGTTCCAGTTGATTATGAATTAAGTAGAGACTTTTCTTGTCCAATCGAACACTGAAATGACACCATTTATGAAACTGTTTTGGGAACAGCAGAAAAAGCTTTTCTTAGCAAACACAAAGGGGATCAGATACCATCCTATGGTTTTCAGGTTTTGCCTATCATTATCTGCAAAGTCCTCTGCTGGCTATGAAGAATTGAGAAACAGCAAAGTTCTCATTTTCCCAAGTCAACGAACCTTACAAGATTATTTGTTGCAAAGATATTTCATCGCTTTCCGACACTTGTCAACTTCTCTCCAATCAACGAGAACACTTTTTCTTTGATCGTTATGGAAGATGGAAGAAGGGATCTGCGACACGTTCCCGACTCTTACGATTTTATTGGAACCAGGCTTTACCACCCTTGCGCCAATTGCATGGTTGAGCATTTCCAACCGGATTCCACAAGATGAATCGACCACACTCATCCTCCTCGGACTTCGATACACAATTAAAGCTGACCTCGACTGTTCACCTGCCCAACTTGTCTATGACTCCACACTTCGTCTTCCAGGTCAATTCATATTTCCGGCATCTGATGCAACAGCCCTTGATCCCTCTGTTTTTGTTGATCGTTTACAAAGTTTTATGCAACAACTAAAACCAACTCCTCCCCGTTCACTAGAAGCTTACACCCACATCCCAGCTAATCTTCCATCATGTACGCACCTTTTTGTTGGCCATGATGCTGTTAGAAAGCCGTTTCAACCTCCATATGATGTCCAAGCGCTCTGACAAACATTTTCTCATAGATTTTAATGGAAAACAACAAACAATAAGCATAGATTGTCTGAAAGTCGCCTATACCGACGCAGATCCTCAACGTTCAACTGCCAGAAACACATCATCTCCATCATCCATACTTCAACGAGGGCCAAGCCAGATATGGACATGGACATGCCTGAACATTCGTACATATGTTTTATTAGCTTTTATCCCAAATGCTTTCTCGTACTTGCATTCTAGGCGGGAGGTACTGTAGTGATAAAATCCAAGCCTTTGTTCGCATTGTTTTGTTCCCGCTGTGTTTTCCATGCTATGTTTGCTGCTTGTATATACTGTTGTGTTTATTTCGAAAGTTTAGTTGGTTTCGGTGAATAGAACAACACGACGCACGTCTCTTATTATCGACTTGACTCTTCAATATGCAACGATTTGGCTTTCGTATTTAACCAATTTAGTAATTCCCGTTGCTTGTTAAAGTCACATGTTCTGTTAAGTCCTGTTGTGTTCGTGAACGCCTTTTTATGGAAATGTGTTTGTCTTTCAACATGTAGTGTGACGCTCGTATTGCCCTGTTAATTAGATTCCGTTTATGCTATTTGTATGTGTTGATCACGATATAAGTTAGTCTTCTGATTGAAGCATTAGATATAACATCAAAGAAGTAGTATCTATTGTGCGTTACTTGTGCGGGGCTTAGGCCCTTTGGCCTAGCCCATCGCTCAGCCAACGACCTGGTTCTTCACCGTCATAACAAGAACCCTTATCGTTACAAATAATTCGTCCCTCGAGACTGTTACTTCATTAACAACCCAGGTTGTTAAAAATGAGGTGCATGTTTGAGAAGATGTGCTTATCAAGCAATGTCCTGGTCCTTCAGCATTAAGTGATCACACCTCGTGATTTATACCTCTAGAACTCCAGGACACAATCTCACCATCCTCACATCATCTTTTGTCAAATGCTGATTGATGATTATTTATTATTATGATTTCTAGGTAGAGGAAGATCTTCTCTCTGGCTTCGATCGATCTCTTGATGAAGGTGTCGTTGTGGGTGCCGGGGAATGGACGAAAAAGAGTCTCATTCAATCAATGTCAAGATGGAGAAAGAATTTCCCGAAGGGAGGACGAGCTACCAAAGTCAAGAGAGGAGCAAAATTTGCTCTACAGTCCGGGATTATCGGGTCAAAGGACCTGGCACATCCACTGAGCCGTACAGGTAAATTGTTCGGCTGCCTCTACAACGACATTAGACGCAAAGCGCTGTTTTACATCAGTGATCTCGTTCCTGTCTTTGATGTACATTGTTTAGCTGCAGTTCTATTCATATATTTCGCTGCACTAGCACCATGCATAACCTTCGGAGGTCTGCTCTCTGAGAATACAAACGGACAAATTGGGATTTCCGAGATGATAATAGTAACTGGAATCTCTGGTATCCTATTTTCTCTATTTTCCGGACAACCTCTGCTGGTAGTTGGAGCAACTGGGCCTATGTTGATAATGGAATCTAAAATATACGAGCTAGCAAACATGATGGAACTTGAATTTTTGCCATGGAGAGCTTGCATCGGCATTTGGACAGTGATAATTTGCTTGGCTTTCGTTGCCTTTGACCTTTGTGGATTGATACGACAGGTAACCTGTTTCACAGAAGAAATATTTGCCGCTCTTGTGTCTATCATATTCATACAGAAGGCTATATCGTTCATAGTTCAAACGTTCATTGATCATCCAGTGGGGGAACATGTTCCACCAAAACATTGTTTACATATTGACCATGTTTTGAACAGGACTGTACTGCTAGACAATGCGACGTTTTATTTGGTGAAAGAAAATTATTCCACTGCCGCCAATCCTGATCAGAGGCATCCATGCTATTCACTTATGACGACAATCCTTATAGTTCTTACGTTCGTCTTCGCTTTATACATCAGAAAGGTGCGCAGTAGCATGTACTTCACGGTGAAGATTCGTCGCATCATTAGCGATTTTGGAGTCATCCTCTCCGTTTTCGCCGTTGTCTTGATTGACAACACCTTGTCCGATAATTTCACAAAAAAATTGAGTATAAAACAGGACCTTTTTGTCAGGAAATGGTTTGTTAATCCGTTCGGAGAGAGCAAGGCAATGGGCATAGGATACGTTTTTTTGGCCGTGATCCCAGCCTTTCTGATCAGTATTATTCTTTTCATAGAGACGGGAATAACAGGGGTAATGCTCGACAAAAAAGAACATAAATTCAAAAAGGGATTTGGCTACCACCTAGATCTGCTTGTTGTTTCCATTCTAGTAGGCGCTGGTTCCTTACTGCGCTTGCCCTGGATCTGCACATCTCCGGTCAATTCACTGTCTAACTTCCACACTTTAACGGTGCTGAGTTCCGACCATGCCCCCGGCACCCATCCATACATCGTCGAAGTAAAAGAACAGAGATTTACCAACATTATTATCCACGTGCTCATTGGAAGCTCCCTCCTGCTGGCACCAATGCTTGAGCGGATTCCAGCAGCAGTTTTATATGGAGTGTTTCTCTATGTTGGCTTTACATCACTTTCAAGGATGGAGTTCATTCACCGGATGCAGTTGCTTCTAATACCATATAAACTGCAACCCGACACACGCTTAGTGCGCAAAGTAAGAACACTTAAAATTCATTTGTTCACGTTGATTCAGCTATGTTGCGTGGTCCTGCTGGCCGTTATTAAGGAAACCAAACTTGCTGCTATTTTCCCATTTTTAATTCTATGCCTGGTTCCTCTAAGAAAGTGTTTGAGAGTTTTCTTCAGCGAAGAAGAGTTGGAAAACCTTGACAACACAGAAGACGAGGACGAACTTGGAGTATCAGAAGAGGTGGAGAATGGTCGTGTTTCAGTGCCAGCTTGAATTTGAAGCGGAACTGATTTTATTTCATGTAATTTGCTTTAAGAAAAATCTGATGGTTGCAAGAGAGGCTGCTAACTTGGTTATTGTTTTCTCAAGATTCGTTTCACGCTCAATGAATCCATTTATGGCGCGAAACAGAACATAGGAATTATTACTAGCACTTCTCTAAAGCTTTGTAACCTCTAACATGAACAAGGATTGGCTGGAACCCCGTTGATGCACAATATGAGGATGCATCCACCAAGAGAAAATATGTGTGCCTATGATGGCCCCTTCATGACAACAAACCCTAGGAAAAGCGGCCGTTTCAAGCTGCGTACAGGCTGATTTCCACTAGGCGATTTTTTCGCGCGAATCGAATTTTCGCCAATGTGAGCATGCGTGGTGTCATGTTCTCAAATTTCGCATCGAAAAAATTTCGATTCGCAGAAAGTAGATCACGGTCCTACTCTATCGCTACGACTATTTGTTCGATTCGTTCGAAAGAATTCGGCTAATGGAAATCGGGTTTAACAAATAGTAAAGATCAAAGTCATGAAAACTTTTCTGCGTTCGGAAAACAACGTAAATTTTTGTAGTATTTTCACGACATGCCAAAATAAATTATTACAAAAACTTAGATATTTAAAATAAATCAAAAATTTTTGGAAAAGTGCTAAGCCACTTTTCTCCAAAAAAATTACATACTTTGTAAACAGTCACGGTGACGGAAAGTAACACACTAATTACTGAGGACAAAGAAGTAATAGAAATCTATATGGACTTTTTTTAAACCTTACAATTGGAATTAACGAATCTAATGATAATATGGTCTCTACGGATTGACTTTTAGATCCGGTTGAAATTCCATCAGAAAAACCGTTTTCATCTTGGTATAAAACTCATAAAAGAGGACGTACAAGAGCATAAAAGAGGACGTATAAGGCATCTCTGATTGACAGCATCTCTAACAGGATTCTAAACAAACATTCTGGTATATAACAATGATGATATAATACCTATGTATATTAACTATCTTGTAAACCAGCTGTAAATAAAGAGATCATAATTAATATTATCATCATTCTCTGATATATTACAAAAACTCTTAAACTATTCTATCAATAAAGAAATATTTCTTTCTAAACTGATAAAGGAAATGTTACGGCTGTCTTTAAAAAGCTTGATCCATTGAAAAGGGGAACTATCGACCAATAACTGGTTTGCCTCCAATATCAAAAGTTTATTAACCTATTGCTCTTTTAAAGTATTGCTTGTAATCAAAATAAGATATTTAAATAAAATAATCAATAATTTGGTGCCAGTTTTTATGTTGCCATGAATTTGTGCAAACATAGTGTTCACAGATTCATACCTGCCGATATGAAATATCTAACTGAACTCAGACCTGCGTGAGTTTCAAACCGGTCCGAGTTTAAAACCGGCCTGAAATTTCTCATGTGAAGGACCTCTGATATTCTTGTAAAAAAGGGTCACCACGTGACTCACTCTGTATCTCTCCAGGCTAAGTATCTAAAGGTATGTAAAGCTTAAGAAGTCTCCATTATTATGAAGATCATAAAAAATTTATAATCAGCGAGACGAAACAAATCGAGGCGAGACAAAATAGTCAGGGCTGTTAGCCAAAATGTTGTGCAAAATCGCATACCAGCATGAAACTTCGTCCACAAGGGTAGTTTTGGGCGCTGAACAAGATAGGATGCAGACCCCAGCTGAGAAATGCCCCAAAATGCTATTTTTAGACTGTTGTACTTGTTCCCAGGCCCCAAAAGTGTTTTTTGTAAAAATACTGCTGCTAGTTGTGATACCAGCATGAAAATTAGAAGAAATGGGACAGTTTGGTATGCTAAAAAAGATAGGATGCATACCCCAGCTGAGAAATGCCCCCAAATTCTATTTTTAGACTGTGATACTTGGTCCCAGACCTCAAAAGCGTTTCTCCTAATAATACTGTTGCTAGTTATGATACCAGCATGAAAATTAGAAGAAATTGACAGTTTGATATGCTCGAAAAGATAGGATGCAGATCCCAGCTGAAAAATGCACCCAAATGCTATTTTTAGACTGTGATACTTGGTCCCAGGCCCCAAGAGCGTTTATCCTAATAATACTGCTGCTAGTTGTGATACCAGCATGAGTGAAGCCTTATGTGCTGATGTAGGTAATGAATCAGTTATGCGTGTTCCGCTAATGAGCATACTGATGAAAGTGACAAGAGATGGGGGTACTGAAGCTTTTTGAGATGCAAGAAATTAGGAAGGGTCCTCAATCTTATGCGAAAATACATGTTTTCTAATGATATTGGCAGCTTTAGAAAGGCAAATTCCATCATCCTGGTCATTCTCTAGACATGCCTGATAAATCGCGGTACCGGTTTCTTCCTTGGGTGTTAGGAGAACATTGTTTCCTTGCTTTTCTTCCTTGAGCTCTGGGATGTGATGTAAGATGTCATTCTTCAAACGAGTACTGTGCACATTCTTTACACTTTCTGCAGTAGCACCATGCGCCACAAGACGATCGCAAAAGAGCTTTTTGATACAGCTTAACTTGAATACGGAAATATTCTTGGAAGATTCTACCATGTCCCTAAGATAATCAATAATCTCAGCCAACACTGCCCTTTTTCTAATAGCGTCCTCTGTTTCGTGAACAGATTTTGTTCGATGAAAGCTTTTCAGACGGTTGTAAAGAGCGGCAAGGCATTGCTTGTGATATCGGGCCTCAACTGCTACCATGTCACCTTCGCTTAACTTGGCTAAGAGTTTTTCATCAAAGAGCTCTTTTACCGCGTCACGAGTGTTTGAGCGTTTGTCAAATTCACTTCCAAATCATCCTTTTTACAAAAAAAACACCTAACTTTGAAATTATCTGCGCTGTACCTTTGGCGTGTGCTAGGTGGGGCCTGAGCGATTTCAACATCAGCTGTTTCTTTCTTTTTTCCTACATACCCTTTGGTAATGGTAGTCGTTATATTTATTTTTGCAACGCTTATGGAATTTTGCCTCATTTTGCAAAAGATTGCCAGCTAATACCTCGTTGCTTGTTAAGCCTGTCCTTGTATCAAGGAAAGAAGGAAGCTCACCAATGCCCTGAAACCTTTTAAGCTGTTCTGCAATGCTTTTGTATCCTGAACCTTTATCGGAGTGAGTGCCTTTCCTTGCTGGACATTCTAGTACCTCTGATGTCGTTTCTTGGCAAAAAAACAACTTTCCCAATTTGTCTCCAGTATTTCTTTGCTCATTGAACTAGGTCTGGTCAACTCGCTATGGGGGTTAACCAGTTGAAATATTTTCTTAGACATTTCCACGTATCATTGTCTTATTTCTCAAAAAAACGTATATGAATTGTTTGCAATTTCGATGGCCCCATCGCTATTGTTAAACAAGACAATAGATCCTATCACGAAAGTAAACTTTTGAAGGAAATGGAATGAAACCATTACAACATCCGGTTCATTTACTGGGTTTGAAAAGGAAGGTATCAGATTTCTTCCACTAAAATTCTGTTCGACTACTTTTTTAAATTATTTAAGCTAGACTGCACAAAACCTTTATCAATATTCTGCAGGAGAATGAAAAAAGATTCTTAATTCCCTATGTTAATTTCCTTCGAAAACCAAAATAAAAGAGTTTATCAAAGTAATAAGGATAACCACTTCCGCGGACTTGGACCTAGGACAGCGGTCTAAAAATAGCACACAGGGGCAGTTCTCAGCTGGGGTTTGCATCCTATCTTTTCGAGCATATCAAACTGCCTTTTTCTTCTAACTTTCATGTTGTTATCACAACTAGCGGCAGTATTTTTACAATTAACGCTTTTGGGGCCTGGGACCAGGTACTACAGTCTGAAAATAGCATTTGGGGGCATTTCTCAGCTGGGGTCTGCATCCTATCTTTTTGGGCATATCAAACTGCCCATTTCTTCTAACTTTCATGTCGTTATCACAACTAGCGGCAGTATTTTACAATTAACGCTTTTGGGGCCTGGGACCAAGTACAACAGTCTAAAAATAGCAATTGGGGGCACTTTTCAGCTGGGGTCTGCATCCTATCTTTTCGAGCATATCAAACTGCCTTTTTCTTCTAACTTTCATGTTGTTATCACAACTAGCAGCAGTATTTTTACAATTAACGCTTTTGGGGCCTGGGACCAAGTACAACAGTCTAAAAATAGCATTTGGGGGCATTTCTCAGCTGGGGTTTGCATCCTATCTTTTCGAGCATATCAAACTGCCTTTTCCTTCTAACTTTCATGTTGTTATCACAACTAGCGGCAGTATTTTTACAATTAACGCTTTTGGGGCCTGGGACCAAGTACAACAGTCTAAAAATAGCATTTTGGGGCATTTCTCAGCTGGGGTCTGCATCTGATCTTGTTCAGCGCCCAAAACTACCCTTGTGGACGAAGTTTCATGCTGGTATGCGATTTTGCATAACTCTCTCAAAATCTGAGGCTAACAGCCCTGACTAAAACGGAATTGAAAGTAAAGAACGCCGTGGCATTTCTTACTTTTGGATGGTGCGTTTATCAGAGGGCGGCTTTTAATACAAAATGAAAAGTGTGTCAAATGAAAAATAACAAGAAAAGTGCAACAAAAAAGATAAAAACAAACTTAAAACAATGTAAAAACGATTTTGTGAAAAATGTTCGCAAAATGGCGTGTTCGCGATATAAAAGTGTCAAGGAATGTCAATCTCACTGTCGTCTCCGTCAGAGTCCTCGTCTTATGACAAAAACTTTCATAGCTTCCTTAACTGTTCGTTATTTCTTGTTTGGTCTGTTTTGAAATAAACGCTGCTATTCAAGATGCGGCGTTTAAAAGCAAGTGGCGTTTGTCAGAGGGCGGCGTAAATTACAAACGGTTGGCTGGACGTGCGACGTTCATTATAGGAAATACGGTATGCAAAAAAGTGCCAGGAAGAGAAAGTCTGCAAAGATGACATCATTTCTTTGACTTGTCTTCAATCTTCATGAAACCACATTAACAAAACAGCGATTATAACGACGCAGAAAACATAAAGAATTTATCAAAGACCAAATTATTAAGATTATAATTTACAGAAGGAAGATGGATGCACCATGGAATGTGTGTCGATATTTTCAGGATATAGCTCAACCGTTGTATGCTGTAAACAGGATGAATAAATTATATTTTATCCTCAAAATCTCTTCACAGGCTTCGGGTTAACTGAAAATGCGAAGGCCTTTTTATATCACACTTAGTTCACACTTACAAAAACTTTTTAACCGGTATTTGCAACTTTTGCAAAGTTTTTAGATAAAAAGAAGAAGTCGTGCAATTGTTTTGAAATGTCGCTTGGAAATGAATGCGTGATTCTTTAGATACATATCTGTGGATCTTTTGGACTTATAGTACTAGACCAAGGAACCTACAAGGGATAAACTAAGATTACTAGGGGCAATACAATAACTATGGAACCAAAACTAAATGCTATAAACACAAGTCAGACTAAACTTAAAACTTACGTTAAGATAATTAATGAAATGACTTAGGCACTTGTCACCCACCATCCCGTTTATCGGCTTAAAACAATGCTATAAGTTATTAAGCACAGTATGCAATGCAAACTTACAGATAAAACTAAGATTTGTTTACTAAATATCTAAAGGGATTCTTACTACACAAAGTATAAAGTAAACCTACTCTATTTACAAAAGCAAATAATCACAAAATGCGAGATACTAGGTTTTGCCTGTCTGTATTGGTCTACTTGAGAGGTGAGAGAGCTTTACGTTTGTCTCTCATTAAAACAATGGACTAAATGACCCATTTCATTAAAACAATGGACTAAACGGCACAAAGCTCCTCTTCTTGAGAATTGTTAGAGAGAAGTTCATTAGCTACATAAAGCAGATCGAGGTGCCAGAAATGAATGTCTTTATATCAGAAAGACCAATTGAGTAGTTACGTAATGAAACCTCAATCGAGGGTGAAAAGAACTAGACAGACACAACATAACTTGCATTCGAAAAGCATAAAGGTATTTCACTGCAACTCTGTCTCTAGCTTACGTAAAACTCTATCTTGTGTGATCATCTTTATTTGTCATACATTCGTCCAACAACCACTCTCCATCGCAGTCACCTCCGTTTCAATGCAACCAATGGAAAGCTTTCCCTATTCTTCTCTCGTCAGTCGTGTTAACCTGTCTGTCACTTTATACGAAATTCTTGAATTCAGAACTCAAAGTCATGAAGAACACTTGAGAGCCAGTACCAGATGTCGATGCAAAAAACACCTGTAAGAAAATATCTGAACGTCAGCAGATGACATATCAAAAGAAAAAAGACCCGATGAACTAGAGGGTTATGTTGGTGATGGTTTTTACTGCTCCCCCCAACCCCAACCAGATCTGGGCGCTAATGAATTGATTAGTAACATCATCAGATTTAAGTTCATTTCTTAAAACATTGGGATATGTAGTCAAGAAACCATTTACAATTTTGTATTTTTCTTGTATTTACTATTGCTTAAAAATAACACGGGCGAGCACTGCCTTATCTGCAAAGCTGTTATTCCAAGTCAAACATTGACACAACATTAAGTAAACAAGTGTGCTATATAATGGCTAGCAAAAGGAATTTCGGAAATAAGCATGCCAACTATTTCCTACCTTTTCATTCCTTTCACATAAAAACCGGAACATCTGCCTTCTTTTCTGCATAAAAACACTGTCAAGCGTTCCAGTCTGCAGATTACGAACCTCTATAGCCTTTTCGCCCCAGCCCATGATCTGATTGGAACCAACTTGAGCTAAAAAGAAAAAACAAATCATGATGATAACAAATAGAAATCCAAGGTAACGATTATTGTTTAGGGTTGCCAAAATATATTGAAGAACATTCATTTAGCTGTAGTTCCAAACCGTACCAAAAAGACGCTAGGAAAAGCTTGTGCTAAATAAATGATAAAGATTTAAGTGTCTAATTGTCTTACCAACAGAGTGAGGCGGTTCTCCCCATCTTATGGTTGCATCTTTAACCTTTTTCCCAGCAGTACTGAAATAGGCCCCCTCGTCTTCGTAGCACAATAAAATTGTACGCCCGTTGCTTCCAGGGAGTGGTATAATGGAATGTGCCCGAATCGGTTCGCCCCGTAACGGAACATGAATGTCGTAAACCGAGGCTGAATCTAGATCGACACCATGGAAACCTAAAACAAGCAATTAGAATGATACAAACATTGCGTCACTATTACACGAGTAAAGCTCTACTGGCACAAAAATTACTTTTGGTACCCGCTATTTTCCGAGAAATCTGGTAGATTTCCTAGAATTTTTGCAATGTTTCGAAAATTTCCAGACTTTTATTCAGTAACTAAATAACAAATTACTACAAAGAAATGATCGTTTGGTAATCAAATGATTCAAGCATTCACACCTATTTCGGAAGCGTATACAACTCGAAGCTTGCTATTATCTGTCTCTATTGCCATATTAACCAGAAGAGGACGATGTATCAGCGTTCTGAAGGACTAAAGAGAAGTAAATACTCAGATTAAATATCATCAAATATTACTTGATTTAGTGCACATGACACTGCACAAGGCTATCTTTAGCCTGGCTTAGCTTGTAAAAAGTTTAGAAACTCGTTTTTTCGAAAGGAAATCATAGAATATAAAACTGGTTTAATCCAAAGCTAGAAATAGTCAATTAGACATAAAAAACTCTTCTTTGTTACCAGACACTTCAAACAATAATGAAGGGCTTTCATTGATTTTTGAAATAGAAGGCACACATTGTGTAGTCTTACTAAAGTGAGGGTGAAAGTAGGCGGCAAATGTTTGGTGAGTAAGCGGCGGACTTTTAATGAAATCCGTGGTAATGTCCTTAGATACAACTTAAATCCAATATAAAATGACAGGAACTTGAAATAACAGGAGCTATGGTACTCCAGAATAACAAGAGCTATGACATTGTTTTCACTACATTCTGTGTTAGCAACAGTTGAACCAAAAATGGAAGCCTACGAAGATATAGGAGGCAACGTGCCCTGGCAAGACAAAAAATATTGTAGGAGATGTTTGAAATGCATCCAAGTAGCATAGCTAAAACAGACAAAGAAAGTTAATAAGATTAAAAACACCTAAAAAGCGTTGCCGTCAAGCTACAATGGTGGAACGATCACACTTTGCAACAACGGTATTTATGCGGAAACAGATTCAATGGAATTGAAACTTACCTTAAATGCCATGAACTTGTGGTACGGTTTTGGGGCCCATGCGTAAACCTCGATGGCAAAATCGACTGCAATTGCAAGAAACTTGATTCTGTGAAAATTCACTGAAACGCAAAAAGAAAAATATAATACAGATCCAATCCTTACATTAGCTGTCTATCACCTTGAGGGGGTAAGTTAAGGAGAAAAGCTACTATAGTTGATCGGTGGAATAATCAAGAAGCTATGCAAAAAGAATACTAAGTTTGTGAATTACCGAGTTTATAGTGGGTGCATCCTTGCAAATCACCAACTGTTGTGTACTGTCGTTGACGCTGTTTCTCCGACTGAAAAAAAATTCACATGAACTTCGCGAAGAACAGTTGCTTACCAAGCTACCAAGCTACATCTTATCTTCAAGAGGCAACATCTGTACGTTTACGATCGTTTACGACAATCCACTTGGTCGCTAACAGAGCGTTTTTGCCTGTCCACACGCTAACGCCCAAAGGACTTAAAGCGAGAAAATGACATCACATGATCTTGAACCTGATGCCCATGCAGGAGCTACCTCTTATGCCACTAATTAGGCCACATTCTTACAACCTTTACCTTTTCGGTTTATGTATTCAACTGAATTGATAGATTATTTTTTAATGTCGATATGTCTGTCTTGTCGTAATTTAGTATTTCTCTATGCAAGCTGAATTTATGTCGATATTTGCACACAAAGGTCTTCATATATTTTGCAGTCGTGTTAATGGCTTTCTTGCATAGAGAAATAAATATAGCTGAAGAAGATTGAATCTTCTTTTCAGATACTCCGCGTGCAACCTAATTATAGTAATTTTGGTTATGATGTATGAAATTTATGCAGAAATAAAGCCAAGCAAAAGAAAAATAACAAAAGACTGTCCTGAACCGAGTAAACTTATGAGGTTATATTTTTACCTTGACGCTTACTGTCATTTTAGCCTCTTTATACAAACAGGCAAGAGACTGTGTCACAGTTTACAAAAGTATCCGTTTACGACCATCTACACGCATAAAATTCATACCACCCACTTCGGAAAGCGTTTTCAAAAGTATCTTTTTGTAATGACCTTAAACGCCGTTAAAAGGTGGATGGAAGAGGTAAACATGTAAGAAGCATTCGTTTCAAACCTAAACGTATAAATGTGGATGGTATTTTATTAACTCAAGTCGTTAAGTAACCAGATACCAGACGCATTGACTGTAAAGTGTCTACCTCAAAGTAAGTGAGAGTCGAGGGCTTTGGAACAATGACTTGGAGCGGAAAATGGCGCGAAACCTCTCACCCCAGCTTCTCAACATGTGACATAAGTGAAAGTTGAAAAAGCACGCCAGACAACGAATATACCATTTGTATTGAATATTTGGTCTGCACCCAGGCGAAGGCCGTTGATTCGATATTGTCAATAAATAAAAGAGTTTATTTTTATATAATAAGGTGGGCAGAACAACGAAAACTATAAAACCTAGCCTGTTGATATGATGCACTGATGTACAAACGATGGCTTGAAATATTTTGAAAATTGCTGAAAGACTCCAGGTGACAAATAGGTGGGCTTAAAGAATGAGAATAATGTGGCGCCTTCCTTGCATTGAAAATTTCATTTCTGGCAATCTTTGTTAGGTTGATATGTAAATAATGCTTGTTGAGACTATGTAAATACTGGTTTAAAGAAAACTGCCACTTGTAAAAAAACACGCCTCTTGTAAAAAAACATGCCACTTGTACTATAGCATCGAAGATGAAAACGTAATGGCAATTGAATCTAGACATTTTCTACCCAGCTGCAGATCGAAAGCAAGGTTAGTGGAAGAATGATGCGTTTGATTGGTTCTTTGCTTTTGACCAATCAGCACCTGCTAGCCCCACACATGTTATGGAGTCCATGAGAGAAGACGAACCATTTTGGTAAACGCACTTCTTACAATTTTATTTGTTTTAGCATTGAAACTAGATGAAGTAGGCTATGGTATTTGACACAAAGCCATGCATACAAGACGTTGGCTTTAAAAGGCCTTCTCGGAATGAGAACAAAAGAAGTCAACAAATAAGGAAAATATTGTACCTCTTCTCCTTTCACAATTTTGTTCTTTAGATAAGAAAGGTAATAAACTCTCAGCTTGTTGTGCTTGCCTAAAAATGTTAATAATGCGATAAAGATATTAGTAAGAGAACACACGTCATAGAAAAGCATATTGTTCAGTGCTATCATTTTACAGAAATGGGACTTGTTGTGAAATGGATATTCCTGAAACAATAATTTTTTTAAAGAACTGTTCATTACGAAACTTTCATCTAAGTTTCTAGTTAGCCACCTTCAACTGAAGACACGAGTCTATAAGGTATTTTTGTGCTAGACTCTTACCAGGTCTCATCCAATTTGCCATCGAAAAGTAAAATTTCATTTTGGCAATTTGAATAAGAAGCATTATCAAAAAGTATTAGATTTCGTAGACACAGTAAAAACTCGACTGATATGACTTAATAGGTAGATTAAAATACAGTATAGACTATAACACAATTTTAGATAATGCAGATAGACTAACAAAAAGAAATGATTAGCAACCTACCAAAAGGCGTATAAATTTACAACTTACTCAAGGCCCCATTCTGGTGACGTGGTCATTTGCCCCCTTCCCCCAAAACCCTTGGGTGTGTGCTAATAAACTACAGCAAGAACAATTTAGCGTCACGAAAAGTGCGTATCAGATAAAACGTTAAAGTTGTTGAAGAAATATTCTCACCGCTAATCGTGACTAGAACGTTTAAGTTCTCGATAACATCTATTTGATGAAAACGTCGTCTTGAAATCAGAGGAAAAACTGAAATGAGAAAGTGAACATCAATGTTTATCATATGTATGAAAATGCAAGTCATACAAATAATGGCTTATGAATTTCGTTGTCATTGGTGCTATGTATTTTTTGATACACCCAACTAAAAGATTACAATACATGCTAAAGGCTACACTACTAAGAAAAAAACTATTATACAACAATAGGGGGGACGATACCCCGAGTAGCCGATAGCTAAAACTACAGTGGGGCCATATCATGGAGTTGATTGACTGTCTCAAACCATATGCAACGAAGATTTTCGCGATTAGAATAATGTAATATGTTTCTTATTCATAACAACTTCATGTTGGTACCGACGTGTAATCTCATGATATCTTTCGAATAAATACATTAAATATGCTGGATACCAAGCATACGAAAGGAAGTGAAGCAAAGGAAATGCAAGTCAAATAAATAATCTTTGGCTACTTCAATTACGCCTTGCAGCCCAGCATTCAGCTGAAATACCTAGAATATCTGACCTCTTGAGTTTCGTTTATAGTTTTCATCGTACACTCATTTTTTTATAAGAAACAAAGGTCGATATTGAGTACTCTAGTTTCTTAATGTTCTGGAAATTTCAATACTCATTGTTTCTTAAGAGTTTCTTAATTATGATGTTATGAAATGTTCATGACCTTTTTTCACGTCAAGAGATTTGCTTCCGTTCTGATGCTGTATTTAGACGTGGGAAGTATATTTTTATCCCTTGTGTCTTAATTTCTAGGCCATCTGGGCAATCATGTTCTTGGATTTTACAAAATTTCGTTGTTCTCGGTTTTGCCACGATTTAAGAGTTTCTTAATTTTTTTGCTTCGAGTACTGAAGTTTCTTAATTTTTTGTGACTGTCCAGTACTCGTTTCTTATAGCCAGTTTCTTATAAAAAATGAGTGTATTCTATTGCTATTCGCATATGCTATTATTTCTGTTCCCCAATCCCCATGAACAATTTTGATAGCTGACATACACGTCAAACGATAAAACCTACTTCATAATATACTTCGTCATTTTATAGCAACCAGACATTGTTTCAAGTAGGGAAGGAAATGGCGGAATTCGACATTGAAAACAGGCATAATGTTTCAAGACAGTGACTGGATGGTTGAAATGATGAATCAATCTAAGGTACCTTGTCGTTCACATACCGTTGAGGTCGTATTTAGAATAAACCGTAACTAATCAAAATACCTTTGTCGTTGCCGCTACGGTCGAGAAGGTAAAGCCCATTATCCGTTCCAATCAGTAGGTTAACTCCTGCATGAATAGATAGCAGATGACGTCATCAAATAGGAAGGGCCGTATGACGTTGATCATTTAGTTGCAAAAGTGTTAAGAATCCACAAAATAAAACAAAATAATTAAAGGATACAAAAACTGATATACCTACTGAAGATATTTACTGTGAGACAAAAATGCTCTGAAAATGATGACCTGGGACGGGAATCTTGTCTAAATAGTTTAACATGATTATTTTGTTGCATTGATACAAATTTGATCTTCTGCTTAGGGTTGAAATTCCTCTTAAGTTTCATTAAATGTTCGAGGAATTAACAGACGTAAAACGTCTAACATGTTTATGGACTAGTAAACGCAGGCTCACTTTCTACACTGGTAAGAGTTCCAGTGCCAGACTATTTTGTTTAAAAAGGTTTCCACTGGTGTTGTGTCATCAATTTTGTATTATATTACAGCTGTTAAAACATTGTGCTGCAGAGTTCTTTCTAACAATGAAAAAACGCCAAAACAGGGATAAATATTAAACCATACCACAGTATTAAGTTAGCAATGTGTGCAACAATTCATAGTGAACTGATTATGTGTTTTGGTAGAACTTGGCCAAAAGACAACATTTTTCAGTATATCAAGGGTGTTTTTTCCGAATTTGATTATCCATCGCTAATAATCCAGATCTGGTTACATACTCACCCCATAAAGCGGCTGATAAAATGTCAGATCTGAATTTGTACTTGTACTTTTTTATTTGTGGCATCTAAAATTGAAAATATGAATATGTTAGTAAGGACTCTCAACGTAAGTTAAATATATAATTTATTGCAATTTAACGACCAGGTCAGAAAAAAAGCGGATCCTTATATCAAATTTGATTAGCGTATCTTTACATACTTAATTATGTCTAGCTCAATGGTCACAAGATTACAAACAAAACAAATAGGAAGAAAGAACCACATAAACTGCATAAGGCTCATAGCTAAACGAAACTTTTGCTTCGGGGGCACTTAATTGACATAGAGACCAGATTTTCTCGCCTTCTGTGTGTCACGTAGCAGTCAAGGGTACTACAATCATTGAGTCAATAAAGGATGGTGGCATTTATTGATTGGCAATCCTTATGAGAGTTGCTGTAGGGTGGTGTGGGGATACAGTAGCAAATAGCCTGTGTGGTATTCAAGATGTCAAAGTCAACAAAAAACATCCTCTTATTAACCGTTTAATCGCATAGTTTCACAAGGGGGGGGGGGTGGGTATGGTAACAGGGTATGCAGAAAAGATATTGTTAAGTTGTAACCAAGTGAGTTTGTGCATTATGCAACCATCAGAAGTTTGAGGAGCTTTGGAATGAAATAAACCAAATATAAAAGCTATATACCGCTGAATCGTCGATTGCCACCGAAGCTCTTTCAGGCGAAACATTGACAGAAATGTTGGGTTCTGGAGTAGTAGCCCTTCTTGATGCTTGCTTGGCAACCTTTTTTCTGTCATCTGATTGGGTAGATGATGATGAATCGGTGGAGAGGTTTCCAACCGATGCACTCACACCTCGAGCCTGCAAAGAGTCAAAACTGAAGGGTTGAACGAAATCCTGTGCTTTTCTAAACAATATGATTAAACGCAAATACGGTTTTTTGTCGATATACCTTGTGGTTTAAGTATAATGATACGTAATAATGAGGCTTAAATGCATACAAATGCAAGTTGCTGAGACCAAACAGGTATCTGGATGCTGAAAATCAAGGTCTTATTGCAATGAGAAGTGCTCCTTTACAGTTCAAGAAAAAAGGTAGAAAAATCTTAAAAAAACGATAAGTAGTAGTATAGGCTAGTCATCATACTGATCCATGAAAAAGTGAAATTTAGGGGAGAACACAGTGCTGCTTGAAGCAACTATCAAGTTTGACGGTAATATGATGGCGCGAGCTCTCAGGAAAATGCTATGCTACCTAAACTAAACTAAACTAAACCTAAACTAAAAACAAAATTCGATCCAATGTCTACGACAGTTTCAGGAACAGCAACATCGCGTATTGGAAACTTTGTTTTACAAAATTGAAAGGATTACAAGCTAATAGCAATGGGTCATGTTCAAAAACCTACAAAAAGTAGAATAAGTGAAGCAGACGCCTGAAACACTCTCAAAACAAAACAAGATATACGAAGGACGTTTGGCACTACGTAGCTAGCTACGAATTTCAGGTTTAACGTTTCGTAGTGTTATCATCACATCACTTGAGAGAAATATTTCCTGTTTGTCTCAATAATATGTGCGTAGGCAGCATATAGATGATTTAAATCCCAGAACAATTGGTGAACATATTTCATGTTGTTTCTCCATTTAGACAAAGGCTAGCAAACACCAGGGACTGCGCTGTCTCCAAAGCTGTTCCGTTACCAACCAATTCAGATTACCTTGTGAAAATTCAAGTTTGGCCATTCACCATTTACGCATTTGACAGAAAACGGAAAGCTCATCTGTGAATCCAGTCCGCTGCTTAACGGCCAGTGTCATTCTACATTCTGATCTATTTTCAATACGTACTCATAGTCCAAAAGTGAAAATAATTCTCCTAATTTGGTGCAATGAAGAAAGAAACCCCACTATTTGTATTTTAATGCAAATTCTTGAAACAAGTTTACAAAAGGACCAAAGGACTAACATGATATATCAAGCATGTCATCTCTTAACGCTTGACAAAAGAGGGATAAAGACAGATTTATGACAAATGTGCAGGTCAATACACCTCATCATCAGTCAAATAGACCCCAGACACCTCATCAGTCTAAAAGAAATCGGATGGCTGAGTGGACTTAGGTATCTGACAACAGGAAAATAAGCCAAAAGATTATTTTGGCTCATAGAAACTCGTCCAGTACAAGAAAATACCCCAATCTCGGTCTGGTTCTGGAAAATATAGCTGAATGTGAGATTATACGTGTCTATAGACTTACATAGGAAAGCTGGGAAAAGCAAAACACGCTTATTCAAAACTGAATAGGGTGCTCTAGAATTCTTTCTGGAGAGAGTCAAACGAATCATATACCAAGCATAGAAAGTTCTATAGGCAATTTATGTTAAACATCATACTTATTTATATCCAATTTTCTGTCAGGAAACGTCGAAAGGTTCTTTTACAAACCTTTTTCATTATCTACATGATGTCTCATTTAGAAGCAATAGTTTCATAGTTAAATGTGATAGAACAACAACCACATGTATGTCGGCAGAACTGCCGGGTGATCAAGCGAAGCGACGTTAAACAGTTGCATAAACAAAGCACCACAAGGTCTCTTATGTGTGGGTTTATATTGATGGAATAAACAAGGAGACTGGAAAGGAGTCAATCCTGGGGCGAAAGGTGATTTGATCTGTGACGAAAGACACTGTGGTAATAGGGTTTGGAGCATTATCTATCAATGATGGCCAAAAAGGGCGACTGGATTGTCAATAAAAGTGTTTAGCTTGAAGAACAGACGTGTTGGTATTCATAACACAAAGCAATAAAAATCTGAATTGCAAAGAATTCCAAATCATTTTGCAAGCAGCCAAGGTTTGGCATTCAAGAAGATACGAACATCAGCGAGTTTCGGTTTTTAAAAAAAAAACATAGAAATAAGCAAGTGGTTGATAACCAATTTAAAAGCTCTCTTTATCAATTTCCTTAAGGAATTTTACAAGTTGTGCTGTTTTGATCTGATAATACGAAGTCTTGTTGTGTTAAACATATTGAAAAAAGTCAAAAGTAATAACATTGACAATTCTAATAAATAAAATAAACAAACATCCTTAAATCAGAGGAGACTAAAGACATTTTTCTGACAATTACATAAGCGAGAATAAGCTACCAAACTGCTGACTAAAAATGATAAATAATGTACCTGAAGATGATGCTGTTGCATTGGCAGAACATCGGGCAAATTGCTCGTCAAAGGCCTAGCCATCAAACCCTCAAGGCTGCTATCAGATGTGATGGACTAGAAACCAAGATAAAGTCAGTTGGCAACAACAAGATCTGGTCCCTGAACTTTCAGGTTTGATAAACACCAAAAGCAAGAGTTTATTGCAAATAATTTTGATCTATTTGTTCCTTTTTATACAATTTTATTTTCAAAAACACAATATCAAAGAATGCAAAATGTGTAATGAGACATGAATTAGATGCAAAAATAAAAAGTAAATATTCATAAAAATAAAAACGAAAGCATTAAATATTCCTAAAAGATGCATAAAATTCATACATCAAGGATACAAATGAGGCAAATGAAGACCAGTTTAACTTTCATGTTAAATATTCAATTTTATTGTTATTTTCTGACCATGTCCCACGTGCATAAGAATAACTTCAAAGACCACGTGAGAAGCTTCATCATAATGAACAGTGTCCGGTCTGATTCAGCTCTTGGAAGGGCGGTTATATTACAGAAACAGAAGTGGCAAATCTACCTGTGAATCTTCAGTGTCTTTTTGTCGACGTTTCGATTGCTGTTTTATCGTGTTATCCTCAGCCATGTTTATAGCTAGGAAAAGTAAATAAGATGTTTCTAAAATCTCAGCAACTTTCCTTTGATGAATTAAATAAGATAGGATTTTGCAAGTCACCAAACACAAATAACAATGTATATTTGTTCTTAAACCTTAATTTAAGTAGGAAACATAAAAAATAGCCCCTCTAAACAGTGTCTTCCAAATAAGTAAACTAAAATCAGAACAAGTTCGAAAACATGACTAGCTGTTATAAAATTCTTAATGACGTAATAAGATGAAGGGATATGTTAACTTTTAACTCGAAGGTTAAAACCGGCAATCTGAAGGACAATTTGTAATCAGTAACCAACCTTCCATTTCGCTCACAAGCCTGTTCAAAGTATCGAAATGTTCGTATGGGGGCGCAACACTGCAAATCGAAAAAGAATATCTAGCTTACACACATGAAATTGTAAAAGACAAAAATGACACGGGATAAAGACATAAATTACAGTGCAAATTGTACGGAAAATTACAACTCGATCCTTCATTTTTGTACATCTATGCATAACTCTATCGTTGATCTTTACAATATTACCAAACATTGTACACGAGCTGCCTTAAAATCATACTATTTGCACATTCGTACAACCCACTTGTGCTCCTTCTAGAACTCACATTACAGTTGCTCATCAATGGCATCAGAGTGTTTAAGCCCCTTACTGTCAGAGTACTTCCTAGAGACAACCTACTAAGAACTGACGAAACAAGGCTCTTACTAATCCGGTGGCTGCAGCACGTCTCGACGCAGTGTCCCATCGTCTTGTGCCTCTTGCTGTACCACCCTCTGAGGCTGTGGAGCAGGCTGTGGAGCAGGCTGCGGCCTGACTGGTTGACGTTCCTGCGGAGGCTGGTACTTTGGCGTTGCCTCCTGTCTCGGAGTTTGTTCTCTTTGATGAGACCGGTGACTCTGCCTACTGTCACTCTGCCTACTGTCACTCTGTCTACTGTCACTCTGCCTACTGTCACTCTGTGGCGGTGGTTGTCTAGAGGCCTGTGCTCTTGGAGCTTGCTGCTGTACTGGCGATGGCGCCGGCCGCGCTTCTGGAACGCGTAGTTGCGACGATTTTGATTCTTCCATCTATTAGGATGAAAAGAAGAAGAAACATTACGAACAAATCTCACAATAAAGAAAGAAAAGGTTCTTTTTAACCCAAAAGAGCTACACTTGAATTCTCCCAATAAAAAGTTTGAAATACTGCAATAATGGACATTTCTGTATTAAATAAAAATGAATGGTGTTAAGAAATCACAGAAGAAGGTTGATAACTTCTGTTCAAGTAACCTCGAAGCTAACATTGAAAAGAATAATAAATCACACATTGATACACTATCCTCGACGCAGCCCGTTACTCCAGCAACAATATATAGCAATGTATACTTCTGATTCAAGGTAAAGGGGTCAAAAGGATCGAGTAGCTTGGAATTAAACATACCTTGTTTCTTTTGATAGTTTGATCACTTTCTTCGTTCTTTGCAGCAAATGGTGGTGCATCAAAATCTTTATCTGAAAAAAAGAAAAATAATTAAAGTACCAAAAAGGAAAGAGAATGTACCATATTGAAAGAGCAAGCTTCCAGAAAATGAAAAAGTAAGAGAAAATCTGAAAGTCTGAAAATTGCGGGAACGTACCACGAGGAGAAGGCGACGCTGGCTCTCCACCTTGCATCATTGTCAGATTTCGCCGTAACGTTGCCCCAGGAGCACCCTCAATCAAGGTGTCACCCCTAAAAATAATAATCATAACTTTATTCATATAGGTAAACTTGCGAAACGAATTCAAGAAACTATTAACCTAACATTACTAAAATATGTAATAAACAACAAAAAAGTTGATTGCAATGACAAGTTGGACTACAATATTAGAAAAAAGAGAGGAATCAGTTACAATTTAAAATCGAAATTTCCTCTGATTTATCGAATTCAAATGCGAAATCAGGGTATTCTGTAACTTTTATTTCATTAAAACGAAAATTAAGAACGTAGAGCTAACTTTGATACTACACAAAAAAGGTGAAAAAGCTTACTGCTCTTCGTCTACAAGAATGGCAGCCAAATCCAAGTCATCGCCTTCATTTCCATATGGACCATATTCATCTTCAAGCTCACCTGAAAAAATTACATTTGATAGTCGACCGCAGCTTCCATAAAAAGCTCAAATATTACCTCGATAAAAAGCTAGATTCATTCACTGTAAAGACTAAACAGGAAACATGAGACAACATAGAGCGTGTGTTGAACAAACTGATTCCGACACAACCCGAAAGACCGAAAAGTCTCAACAAAAATTAGTAGTTTAAATTGATATCGTATAAATCAATACAAGAACTAAATCTCTTGGAACAAGCCTTAAATTGAACAAAATTCATTGGACCAATCGACAGATACTAAAGAGGCTTAAGCCAACAATCAATCAAGAATTGACCAATCAGTGAGTGTGATTCCACTCAAACGCTTTTTTGATTGGCTAATGTTGATTGACAGATGGCTTACGCCACTTTTGCATCTGTCGACTGCTTTTAAGCATAGCATCTTAAATACTTTATCAGACGGAACAAGATATTCGGCTAACAACAAAAAAGTCATTGTTTAGGGTTGCTGAAATCAATTGTTCATCAGAATGAAGAATAATAAGAATGAAGTAACATTGTTAGTAAAATAATTTTTAATAATTTAAAAAACATAGGTTCTCGGGTTTATCAGTTTAAAACAGTTTAACGATATTTTTTCTTCATAAATCCAACAGCACTTACCTCTTCGCCTTCTTGTTCTGTCAATAAAATCCTTAATCTCAATCCTAATTTTCCTCTCCTGTTGTTTGAAGCCACGAACAAAGTCATGCTGAAAAGAAGAGGAAACTGCAAAAACCATTCTAAAGAAATCTTTCCCCCATATTCTAGAATTATTAGGTAAGAAAAATTGAGGCGAAGATAACGATTCACGGCAAGTGAGTTGACTTGATAAGTAGGAATACAACAAGTCCTGAACTTTTTCACAGCCAAAAAAAGGTTTTTGAAAATATTTTTTTGTTGATTTTTAATGAAATCTATGGTTATACAACAACCCAGTTAAGCAGACCAGCAAAAATTGCAAAAATTCAACAAATCTTATAAAAAAGAAAACGGTTAATTAGTATTTACAGCTTCGAAAACGATTGGCAAACTTGTTAAAATGAGTGATCAAATCCTGAGAATGAAACTGACTCTACCTGAAGCAGCTGTTCCGCTGTAGGCCTTTGTAGGTAATCCTTGATAAGGCAAACGGTGACGAAATCACGAAATTTTCTTGACCTGGATTGAAAACGAATGTATCACTATGTTAAAATTTGTTGAAAATTATCATAATCTACGATGTTAAAGAATAATTTTGAATAAAATATTTGGATCGAGATTTATATATGCGAACAAATGATAGAAAATATACTCAAAGATAACAATTTGTCTAAAAAAACTATATACATAAAAAGGCAGTTTATTTGTACGTCACGATTTTGCAGGCTTTCGGTAACAACAATGAGTTTTGATAATGATAGCAAACAATGGCCATGAAGATATACGGGAAGACACTAAAATACTGACCAGGATCTCTTTGATCTTAGTTTAGGCGGGTCACTTCTCGGAATAAGGAAGAGGGCTCTCATTGGATGCATGTCACAAAGAGCTAGAAAAAAGGAGTTATATAGAGCCTTTATGAAAATGGCGATAGGTCAACATCACAGAAAAGGAAGAATCATCAGTTACTCAGCTGCTAGTAAAAATACAAAGACAAAATGTATTGTGAAAAAATATCATCATAGGAAAATGTCATTTATCAAATAATACTGCCATTTGATATCATAGGTATCAGACTTGTATGAGTCACTGGAACTTCACTTAAAAATAGCTGGAAACTTACGAGGCTGTGATTCTGCCATTTCTATTGCTGTTATTCCAACTGACCACATGTCACACTAAAAAAGTTTAAAATCAATTACACTTTAGCAAACAACAATTTTGGAAACTAAATTAACACTATAATTTCAAAGAAAATCTACTAATGGAACTTAAGGCTTTAAAAAAAATAATGTTTTATGAGCAGCAAAATAGGTAAGACATTTCTACCTAAAATATAGCTCCTTGTATAGTGCATTTTTGCTAATTTTCTTGCAAAAGACTGCCCACCAATAAATTTTAGTGAACAAGACTTAAAACTAATTCTCTACGCATAAAATAACACTCAAACAAATGATATATAACAAGTTTTCTGTTTACATCTACAGCTTGCCAAGCTAAATATGGTTCGCTTCTAAACAAAAATTAAATCGGAAACAAAAAATTTTCTAGGATCAAGGAAAATGAAAAAACTGACAATCAACTGTGAAGATAACAATCCCTTTGCAGGCAAGAAGCCACATGGCCATAAAGGGAATTGCCAAAGTAGAGAAAGATGGGCTCAATGATGATTGCCAGTTCTGCTTTGAATCGATTTGTAGAAAATTTCAAGGAAATACGAGATACTAAGGCTGCTTGAATTGAAGGGAATACGAGAAAGAAGGAAATACGAGATACGAACCCTGTTGTCGTATGTGGCATCTGGTTGCTCATCACAAACAATGACTTCTGGTGCCATCCTAACAAAAGAATATTAGGTAAATTTGAAATCATGTTTATAAATAATTTATGTTGAATCTTAAAATACCGGATATTTCCACTCTTCAATCATCAAATATTTTGATCGATCCCTTTAAAGGCAACAAGAAAATTCACAAGAAAGCTCCCTATTCTGCAAACTACTACTATTTCCTGTTGCTTGATGTTGAGATAGAGGTTGAAGTACAATGATACCTTACATGCAGAGCCAAACAATAAACAAAAGTGACTCGATTGCTATTTTCTTTTACACTGCATTGCATCCAATGATACTTCTCATGATGTACTGAGTAGCTATGCATATCGAGCAGGACAATTGTACTCAATTTTCCCATACGTCTCTTTTTATGTCTGATTCCTATTCCAATGTGCCCATAGGCCTGTCTGATCCCTATGCCTGAGATCTCGAAGAGCCGGCTCTTCTCACCAGTAAAGACTACTGTCTTAAGGTTTAGACGTAAGGAACACTGTTGTCTTGAATTACTATCCAATGGCACTTAACAATCTTGATAGTGAATACGATGCACGATAGATACAAAGGTGTGGTACTCCTGACCACATTAATCTAAGACCATTGCACTATTTGACAATAACATCCAATTGAAATGGTATACCAGAGTAGAGTTATACTCCTAGGCACGCACATAAACAGAATCTATGCAAATATACCAAGTATACAAAACTTGAACCTGACAAAAGCCTTGTGCTTTAAATCAAAATCAGTTCAAAAATCATAACAATAATTACTATGTAGAAACTAATGATTTAGGAATTGGTTTTTCATTCTTTAAAAACTGATTTGCAACTTTTAAAAAATGAAAAATAGAGAAGGTAGCAGTCCTATGATTTCATGAGTCAAAGATTTACGCAGTACTTGCATAATCGAAAAGTAACGAATGCAGTGGCAGGGACTGTTATAACATGCAGTTGCTTACAAAAGATGAAAACTCACCAATACGGCGTGCCGATAAAAGTGTTTCTTCTCCCTACTGTTCGATCAAGCTGCGCGCTTACTCCGAAATCAACTAGCTTGACTTCAGCATTCTCAGTCAGCAAAATGTTCTGTCCTTTTATATCTCTGTGTATGACGTGATTTTGATGCAGATGTTGAACTCCCTGTAAAAAAGAATTCCTTGCTGTTAGATTCAAATAGAAAACCCCCTGAAACAGGAGCTGGACAAGCGTTTTCAAGCCACAAATATGAAATTAAAAACCCTGGAAATTGGTTCCATTGGTTTCTAAAGGACCGAACTAAACTTTAGTTTAGGCCCAAAACTCGATAAATATTGAGAGAAAAGGCAAATAAGATGGTCCACTTGGAAAAAATCGAAATTTTTGTGATTCAGATAAGAATTTGTCAATGTAAAGCTGCACAAAAAGTAACAAAATATGATCTCATAATTGAGGCTATAAAAAAACGTATTGGGGATTATTAGAAAAATTCTTCTAAATGTAGAAATAAATCTCCCAAACTTTTACAAGAAAAATATATAGCAATGGGGTGAGACAAGAACACAAGAACTGCTTTAAACTAAATGAATGCACCGAATTTCAAAAAAGAAGTAAGAAGGATACAGATGTAAGCAACACAAAAGAAAGAAATGCTACAAACCGTCAAAACTTCTCTACAAATATATGCGATCCAGTCTTCTTTAACTGATTTTGTTTTTGTTGCTGAAATAAAACATGATGTGTAATGAATAATTAGATTCTAGATTATTAAGATGTTTCTTGGTTAAACTACATTTGGGAAGTTTCACTCAATGTAGAATGTCACTTACTTTAGTATAAGTTGGAATTTTTGTGACTTTTCTGATAAGCAAACCCCCTTACAAGCATTGCTATCATAAATGTAAACCAAAAACTGCCAAAGATCTGGGTGATTATTGGAGGAAATACAGAAAACAAAATGGTAGACAGATATGTGATTATTTATTTATATTTTTTTGTAATGATTTTTCTTTGGCACTCTAACTTATCTAAATCTATTTTGTCATTACTGGGAAACAGATCATGACCTACTCACCTTTAACAAGATCTGTTACTGATCCAGCTCCACAAAATTCCATTACAAGCTGTTAAAGATTATTACATGATTATTGCACTGTTAAACCAACTTGTCTTGACAACCCAAAAAACAGAAACCAATTTCACAAAGATGGTAAGCAAAGCATGAATTGATTAACAAAAGCCTTGGACTCAAAAGTATCTGCACATACTCCAGTAGGATAAATTTGTCACCTTCATAACTGCTATATGCAGCTTTTAAATCTACACAATGAAACAAGGAGCAATAACATTACATACACCACTAAGCTTTTGTACCATCATTATTATCATTGTGCTTCTTGGTTTTATAGAATATCAGTGGAGACATAACAATTTGTTAAAACTGTCCTTCAAAAACTCTTTAATTTGTGCCATCGAACGGCATTTAAATGGACCTCAAACTCTATAAAACTCTCTCTTGGTGGACATAGCAGTAATTAAACAAGGAGCGATTAATACGAATTAGCTTGATTTCAAAAATAGACATTGCAAATGTCACTTGTGGTTTTAATGATTGAACTCACCCATAACTGGTCGTCTTGCCCTTCCATCATTTTCTTGATAAAAGCGCCATAGTATCTGGCAATATTTAGATGATTTGAATACTGCAATGAAACAAGATGCAATCTTGCTCAAAATCCAGTAACTTAAAATCACAAGTGAATAACAAATAGGCTTAAACAAAAAACAATATCTAACAGAGAAGCACTAAATATATCAGCACCAAATACTTGCTCCACTTCAATCATAGGCCAAATAAATTACCCAGATGTTTCACTATTAATAATAACACAAAAATGTAAAAATATACCTTGCGTAAGACATTTATCTCAAGCTTGATTTCCTCTTCTTCATCCTGTGAATGAGAGAAAACTCAAATCAGAAATGCTCTTCTACATCCCTATATTATGTTACAAAACTGTAAAACATGGCCATCATGGCTATTGTTAACTAAATTTGTAATAATTTCCAATAATTATTTCCAAAATTTGCGATAAGTTATTATTTTATGGTAGAAGCAAAAGGGAATAGTTGTTTTTCAATTCAAATGAAGAGAATCTTGCATACAAATATCGGACCATCAATGACAATATGAAATTTTACTTCAGGTCATTATGTCAGATAAAGTCCAAGAAAAAATTGAATATTCTACTTAAGCAGAATTTTATGATACCATTTGAAGAGGCAAATCATTTCCCAATACTCCAAAAAGTATATTACTTTGATATAGCTTAAATGAACACATACTTTAGATACAACTTTGGAATATATCCTAATGTATAAGCTATCAATTTAACAATTTCTCAGAAAATAGATAAAAAAAACAAGAAAACAGATTAATCACTACTAACCTCCGTAACACTCATAATCTTGATGGCTGCCAACTGTCCAGTTCTTTTGTGCCTTCCCTAAATCAGGGGATATAAACTGATAAGATCAACAATATCCATACTCTCTAAAATCTTAAAGAAGTATGAATCATCAATTTTTTAAAGTTGTCAGATTACTGGATTGTTTGAAATTTGATACAAAATTTAAACCTTAAATAAACTTCGCTTTACATAATCTAGTTATCTAAATATCTAAGTCATAATTTAATCCTCTGTCAATCTGGACATTTACTTTGAATAATCCAGCTCTACAAAATGGCTAAACCTACAATCCCACCATATTGATTGATCACCTGTGTATCTGTAAGTTCTTTATACTTGTAGAACATATTGTTTTGGCTACAGAATGATTCCACTGACTAAAGTACAAAACTTAAAATGTTCTATTTGGGACAAGGTTGAGAAATGGGAGAGAGCAGAAGAGCATAAAACATCAAACAGCAAGTAAAGAGTTGTCAATTTACTTCAATACTATTAAAACTAGCAACTAGTAATATTGTTAGTTTGCTGTTAGCTATAAATCAAAAGTTAGTGTATGAGTGCGGCTACCTACTTACAGCTACAGGGTATTTAAGGGACACACTGGTCTATCAACAATTTTAGAAAGAGCAAAATACTGACACACTCTTTTTATATTTCCTTGATTAAAATTTTCAGTCAGAGATGGTCCACTCTCTAGAGCTAAAAAGCTTCCAGATTGCATAAAACAGTGTTATCATTGGTTGAAAGCTTTTTTGGCCTGCCACTCCTCAGAGCATGAAAAAATTTGTCTTTCACAAAAATCTGACTCGCTGTTGAAAGAGAAGTATCCAAATCTATATTAATTGTAGGGAAGAAATATAACTTGATGCCAGGCCTTTCTTTTCATGTGGATAATCACCCTCCCCCTCACCATCGTCCTCACCAAAATATTGACACAGGCTATTGACCGCCTAGCAAAACATGTATCACTCACAAGAGAAAAGTAGAACACTTAGGAAAAAGTTAGCAACAAATGTCACAATTGTTGTTGTCAACATTATTCAATTTACATCTTCTTGCAGGGTCATCAAGGATTTTCCCTGGAGTCTTTTTAACTAAATACCCTAAATTCCCTGATACCCTAATCCCCCTTCAGGTCCTGAAGGACTTTGTTTAACCATCAAGAGCCACATGTCTTACTGCATGTCTTAAAATACCAGCTTTCCTTCATATATATATTTAGAAAAAGATTCTAAAAAGTAGATGAAGTGAGGACCTTGCTCTGCCAATGCTTTAATTTTGGTAAACAACTGATAAAAACATGCAGACTCCCAAGACTAGGTCTTTCTCTTCTGTAACTTTTGAGGCTATATGTTGCATTGTGAGAATGCTCTATAGTTTGATTTGACTGGTTCAGTGGAATCAATGTCAAGAAATCTTACACATTACCTTGTAAACTTGCCCATAAGTTCCATTTCCTACAACTTCAACCAGGTCAAAATAGCCTGCAGGCTCCTGAAAAGAAAAAATATGGACCTTTATTTATGCTCAAGAGGATTACCTACTTCTGATCTGTAATCATTTTGTTTCACATTTCAAAAGCCCGGGTGAATGAGACAAAAATATTAAGTGACACACTGTGTAAATTATGTTGCTTATGTTAAAGAGAACATGATGGACAAACTTTCAATAGACCAAAATTATTTCAAAGTTCAAAGACCAAAGTCTAAAAAAACATAATTAAATAATACATATTTCAATAGACCATTCTTGGTTAACGATGCCAGAAGGAATTTTTTCTTTGTTCTCTGAAAATATGGCCTAGATAGCTCCTTGTGAGTTCTTTTAATATGTCCGACAGCAAACATACTAAACTTCAAACTACCTACTGTATGTAGTTCTTCTTTTTTTGTAAAAAATAACTGTTATTTGTGGTTCAAGTATTAAATATAAATGTAGTAGTTAATTATTGCTGTGAATGAAATGTTTTGAGTTTTTTTTTGAAAATGTCAAGAGGGGCAAATTCCTAAAAATTGGTGGTGAATAGAGGCTACAGTAGGATTGATGTGGCATGAAAACTCTTGGTGATGTAAACAGACTTGAAATCTATACAAACATTTAATGAAGTGGAGATGAAGAGAGGCCTTACCATGGCAGGAAGCAATCATTAAAAGAATTGTGATATAGACAGTATCTGCTATTTTGTCCCTAATAGGCTAATGGCACCACCAAACCCAAAATACCCAAAATGGTGTATCCTTTTATCATAAAGAATGTACTTCTCTTACAAAACTCCCTCTACAAGTTAATCTGTATACATGTTTGAGATATTATGTTAAACTTTCAGCTACTGACAAATAACTAATACATCAATAAACATGATAGTAAACTTTAAATTTTCAAATCTAGAGAAAAATGAATTTTAGCTAAACATTTAGGATAAAAAGTCCTTAGTTTGGCACTGCTTGTTAATCTCTGGCTAGCTATAAAATGAGAGATCAGTATCGTGTTTGTAATAGTGTTTTACTGAAACCCTCATAGATTGGTATGAAAGGCCTTGATGGCAATAAAAATAACGTGTTATCAATTTTCAACGGTAACCGATGTCCTGAAAATTGCTGGAAGCCATTGCAAACAAAATTTTAATGGCAATTTATGCATGTTGAATTATGTCTATTTAGAGTCCGACGAATCGATAAACTTTACAGTACAGCGGATAAACGCAGACACAATTACGAAAATAAACACATGTTTTGAATTTCTCATTGCAAATCCTAATCAAGAAAGGTCTGTATAATATTTCAATTGCCATGCTTAATATTTTCAAGTGTAAACTCCATAGCTATTGATGCTCAGCATGTCTATAAGCAAATAATAACCACAGTCAGGTACTTCCAAAACTTCTATATGAGAAAAGTAATTATGATTAGATTTAGGTCTTACCTTCAAATTAGACAGGTCGATGTCGTCCAAACTCGACATTTTTCACAATGGGCCTAAGCACAGCTTTTCCTGCCAGCTATCGTGCTCCAACAGTCATAAATACGAAATAAAAAATAGTGTTACGAACACAAAGAAATGATATATATAATATTCAGAAAACAGCCATTGAACTAAAATTCAAGCATTTTCCATGACCAGAACAGTATTAACAATTCGTCGCAGCTCCACACCTTTTCTGGCAGACCATCATTTCCTTTCTTTCTCAGCTCAACCACCGGATATGCATATTGTTTTGGTCAAGAGCCGACCCAGACCTCCCAAATGAATTCTTCATTATCAGAGAGCGTCCTTTCATATTCCTTATTCTTTTGCAAATTTTAATTCGTGTGCGAATGCAAAATTTACACCGACGTACAAATGAGAACACGAAGAATTACATATTAGCAAAAAAAATTGCAAATAAAAACATATCTGCAGCAGGAAGCCGAAAGAAAATACGCTTTGTATTCAATTTCATATCATTAGACATCAATTAAATAGCGATTATAACGAACAGTAAATCAATTCACGGCAAATTTATTAAAACATTTATCCTATGACATTTCAGTGCAATTTCTAAAGCCTGTGGCTACGAGCAATTTTGTGTGAACCCAGCGGTCGTATTTTGAGACGAAAGAGATAAAATGAGTAGCCTTAAAACCCATACTAAAGCGCATCTTTATGTCTTTCATATGGAATGAGATATTGCACAGAGAACACTTCAGTTTAACCCTCAAATAGTAATGAATAGCAAAGAAAAGCCTGTTGAAGCTATTCACCTTTATCCCGTCTTCTATCGCCTTTATGTTAAAATAAACGTATTACTAACTGGGAGGCCCTTGGAAAAACTGGAAGACGAGACTGTGAGCGAAAGGAGCAGAAAATATCTGCGAACACGACCTCAAGATAAGCTTAAAATACATTTCAGAATATTTTTTCTAGCCATTCTCTTGCAAACGATCAATGTAAGTAAATTGTACCAGGAAAATTTTTTTTAAAATAATTATTTATTTGTTAATTATTTAAAAAAAAAATTTCCTGGTACAATTTACTTACATTGATCGTTATTAAAGTTCATCATATTGTACCGCACGCATTTTAGTATATTTATTCTCTTGCAAAAGTTCAAAACAATTAACTATTTTTAGGCACAATTCTTAAAATGGAATTCTTTACATTATGGGAACCCATAGGCCTCAAGGGCATGGGCAAATTTCAATGCCCTTGGTACTAATAGCAGTATTCAGAAAAATTATCTCCTCTCGGTGGCCCTTGTTACTTGCTTATAGCGCTGTTGAAAGAGTGTTAAAGCTTTTCTAATTTCTTTTCAAATGTTAGAACGTTGACGGCTTAATGAAATGTATATGAAGTAGCTATGGCAGACTTATTACAACCACACAACCTTACATTTTACCCATGTGACTGCCTCTGGCGAAATTTATTTATTTTTGTTCTAAACAATTTTTTTTCTGCAAGAGAAACCACCCCCGACTTTGGTGAACCAAAATACCGTGGTATTCCAATAGAATTTAACCGAGAAAGCTTTGGCTGATACCCAAATCTCAATAATAAGTCTCTTTCGTAAACCGTTATTGCTAAACATTATTACTAAAATAGTTTATTAGTTGCTAATCTGTGTTAATCTTTAGAGCAAAATTTTTCTGTTTGAGATGCAATACACTTCTATACGAACTATCCCTATCACTATACTAGCTAGCGTGTTGTACAATATCAAATAATATAACTAGGAATCTAAGTAAAACTGTAGCAGAAAAAATAGCGAAGTTATCAACGACGTTTCAAGCATAGCCTGTTATAAAGGAATAGGCCATTTCAGCCATTGGCCTAAGGCCATTTTTGGTGACCATAAATAGAAGCAAACGTTTATCATCTACCTTTCGTTAGTCTGGTTTAGTTATCTAGGTGATTAATTACAAGCTTAAGCAAAAAAAGATTCACAAGCAAATTCATTTCTCGCCATTGTTTCGACACTCCAACAAATGCAGTGTCCTACGCCAAGGCCTTTCTCTTCAATCAAAACTCGACAGATGCAGAGACTGAATATCAGCATTTGGCTACTGAAGATGTTCCTGCTGATCTAGACCACACAGAAACAAAAAGAACTACGTCAATTCAAATGAATATCAACTGTATCTTTAATAGCAAACATTATATCTGCTAAGATAATTTGAAACTTTAGACTATTTTTATGACGTAACATTTAACCAATTTTCAAATATAACCAATTAGCGAAATTTTCAAACTTCTTCTAGAGACGCTAAGACTGAATAAAGAAAAACGAAAAAATGTGGCCAAATTGAAGAAATATTATTTTTACTAGCTTCCAAGTCAAAGATCTGTCCATAAAATATAGCTTCTGAAAGCTTTGATTCAAATAATAACTATCAATGTTTTGAATGAAGATTACCTCGCTACTTGGGAAATCTTCTGGCCGTGGCTCTAGCTCAGGATTTTAACGATTCTCGCAGAGACCTTATATCATCTGGAGAAGTGCGGCAACATCCTCCTAGAATAAGGAAATGTGCTGTCTATATTTTTCCATTTTTTGAATGAATATCGTAAAAAGTGAAAAAAGGTATAGCAAAAGGGGGTACATGGAGGAGTGCTGTATCCCCAAACTTTGGGTTTCTTGACAAATAAAGAAAAATCTCTCGACTCTAAGTAACCATCTACTGCTTCATTCATACATTCAAACAAATCCATTCATACTATGTAACCCATCACTGCCTGAAAAGTTTCGGTGCATACGTCTTTTAGAAGTAATTGGCAAAAACTCTAACTCGAGCACTGTTTTGGAAAATTAACAGCTTCCTGCACGAATAGAAGCTTTAACAGTCAAATACTGCAGGCTCTGAAAAGCAAGCATAGTTACCGATCCATTTTCCGCCAGAATCAATCCAAGAAGAAGCATAATGACAAAGCTTCTTGGGTGAATCTGATTCCAGCCAGCTGAAAAGACAGTACAAATATTAAGAAAAGTATCTAATGAGGGGGTGTAGGGGGTTTGACATCCCCCAAATTTTTCATTAGTTGGTAGGTAAAATCTTTTTGATCAGCAAAATCATACACAAACAAATGCAGATGGTTATAAAAAGATAACTTTTGGTGGATAGAGATCAGCAAGATTGTCTCAATAAATTAAATCAACAAATGATAAACTTGACAAAAAAAGAGCTTTATACTTTTCTATTCACCTTCCCTTGTCCCAAGATTCACCACTGTTTGGGTATACAACTTTGACCTTGTCCTCTGCAATGCGCTCCTTCTGCAAACCTCTAAGTAGAGGCTAATTATACCAAAGTAAAAACATTGATCAATAAAACACAATACAAATCAACAATATTACAATAACCAAGCAACAGCTTCCATTACGAAAAATTCTTTGACAGTACAATATTTGAAAATGGCTTTGATAAAAGCAAACAATTTACAACAAATTAAGAAGTTTTTCGTCTGATACTCATCACTGTATAACAAGGGCCAGGAAGAACGCGATAGAAAATATATACCCAGTTCTGGATCGAAATCGACCAATCAAAAAAACGCAAGCACATGACCGATATAGTTGTCCAATCTAATCTGTAACGTCTAAGACTTTTCGAGCTGCAACGTCATCAGCATATGTAAATTGTTGAGAAATATTTAGAACTTAAATTCAAAAACTCTTTATCTACTAAATATAAGGTTAAGAAATTTGGAAATTCTACTTACCTCTATATATTCAGGTTTGGTACAATTGATTCCAACACCAAAAACCTAAAACAACTATGAAGTATTAGAAAACATTGGCCATGAGATGGTAAAATTTCTATAGTGAAGTAGAAATGCTTTAGAAAATATTCGTTAGTTCCCTGCTTTCAGTCATAACTTCTGAACAAGAAAAACCATCAATGTTATTTCTAAAATGTCAACTAGCCGAAGAAAGACTGCGGATTGGAGGAGAATGAGGAGTTCTATGCATGCTTCTGACGGCAAGACGATAGTCATGCTTTCTTCAAGAACTTTTTGATTTCAAGTAACAGTCAAGTAGTCAGTGTTTTGTGAAACTTTCGATGAAAAATTGTCCTTTTCTCTAGAGGATGCTTTAGTGACATCTAACCTGGGTGTCGAATGAAAGGGCAAATTCCCTAAAAGTTCGTATCACACCTTTGAATCTGTCTATTAAATAATTTTTTCAAATTCATACAACATAATAAAGCATTGAGATGCATCAACGAATTCTCGAAAAACAAAGCCGTTTCAAAATAAGGAAGTAAATTACATTCACAAGGTAGAAAATTGGCTGTACCTGATCAAAGGAAGAAAGCGACGAAACTGCTTCAGTGAACTTTTCCCCGTGACATAGCGTCTGTTCGTCCTAAAACAAACAATAGCAAAAAACTTTTAAGAAAACGAAACTTTCAACTCTATCATCGACATTTTTACTGCCTAATTATATCCGCTTAACATTTTATCAAAGCAGAATGTTGTCATGTTTTTTATATAAGAGTTCATATAACGTCCATTCAAAAAAGAAGAAATTGAAAAACTGTCAAATCAAAAACGAGACCTTGCATGAAAATGATATCCATGCTTTTGTACTTGGAAAACTTTTTAATAAGTCGCACAGTGCTAAGGCCTCCTTCTAGAAGACAAAAACAGCGTTAGAATAACTCATTAAATGGTACATTGTCATTTTCCAAAGATCCAATAATATGCTAAATAATATGATTCAATAATATGCTATAATATGATAAAAAATCTTTTCATTTAGATTGCCACTTGAATGGAAAGGCTTGCACCAATTACTTTGCAGCAAATCCAGAAAGAGAAAGGGTGAGATCTTTGAAAAAGATGATTAGTCAGTTTTTTTGTTTTCATAACAGTAGGTTTAGACGACAGACTAAAGCATATTAAAGCAAAGATGGAACTAAATGTAGGCTGCTCGAATTTCAACAAACTTTGATTGCTGAATGATGATACTTTGAACATGAAACAATAAAGCATTTGCAGTAGTTCTGAGATCTACTATTAGTGCTAAGGGTGATTGGACCAACTTGAAAGACATTTAGAAATATAGCCAGACTCACCAAAGCAGGAATCGTCTCAATTGCCAGTAGATCAACGCCAGCTTCCACCAACGCAACCATACGAGGCCGATGCCATTCTATAAGTTCCTGAAGTAGAGAAAAATTAAAATGTTTTTAGCAAACAGCTTGTATTATATTCAATGGATACTAAGAGCTTTTTCAAATCCCATGTCCTAAATAAATACTGTCTTTATCAAAAGGAGAATCTTTCCTACATTTTAAATAGTAAATACAATTGGCCTAATAAAGAGAGCGACAGGCAACAGCCTTGTAAACTTAGAGCACTTTTGTTCAGTATAAAGACAGGGATAAAAAGACTATATAAAAAAAGTTAGAGCATTTGAAATTTGTTGAAAAACGGAGATTTAAAAATCTATATTGGATAAAACTAATACACATTAATGCAAACAATTAAACGGTCTGGTTGATCACCATTGAATGAGCCAGAAAACAGCAACTATTTTTTACCAACCTATTAAACAGTGAAAAACTATACTGTTTAAAATTTTCGCCTGTAGTTTTAGGTGTAAGACTCAAATTAACTGAAAACTCTAAATTTTCTATGAACACTTTTCTTACGACATGAAAAAGACAAACAAAGATACTGTTCGTCTAAGCTTCTAATAAATAGCCTATGTTGACACTCTGTTGGTTCACGCTGAACCAAACCAAACAAAAGGAGACCAATTCACCATATTTGATTACAAAGATAAAGAGGATTGAGAGTACATGGCAATGAATTGATTGAAAAAACAAACATCCAAATGACTGTTCCATTTTTGACGATGCATTCCGGACAAAATAGTCGAGAATTTTCAAGAAAAGTTGATGTTCTCTCTTCCCTTTGAAAAATGATTTTTCCTCTACCTCGGATTCAATGTTGTATGCGTGTTTTGAAGCACAAATGATACAATTAACAATCCGGCATTGATTCGGGTGGAAGAGGGATTCGAATTTCAAGGGGTAACGTAAAGGAGAACATTGCAAAAATTGCATTCTGTCTTCGCAATTTTTTCCGAGATTGTAGAAACAAACGCCAGCGAATAACACTTTCAAATAAGAATCCAGCTTGCCTGCTAAACCATCACATTTGTGAGCGATTAAAGTTAATAGAGAGATACTAAAGTGTCTTAAGCCATCTCCCATTTACAGCTGGCCAGTCCACTAATGAAATACCTCTTACATGTTTATTGGCTGGCCAATAGTTGATTGAAAGAAGGCTTAAGCCATTTCATTATCCGTCGATTGCCCTTAATTGGCTACATTTTATCGAAAAGCCGAAGAATGAGCTTCATATCAGTTAATAGCGAGCAGTGTTGTTTTTTGCTTGATACCTTATGAGTAACATTCAATGAATCAAATTTACCTCAAGAGACATGCTGTCTACATACTTCCCACTGTATTCAGAACAATCATGTTGACATGCACCATAAGGTCCAACGGATCCAGCTACTAAAGGGAATCTTCTCAAAGCTAAGAAAAAATCACAAGAATTACAAACAGAAAAATACAGTTTATTGCATGCAACAAGTTGCAACCCCAAATTTCATGCTTAATGCGATCATCAGGCAACTTCATAAACAGTTAGACAAATTGCTCAAAATAAAATCATAATAATCATGAGCAACAAAAAATGCTTAAAAGAAAACACTTTAACAATTTAAAATGCAACCTGAAAGCAATCAAATAGTGATAATTTTATTAAGCAGCTGAGAAAAGAAAAAGCTTCACAGACCTTTTTTAAAGCCTGATAAATCTTCTTTGCATGTATTACCTCGCCTGTAAAAAATGATTCAAGTTTAAAACTGAGCTTCTGTTGGCAAGTTTTTTTGCAAAATCAAACATTTGTTTCGTTCTTTAAACCCTATGCATTGCTGAATATAGGTCAACAAATTATTATTTTCTGCCAAACAAACAAACTTTAAGATGCAGTAAAGGTTTCAGGCTAGAAACCATTACTGATGTGCATTAACTGCTGCAACTCAATAAAATATCAAAACAGAATACACAAATCAACAAAGCAAAATTCCTGTGAATGAAAAAAGCTAAATTTACATTGTTTTTTTCAAAAGGTAGAGATATAATTTTTTGAGTTCATCATAGATCTACCATGTTTGTACTCTATTATGCACAAATCTTAAAGATAGACAAGAGAAAGTGCCCCATGTTAAGCAATTAAAAGGATCAGGTCCAGTAATACCAGAACTCTTCACAAGCATCTTTGGCAACAGTTACAGACAACTTTATGTAACCAAGTGCTTCTTCTCTTGAGCAATTCCCAAATTTTATTAATGAAGGAACACTTGTCTGTAAAATAAAATAACTTGAATATTTAACAAAGGCAGTGGCATATTTAAGGGGGGTAACTAGGGGTGAGTTGAAGCAAGTCTGGCACCCCTTTTTTGGAAACTGTGCGTCCCTTTTGAAGGATAAGAATCAGGTGAAAAAGTTTCTGAGATCGATAGGTTAATTTGCTTCAAGGATTACCTCAAAGTTATGTTGTTTATTCCGAAAATGGATCTAAAATGTTGTATATAGGGTACTCTCATCACTAACAAAGGTTAGTGTCAACAAGCCTTTTTCAGACAGTAGCATAGGCATGGGGAATGGAGAGTCCAAAGTCCTTTCATTTGAATAACATAGCCCTTCACTTTGTGGGAACAGGAGTAGACAGATCCATTATATCACATTGCCCCTGAAAGACACTTTATTACAATTTCAACAACAAAGTATTTTGTTGCAATATATTCATAAGGGCACTATCCCCTTTTTGGGGTACATGGGTATGGACACTGCACACAGTGCGTGGTTTTCCCTAGGGGTGTACATCAATGGTTGCAGAAAGCTTGATGCAATATAGACTGATAGGTACAAGCCTTGATATTCAGAATATGAAGGTCCTAATGTTATTTCTCAGAATTCATCCTAAATCCACTCATCAAACAAACTCTTAACTGTACATCAAAAACAACAAACTAAAAACACATTTGAAAACCATCATCATCATCTTTATACTCTTTTTCTGGATGATTGTAAGCTGTTTAATATTATTAATATATATCATTAGAAATATCAACATTCATCATTTGTAGCCAAAAAGGTAACTTTCCCTGTCAGGATTATTTCTTACAACTCTCAGTTCACGCATTACTTAACTACACTCTGTCATTGGTTCATTGTTCTGGTCAATGAACCCTTTGCAGAAAAATTTTTTGAGTCCAGTATATTATCTTTACATGTACTGTTTGGATGAGTGATGAAAGTTACTGGCATCAACTCTTACAAAATTGTCAAATTTAAAACTATTATACTAAAAGGATAAAGAGTTACTTGCAAATGTCAAATACATTGTTTATTGCCTGAAATTCAAAAACATTTAAGTTTTATTGGAAAATTTCTATGAAACAGATCAGATAAATAATTTACCTGGTAGGAAGAAGTTATTAACACATCTGAACCAGCCTCCAGGTACCTAAAAGTCAAGAAAATGAAAGTGTACATTAAAAATAATTTTTGAGAAGCAAAATTAGGTAAATAAGGAAAACAATGACTTAACAATTCTTTAATTTCTTTCAATACATATCAACTATCAAAATGTAAAAAAATTGTTTGAATACAGCACTGACAAAAAGCTGGGACTTTGTGGCATCATCCATTAAATCAAGGTGGGAAAACACAGTTCTGTGCAATAAATGTGTAGAGGGGCCACAGAGGCTCAATTGCTGCAAAATGACTCAAGGCTAATGACAAAATGAAAATATTTTTCAAAAAAGAATGAAATCTAAATTAAGATTCAAAAAGCAAAGAGACTTTTAGCTATTTGATTTGGCATGAAACAAACAAGTAAACTGAATCCAAAATATGCTAATCCGATAGCCATTAAAATTACCTCTTATGAACTTCTTTTATTGAACTTGGAGAGTTCATCAATATTCTTGCACTCCACAATGGATCATTCTAAACCACCAGAAAGTAAAATAACTGTATAAGGACTTGTAATTAACAAGGCCTTTGAAACCAAGTGCATGGTGCCTTAAGGGGGAGCAGGTAGAGATTGCCCCACGGTCTAAACTTGTTTAAACATAACAGAAGTATGCCTCAAAATAGCAAAATTTTGCAAATGATTGCAAGAAAATGAATGGCATGGCAAAATGAATGAATGGCGTTATGTGCAATTTTTTCTCTGGGCTTGGATAGTTTACAATGAAAAGGCTAAAATCATGAAAAGTTTTTGATTTAGTCCTTGAATTTTAAGGCGTCTTCAATGCCTAAGAGCCCTTGCTCCATCCTACAGTGCTCATATTTATGCACTTAAATTAATTTGAAATAAAGTCAGTATATCAGTCTTGGAATATACAGTATTTTCATGAAATGCCAAATATTATATTTTCTCATTTTCATCCATTGTTTCACCATGACCTGGCTTTGATTATTCATGAGCCCAAATAAGGTCTTTTATTCTAGCATTTGAGCATTTGAAAGTTAGCTAATTTTTTAAGAATACAGGTAACTTTTTTAGAAAGTAATCAAAACACCCGATGTATAAAAAAATTATTGAAAATGGTATTCAAATTTACGTCTATGTTAAAACCAATCTTTGGGAGTTCTGTGGCAAGACCACCATCTAATATTGTAATACCTGAAAGCAAATAAAGTAAACATGTAATATTGCAAATGACATTGTGTTTTCTTCAATTGTGAAACTCAAACAGAATATTCTGCTATGTTCTGCTCTACTTTACTGTCCCTCTGGCTATCAGACTCAAAGCTACCACACTTCTTTCACATCAGATACATAAAAATAACTATACATAGTACAAACTTATACTTAGATTTGGCTGATCATTACAATATTGTACTAATTATTAATCAATTTGTTAATGCTGATTATTATAGCTTATTGTGTTTTTAGTTCAAGGTATTTTGTGTTTTAACACAGATCTGATTAAACATACAATAACAACTCTTATACGGTTTAAGTTGTTAGTCGATATATTTCTAGTGTGAATTGCTGTGAGTCTAAAGTCTTGATCTTGTAGAGCCAGCAGCCAGAGCCGCAAAACCTATCGAACCAAAACTAGATAGTTTATGGAGAATCACGAGTTAGCAATAAAATAAATTATTTGCCCATAATTATTGATTAAAGGTGAAATGAAGATGTTATTTTGGGTTTTTTAATTTGACTTTCACTTACCGTCTTCAGTAAAACTTTTCGTTGCTTCCATTTTCTCTGTTATCGTTGTTGTTGTCGTTGCTGTTGCTGTTTACATCCTCCTTTCTTGTTTTGTTGTTGTCGTTGTATACATTTACCATAGACAGAAAAAAATTGTAATATCATGACATTTATGAATGTAAAATCGGTTCTATTTCAGTAAAGTTTAGTAAAAGACAGGTAGGTTGGAATGTTTTAATTCTTTTTCGTTATCATCTGATCGTAATCAAGCTGGCAATAATGAACAGGTGCGAGGATGGCTCCAGTTGTTAGAGGCGCTGACTACAGACCCAAGGGTCTGTGGTTCAAGTCCCTGGCATGACCAAACTTTCACCCAGAGTGGGGAGAGTCGCCAGCTCTCTGTAATTCCAGGCGTAGGAATCATGAGGCGTAGGCACATTGAGAGGAAGGACCAGGACACTGCTCGATAAGCATAGCTTCTCAGTGTCCTAAAAACTACCTTCGGATGGTAGGTAGCAACAAATACAAATACAAATACAGTGTTACGTGAGCTGGGATGGCTACAGACCTGTCATTGTCAACCAAAAATTTTCAAAACCTGGAGATTTCAGATTTTTTTGAGAAAAACAGGGAGATTTGGTCAAAACAGGGATATCCCTGGAATTTGTTGAATTTATAAACAATATACCTGTCAAAAAAACCATGTTGGACAAACAGTTAATGACAACAATTATCATGGGTAGGTTCTTACTAATGGTTTTTAACGTTTTCGTTAATATATAAACACTACCAAAAAAGTTTGTCACGAAGAAAGTAATTTCAACCATTGTTGTTTCAAGAAAACCTCTGCTGAAAACAGGGAGAAAATCGTAAAAAGCCTGGAGACCAGGAGAAAGCAAACAAAACCTGGAATATCCCAGCAAAACCGGGAGAGTTGACGAGTTTGTGGCTACATGAGTGTATTTTGACATTTTTTCACACATGTAAAGGAAAGGTTCATGAGCTTATAGCTAGGACCTAGCAAGGGAAAAGGAGAAAAGATTAGGAAGCAAGAGAGGAAAGATCAAGTTTTTGTTAAATTTTGTTTTGAATTATGACAGGTTGTAAGAATCTGGGAAACAGGAAGGGGGTAGGTTATTCCAACATTTATAAGATCTAGGGAGGGAGGAATAGTTGTGGGATTGAGTTTGAGCGTTTAGCAATGAGACTTGGAAAGGGTGGGCACTGGAAGGTGTCTGGTATTTTGTGTATGTCTCAGGGGACCTGGAAACATTTCTCTGATCTCCAGAGAGCCAGGGTCCATTTCATGTCAATTGTACGCCGAAGGTCCACTGGGTCATTTGTTCAGGAATGCAGAAAATATGAGCTGTTAGTGAAGCTGTAAACATTCTCTGTTCTGGGCAATTTTTTATCTTCGTATCTGCCAAAGATGGATCACAGAATCAAACATTTCATGTTGTTTGGGCCGTCAGGCAGCAAATAAACCCATTTTCAAAATTTAGCTTCTCAGCGGCGAATTCCGGTCAAGTCTAAAGATATATCTAAATATTCAAAACAAAGTAACTCAGGGCCGAACGGTCTAAACAATATGAAGTTCTCAATATAAACTAATTTCAAGATGAAGATTTCAAATCTGAAGTGCGTGTTTTAGAAAGATCTGTAGATAGCGAGATACAGAATTGATGATATCAACCTAGAACGGTGAATTGTACACCAGACAGGGATAATTGATTAATGGAGAAAATTACTCTTTATTTAATTCTTTTTCATGTTATCTGGCTTCATGTTTAGCATGCAAACTTACAAAAAATTTAACATACCCCAGAAATTCTTTTATTGGATTCCACACAGAACGTCAAAAAACCTTAGTGAATGCTGAAGATCTTCGGGTTTAAGCACAATACGTGAACTAAATTACGAGCTTGCCCAGAAGGTTCTACATCGTAATGGAAACATCAAAACATTGTATCGTCTATATCAGCGTCAAAAAGAAACTATCAATCGCTATTTTTGCAAACAATGGCTGTTTATATGTCAGAAACCAATCCAAAAACAGGCAGCAAATCCATTAACCTTTAAACCAACACATTATCTTTTCTTAAATTTATGCCAGTATGCCAAGGAAACTGTGAAGTCCATCTCAGGAGTAAGTCATATGGATTCTGCCCTGGCAAAGGTACCACCCCCCTCGCATTTCTCTTCTGATAAGAAAGTACTTTTTATGAATAACCTGATGTGTGATAGGTAAATGTATTTTTAGGTATGTATGATAACCTAGGGAGAATTAACTTCTAGAATTTACTTTGATTGAATTTGATTTACTTTTGCAGGACACAAAAAAGCTTGAGGAAAATGAGCAAATTCTCGAAAGCTGTATCTCAAATTCTCCATGGCAACAAACTTACCAGATCTGACCCATTTATTAATGGGACATGGATGAAATGCAAGAAGACTTTTCCAGTGTATTCTCCATCGACTGGTGAGCATCTTATTGATGTTGGCGATGTTGAAGAAGAAAATGTCCAGCTCGCAATCAACGCAGCAGCTAATTCTTTAAAGGACTGGAGCATGCTAAGTGCAAAAGAGCGTGGAGCTCTCTTGAATATGTTCCATGAAAATGTTATGAGCCACAGAGAGCCATTGGCACAGATCATGTCAGCAGAATGTGGTAAAACCATCAAGGAGACAAAGCTGGAAGTTGATTATGGTGCTTCATTTTTGCAGTGGTTTGGTGAAGAATCCAAGCGAATATATGGTGATTTGATTCCAGCTGCAAACAACAAGAGCAGAAGATTTGTTTTGAAAAGGCCAGTTGGTGTTGTAGGGCTTATTACTCCATGGAACTTTCCATTGGCAATGATTACCAGAAAACTAGGAGCTGCCATGGCTGCTGGTTGTACTTCAGTTATTAAACCATCAGAGGAAACTCCATTAACAGCCTTAGCTTTGGCTGCCATTGCAGAGGAAAGTGGCATTCCAGCTGGTGTTGTCAATGTACTTACATGTTCAAGGGAAAGCACCCCAATGGTAGGAGATCAACTTTGTGATAGTCAGACAGTACGCAAGATTTCCTTTACTGGCTCTACAGCAACTGGTAAGCTCCTTCTTAAGAAATCAGCTTCCAATGTCAAACGATTGTCATTGGAACTTGGTGGAAATGCCCCTTTCATCATATTCAACTCTGCAGATATCAGCCAGGTTGTCAATGCAGCACTTTTAGCCAAATTTAGAGGTAATGGTCAAACATGTATTGCTGCTAATCGCTTTCTTGTCCAAGAGGAAATTCATCCAAAGTTTATTGAAGAAATGAAAAAAGCTGTGAACAGCCTTGTTGTGGGTGATCCGTTTGATCAAGATACAAATGTCAGCTCACTGATAAATGAAGCAGCTTTGAAAAAGGTGGAGACTCATGTCCAGGATGCAATCAGTAAAGGGGCTGTGCCGCTTGTTGGCTGTGAACGACATCCTCTAGGCACGAACTTTTACAAACCCAGTATTATTGATGGCTGTGATGAGACAATGCTTGTCATGAAAGAAGAAACATTTGGGCCAGTTATATCTGTAATGAAGTTTAATTCTGAAGAAGATGCTATCGGCTTTGCAAATAGCTCACAAAATGGTCTGGCAGGTTATGTTTTTTCACAAAACATGGATCAAGTCTTCAGGTTGTCTGAAAACATTGAAGTAGGGATGTTGGGAATAAATGATAGTGCTATTTCAAGTGAAATGATTCCATTTGGTGGAATCAAAGAGTCAGGCATTGGCCGGGAGGGATCAAAGTATGGTATAGATGAATATCTCGACTTAAAGTTTGTCTCTCTTGGAGGACTAAAATAGGTAGTCCAACATTTTTTTGATCCTATTTTCTAATATTTGTATACCCCTTTTGATAATGACCCTTTCCTATTCTCACCCATTATTTGAATATGTTGCCATCAGTATTCTAAATTGAATATTTCTTTAAAAAGATATTTGGTCAAACTTTGAGACAGTATCCCAAATACAGAAATTCACATCTCTTAAAATTAATGCATTGTTGTTATAATACTAAACAAAAAGGTTCACCATTTTGAAAATGCCTACAATGCATGCATTTTTATCATAAAGTAAATATAGTAATGTTTATTGTAATGGAATATTCCTGGCTATGATATTATGCCAATATAAAATAATAACTTGCCATGCTTAAAAGTGAGCAATTAAAGTCTTTTCTCTCACTGGTGATGCCTATGTACTTTGGTGCAAAATCTCACACCTCCATCGACTCCAAATCATGGTTATTTAGGTGTAGTTTTCATGGCTATGAAAATTGCAAACAATGAAGAAACCCTTCATGAAAGGGGTGATTGATATTGCTCTTGTGGTTTAGCAGGTAAGGTATTACACTTATTCAATGGTCACAAATGGTACCTTTTTTACCTAGTATAATCAGGTAAACTGCCTGTAATTATGAGCCCTGTCTGTTGCGGCATCCTGCTACATACCCTTGAATATTTTTCTATAGGAAATAGAAGTCTGTTCTATCAAAAAGCTCAGAAAATTCACTGTCTTGTCACATTACACCTCAGGCTAATCTCAGACTCTGAACTGTCTTGTCTATCTTTTTATTTGAACATGGTATCAGCATCAATGATTAGATAGAAATTGGATGTGAAAATGCTGGTGGAGAATAAAATTTTGATAATGACCCATTTACAAGTTGGTTAAAAAGATTTACAAGAATCTGACATTTAAAGTGCTGCATGGGTTTGAAAGAATCTTTGCTTAATGATATGATACTGTTTTTGCTTTTTAACAATTAATTCTATATGATGATAAAAGGTTTTAGATTGATAATGCCTGTTTGGTACAAATGTATCAACCCATTTACATTATATCAACCTCTGTAGCTAACTGGTCTTAGCTTGGCTCTGGTTTTTTACCCTAGACTGCAATTATGGCTTGTTCATAGCAGGCTTGTTCTAGGGTGCCCAACTTAGGCTTTTATCCTTACAAGGTGTGTCCATTGAAGCATCGATGTTTTCAAGATAATTTCCCGTGATTGCCAACGTTGTTGCGGGTTAACTCTAAGTGACTGATAATATATCTAGTAGTACCGTGACAAGATGACGCTCTTTTTTCTGAAATATGTCGGGCTTGTTGGAAAATTCTTACTTTTCAGGGGACGTCAAAGATTTGCCTGTTTGTTGCTCCGTCCAGAATACTCTTTATTTTATAACATAATCTGGCATGTTCGTAATATTTTACATTTTATCAATCACAGGTTAAGTGACTTCAGAGAGATATTATGTTCCCTAATAGGCACGGTGCTTGCATTTAATGACAGAATACCATTTGTCTACATAATATGAATGGACAACTGTGGGATTTTGAAGGGATATCACTTTCTTCCCGGGGTGGCTGTTCTTGATGACGTCATAGTTATAAACAACACTGATAATCATGTTTGTCAGTAACGTTACTTGGTTGACAATCCCATTCATTACTCGCTTGTTCAATGACGTTCTTCTCCGTCCTTCTGATTAAAATCAAACGTCCCTTTTGTTGAGCAACTCAACAAACCAGCTGTTGTTGCACAACTCCAAGTAATTCCAGTAACCCACTAGGATGCACTTTCAACTTCTGAAAGAAAAAGAAAAACCCACAACATAGAACTATCCTACTAAAGAATCAACTGGTGTAGCAGAGCGCGATTGTCATATCTATAAACATATGACCAATAACAAAGAAACTTTTATTGTTTCTAAACACACCGTCCTTCTATACCGCTAAATTACTTCTTTTACAATAGCCGGAATTTAAATATGTTTATTTTCTTTATGTTTTATGAAAGCAAAACTAAAAACCAAAAATCAAATCGCAACAATGTAGCCGAAAATGTGGATAAACAATCTAAACTTGCAAACTTTCACATGCATTATCAAATCATTACAATATTTTGTCTTGCTCTCTTTCGTTATCTTGTTTTTGAATATAAAAATAATTCTCTCATCTTGTCTAGAATTAATCGAATTTTTCTCAAGAAAGTCTGCGCAGAATTGTCCTTAATATATTGAAAAATAGTAATTTTTGGAAAGTTATGATATTGTTTAAAACTGACACTAAATTTGAGTTCTAAATACTTAACACACCTAAAGCTTAAAACATTTTTAGCTTAGTTTATCATTGTACAGTTCTGTAAAGGAGTAACAAACACTAATGAGTAATAACTTTAAAAGAAGGTAAGATTAGAAAGAAATTTTATATCTTACCAGCTCTTTGATAAAAAAGCATATAGATATCCTCTAACTGGATCGATGAAATATCCGCCTAAAAGTTGATCATATCATGAAACAGACTCAAACATATTGCCAACTGCATAACAGCACCACTAAAATTTAGCTTAAAATAATGGAAAGTAAATTGAGTAAATAATATTGATTGTTGTCTAATACATTGGGGTTATTAACAAAAAGGACCAAATGAAAATCCCTGAATGTTTGAAAATAAAGATCTTTGTAGCTTTGTTGGATATGTAAACTGCATTTTGTTACTTAGGTTTCTCAAACATCACTGGTGTAGGGAGACTAATTTTATTTGAAGCAATAAGGCTATACAAATTTTCGTTCTTATTCACTTCAAGCACTATCTCTTCGATGTTCTAAAAACGGGTGAAAGTCGTGTGATTTTAGCTGTTTTTATTAGTTATCTTGAAACAAAGAAATGACCAAACATTTCCGTAACTGTAGCATAAAATACGACTTTCGGTACATGCTCAATTCAAACTTGGATACATTTTTCATCTTAAAAGGAGCGGTAGACGATAAAAGTCCTAGAAATAAGCTTTCGTTTTCTGAAAATCGACTATCAGGCTATAAATGCTAATCATAGATTGTTAGACGAACTTTTATATTCCAACTCACCTCACAGGTGGTTTCGTCATTGAAAAAATACCATGTATTGTCATGTTTACAGTAAGCAGTGTAGTGGCCACTGGTAAGACCTAAAGAAAAAGGCAACGACTATCACAACGAAGACCAATTAACTTGTTAGAACTTGACTTCGAAACACAAGCTCTGACCACAAGTCAGTTAACAAATTCCTGGGCTTGAATCAGTGACAGGCATACTGTACAAGATGAAAACAACAATAAGCAGTGCATCAGGTTTTCCATCCAAACGATAAATATTGCCTAGTATAAATACTGCAAATGTCTTTCTGCTATGAATGCAAAAACATCTAAATGAAAGAAAGCAGTTTGTAGAATAGCTAAAATATTCTTGAGGAAAATGTCTTTCACATAAACAGCACAAAATCAATAGCATACGAAAGAAATAAACGGTAACTTCAACATACTTCCTTTGTGGCAGACAATACCAGTCAAGTCAAAGATACAGCTATCTTTAGCTAAAGCTTCTGTGCTGCAAACCAGATCTAAATTGAACTTGTTTAGCTCGAAATCGACCGGTGACTTCACTTTTGCACTTTGTAGGCCTTCAAAATAAAATCTGCAAAAAGAAGGATAGAGGCAAATAATACTCGTTTCTAGAAAAAAAATACAAAAACAACAATTAATAGTTGTTCCTTGAATTTCATATTATTAAAACGATATATATCAAGTTTACAGGCATTTCTAAGGTTCTAGCATGAAATTTTTTATAGGCCTAAAACTCTTGATATTTACATTCCGAAAATACGATAACATTTCGTAAATAGGAATTTTATGAAAATTTCCTAAATCTCTGGCAAGCATCACCGACATTCTTAAGCATTAAAGAAAATCCAATGACAAGAGTAACAAGCAATAAAATTCACACTTCTTAAATGAATTTAATTTGACTACCCTAAAGATAACAATGATGAGTTTTTGATTGAATTTATTATCATAATAGATAAGTTCTGATGTAATGAAATATTCCAGCATTGAAAGTGAAACAGAAAAATCTAAACAGACGAAATTAAATTAATGACAGAAAATACAATCATAGGTTACCTTTTAAGATGCACAATCAGTACCTCTGGCCATCTTGAAATGGAAATACACTTCGTGGCATTTTGGTTGCGCCGACATTTCGGGCAAAACCAAGGATTTTCTTCACCAAGAATTTCACTTAACAAACAGGTTAGGACAAATAAGTTACTGTAACGGACTCATTTTTCATTAAAATGTGATAAATCATTGAAAATAAGTAAAATTTGTGCTTTCAAAAGCTGAAATACTGATTTTAAATAAAAGAAGATCAATTTAAGCACAACACTCATTACTTTGATAGCGTTTTCACAAGAAAGAATCCTTGTCCATATGTTGTGAGCATCTCAGACTAACACTGGTTTCATTCTCTGACAACAAAAACAAGAAAAAGTCATTTGCAACTCCAAAGAATCTCCTGTATATCAACAGTAATCTGTTCTACACACTCAGAGCCAGTAACCAACGCTGATTGGAATAAATATAACATCGTGTACGTCATACCTCTCACAGAAATACTCAAAACACTCGCCGAGTTTGACCATGTCACCATTTCTGAGTGAGCTAACTGACACATCATCTTTCACTTCCGAAAGCTACAACCGAAAATGAAAAGCATAGATTTGATATAACCCTGCATAATATTTTTGACAAATGGTCATACTACCAAGAAAGCCATTACTGGAATAAGAGCTTTTAATCAACTTGGAATATACAAGAAACTCTATCGTTTATGTTCGGCATTTGTTTACGTAAATTTCTCCAAACATTTCTCCAAACATTTCCAGTCCATAGCACAATCAGATGTGCTTGTACCATAAGTTGAATAACACTTACTGTATGTAAAGCAAAACATCGCCGTAAAGCATATGTAAAGCACAATAAAGTGACCCTTTTCAGAGTGACAGCTTTTTATCCATAACGTACCAGGACATAACAAGTTTGCATAACAAACAAAATATGACTAATTTTGCATCTAATGAAAATTATTGTTTAAACGGTTTGTCAGAGAATGCTTGCTGCCATATAAACAGAGCTAGTCAAACACGCTTTCAAAAATTCACGCTTAATAATGCGATCATTAGCGAACTGTGTTTTTAACGTAATTGGGAACCTAAATGCATATGCAATTGAGCAAATAGGTGACAAATTGCAATCTTTTGACCAGTTATGCACGAACGATTTCAATGGATTTTATTCTTAAGCAAGAATGTTATACAAATACCTCTTTTAGCAGTTCTGGAGAAATCTTTTGAAAACTTATTGTTATGTGATCCCCTGGCTTAAATTGAATAATTTTGTCATCATCTTCTATATTGCATCCAGAACAGTCTGCAAAAGTGTCACATCGAGAACAAGACATCCCCTTGGATTGAAAATGATAATATATATAAATATCGTAGGAAGCAGAAAGGACTTGCATCTAAGAAATGTGTCAAAGCAGGTACCCTTTCATGCTATTTAAACTTTTAAGCTTCTAGTCTTTCATGCAATCCTACTTTACACGGATACGATAGGAAAGACAGATGAATATATCATGAAATGTATTTAAAGAAATCATAAAACAAAACAAATTGGTAAAAGATAAAGTTATCATCCAAAAGACAATCGAGAAATGAAATTTTATCATATGTAATGAAAATAATGTTTACCGGTCTGTCATAAAGTGCTCGAAATCGTACGGGCAGAGCTGTACACGCTTTTTGACGTAAAGAACAGGACGTTTCTACTCCGAGTTTCACGCTTAAGGCGATAATCAGGCATCAAAATTCAAGCAAAGTACAATTCGTGCAAAAAGCCATTAATCAGATGAACATGAAAACATTTTTGGTCTATCAATTTTTATACATACATGTTTTTCAAACAAAGTGCATTGAAAAATATGAGATGAGGCATGACTGCAACCGTCACTTTCTCCAGCTCTAAAAGTCCAGGGTCCTAGTGTTATGAAATGCTACTTCATCGTCTCTCAAAATTTCAAGCTATATAGATAAATGACAGCGGAAAATTGGTAGGCGCAAAACTTGATGGCTACGGCAATTAAAACACACCTGAGCATCTGTTAAAACGAGAGATAATACCAGGTCTTCTGCGCTGGGAGCAATCCGCTTCAGTTCTTGCCAGATGTCACTGGACTTAATGGTATGCGGGAATAAAAACACAGCTGGGTGCCCGAGTGCACGAAACTGCAACGGTTTAAAAAAATTTTTTACCAGACTTGTATATAAGATCATTAATTAACATAGCTCTATGCTGGACCCTTACAAGTCAAATCTAGGCAATACTGTATGAGCAGGATGCCAAGAGCACATCACGATTTCAATGATAAATATTTCAGACACTCTTATAGCTTCAATGTTGTGCTAGACTTAGAGAAACATTAGCTCAAATTGGTGCATTCATGCGTCATAAAACATACAGCTTTAATCGACAAACATTCAAATCAAAGTAAAAATTTATAATTAATGAACAATGAAAAATACCATGCTACTCTTTTTCCCTGATAACAAGGCAATATGCAATAAGAATATTGTAGGAAAAATTGATAGAGGATTTCCACGGTTAGCTGAAAAAAATAACTACAAGGAGATCTGCTGCAAGACAGAATATAACATTATGAACTATATGGAATAAGCTCTAGCTGGCTAACTTTCCAACCTTTTCTGTTGGAGACACGCTGGCATCCTGCCCCTGTTGCAGTGGCTGTGTGACGTTGCGCATGAGTACTGGAATGAGGACTGTTCTGTGAATAGAAGAAGATCTGAATAACAGGTCGAAAGCAAAAGCACATGGAAGCCTTTTGAATGAGGAACTATCCAAAACTTGGAGGCAGGGTGTATGGGGGTCACTTTGCCCGAAAAAGTTTGAAAGGAGATCTATTAAAATCTTTAACTATTCCTTTTTGTGGCATTTAACGGGTAGTAGTACCATTTCAACCCTTGGTTATCCTGAAAATTACATCCTTCGATTTATGAACAACTACAAAACCCAATGGCACGCGATAGAGTGACTATAAAAAAACAGCTAACAGATTCAAAAAAAAATTTGATTGCTTCTCTTGATCAACGACATTCATTAATGTCTGAGAATAAAGGATACTTGCCTTTTTACATTTGCACCTTTTAAGGATTTGGTAATACCACTGAAAGACTTCTCGTCTACAGTTGCATTGCAAACCTGCATAAAAGCATAAGGTGAGGTTATACTTTACAATAAAATCAAAGAGCTAGCAAAATGGCATAATTCGAAACCGTCCATCATTTCATCAACGATTAGTGAAATGGCTTCGAAAAAACTTTATCTGTGGATTCACCCAACAAACCGACTTTAAAAGTAGACATCCAGTCTCTGCTTACATATCTTGGGATCATCTCTTTATACGTAAGTTACGTACATATGTTTATCAAGCTTATAATTCATTCATGAATGCTTAAATATCGGCTTTAAAAGAAATTAGGTTTGTGGACAGAATTAAATAGCACTCCGACAACTGGTTTACAAATATCTCAAGAGCATCTATTTCGCATCAAGTTACATACCGGGCAGGGGAAGCTTTTCCCAGAGTGATAGCAAGCAGTTGCTTCTAAACAATCACTACAGAGAACCCCACCGCAGATGCCATGGATCATCAAATCGTCATCAAATATGTCCTCTAGGCAAATGCCACACGTGTGCCACCCCGTTGGACCCTCACGTGGCAGTACACCTCCACTGTCTTCACCCATTACTTCTTTAACTAAACCAGGATCATTTTCAACTGGTTTCATTTTCAGGCACTCAATTGCATACAACTGTTTGTTTTCTTTCAGCTTAAGAAACTGCAGACCCATATCAGGGACCTGTAAAAAGAGATCAATTCTGTTTAATGCTTGTGCAAATAGCTCTTGATAAACTTTTCTGCTGTAAAACTACGGTAAGGTAATGATGCAGTAGTTAGATAATGAATACTATTCACCCTTTTACCGTTTGGTGGTCTTACTAGATTTACCAGATAGCTGTCTGCCTATTATTCTTGAAAATAAATGAATGAAAATATTGAAAACATTGCACGAGTAAGTTCTGCAAAAACTGGAAACAAAAATAATTATAAGGAATTCTTAATTTGGATTTGGTTTGCAACTTTGATTAATTGAAAGCTTCACGTTTGTCTTATCCCTTGCTGAAATAATAACTTAAGATATAATTTATCTTTGCCGTAATATTAATGGCATTTAATTGAAGTTAAATTCTTGGTAATGCTTTCATAACTTTTAATTTGGTCTATGTTTTTCTACCAACTCTAAAAATGTTGGTTCCGATAAATTTTTCCAGTCTTGCATTAACTACACTTCGATTTCGCCTAAGTGCCTTTTAATAGGAAAATTGCAAAATGGCCCGGCCAAGAAGATGGAAAAGCAAAGGTTTGCTTCGTAATAGACCAAAGAACCAAAATGTTTGGCTTTAAAGCAACAAGCGTCGTTATGTTTAATGATTTATAGGAATTTCATATCACTTCACCTTCACCTACCTCGCCCCTATTTCTCGTTTGAATAACTCTTGTCCATAAACGAGATCTGTTATCCGACAGCAAATATTAGATTGTTTTAGAATATATCAAGCATACACAAGCACATAAATAAAACTAGGCAGACTCACAAGTGTTCTGAGTAAAGTTCCATTCGCCACTTCAGCCATAATCAAGTCTTCTTCCTCCACTTTCTGGTCAAATTTGATTGCCTTCATGAGCTGGTCCTTCACATTGCCGACCGTTGCATTTTTACTCACCGTTACTACGAATCTGAAACGATTTGAGCTAAGATTCTATAAACAGGCACTTGAAAACAAGCAATCGCGAAAGTAACGTGGAGTCACATGAAAAAATCGCACGTAGAGAGAGAGGGCCTGTTCGAGAGGGCCTGTTCGAGAGGGCCTGTTCGATAGGGCACTTGTAATGAGACAGGGAGGCAGGTTTCTTTCTTCACTCCTATTAAAATAAATCCCTTCATGTTAAGTCAGCTTGTCTTTAATTCACATTGAAGAAAAAACAATCATTTAGCGAAAAAAACTGAACAAAAACAGTACTAGGTGATAGCTTGAATAATACAACGTATAAAACGAAGAAACAAAAAACCAAAAAATAAAGAAATCACAGCAACCAGAGTGGCTGACATATGCAATGAGAGCCATGAATGTACAGTGAAAACCTACCTTTGGGTTTGAAGGCGTGTTTTGTTTGGTACACATTGTGTCTGCAGCCGACATGTTACCACTGAAAGACGAGAAAATATTATCTTAATCAAAAACCTGATATAAATAGTTACAACTCATGGTGGTAGTAAACCAAAGATTTCTTGAGGATTAAAAAAATAAAAAGCTACCGTTTTCCATTACTCATCAGAGCCATTCAGAGACAGAGAGTAAAGGCAAAACCAACAGGGTTCACTTTCTCAATAGTGGTTTACATGGATGCAAACTCTGAAATCTTATTACATACTTAGCTGTCTTTTACTTTTAACTCAACCCACTTTGAGGTATTTGAAACTAGATAAAGCACCCAATTTCACATCAATACAATTATTATTCGACTATTATGAAAACTAACAAAGTTCAATTAAAAAGCCACATAATGTAAGTAATGATTAATACTTCTTCTTTATTTTTCACAAATTTAAAATGCATTTAGACCATCAGGAAAAATTTTCAAGGAGAACCGAAAAAAGTTAAGAGAAAAAAAGGTGTCGATATTTACAGACTTGCTGCTCATTAGCATGTGGAATTGGGACAGACACGTGCATGAAAGGTTCGAATGTGGCCGAGACATGGTGGCATTTTTCACATGTAACCTGCAAATGATTTTCAAAGCGTTTAGAGTAATTCTTGCAATAACAAATGAAGAAAGAATTATAACAGACGTTTATTTTCCTGCATCAATAAACCATTAAGGTTTACAATTAAATATTCTGCACATTTTGCGGATAAATGAACATTAGAAATTCATTTAGGCATTTGCAAGTCATTGTTCATTAACATTAGTAGATGGTTTTCAGAAAATTCATGCCTGTGATGAAGATTTTCAAGTATTTCTTACCATGCTTTTAAATTGACCTTGGAATGTATCAACAATCAACGATCTGTTTTGCTCAACGTAATTTCTGAAAGAGAGTTAATTCTGATTAAAAAAATCGGATAGATAGATAGATAGATATATGAACTAACAAGATAACAGGTTGAAACTAGCGTTTTTATTGATGGCTTGGGATTGTAACATCAAATCCATAGAACAGAAACAATTTCAATTAAAGGTATATTTCCTTTCTGGGAATTTTCTCAACTATTTCCTTCCAGATTTTGAACTTGTCCCAAAACGTTTCTAAAACATGGATGGCAACAAAAGAAAAACATTGACAAAAATACAAAATTTTGCCAATGTCTACAAAATCATATGCTTACCCAAGTTTGCAATATAAAACAGCTTCAACTTTTCACCAATCAAGGATAGTTTGCTACCCTTTAAATAACACGAATTCCCTGCACCTTGTTTAAGTTGGTGTTTATCATTCAAAATGCATGGATACTTTAAATACGTTAATACTACCTCCAAGCAGTTTGGGCTGGATTGAGCCTCTCATCACATTCAACGCCAAAATCAGGTTCTGAATCAAGTTGATCCATTCTCATTCTTTTAGGAACTTCTTCTCCCGTATCTTGAGCATCGTCGTTCTCGGATTCCGAAGAGCCTTCCAGTCTGAGATTTGACATCTGGGGGGACGATTCCCTTATCTCTTTTATCGGCGAAAACTTTTTCAATGGGCTGACACGGTTAAAGGCATCGTGGAGTGTGTTCAGTAAAAATGAAACGAACTCCTGGCAATCATGCTGCAGAAAGATAAAGTAACTGTTGAACGGAATACGCTTCTGAAAAAACATCAGTAACTTTAAGATTAATGCCTTTAGAGGTAATTTGATAATAAAAAGAAGATTCTCCTGCTTTATATCACCCAAGAGCATTACCTGCTTTCTGTCTCCAAATAACGGTAGGACCTGTGTCAAAGCACTGTGAAAGTCTCTTGGATACAAATAAGCATACTCTCCACTTATGAGTTTCATGAAAATTTCCAGGAATTTGTCAACCATTCGTACCTACAATCGAAGGAATACAAATGATACCAATCTAGCAGATACATCACTATATACAGAAAATCCGATGACTTTAAAGTAAAGACAATTATTTCTATGCATCTTCTTATCAGGAATGGTAATAATAAAAACTTTTAATTCAATCACAAAGCAGCAGACACCATTCACGTTACAAAATCAAGGTTAAACATTAATTACTACTTCAATTTTAGTTAATAAGTAAGTTGGCTCAAGAGAGTCATGCACATTCTAAAGAAATAAATACAATCTACATATTCAATTGCTAGATAGCAAGTAGCTATTAGTAGCAGAATCCAAAATCAAACAAGAAAAGATAACATTTAAAAAAAATGAAAATTTGATGGAAAAGATATAATTTAAAAATAAAAAAACAAGGAAAAGATAAAATTTAAAAAAAATTAAATTTTCTGGCAATCAACAATCAGCACCTTTCTAGACAATTTTGTACAATTTGATGATTGCAAAATAAACAATTTAGGGAAAAATGGAACTATTTGCAAAATGCTTTTGACATTACCACAGATTGAGAATTTTCTGGATTCATCTGGCATGACCCTAGTGACATTTCCTTGAGCATAGCCTGCTGGAACAGAGTAGAAGCAAAAATGCATTGCAGCCCTGCATTCATAAAACATGTGTTGCCGAGGTTCTCAATTCCACACACCCCTTCCACTGCATTGGCATCTAAGATTTAAAAAGACATCACTAAAAGTAATTCTTACAGAAAACCAAAGAACATAGCCGATCATAGAACCCGATGGAAAAAAGGGATCTCCAAGTGAAAATGAAAATTTACACCATAAGTTTTTGCTTGATACTTGAAGTTTGCATATGATATACTATAGGATATATATAGCCAGCAATTGGACAAGAAATTCGAAAAAAAAACCATCCTAAAAATGTTCCACAAATGTTAATCATGCAAATGTTGCAAGGGTACAATGGTATAATGTGCACAGATTAAACTAAGAGGTATTTTGGTGAATTTAACAGATAAGACTGTCATTTTGCTTGAATGTTACTGCATCCATCAGGATTGAGATCTTAGTTACCTTCCAAACTCTCATACCCTGTTTTGCATGACAAAAAGTGCTTCTGGGATGAACTAAAAATAACACCACTTTGAAAAATGGAAATGTCAACCTTGCTTTGTTAAGCTTCAAAGTATCTGTAGCATGGTTGGCTTAAATTAGTTTTAATACTTCAAGCTGAAGTAAGTTAATCAATCTAGCTCTAATGAAGAATGGCTATCTAAGGACCATTAATTACACAATTTGTATTTATCATGAATAAATCATTCAATTTTTCTATAACAACAAAATGATATAATTTTATTCATATAAGCAGTTCAACATCCACAACTTGTTAGCCATTATTTAGCAAGACTTATCTTGGCAAATGATCACTCATATCAGGTCAAGACAAAAATGACCAAGAATATAGCTGTTTTTGATTACCATTATTTTGAAAACTGCTAGCTGATATGATCACCTGAAGACTAATTATAAGGATATTTTGGATCTCTCCATTATTTTGGATAAAGATTGCAGTAAATGGACACTATAAACTGACAACTCCACCAAAACTAAAACAGTTGTGACAATTTTTGTAAGGCTGCAAATCCTATTTTTTCTGTTTTAACTTGTGGCATCAATTTTCAAATGAAACAGAAAGGAGATCTGATAATTTCTGGTTTTTTTCATTTAGGTTGATTGTTAATTAGGTTGATTGATTGTTTATTTAGGTTGGTTTCTTTTTTAGGTTGATTGTTAAATTCTGCAAGTGGAAATTCTGCAAAAAAAAATTTATGCATTGACAGTGATCACTGCTTCTTTCTAAATAGGTAGTGAAACTTTAGGTACCTTTAACATCACATCTGACTATGTCAGTTGATTCTGGTGAAGTTGTTGGATAAATATTGAATGGCCTATATACTTCTGTGCATTGTTCACTGGGTGGTGTGAGTTGGGAGAATGGTGGGTATGGGTTTTCATCAGCACTAGGAATTAGTTTTGTATTTTCATCAATGTTGTCCTCGCCCTGTTTTTTTGTGCTTGCTGTTGATGGCATGGTAGATGATTCTTCATTCCAAGAATCTTCAATGCCACTGTCATCTGGAAGAAAATCAATTCATTAAAGAGAGAAAACAAAAAATGAAATTTGTTGATAAAATCAAACTGCAAAATTGATCAATGTAAAACCACATTTAGCTAAAAACATACTTCCTTTAGACAGACTGTATTGAGCTTTCCACCTCATTCCCCTAGCTTAATAATGATTTATCTGCTATAAAAATGCACAAGTTTGAACTTTGAATGGAGGAAGGAGGTAAACATAGGACTAGACACTTATGCTGCCAAGCATCTGTTTAGAAATTTGATGCAACAACTGTGCCCAAGGTTACAGGCATTATAGGCATAAACTTGTTACATGAATACTCCCAAAATTTATGAGATGATGAGCAATTATAAAGAACTACAAGATTTCTTATGAACTTAAAGGAAAAATTATTCATTTTCATGCAAGAATTAATTGATTGTGCAACAACACATGAAGCAACTTGAATGACATGGCATAAGTAAGTTGTAACTGAAAAGAAAGAAAATTGAAAAATGGATGGATTTGCAAGCCATGTTTCCAATGCATCATTCATTGAACTGTACATTTCTTCTGAAGCTATTACAGTAAAAAGGGTAGAGAGGAAGACAATGTAGGCAACAAACAGGATGGCTAGATGAGTTGCAAAAATTATTTGGGATATCCTTACATCAATACTATGAAAAAGCAATGGACAGAACAGAATGGTGATTGTTCATTCAGGGGATAGCTAAGTCGCCAGGGAGTTGCCAGTGGCCAACAACAACAACAACATTCATTCTTGCAGTTCTTGGCTTTCATCCTTGCCATCTTTGTCTTTATAATTTTGGAATCAAATCTTTAGAATCATACTAATGACCTTGCCAATATTTATTCAATTATCTGACAGACACTTAGATCTAAAATAAGGTAACAGATAATGAATCTACAATACCAGAAAATTTTGACCCAGATCCATATAAGTCAGCATCCAATTCTTGTTCAATGCTTCCGTCTGTACTACTCATGTCCCAGCTAAAGAAAAACAAAAAATAATAATCTCCTGAAGATAAAAGAAAAACAAAGATCATGTATTTCTGTAGTAAAAATTAGGCCAAATAACCAATTTGATAATATCATGTTCCCCTAAAAAAATTGTTCACATTTTTCAAGCAGAGGTACACTAAACAGGAGATTGAGGATCTCAACCAACTGGTGACGAAAAAGCTTTTAGTATGTTGTAAAATGTTTGCTTTTTTCAAAGCCATTTTCAAATTCTGTACCGCAAAAAAATTGTTCACATTTTTCAAGCAGAGGTACACTAAACAGGAGATTGAGAATCTCAACCAACTGGTGACGAAAAAGCTTTTAGTATGTTGTAAAATGTTTGCTTTTTTCAAAGCCATTTTCAAATTCTGTACCGCAAAATAATTGATGATTGCGAATTGCATATATAGAAAAGTTTATTGCTAAATGAAATCGTATTATCTAACTCCTAACCACTAAATTTATTTTTGATCACAACATTGAAACCAATTATAAAACATGTTTCCAAGTAGTTCTGGATTAGAAATCTCTTAGGTGTTGGATCTGTGTCAAGGCTAGTTGCTGGAGATTTTTTCAAGAAAAAAATTGGTGAATGCATGCAAATATTTTCTTTGGTAAGAAAAACATGAATAATAGCTTTTTCTTATTAAAAATATAATATTTCTATTCTGATTTGGATATTGTAATTTTATAATCATAATTATAAAACTTTTGTAACTTTTGAATCTTATCATTAGACATCCATCACCCATCATTATTTGTTTGTTATTGTTATTCAAACTATATTCATTGATTTTTCATTTCACAAACCAGATGCAAATAACATTCAAGCTTTAGTTTAATTTGATTAAATTCAGAATAAGGAGTCTGCTCTAGGGCCTTTTGCAGATATCTTCAGTTTGCAGAGAGGTTTCTTCATTGTTTGAAAATGCAGTTTTATTGTTGTCAGGATTTTTGGTTATGTAGAAACCTTGAATCAGCCTTGAATCATATCTTGATAAATTTGTCACAATTTTTCTTTACAATTTATACTTCTGGATGTCGACTTTTAAGCCTTCCTATATGAAATTAATGTTCACAAGAGGTTTAAAACATTTAAAATGAGTATTTTCTCAGATATAGAAACTGTAGATTCACGAAACAAGGAAAGTGGTAGATGTTATGACCAAACTCACAAGTTTGGTTGCCCGAACGATTAGACTGAACTAATATGTAGCAATCATTATGTTGAAGATCTACTTTGGTGTATTTGAAGGTCTGTATACAATCAATATTTTGGCCTTTGTTCAAAATGTTACACTAACAAAAAGCTGTGTGCAGGTGCATAAGTGGATAACATCAACATGGAAGCAAAACGGCTGGACTGCAAGAGGAAGAATTGTTCTTAAAGGTTAAATCTCTCCCCTCCCCTCCCCCAACAGAAATATGATATAAAATTTTGTTCATGGGATACTAGCTCAAGTCAAGGTAAACATACTCCTGAATTAAAAATACCTAGCTATTGTGGTTTTATTATTCATATCTGCCGCACCGGCCAACTGAAAATATGCGAATAATTCAGCAGAAAATAATTCGCATCCTTCCTACTACTTTTTGATGGACTGACAATGATATTGAAAGAAAGTTGAATTTTTGAGAACTGATTCCATTTCGGATTTCAGAACATAATTTATTGCAGAAATGATTTATTTATATATTTGTGTTATGATTGACTTACAAAGTTCTTACGAAGTGGATATACCTTGCCAAAGATATGAAACTTGATATCTGCAGTGTGACTTGGTGTGTGACCTTTTGTAGAAATGAAGAATCAAGCTTTAATGAGCAGGCCAAGAGTCTGAGATCCTGATCCAAGATCCAGATCCAACATATGTTTCAAACGGACGTGCGAACTTCGGATGAACAGCAGCAGCAACCTCTCTCTGACTTCGCATGATAGATGAGGGCAGAAAGCAGTAAATAAAATAAGTTAATTGTAAATCATCATTAGTTAGGTCAGTGGCGGATTTAAGGGGGGCAACTAGGGGCAGTTGCTCCTGCCTCAACGAGTTGAAGCAAGTCTGGTGCCCCTTTTTTGGAAATTGTGCGCCCCTTTTGAAGAATGAGAATCAGATGAAAAAGGTTCTTGGACCGATAGGTTAATTTGCTTCAAGGGTTACCTCAAAGTTATGTTGTTTATTCTGAAAAGGTATCTGAAATTGTTGTATACAGCGTACTCTCGTAACCAATTTTTGAAAATTTTTCAGCGCCTCCACTACCAACTGCTCCTCCTTCAAATCTGCTCTAGATCCGCCCCTGAGTTAGAAAGAGTTGATAAGCTTCTTCGCAAGATAGAATAGCATAAAATACCAAATCATTTCATCACAAACTTTTACGTGATGTTAAAAAGATTCCACCGTATTTTATCATATCATCACTGTAAAGCTTTTCTCCCTATATGGTTTCTGTTCTGTGTTCCCCTTTTCTCTGGGGTGCCCTGCCGTTCTAGAAAAGTGAAAGCAGGGCTGTGCTGTAGGCAATTTCTAGAAGCCACACCCAAGAGACCACACAAATGGCAACACCCTATAAACTTGCATTTGTGATAAAGATTCTCTATTATGGACCTTGGAAGGGCTCGAGTCTCAAAATAGCTTTTAATTTTACTTTGCACGTAACTGGACATTTTGATACAACTTTAGTCAGCAAGAAGAAGTCGAAATTGTAGTCATAAAGCATTTAAAATTGCAGATAAGACCAACTGATGAAAAAACTGGTGCCAAGTTAAAAATTGGAACAAAGCTGGTGGCAAATGCGACACGCTTGATTGGCTTTTACTTTGATAAATGCTTGTCAATGTCTACTATTTTCTGCTGTGGGAAATGAGAGTAAGAAAAGTAGGTCTAGGAGCGGATAATTGACTTGAAATAGCCATTGCTCATTTCGAGACCAGATTCTGCCAACATACCCCCAATCTTTTCTCAGAATATGCAAAGTGGTACTCCACAAGTTGGTGAACCTTTAGAAATAATTTGTGCTTTGATAAACCCTGGAACCTATCTTTGTCTGATAATGTGAAATTTGTTAGTATCTTACAAAACAGTATTGCCATTGCAACTTAACTCAATGTTCGAAAATTTAACAAGGTTTAACAGTAAATTTAATAAAAAAACTCAACATGGATGCAATGTTACTATATTTCCGGAAAATAAATATACTTCTATAAAATGTTAAAAATACACGCTATGTAATACAATCAATAACAATAGAAGATAAAAAGAAAACAGTTTACTTATAAATACTATAGTATTTCTAAATAATACACATCTTAATTATTTTGTAAATTTTCTCGCTTGAAAAATGGGTTCTGAAGTGAAAAAAACTAAACCTTACAGCGCAAGCAATTTTTTCTCTCACAGACCTGCCTGCACAAAACACAGTAAGTTATGGTATAAAAATGCAACGTAAGTCACGACAAAGGAACAACAGATTTTGACAAAAGATGAAAGTTTGTTTCATAATTGATGCGACATATTTCTAACAATAGGAAAGCAAAAGTGGTTTCTTTCTCAATTTCAAAATTCTTTTTTGCTAATCTATACATAATTTAACAAGGCTTAGTTCTGTATAGAGTTTGCGTCACTAATAATCAATTGAAATTTGTCGCCCAGATTTTGAAACATTATTCATATTTAGCCAACCTCTGCTGGTCCTATGAAGTGATTTTCGTCGCATTTCGTAAACCTGGGTTTCCCAAATAGGGCTCAATTTACAGACAAGTTGATAAAGGCAGTGCTTAATGAGGAAAACTGAAGAATGGAAACCATTGTTGATCTACCTTTGAATAAAGAAACCGGTATGCCAGTATTGTATTTGAACATGGGAATATTAGGCCTTACTTTGTTACTTAATGACGAATCTGTCGGTGTAAATCTTGGAAATACCCTGAGAAACATTATCCCTAATCTAGAATTATCTTAAAAAACAGTTGAAGCCTTGTATCAATAGATTTGATGAGAGTTTTCTATGTTGCGAATGATGAGATTTGTTGCCATGCCTACACGGAACAAAACTTGAGAAAGGGGGCTAAATTTTCAGGGCTTAGTTTGACTTTACTAGCTTACAGACACAAAGATGTAAAGACACAAATTATTACGCATTTAGACAGATAGTGTCAGCATCTTCTTGAGCGGACAACTTATGTTTACATTTTAAAACTACATTCTTTCTGCAACGATGCACGAAGAAATAACATTCTTATATCAACTTTACATAAGACAAAAATCAGTTGAACAGTTGATCTAGTCAACAAATCATCAGAGAGAGCGTCGGCATTCAATAGCTGATTTAAGTACCTAAATCAAAACTTTGCAATAAACCCAAAATTTTGTTTTTATCTACATGACACAAATCTTTACTTATTGATAAGTCGATTAAACTAGTTAAGGTAGGTTAGCCTAATGGAACTGACCCTGCTCTGTTTTTCATTTTCTTAACAATATGTTTTGCCATTCTTCTGAGCTTATTCAAAATCCTTTTGGCACCATTTGATACATTGAAGGGACTTCTCCGCGTTAACTCTTGCCCTCTGTGTTTTGTGATGTGCATGTGCACTCTCCTCGTCTTTCCAGGCACTATATTCCTTTTTTGAATTTCTTTTACTGCAATGCAAAGAAAAAGATAGCAATAAGCCTATATTATCTAGCTTGTTTTTGCTATTTTAAAATTGTTAAACAAAGGCGTACGCTAGAGGGGGAATTGAGGCCAGTCAGGAGCCCCTTTTAACTTTTTGCTGTTAGGAATGTTCACAAAACGCGGAAAAATGCAAAAAAGATGCTAGAACTACCCTATTCTATCTCACTTTTTTTGCTTTTTTTAATATTGATGAAAGGAGCAAAGAGAATTGGAGACGCTATAATAAGGGCCAATTTAGAAGAGTAAAGATAGGATTTCCTAGTAACAAGAAAGCTAAAATGCTATACCTACGCAGAAAAAAGTTAGGCTAATTGCTAAAATTTCCATTGTCGCATTTATTTTGAATATGCAAAATCAAACAATTATATTAGATAGCTTTGATTCAAAAATGGAAACATAAACAGTATCAAATAAAAAACGAAATACTGTAAAAGCTAAAAATAATTATATAAACAAAAATATGTCTATTTGCGCAGCATATGCCTTCACTACCGCGAAGAGCTTCCAATTTGTGAGACTAGTGATATAAAAGTGAAGAACAAAAAACAAAACGAAATTCTTTCATCTTTCGAAACTTCTTTAACCTGCTTTACTGTGTAGCTTGTTGCTTTGGACTTCAATTCCTATTACCAAACGTCTTTGAAAACAAACACATTTTCATAACATGACGCAAAACATTTAAAAAACTCGTACATTAGATTTCTTTTCAAAGAAAAAACCTAAAATATAGCTGTTTATGGCATCACCTAGCCTCTCCCTTAATACTTATTGTCAATTATTTTGGAACCACAATCTTCTTACACCAAACACCAAACATCTAATAAAGACCTTATGTACACATAAGCTCTATTTATCTACTTATTCCTCTCACTAGATTCTAAAAACATTTTTAAGCAAAGCAATTGTTTACTAAGTTAGTGTTGAGTATAAGCAATGTATAGAAGGGTATAAAGCTCTAAAGAAATCTTTGTTGGAAATCTCATCGTCATATCTGTGAATTTCCTAAAAAAACATTTGGTTCTGCCGTTATATTATTTTATATTATAGATTCAGTAATAAAGTTTACCGTTGCAACGGAAAACACCTGTCCTCAGACAGATATTAGGTAGTGACTGGTTGCTATTTTCTTCATTCCACTCTTGCGGGTTGATTTGGAAAAACCTCCCTCTTACTGGTGGGTTGAGGGTTGTCTTGACAACGCCGTCTCGGTCTGTGTTGCCAGTCAATGCGGTCTGGAAAAAATAAAACCATTTTGATGCTGCTTGTTCTTTAGAACCATTTTGAATGTTCATTGAGTTAGATTTACTTTTGGTTTTGATTATGCATCTTACCAAGGTAAAATAAACATAAAATCTCATAAGCATGGGTGACTGAGCAAAAAGTAAGAAATAGAAAAGATATTACGGTCTTTTTGTCCACACTATGCTTGAAAGTCGATTGATATTGGATGTTAAAAGGTAGTTGTTAAAAGAGAAATTATTTGTATGAATGGGACAGTGTAAAAGGGGTCTAAAATAGAGAAATTATGTGTCTGAAGGATTTCGGGATTCTTACAAGAACTGCACTACTTGGGACAGGTAGCTTATTATTCTGTTGTTGCAAAGAAGAGAAAGGACAGAAAGAAACATTACGGTATTTGATATGGATTATGGCTTCTTGCTTCCCTTTTTCTAATTATTCATTTTATTCAAACCTGTATATAAAAGATACGTTATTTGATCTTGCCCTCCTAAGTCCCAGAAAAGATACATTGAATCCCTGAAAGAACGAGTGTTAACACCTAAGACAAAGTTGAAACGTTGTCCTTTTATCTGTAACAAAAAGGTTGAAGAAAGAAAGATGCCCTTTCATACCTTGTTATTGTAAAAATTCCAGTGTGACCCATCTTCACTGTATCTTAAAAAGTATGATTTAACCCATCTATCCATTGAATGACTACCCTGTGTTGCAATCATTCCTATCAAATCCGTTTTTTTCAAGTCAATTTGCAGAAACTGATTTTGACTATCCATTGGAGCAGTGACATTTTGACCAGCACACCAAGAGCCTACAATGTCAAACTCGTATTTTCAAGATGAGTAGAAATAATATAATCTCATGTTTGCTTTTATAAATGTTGCAATCTAACAAAATGAATAATTGGCAGGATGATGTTATTTATTTTACCGCCTGCAAATAACATAATGGTAACTTAGTATTGGGTAACAATATGTCTTGTATGTAGCAGACAAGCAGGTCAATATCCTCTATGTGCCATGAATCCTGGCATTGAAAGCATAGCCTCTGAACCCCTTACATGGTTCGACCAACAACTTGAATCTCTCTCAAACACACCAAAAGGAAATCCAAGCAAAACAGTTTTATCATATAAATTACTTTTGATAAAGTAGGTTCCAGTACAATAACAAGAATGAAATAACTAACACTAACCCTTGTTGACAGAATTGTTTATCCTTGAGTTTGTTGCTGCATATTCTCGTTCTGAGTCATGTTCTGTTTTATTCCCAGCAAAGACTGAAGATGCAGTTAACTGATCATCTTGGACAGGAATCTCTTCATACCCTCCAGGACAGGCTACAGAAAACGATAATAATTTCTTAAAACATTTGAATAGATTAAAAACAACAACAAAATTCTCAAGTCTCACTAAGAGATTTATTTGAAAAAAGAAGAAGAATTTGTTTCCTTAGAACAACTTAATATAAAACTTAGAAAAAATTATGTACAAAAATAGAAAAAAACTTAATATAGATGGATTCAAATTAATTGAACAAAGATATACATATCAGTCCTTTTCGTTTAGCGCGTGCGATCGCACCCGCACACGCCTGCACACGCGCAAGTTAAATTGCGCGTGCTTTTGACCACACGCGCAAACAGGTGTTTTCGAGTTTTCTGTTAAAGGGCCTCTCCAGCCAAATTTTGCACTTGCATTTTATTGGCAATTTTTATAAAGAAGTTGAGCCTGCTGATCACGAATTCGTTATTTGTTTTTCGATATTTTTTTACAGTTTGTGAGATATAAGCTCTTGCATTCCGATAATTTAATTGAATTAACCGACAAAAATTTTTGGTTTGGTGACACTGTGACGCAATTTTGACGTCACAGTGTATTTCGGATAGTCTCGCCTCAAACCGAATCGAACGACGGCGATTCGCAAATTGAACACTGCAAGTGATGGTACTCTCAGTTCTGTTCCACCAGCTTTTAGTTTGAGCATTTCAGACACCAATTCTGAACCCTTAGTTGTTCATCGTTTCTGGAGAACAACTGAAGTGACAATTTCGATTTATTATACGCGACGCGAGGGAAGAGCTGGAACAGGAACTGGAACTGGATGCAGTTATCAACGCGTGACCATGAGTCCTTCACGCTCCGGTGGAAGATATACGAAATTCATGGCGAACGAGAGCCGCACATTGTGACGTCAGAATGTCACCAAACTGATTCGGCTTTTGTCGTTTTGTCGTTTTCTCGGAAAGGTGCAACTGTAAAGCCTTACAACTTCTAAACTAATTGGAATTTTTCAAAAACAATGACTTTGTCATAATACACGCACCAGATGCTAACTTTTAAGTCATTAAAAAAAATTTTTTTTTGCTGGAGAGGCCCTTTAACATCAATTTCCCATGGTCTCATGATTGTTTATCCTTTCCCTTGTTACTTGATTCGCACTTTTGACCACAATATGATTTTTCCAATGTTCGGAAGTGATGTTTGGCTTTTGACAGAGTGCTCTATTCAACTTAGCGTCTCGTCTTTCAGCTAAGTCGCCATTAGCATGTTAAGTGTAATAACTGATTTCCTGTCAAAACGTAATTAGGCCCTGAAAGCAAGTAGCTGTTGGAAACAATTTTTACTTGCTCTTGTAACTTTGGAGAGTGACGACGACTTTTAAAAGATGGCTGCTAAGGGCAACAACATCTGTTATGTATTGATTAATTTTGAGTTTTGCTCTTGCACGTATTCGAGTGGCTTTTTCCTTCTTGCTCCTTTTACCAATTTTATCAGGTTTGTACTTCAAATTTTCTTACAAGTGCGATCGCACGCGCAAATTTGTTTACATGTGCGATTTGCCACACACGCGTAATTTTGCTCACGAAAAGGACTGACATATACAGTACAATAAAATCAATGGTAGAACTAAGATCTAAGTTATTGGAAGAATAATGAAGTGAGATTTTTCAACCTGACTTTTTAGAACTCAGCTGACTTTCTTCCACAACATTCTGCTGACCTGTAATGGGATAACAATTAAAAAACTTTAAGTTATAATAAAGATGCTTCAGTTGGTCTGCCTTGGTTTTAAATTATGGTGTTAGAAAAGAAAATAAGAACAACTCTGCAGTGAGTAAACAAGCTTAGGGTGTTTCTTTGCTAGAATAAAAATTATTTTATTTAAATAATTGTAGAAGGTAAGGATTCAAATATCTTTTAAACAATTGCACATGTTTATTCTACTATGGAACCAGACTTTGTGAAGCAGTTTGTGCTTTAGTGCATGTATTTGTCTTCCCAAAATTAGCAACACATGCAAAAATTTTCTTTAAATCTACTGACAGACATTAAGTATTTCTTTTGGCCAGCCTATTAACAGAAAAATCAAGGTCAAGGGTGTTTTGCTTTGTGGCTTCAGCAAAATTTCACAGTCTAGCTCTGTTAATTTATTTATTCAAAAAGAAAAAAGCAAAACAATTGATTTACCATTTTGTGTCACACCAGAACTGGTGCTTTGTCCTGGGGCAAGTGGGGATGTAGTTCCAGTTGAATAAAGTTTAAGAATTTGACCCACTTGTGATGAGAGAGCTAAAAAGTAAAATTCAATTTCTCAAGATTCTTTCATCTATCAGTTTTCAAGCGTTGCATCAAAGTTTTCATACCCTTAAATATAGATAAGGAAATTCTTTTTTCTAGATTTTGACCATTTAAAGTTTTTCCCAAAGCAAATCATAGAATGCTTTTGAAAAAAGAATTTGTTAAAAGAAATATTTTCAATATTGATCAAAAGTAAAATCCTTCTTCTGATGGTGAAAGATTTACAATTCTGCCCTTTTCAACTTCCCACTAATTTGAAAAAAATGAAACGAAAGTAGTGGAATAAAAATTGCATATATATTTCAAGCTGGCTGACCTGAACATGGACCCATGTCACAGCTTTGTGTCTCAACTCGTACCCCAGTACATTCAGCACCATTGTTTTCTGGCACGGGGTTTGTGCAAGTTCTCATTCTCACTTTTGTGCCACTGCCACATGTCACACTACAAGGACTGTATTCTGACCACAGACTCCACCCACCATTTACTACATAAGAACAGTTTTAAAGTAACAAGATATTTACTCCAGGCCTTTTAGGACAAAACCAGAACAGATAGAAACCAAAACAGCAGTTAATTTGATTTAATCTACATTATTTGCAATGATATCTCAGAGAGGAGCTTGGTATAGAAAATGATGGCTTTTTAGTGTTTGGCAGTCTAAAAGCAGTTTCTACAATTTTTGACTCAAATTGCATTTGATCAAATTCTTGTTGGTTTATTGAAAGCAAATGCGAAAAAAGAAAAGTTGGTTCTGCCTACAAATAAATGGGCTATCAGTTCTTCATTTATAGCCTTTCAAGGTAGCACTGATTTTATAAAAAATTTTAAGGTGACTCCAATCTTTACAAGCAAACAATATCAAAAAGTTTTGAGCACATACCAACACAAGCAGCTTTACTAATGGATACTACTTTTCTTTCCAATTCACGGTATCCATCTGCAACAAAGATGTGAGATTTGACTGGGTCAGAGGCAATCACTTGCAATTCCTCTTTCATATCAGTTCTCTCCTTTGGTGTTTGGCTGTCTGGCTCAATTCCAATTGCAAAGAGTGCAACTCCTTCCTCTTTTAAAAGCTGTGCTGGAGCATGCACCAAATCTTTACCCTCTACAAAGTTATTTCGATTTATTTCCAATTTATTAGATGGACCATCAGTGACCAGTATTAAAACCTGGCTTGCCTTTCTTCTCTCTACAGTGTGCAGCATTTCAATGCATTTTTCCAAGGCAACATCAGTACGAGTGCCACCTGTTTTATAGTAAATGTTGTCTATCGCAAGGTCTCTGCTTAGAGTGTCTGGAAAATGTGTGAGAGGCAAGGCGATCTCTGCCTCAGAATCATAGCGAATAATTGCAAGTCTGGTGAGACTCAATGAAAATCGGTCACAAAGATGCTTCACAAAGGTGAGTACTTGATTCCAGTTCTCATACTTTACACTTTCTGAACTATCCAAAAGAAAGATGAGATCAACAGCCTTTGAGCACTGGCCACCTGAAACAAAAACCTCATAAATTCAGCAATAAATTTTTCCAATAAAAAGCTATAAATACAATATATACCTAGGAATAAAAGTAAAATTGTACTAGGAAAAAATGGTGACTTTATTAACAATGTATTGGACATTATCAAGTGAAGATAGAAAGTAATAATAGAACAACACATGTAAAAGGATAGAAAAGAAATATGTGTGCTATTTTTTTCTGGTACAATTTTACTTTAATTCCTAGTTATATTTGATTACATTTTACAGCACTTAAGCTAGTATAATTATAGCCATAAATACCTTTGATTAAAAAGCTAGATTTTAGACAACAACAAACAAGTATATGGCAAATAAACTAAAATTTAACATGTTGAATAAACAATAAGTTTTATAAGTATTTTACTAGGTCTTGCTGGCTCAGGTGAATCATTTAGCTTCATTCAACATAAAATTATAAAATTAAAAGTCTAAAATTTATCCAAATGTTTTAGTTTAGAGGTAATAGGTCTAAGGTAACTGGCTCAGTTTCACAAACAAAAGTAATGTATCCAACAAATTATGTGTTTGTAGTTAATGGAAAACTTATAGAATTGTGTTAGTTTTATTTGTTTGTTGAATGTAAAGTTGAATCAGTTTTAATTGTAAAGAGGGGCAACATGACAGGAAGGGGCAAGGGCAGATCCAGAACTTATCCTGAATACCCCATAAATAAGAGGGATCATGGGGCAGAGCCCCCAAAAAATGTTCTCACCACATTGTTCTCACCACTGCACAATGGATTAGTGCAACAGCACAATAATTTCTAGCTGCAGCACAATAAAACTTTGAAAGCTTCACAAAGCCAGACCATTGTTGGAAAAGTCACCCAATAAGGGAGATTACAAAACGATAGCCAAATATGGAATGAAACTGACACATCTCTCTTTAGCAACTCGAGCAGGATATTTTTCGGGGGCACTGCTGTGCCACAGCAAAAATAAAACTGCACAAAAGGGGGAAGGTATAAAGTAGGTAAGACTTCTCAGGTTAGCCTGGTTCAGCTGGAAATTTTTTGTACCTTTTTGAAAATTTTGACTGCCTTATGAAAGCGGCTTGTGGCAGGCTGGATCCGCCCCTGGGAGGGGGAGGATCTAATCGCAAATTGAAGAAGAAGAACACTGAAGAAAAAATGCTACCAGTTTTATTTTTAGTAGACTCGTGTTCCTTTTCCAGGCGGACTTTGCTTGCGTTGTCTTCAGCATCTTCCTCTTCATCTACACTACCTTTCACGGATTTCTCACCATTTGAAGATACTTTCTTACCTAGTCCATTCTTTGTGATTGGTTGGGACGAATTGGATTGCATTGATGTATTTTCGAGCACCCGCTTGATGGAAGAAAGGTAGGTCTCTGGAAAGAGAATGTTCTCAGCTGGAGCTGTAGACCAGTCCTCCTGCTTAGACCCATTGTTAGAGGCTTGTGCTGTGTCTGCTTTAAATTTCGAAGTTGTTTGGCCTACAGGCTCCTTAGCTTTTGACAATTCTTTAGTTTGAATCCCTGTGTATAGAAACGAGACTAAGTAACCAATCATTATTATTATCATAAAAAGGTCAGATAAAACTCGGCCCTGCCCTGAAATTGTCAAAAAATACCGATCCTTCAATCTAAACAGAAATTTTCAAAAATAAAAAGCAAAAAAGCTAAAAATGATGTAAACTCAAAAGGCTATTTGATATAAGGTTCTAAGTTGCTAATCCGAATTTCACGCTTAATCAGGGCCGCCGAGGGGTTTCGGAGAGCCCTGGGGCAAAACCGAATGGTTATTTTGATTGTACAGCGAAGATGCACGACTTTATTATCATTTTCTATACTTTTGATACAGTAATTATTTCGCAATTCACTCTTGAAATTTCAAGGAACAAAATAAAGCCTAAATGTGTTTCAAGTCTATTTTAATTCTACAATGTCAAACTATCCAGGTTTGATTTATGAGATTTTACATTATTCGCAGCAACGAAATCATTGATATCAAATTTAAAATAGAAGACATATTAAAATTTATAGCAATAAAAATGTTATACTTTAAGCAAAGCCTTGTATCCGCTCCTCAACTATCTTTTCTGTAGGAATCAACCATCTTCAAAAGATTGATACGAACCCCATATGAACTTATTCTAGTTCCTCTGAGGCTTTTTGCTAAGGTAAGTTGGTAGACTATTTTATAGCTCAAAGGGTACTAAAATGCTTGCTACTTCTTGTTTCGGAAATTCTGCAAGTCATTTTATCATTAAAAACAGGCAAATATTGTTTAGTTCAGAAATGGAATTGTAAAGTTTTTGTACTTTCATTTTAATGCTACTAGCTACCTCCAGCCAAAAACTATTAACAATGCTTAGACTTTTCGTGAAGCTGGCACGAGCCTGATTTTTCTAGGCACATCAGATAACTAACATGTTCCATGACATTTATAATTCTTCAAACTTTCAAAGGGAATTACAGAACAATGAATTGCTTAAAATATCTATATACCACATAGAAGTGAATTGTGAAGATATTTCCCTACCTGGTTCATGCTCCTTCTCATCTGCTTTTGCTTTTACTGAATCTTCTTTTCCTTGTGCTGAACATATGATTAATAATAAGATGAAAATTGTAGAAAAAGTAGAAGCTACAGTATATGTTAACTGATCCGCCATTTTGAAAACATTTTCTTGTTTGTGAGGCGTTTCACTCCAGCATGACCTTTTTGCTGGTGGCCAAAAAGATTTTTCGAGATCATTCATGCATGGATGCACGGTTTTCTAGATTTCGTCGGCAGTTGCAAGGCTTAACTGCTCTTTATGATACACTAAAATAGTTCAAACGGGGCTGCAGAAGTTTGAACATTTTTTTTAAAGTTAATATTAATGGCTAGTACTCTTTATCAATACTATAGTTAATTCTAAATCATCAATTTTATGGGTAGGCCAAAAGAGCAGTCTTCACAGGCAGCACTGAGAAGTTATCAGTTTATTGGTTGTTGCGAAAACTAGAGTGGAAATAAAATTGCACTGGAGATGAAATTGCATTGGAGATGAAATTGTACTCAGTTACAACTGTCAATAGAATGATTCCTAAAGCAAAGGGATATGTTGAAAACAGGAAAACAATTGATAATGTTTTAAAAATCAAGGCACTTTTTCTTTTTTATCCATAATATGATCAAAATGATCAGAATTATCTACCAAATACTTTGCCTTCTCAGCTGTTACACAGTAGCGTTACAATGAAGCCATCCTGCTAAGCTAAATTTTAAATGTGAATCATAATAGCATTCCTAAAAATATTTTGACGATTTTCATAAGGTGACTTATAGCAATACATTTGCTACTATTTAGAAATACCGGGAGTCTACTTTACGGAATTGAGATATCCCTTACGAACTCTATCACTTTCACACCAGAGGGTCAAAAAGGTGTGTATGTTGCGCCTTTAACCATAGAATTTGTAGATTAAACACAAAGTTTTTTTAGAAAATAGTAAGTATTTTAAAAAGTATACAAGTTCCAAAGAAATGTTTTCTTAAACAGTATCAAACTACCCTGCAAACTTTTTTTCTCTAAAGATTTCTCCAAAAAGGCGACCAGTTTCGGTCATCCTAAGTGATCATTTTTTTTTAAATTATTTTGAATCCATAATCAATGTTTGAACAAAAAACTGTTGGTTAATTTTAATCTTAATCACGATGCTTTTTGCTGAAATGTATAACAAAGTTATTATACTTTCTTGTACAAATCAGCCAATAGAAAATAAGGTCCACTCTGTTGCTTAATTTCAATCAAACATTAGCTGGCAAACGACATTAAATTGGATCCTTTTTTAAGCCCTTTTCAGCAGCAGATAAACATCCGCGGAAAAGAGTTGTGTTTTGCTAGTCACATTATTTCAATATTAGTTATGTCCTTCTTTCTGTTTTTCCAAATTTTCTTTCATAACTTGAAAAAAACAATGTGTTGTGAAAAGTAAATCCCTCCACCTAACAATACTAGAGCCCTATGTCTTTTGGGATCCCTATCAACCTTTAAGTAGTAACTTCCAATTTTTTGTGGTGATATGTATTTTCTTGAAATTCTCAAAACTCTTTTAAAATCAGAAGTGATATGTATTTTCTTGGAATAAAGATGACCATCAATCCTTGATCTGCGCTTAACTTGAAACTTTCACAAGCTACAATGTTTTCTTTATGCAACTTTTTTCAGCAACCAAAGGAGGGCTTTCGGTGATTTACTTTCGATAATGTAGTCTTGCTGACATGGCCCGTTTCTCAGTTTTCTAATACTAGTATCCATCTTACCGAATTCATTGGACGCAAAATGAAACCAACAAGCTTCTTACATCTCATTTTTTAAGCTAATAAAAATTTCATCCACTTGAGCTACAGCAATACGATCTAAAATGTTACGAAATCGTTTCGCTCGTTGCAGAGAGAGTATACGAGATTAAAATTAGAATGAAACTCAATAGCAACAGTATTGATTCACGAGTCACAACAAACTAAAATTTTACCTAATAAAAAACAAGCGAATAAAATGAAAATTCTTCAGTCCAAGATGCCCAATATGTCATCTGTTCACAAACGTTCTAGTAAACAAATCTGCGCAGCACTGACCTGTCTCTTATTTGCGATTTATTTATGCACAAGGACAAATACAGATGTTGGTGGCCGTATAAAGACAAAGGATGACCATTTACCCTGTTGCAAGCGCAGTTCAAGTGTACACCTTGCGTCACTTTGTTCACATTAATCATTTAGCATTAGCCACAAAACGATTGGCAAAGTTGGAGCACAAGGATTCCAACAGGCTTTGGTAACACGTTTTTGACAACTGCTTGAAGCTGAAGCCACACTTGCCCAACTAAGGCTCAAAGATGGCTCGCTCACTCATTCTTCTCTTGGTTGTTGGCCTTTTGGCTGCCAGTTTCATTGACGCAAAGAAAGGTATGATTTAGATTATGCATTCTCTTTTATTGTTCCTTTTCGCTAAAACTTCTCTAGAACAAAGTAACATTTAAGATTAATCGTTAAAGAAAAACTTCGTGCTTGTTACAATAAAAGTTATTTCCAATCTTTTCTTGTGTTATTTGAAGGATTTACTTGCAAAAAAATAGTATTTCTGCATTGGTTAAGCTGATGCAAGACAGCTATGCTCCTTTTCTGACCAACAAAACTGAAATACTCTATCAAAAATTATGGATCACGAATTTGAAGAATGGGAAAATAGAGTTTTGATATTTATTTTAACTGCACTTATGTACTTAGTAAAAATATTATATATTTTACAGAGAAAAAAATGAAATTCTTGGCACTGTCTGTTTCATAGACAATGCAGTTGAAAAAATTATTGAATGACATGTCTCTTCTCTTTTGTGCCAAATATCAGTGCCACATTTTTTGGAACAATCCTATAATCATTAATGCCTGAAAGTTTGGGGTAAAAAGTCTCGTAGAATTACTGTGTTTTGAGAAACCCGGTTATTCCAGAAATAAGGCGTCCGATGAAATCAGGTAGGTGCCTTGAAAGAACAGGTATACGACTGGTTTCTCGTAAACGAATCACAGTCTGTTTGGTGTTTTTAAGCAAGGCATTGGCTATTTGATCAACCGCAGGTGTTGAGATCAGACGGGTTTGTCTCTACTTCTTTGTCATCCACATGAGTACTCTAAGGTTATTGAAACGTCATTGTCTATATATTTTTTGCAAGTAGACGTTAAGGTCATTCATTGTCTAAAAGAAACATCAATTAGAATGATTTTCAAAAAATGCTCTACGAAAAGGAAACTTTTAAGGACATTCAAAAGTTCTCTGTCTGACACACTTGAGAGTATAAACCTCCGGGAAAGGATCGTTAATTTAAGGTTGGATGTAGTTAAGGTAACCCAGATAGCAGGGACCGCGCACCAGTCTAAAAGTTGAGAGGCCGTAATGGGTCTGACCGAAAAAGTTTTTGAGACCACGCCAACGTCGGAAAAAGCCCCTTTTAGAAAAAACTTGCTTATTTCTTCTCAATTTTTATAGAAATTCTGGCTCAAAGTTGCGTTAGAGAAAATCTTGAAAAACTTTTCTAGCCTATTACTGCAAAAGATGGGGGGCTATAGCCCCTGCCACCCCCTGGCTGCGCGGTGCCTGTCATTTAGAACTGCTTGCTTTAATAAAATATTGCTACTGGCAAAAACAGACTCCTACGGTCTATGATTTATAATTCGACAGATTTTAAAATTGTATAGCGAGACAACGACTGGGTTCTGTTCATTATGCGAAACATGTTGCCATTATGATTTTAGGCAGAACTAGATGTTTTCTAGTAAATAGCTAACTTCTGTGTTTCAGTTTCTAAATCTTCCATTGTTTCGGGAAGATGATAGGCCAATACAGATTCCCAAAAGTATGTGAAGTTAAACAAGAAAATTTGCTAGAATGAAAAACAAACTTTAAACTTTAAGCTGTACAGAATATTCGTTGACAGAGTAAATATTTAGAATTTACTACAACAAACAGACTGATGAAAATAATAACTAGCGAATATGAAATTAAAATGTATTTCATGCTTCTTCAGCTCATAAGAAAGACGAAAAACCAGCTGAACCCAAGGTTGCAGAGCAGCAAGAGCATGCCGAAAATGCTGACAACGAAGAGCAACAAAAGGAAATTGAAGAGGAAAAAACTGATGCAAATCCTGCATTAGCCAACGCTAACGAAGAAAAGAAAGATGAAGTAAGTGGGTGAAGATCTAAATCCTTTGTAACTAAATAATGCTATAGTTAGTGACTTTTGAATGAATTACCAAACCATACTAATGAAATGGTATTCCTTGGAACTCCTGACTGAGAGGAAGGTAGCTGTAATGGAACAAGAAGGGGTAACTGGGCTTGGAGGGGTAGCTAAGAGGAACTTCATGAAGAGGGATCTATCAATGAAAGCATTGTTATGGAGCATTATTGTGGAGCAATGCTGTCCTTGCTTTGACTATGAAAGAAAAAATGAACTTACCGACCCATTAGAGAATTTCTCAACCATCAATTGAAAAATATTAGAACTAGTCAATCCGTCATCGTCAAAAAAGGATTCATTCATATAACATAACTGATGTAAGTGGCTTGTATTTATGGTTTTTGTAGAAACAAGCGAGTAATTATGAAATCTAGGAATCGTCAGAGTCATTTTATGATTTTCACCGTAAATTTGAAGGAAACGAAAAAATCCTAGCGATAATGTAACCAAGTATAACATCAAAATTACAGGATGCTCCAGCAGCTGCACCTGAAGAAGATAAGGCAGCACAACAAGAAGACAAAGCTGAAGAGCAACAAGAAGCTGAGGCAGAGCAGAAAGAAGAAGTAGCTGCAGCTGAGCAGAAAGAAAAGGAGCAGGAAGAAAAGGAAGATAAGGAAGACAAGGAGGAGAAGGAGGAGAAGGAGGAGAAGGAGGAGAAAGAAGAAGATAAGGAAGAGAACCAAGAACAAGTGAAGAAGGAAGAACAAGAAACGGCCAAACCGGAGGAAGAAAACAAGGAAGAATTGGATGACAACAATGAAAGCAAAGACGAAGACAAAGAGGAAGATAAGAAGGAAGACGACAAAAAAGCCTGTATGTTAAAACTGTGGCTCTTTAATACAGTCTGCTTTATGCTAGCTTTTATTGAGCAATCGGCATATTGAAATTCAAATTAAATTGCAAGTTTCATCACTGTTTAAGAATAAATTATTAAGAAAGATGTTTCATTTTTTAGTCAAGTGCAATCTGAAGTTCACCAAGGTTGGCTGCTTCAAGGATCAAGGGAAAAAAGAAAGACCATTAGGCCTCTACGTTATGAAAGACGTCAAGATGGCATCATTCCAAAAGAAGAGCCTCACAACAAAATCCGCCGTCTTTGACAGCGGCCTTCCAGATTTTGCTTGTCGATGTGCAAACGAGGCACTTAACCGCGGAAATGCTGTTTTTGGAATCCAGAACATCGGTAAGACATGGTTTTGTATACTTTAGGTATCTGTCTTCTAGTAATGAAGAAAAGCGATTAGTGACAATTAAATAAGACGTAAAAATACATCCGCAATTATTCTACTAAACATTATAGATAAATCATTTTTCTCATCATGTACAAATAGTGACAAAAATAGCTTTTCAATTTTTACAGAAAGTTTAATGGGATTTGATTAGCAATTTGAAACTCTTTTACTAATTTCCAAAGAAAAGATGTCTTCCATATATCTAAAAGGATTAAACATTCATCTTAAAAATGAGTTAAACACATCATATTTCAGCTTCTTCTCATATACTTTTTTACTACATACCATTTACTAGGTTTCATTATTTTCTTGCTTCATTTAAGAAGAAGTAGGGCAACAATTTTCTACCTTCCTTTTTGTGATTGAATACTCACTTTCCCGAATCAATTCTCGTGCCATCTTTTCAGATTTACAACAATCATTGTTTACTACTTGCTCTTAAGGTTTTGTTTCTATAGTTTTAGTTTACTTGTCTAGCTAACATAATGTCTGTTAAAATTCTCTTTCACAAGCTGAATGCTGGACTGGCCCGGATGATGCAAAGTACGACAGAGACGGACAATCAGATAACTGTGTTGGCTTTGGGATGAACAAATGCAACAAGGAAGATTCTCTTTGCGCTGGGAAGAATGGATCTAACTTCGTCTACTACATCGATGTACCTGAACACACAAAATCTGCCGAAGAGGCCAAAAAGGAGATGGAAGAACTGAAGAAGAAGAAAGAAGCTGAGAAGAAGAAGCAGGAAGAAGCAAAGAAGAAGGCAGCTGCCAAAAAATTGAAGAAGAGTATGATTTTTTTTTCTTTGAGAAGAGGGAGGTTACGAAGCTGACATGCTACAGCTATTAGTAACGTGTTTTTAGCAATTTCTTGTATTTCATTTCGCTGTTTATTAATAGACCTAAATCCCTCCTAACCCTGCTCCTTTCTACCTCTGGATCTCTACAGCCGCCCTTGATAATCTTGCAATTAATGTCATTATGAATTTTTACCCTATGATTGATTTTAATTTATAAATCAAATTGGCTAAACAACTGTTCTGATAAAGCCAAATCTATTATTTCAGAGGGAAAGAAAGGCAGAAAGGCAAAGAAGCATGGCAAGAAGCACGCTTAAAAGATAAGAGGAACACCATCTTGCAGAGCGACCAGTATCCCATCACAGGAGAAATGCTTGATTAGTTGTCATTCATTCCAAGATTGTGAAGAATCTCTATGAGATGAAAATGCAATTCTCATGTGAAATCACCCGAAGACTATCGTAGATAAAATAATCTTCAATTAACACCCATACTAATGATTGTTGTCGAAATTTTGTAGCAATTTTTGAAAAATTTCTTAGTGCAAAAATATAAATGGATGTCTTTCTTGTGAGCCCTTCAAAGCTTAGTCAAAAAAACACTTTGCAATTTCTTTCTCAATATTAAGCCTTTGCTATTATGAGAAACTAAGGCTTTGGCACCGTCAATAAAAAATCTAGCACAGGGCCTTAATGAATTAGTTTCAAAACATGTTTTTTATACTAGGCCCATCAAAAGGGCATTCCAGATTAAACAAACAGTCAAGTTGAATCAAGAACCATGCTAAATTTGACAGGTGTGAAGATTTTTGCTACCTGAGTTAATTTATTTGCTTTGAAAGTTACTTGTCAAGAATAGTACACAAGAGCAATGTGCTGGATCTAAGTTCTTACTAGCAAGTGAAGTTACAAAGAACAAGCTGTCTTAATTCAAATGGCGTTAATGAAAGTTAGTTTAATTTTGCTAATCATGTATCCAACAAACACGTCAAGCAAACGTCATTTTAGATGCTAGTTGAATTCTATCTCCAAAAGAAAAGTTAAAGAAAACAAAGAAATCAAATCTTAGAAAATAAATTATAGATTTAAATCTTGTTGCAGACACTCGTGCTATAAAAATACGATTTTAAATATGCTTTCCAACAATATTATTCAAGGCGGTATCCAAAAATTATATTTGCATAGAAAAAACATTATATTTAAAAAAAAGTGTGCTTGAACTCCTATTTAATAAACTGGAGTAAATACAAAAGGAAATTTTAAGAAAACTATGTTTTTCTGATGAGCTTTATATGATTACATAGGTTTTAGGAGCTGTGCAGGGAGAACACTCATTTTGTGCGTTATCAGGAAAAGGACAAAATATTGTTTGTTTATCGCCACTAGCCTTGTCCTTTTTTCGAAAATATAAAAGGTATTTTAAAAAAAAACCCATTCAATAAAGAAGAAGTCTATTTCAAGCAATTGCAAGTCAAATTCAAACAATACAAATCCTCTTTTGAAATTTTCTTAATCAGTTTTTTTTAGAATAAGAAATTTACTTTTAAAAACAATATTTGCATAAAAATATTTAAGTTGAATCTGGGATGTGATACCCCCTTGTTCTTCTACTGGACTTGATGCATCATTTTAGGAACACCTACTTAAATCAATCATCTATAACTCCTACCAAAGTTCTTAGAACATTAATTCAGTCTTCCCCTATTCTTTCTCGCCACAATGTTGGTTTACTACAAAATGACGTAGGTGATTAGAAAGGTCATTATTTCGTGTAACCTATATGACATTTGCCTAAAATGTCAACATTGCTCGTGGGAGGGAGTGGAAGTAGAAATTTTTGGAAAAGAACTGAAAAATATAAAACCAAAACTTCTCTGTGCTCCAAGCAATTGTTACTGGCATTGAGCGCAAGCTACTGTTTTCTTAGAATGTATGTCGTAACAGCCTATTGTGAAACAAACCAATGTACACTTTAAGATACAATTTACTTTTAAAACATAACCCCTCTGCACGTTCGTGTACCTCACCGGTATGTATAATTCAAAATGCCACTTAAAATAGCTAAAAAGCACAAATAAATTTATTCTATATCTGAAAAATATGGTTTCCTATGGATAAATTGAAAAAAATATTTGTGACATGAAACGCTAAAGGCTATTTTTCTCAAAGTCGATGTTTCATCAGGGCATTTTTACACAAATCTAATTAAAAGGATCCTATTCCATACGTCTCATTAATCAAGAAAACGAATTTTTAATTCGTAAATAAATCAATAACTGCTAGCAGATAAGGCATTTAGTATTGATTTGTCTGCTAATAGACTAGTCTTTTTGAAAAATGAATTTACTTTTTGTTGGTTATGAATTTTGCATTGAGGTGACTGGTATTCTAATAAAAGAAACACTGATTCGTCAATTACAATCTCCAATTTATCAGTACTTTAGCTGTGGCTTTATTTAATCAGAGTAATGAAAATGCCCATGAATAATCACAACACAAGCCAGGGTCAGACACAGCAGGTAAGAGGTTGTGCACAACTGGTTTCACTACGCCTTTGTGAGCAACCCTTAAGGACCAAATAGGACTTCTTTTCAATGCTATTTTGCATGACCAATGAAACAACGCGAAGATTCGACAACGCTGATCCGACCAATGAGCATCACGTATTTTTGTAATGCAGCGAATCAAAATGCTTGATGCCATCAAACATTTCATGCATAGAAAAAATCGTCAATGTTTACGTTCAGCTTGGTAAAAAGCCAATGAACAGGGAATATACTGTGAGCAGAAAATTTTAATTTTTAGATTTTTAAAAAGAAATTGAAAGTTTGGTGCTAATTTATTGCAGACAAAGCAGGTTTATATTCAACATGGCTTACACCACGGTGTTGCTGCTCTTCGGAATACCTTTGTTAATATCTGAAGGTAAGCATGAAAACATAATTCATTACTACACGTGCTTTCTCTTTGCTTATTTTTTAATTCTGAAGCTAAAAACAACAATTTTCTTTAGTAATTAAAACGCACACATCGTCAATTTTATGGCAGCCATTGCTCTCTTTTAGCATTTAGGCCCTTTCATAAAACTGAGGCCGCATCCCAGCTTAATCATCGCATAACGATGTAGAATTCAAGAAACTATATTTTTTAAATGTTGTTAAAGTTCATTGCTTATTGGACTCAAAAGACCATAGTACGTAACAAAACGGTTTTGTGTGTTTTTGGTATGAACTCATAATTGAATAATTACGGAAAGGTTTAGCACCAATCTAAATCTCAATCTTTTGAAACAATAATACCAAATGTTTTCTGAAAGACATATACAGTTCTCTTTAAATCATTCCTTTGCCAACAATTTCTATCTGTTTCAAAAATTGCTTATCTAAAAATTCTCTAATTAAAACTGTCATAAACAAAATCAAAAATGCAAATTTTTCTAATGTCTTCTACATGTAAATATGCATTCCTTTGGAGCTATTTGACTCTCCATTTTTCAACGAATAATAAAATGATAGTCCTTTTCTTACATGTTTAACATTTGTTTTCAATAGATGCTCTAATTATCTTAACCCTACTCTCGCTTTCTAAGGTAAGAGTTGGAAAAAGTAAATCAACAGCTGATACAATGTTTAAATATTTTGATCTGTGGAAGAAGACAATAAGTATAACACAGTTGGGTCCCTCCAGAACTTTTTAACTCTTCATGCATTTCTAATATTGAAATGTAAATTTTTAGGCCATTGACTCCTGCTGTCACTGCAGATTTAAAGTCTTCACCAAATTCAATACAGAAGCATATTGTTTTAAGATCTTACTTACAGAAAGCGTTTTAAGCTACGTCTCATTCCATTCTGATACAAATATCTTTTGCGCAGCTGCTGTTATCAATCCACGAAAGAATGATATCGAGATTTGCAACAAACAGTTGGATTTGATGTTGGTTGTTGATTCCTCGGGTAGCATTGCCGATGTATGGAACCATACAATTGACTTTTGTGAAAAGCTTCTTAGTAATTTCAACATAGCGGATGACCAAGTCAGAGTTGGTCTAATCGAGTTCAGTATGGTCGCAAATGCTTTGATTCCTTTGGATAGTGGAAACAATCTTGGTCGATTGTACCAGTCCCTGGAAGAATTGAGATCCAGACCACAAAATGGAGAGACACACACGGACCTGGCATTAAACCTGGCTTATAGAGTATTTCTGGCCTCTAAGAGAGCTGAACCTGTGCCAAAGGTAGGCTATCTCACAGGGATTTCGCCAAAGGTGCCTAGAAAGGCCATGATCACCATCCTTCAGCTACATGTATTGCTAGTAATTGATTACTTAACTTCTTTTTCTCTTGCACCCTTTAAAAGAACTCAGCATCTCGAAGTTTAACTTGTTAAGAAACATATAGATCAGAACACCAAAAAATGCAGCAATGAGGATTTTGCTAACGGGTCTACTGAGCATGCGCTCGGTATTGTGGAGTTGGGCGGGTCAAAGTTTCTACTGAGATATTCAAATCTACATATTTAATTTTTCGTCTTCTTTCATGGCTATTTATTGTATCGTTATTTTCAAAAGGTACTGGTTCTCATAACAGATGGCGAATTGACAAGTGGAAAATACGAAGAGCTCAACCAGATATTGGGCGATCTTGCATCTCTAAATGTTGAAATATTTGTGGTTGCCCAAGGGGATGACTTGGTTGAAGATGGAATTAAAAAGATGGCGAGCCAGCCTCTTAATGATCATAGATTCAGCCTCACACCGAATTCCTTGAACGTTCCATATGCTACACAATCTCTAGCGACTTCTATTTGCAACGGTAAGTTTGCTTTCCTCGTAGTAATTTATAATTGTTTTCATATAAATGTGTTAGTTGGATTAGAAATCTTCAATAACAACATGATGAAAACTTTGAATATCATAGACTAGCATATTCTGTATGATTTGTATCAATAGATATATACGTCATATGTCTCTTTGGTCAAAACAGCCTAGTGTTCAATTCTGTTCTTCAAAATGCGAATTTTCTTGCTTGAATTTTCTGTCAAGAACTCTTATTTCCTTAATTCTCAGCCTGATATTACATTCTTCTGCACTTTTATTTTGCAAACTATAATGTCCTTTTTAGAGACCAAGGTAATTCACTTTAAGGTGCTTCTTTCTATAAGTTGTTCTCACACTTACAGACCTTTTGTTTTGCTCTATCACCGAATATCTTTAGCTTTAGTCTCTGTTGCTAGACTGCTTTTAGACCAAAAGCAAAGTAAATGTACTACTAAATAGCATAGCCATTCCCATGCTTACATTTTTGATTAGGTCTTTTTGAATATAGCCTTTATTGTAAGTATTCATCAATTTATTAAAACAAACATACTTAAATATACATGAGATTTACAATTTTAACAACTCAGTTATTTGATGATTCACAGTCAAAGCACAAACACAAAACAATACAAATGCAACAAAGAGTGATGCAAAAGTAACAGAGAGTACGACTATAATTAAAGTTGAAAACAAAGCTGGCTTGCAACAGCAGCAACAACCAGCAAAAGAAACTCAGACGTCATCGAACGTGGAGTTGAAACCGCAAGAGCAAACGTCGTATCAGGAGGGAGCTTGGCACCAAAACCTCCAGCAGCCAGTTGGCAACCCCAAGCAAACATACCCTGAAAACCCTCCACCCCAACCGCTGCCGAATTTGCCTGTTTCAAATAAAGACTTCAGCATAGGCAAAGAAACAGGCGCGAATCAATACACGCAAGACCATGTTAGTTCGCAAAAAGTAGCAAAACCTGGTCAGTTTCTGCTCTTCGAGCTATTGAATTTTTGTATCTTCTACAATTTGAATGATACATAACCCATTTCCACTTTTTTATCTACCCCATATTGCTGTAGTGTTTCATATAATATCAAATAGAAAGAGATCGAAGTCAAAAGTTTTCGTTTATTTTTGTTTAATAAACATGAAGATCCAATTTTATGCTCTTGCAAACGAACAAGTAATATTAATTTTCTTAAAGATTCTGAAATTTTACACGACTAATGAAAGTCATTTCATTTCTTTTTCAGCTCACCAATGCAGTGTAAACCTAACTAAAGTGGGATGTTACAGAGATTTAGGCCAGGTTCCAAGACCGTTGCCCATTAAAGTACTTGAAGAGAAAGAAAATAACTTTCATGTTGGCATCAGAAGCTCATCATTTGATAAACAGGCTTGGGAAAATTTTTTACCCGAGTTCATATGCAAGTGCGCTAAGAAGACAAGGGAAATGAAGTTCTGGACATTCTCAATACAGAATTATAGTACGTTTCCTTTTTTCCTGATTGAAAAATTATTGAAAGCAATCGACAGATACTAAAGTGGCTTAAAGGCAGTTTAGAGATACCAACATAGCTTAAGCCATCTGCCCATTGATTATTGGCCAATCAGTAAACGTTATTCCACTCACATTCTTATTAATTGACTAAAGTTGATTGACAGAATGACCTAAGCCACCTATGTATCTGTGAACTGCCCTTAAGAAATCTCTCAATCTACTATTGGCCAATAAGTAAACGCACAACTGGCATCGTGTGAGCTGCTAAACCCCCTCAAAATAAAATCTGGACAATTTTCAAACTTCAATTGACTGTGCAAGAAAGCTACAAAATCAGTTGTTCTTGTGTCAGGAGGCTTTGATGGAAAACGAGTATGACTAGGAAAAACATACTTTAGTTGTCTGAAAAGATTTTCCAGTCAATTATTTCGTGAAATTAGAGGTCAAGTAACAGTTTAGGACACCTTGTCCCATCAGTCAAATGTTCTTGTTAACAATAAGCTAAGCGACATGGTTGCGATTGAGAAATCATTAAGAATTAGCTATGCATTACCTATTTTATATGTCAACAATAGCTCATAATACAACCAATGCGAATTTCGGTGACCACCAAAATACATCTTGACATGGTGCTTTTAACCTAGTTGTGTATTCAATGAATCATTTGGTTCAATTTAGATGATAGAAATATTTATTGATCCTCGATGACTGGATTAAATTGTTTTGATAGATGAATGCTATTCTGGCCCCGACGAAGGTCGGTACGATGAAGATGGCGACGCTGAGCCATCAAAATGCAAAGATGAGATGGGAAACAACTGCGAAAAAAATTCGAATTTCTGTTCAGGAGAGGCCAATACGAATTTCGTCTACACTGTTCTTTCAGACTCACATGTATCGATTGTTCGAATCGAGTAAGTTCGCTATTGATTAGTCCTTTTCATTTCTAGCCTTTAGCCACTTAATTCTTACTACTTTAATGTTTTTAATATTCTCTTTTATTCATGTGTTCTTATTTGTATTTGTACTAAGAAGTTAGGTTTAAGGCACAGAGAAGTGATGTTTATTGAGGAGTGTCCTGGTCCTTCCTCTCAATGTGACCACACCTCATGAGCCCCACCCTAAAATTACCGAGAGCTAGCGACTGTTCAAGTCAGTGACTTGAAGCACAGACCATTTGATTTGTAGCCCACGATCCCAACCACGGAGTACCTTCTTGTACCTAAGCAATCACGCATTATATAGTATTTTAATCAATGCGTATAGCACTTAGCATAAGCTAAACTCGAAAATTCTTTGAAATCAGTCTGGAATTCAAAGAACTAAACAAAGCTTCCTTCTCTTCCAGGTATGATTGATTGTTGGATTAACAGCCAAGCAATAACTAGACGATGACCAGAATGTGGAATTGCTCCTATTTTTATTATGTATTCTGGTGTAGAATATTTGCAAAACAGTCAATAGGCATCATTCTGAGTGCTGCCAAACGACGAACAACTCTTCAATGCGGAAGATATATTAATATCAGACATGCAGATTGAAGGTGGCGCAATCAGTCAAGGAGGCTGCTGCTAAATGTATCATGTTGGCTGCAACAAACTGTGTAAAAAATAAGACTTATGCGCAAATCCCTCTTTCGACTCTATAGAAAGCTGTATGCATCACCTCTTTGTCTCATGTTTATTGGTGATCTATTAATGAGAATTTAGATACTCATAGGCAAATGGACAGGTAGAGATTGAAAAAGAAATCTTGAATTCTGTTTTCAAGAAGCATTATAAGTTTCAAGAGGAATTGAAATATATTTTCATTTTATCACATTTAATTTTTATTAAACGACTATGCAATTAGATATATTTGTTTGAAAAAGGAAAATAAATAGACAAAATAACCTACAATCTAGTATCATTCTAATGAGCTTTATTTTATCCAGTATTTGAGTGTTTCATTTAACGATTGATAAAATTTTTCTATGGAATCTGTTAAACCACAGCGTTGGATTTAATCATTACTTGCAGTATATGTCTTTGGCTTTCCCTTCTTCATTCACCTAAACATATTCTAAGCACTTTTTAGCATGTAAACAAAGTTATGGAACTGCTTTCCAACACACATAGCTCCACTATCTAAACTGTTTCCGCACGATTTGAAATCTGCACCAAGACAGGCTCTTGGTGACAAAGCAGGACCATCTTTGGCGAAACCATGTTCCACCCTTTTCCCGTGACATTCACCTGAAATTGTCAAAAGAGCTCCAAAAATTAACCACAACCATTACATATTAAAGATTCTTAAAGAACAAATAACACTTTTGTCTCTGAAAGTTTACCATCATGAGTCAGAGACGGGATAAAAATCATCCTGGAATATTATCGAAATACATGAAAAGGAAGGATTTGTTATCGTATACCCTTCTTGCATATGCCTTGCGACATATTAACAGCATCAAACTTTGGTACAGAATTAATTGCTTTGATATCAGTCAGTTGCATCTTAACTATATTGAATTAATGCACCAAGTTCATTAAAAGTGTGAAACTGAAACTTCATCATCCTTTTTCAAGGCAGTGGTTTGAACCTCCTCGCCACCCCCCCCCCCCCAAATCCCTAGCCCTTTACTCACCACCACATGTATCCATGTATTCATTGATAAATTCTATATGCAATAATAGAGAGCTTACAAGTTGAGATGATAAATACGTACCGTAAAACTGAATTGAAAACAGTGGGAGATTGAGTGACCTTGCCCTGCGGGCACATCTACATACAACATCCTTGATATATGTGTTCCAGTTGGAAAGATCCATTTCTGTACCAGAAAAATTTGCATGATTCGGATCGCGATCTGTAAGTATCAGATCTGGCATAGGCCGGGGGCTGACTTGGTGGTCATAGAAGCAGCCAATGGGAAGATACGTCTCATTGCATTGTTTGTCAGCCACTAAGGTATTGTTAATAAAAACTGTTTAAGTTATATCATGACTATATGGTCCTTTTCCTCAATTACTTGTAGCAAAACTATGAATACCAAATCCTGAGAAGATTTTATGCTACACCGTTCTTGGAAACAAGATGGCTTATCATTCTTGTCTTTATACAGACATCTTGAAAGTATAGATAGGTCAGGGCTTTAAATACTTTCGTTAGACCTTCGATCTGAATAAAAAACTTTCTCCAGAATGCTTATTCTATGAAACACGTGCTTAAGAGTTCAAACTGAATCTTAAACGGTATTATCAAGAATTGGTTTAAACGGCCATAAATTTATATGCTTATTTTTCATAAAAAATATAATTGCCAATGAAGGGCGAGTCTGGGTGTTATAAGAGCTCGATGAATAGAATTAATGCCTCTTTTCAGAAGATGAAATATAATTCTAGAGCATCTTACCGTATTCAAAGTTTCTTGTATCATTTCTTTGGATTTCTGGAATGATTTCAAAATCATTTGATGGTCCTTCATCATCTTTGCGATTTTCAGTAAATATTTGTAAAAATATACATTACATCTTCTAGTTTTAATATCTATGCGCTTATTTTGACTAATTAGATTTTATAATTTTGTTTAAAAACTTATTTATATTGAATGGTGTTTAAAATAAACATATACGAAAAATGAACGTGAAATGTCGTCAGCAAAGGTATTGTGAGGAGCTTTCAAAATGCAAATGAATAATCGACGGAGCTTGTTGGGAGTTGACCACTGCTTAACAATAACACAAGGTTACTAGGAGTTGATCATCCCTCAAATAGATTCATAAGCGTATGGGAGTTGCGCACCACCCCTTGGTATTAAAAACATTTATTAGCAAACTATCTGGCAAAAAATTGTTATATTGTAGCAAAAGTTTTAAAAACACAAGACAAACGCTTCCAATTCAATGTTGCTCGTAAGCCGATGAATGGACAAAAGCTACTTAACTACCAAGTTCTTTATAGTCGTATATTAATATTTTGGAAGGATGTTAGAAAGCCATCAATTTGGAGCAAGGAATCAATAAATCTGTAACATTTTGTAGGGAGGAGAGGCTTCTCAAAAATCTCGTTCGCGAGAGTTCAAAGTGCCACGCCATGTGTTGTTCATATGGTGAAGCAGATTGTTACGTAAAGTGAAATTCACATGAAAAAGTGTGAGAATGTAAATCAATATAAAGTATTAAAGTTTGTTTTGAGAAAAAACTTTTGAATTTTTGTGACACTGTTATTTATAAACATTGCTATCTCATACTCCGTTCAGCTTTATCTCCATATTTCATTTGTTCTTATCAAGCATAAGATGATTGGTGACTACAGTTCTTACTAAAACTAACACTTATTTGCATGCACAGGTAGATATAAGGCACAGTTTAAACTAGATATAATCGTTTTATATCATTATATCATGGTTTGATGCATAGAAACTGGTAAATATGTTTTTTTAAACTGACGTCACCAGCTTGGTTTGGATAAGCGACAATAGCAAGCAACTTAAGCCTGATTGTATTTCGCCAGATATATTTGTAACAATTGTAGTATATTCAAACTACAGAGACATTCTTACGACATCATCCTATATGACAGAGCTAGTAAGAAAAACAGCTTCTTGAGCCATAAGTCTAAGAAAGTTCGTTAAGCCTTTGTAAGTTTGTTAAAAAATCTTTATCTTCTCTAGCTTGGCTCTTGCTTTGAATTTAGAGGGTCCATAGAGCAGAAGCGGTTAGTTATTTAGGGTCCTCCGGCCACCTTTTGCGAGGCCTCCCCCCTTTGCCACTTATATTGGATTGCTCCCCGTCACTTGTCTTTTCTTTCTGATATAAGCTCCATGTTATCTGACAATGTATCATCATAATGTTACTTATCATATTTTTGCAAACTTAGACTCATTTTTATCTATACCTCTTTCATAATTTTATCAAGAATCTTTAGTTCCTCAAAGAAATAAAAGTTCAAATAATTCATTGATTAAACAGCTATTGTACAAAATATGCATGCAGAATTGCTGCTATTTGAACGGCTTGTTTTCTTAGAAATTTTCGAAATGAAGAGAAAATGATAAATGCAAGGAAGAAAACCCCAACAGTAACAATACAAATAATAAGTCCTAATGAAATATTTAATTTTGATTTACCAGGCTCATATTCTTGCTTTGGTAGAACGAGCTGCAGTCTTTGAATAAAATGCGACACATTAAATGATTCGGACTGGTAAATAAACTCAGTGTTGTGCGCCCCCACTATAGCATGTAGGCCTTCAATGTACAGTGTATCGCCAAATGTGATGCAAAATATCTTTACTCCTAATGCTTTTAACTCAGAGACCCTTTCTCTGACCTTGGATTCTCCAATGAAATGATCAGAAAGAGTCATTTTTCCGTCTGTTAACATAACAAGTACAGACAAAGCATTGCGCGATAAGGGGCTGTGCTTGAAAAGATTAGCAGCATCAAGCAATGCCTGGTCGGTGTAGGTATGCGAGCCCCCTTCGTATTCCAGTCTCAGCTTCTCTAGTCTCTGGAAAATGACGTCACCTTGGTACCCATCAACAAGTTTGACTCGATCATGGACGTGATCACTAAAGTCGATGATTCCAACATGTGTTTCTTTATGCGATATCTTGATATGATGCAACAGCTTCTCGACGAGGTCAACTTGCCGGAACCAATAGTCCTGACTCATGCTTTTGGAACTATCAAAAGCGAAAACCAAATCCAATGGCATATCTAATCAAAAGAAACAAATTAATTTCTAAAGACCATAATCCCATTCCCATGAGCAGTTGAATCTTAACTTTTAGAAATACATAAGATCAGCATCTAGGGCTAGCAGCAGTTAACAATCTTGAATTGCACCAGAGTTGCCCTTTCAAGCATATTTGCTACGTCAAATGTTATATTTAAGTATATAAGTTCCCCCATTTCAAGCTGATACAGTTCTTATATAAAACAGTTATTTTTACTTACGACAATGGCAACCCTTTCTGGCACCCATAAGAAGTAGCACATAAAGCAATAAGGCAAATCTTGAAATCCCATAGAAGACGCCATACGCCATTTTGGTCTTGTGAAGTTTGAATAATCACAGTGAGAATTTCAAATAAACGCTAGATAAATGTTTTGATAGATTGCGTTTGTTTAGCTTAGGTAAAATATTTACAAAATCTGAATTCAGAAACTGATTTCATTGAAATTTTCTCATGAAGACTACAAGAGGTTTTTGTGATTTTGTTGTTGCAAAAAATGAGCATGCAGTTGGCAACAAGCTTCTATCCAGCCTAAATATTTTCCAGCCTTACATCGAATAGAGTGTCATTTAAGCTTATTTATATAGGGTTAGTTGATTCGTGTGAGACCAAAGCTATTGATACTGTCTGTTATAGGATGGTTTGTAGGATTCTGTCATAGATAAAAATAGGTGTCGCTTGTCCGTTGCAGAGAGGTGCCGTTGTAAGGAACTGTCAGTTGTAAGGATGTGTTCGCTGTGTGCAGTTGTTAGTTTTATGGAGATATTCACTGTAGAGAGGTGTCCGTTGAAGGGAGGTGTCCACTGTAAAGATTTTTTCGCTGGCGAAAAGCTACTTGCCCAAGCTTTTAACAATGGGAAAGGAAATTTAGGAGATTTTCATTGGTCTATTGCTTGAAAATGTCCGTTTATGAAATTTTTGCAGTACATCTACTTGAATTGAATAACGTCACAATTCCACATAGATGTTAACAATTCTTGTGCTCCAAAACTTGTTATTCTTTTATTTTACTAGCACTCGATTCTGATAGGATACGTAAAGCATATCAAAAACAAAGATAGTTCTACTTTAAACCGCCCATATCGTAGTTCCACATTATACAGCAGTGGTTCAAGGACAGCAGAGAACATTACGGATTAAGGGGGCTAAAGCGTTTTGGGGGTGACTTTTGGGGGTAAACATGATAAGAATCAAGCGCAGGGTGAATTTTTGTATGGTTTTAGTACATTTCGGAAATTATTGGGGGAGGGTCTATAGCTTCCACAGTCCCTGCAGTGGGTTTTTCAAGGTCAAAGGACGTCAATTGATTTAGACAACCTGAAGGTACTCCGAAATTTTGGACGGCAGGACACAGAATTTTAAAAGTTAAATCCATTATGCCTTCATACATAAAGGGAAATAAGTGTCAAAATAGTTTATGGTGTGACAAGAGCCCAAAATTGACTTGCATAAAGAGAGATTTGTTGGTATTTGCATTTGAGTAGCATTGTTTTTTAGCCTTTACATCAACAATAGGTGATAAACTGAGACCAGCCTCAGTATCGTAAATAGTCGGTCATTAGCAAGCAATAGGAGGTCAGTGATTTTCTTGCACATGATCAGAAAAAGAACAATAATAGCACCTGCAGGAAAATAACTTTTCGAATTTAATAATTTCCTAATGTTTGCGACAAACATTAAAGATGGTAATGCTGTGGAAGATTTCTACTCTAATTGCAATACTTTTATTTGCAAGATGCGTCTTCTCGCAGCCATATGACCGTAAGTCAAAAGGTAGGATTACATAAATCTATTTTTCAAAATACTTAAGTTTTAGCGTCATTTATGAGATTTATAACAGATTCATATCTTAACTAATTGTTTTCTTTGCGCATTGAGCTAAATGTACAAATTTCTGAGAAATCACTCGTAAGATAGCATAAACGACCAGTCAATGAAACAAGAGCTTTAGCTGCTTCCACTCTCTTAGAAATCGCTTTAAAGGCATTGCCAACTTTCCAAAATTGATTGCTATGGAGTATGCTAAGAGATAAATAAACAATTTGGTTAGTATAGGACCTTCAGACCAAGAGGGAATGTATTTGATCATCAGCGAATTGTTTGATTCTTTATTTCTTCCCCGCCTTGAGTTGGTTGAGCCTACGTGATCAAAGATTTAAGGACAGATGAAGATTCATCAGAGAGTGATTCTCATTTTTTCTAGGGTTAAAATGTCATCGTCCTCTGGATGTGGTTTTGGCACTGGATGCTTCCGGAAGAACCAGAAAGCAAGACTGGGAAACAGTTGTCAAATTCTGCAAGGAGCTCCTCCGGGGACTGAATCCAATTTCAGAACGACAAAATCGTTTGGGCATTTTGACGTTTGACGAGCTGCCCCGCGTGGCAAAGGAACTTAACAAAAAAACCGACGTCAGAGAAATTCAGAAAGTCATTGATGGTTTGCATAAAATACAGCTGAGTGGAATGACATTCACCGATGAAGCACTAAAAGAAGCTTCGAATATTTTTCAAAGAAGTAAAGGAGTGAGGGAGGCCATCAAGGTCTTGATAGTATTTTATGATGGAAGAACAACGGATCGTCTCGGAAAGAAAGGCTTTACTTTTAACAAAAGAGCAGCCACAATGCTGCGTAAAGACGATGTTAAAACTTTTGTTGTAGAATTTGGTCGCTATATTGGCGAAGAGGACATTTTGAGCCTTGTAAGCGATCCGAAATTGGAGCATATCTATACATTAAATGATATGCCAGAGCTGGCAAGAGCTGTTCAAACATTGGCATGGAGAGCCTGTTAAATTGTATCCAGTAATCGTATTTTTTATCTTGGTACGAAACATACAAACACTGTTCAGATATGTTCGAAATAGATAAAAAAGCATGTTTTGAAGAGAACGAGTCAATATCAATGCAAGAAGTTCAGAGAAAAAGAACACAACATTCTCAGACATTTAGCATGATTTACGTTAGACAATAGGTCGATTTTGATCCAGACATTCAGATCGATTAACAAGACAATATGCCCAATTGTAATCCATATAATTGAACTTCCTTTCCTTGTGCTCAATCAATGGCGGCAGGCAGATGTGCCGCACAGAACAGAAAATTGCTTCGAAAGATATAAGGAAGGATATCCTCTGCAATAAACATCCGCATTCAACACTTTTGTAATTCCGACACACGGATGAAATTCATGTATTCAGAGATTTCCTGGGAAGAACCAGAAAATACTTTTTGAGGTACACGCAACAAATGCAAAAAACCTGTGAAAAAGAAATTTTCCTTCTGGAAATAAAATGAAGCTGTGCTTGGTCACAGTGAAACTGAATAGAAGTGTTGTGTACTACTAGATTGAAAACGCAGATTCTTGAAGAATTGAGAACATATTCCTTTTCTTTAATCAAATATATACAAAACAAATCTATTTAACAAAATACATGACTGATCTAGATGATGTCCACACTACAACTCTCAAAATTCTAACATAAAAAGACTGCGTGTCTGATTTCACACCTACAGCGAGGACTGGGCACAAGCCAATCCACGTGATGTTAACAATAAGAAGCAATTTGCTACTGATTCAAATGATGGTCATTGGTATTCAATTTGAACTGGATTTGAAAAGCCTTTTGCGTAAAAAGTTTTGTACCTCAAACTGTTGATCAGCAAAGTAGAAAAAATATACTGGCATCGTCCGATGCATAACAGGAACACCTGTGTACAAATATATCTTAATTACTTATAGAACATGTAAATCTGTGTGTTTTTTCGTATAGCGTGATTAGGGCTCAATGTGTTAGTCTAGTTTGATCAACGGCAGATTCAAAAATCATAGAATACACCGTGAAGAAAAAACAAAAACACTATTGGCGGCTGGGTTCAGCTTGGGTTCTACTGTCATCTTCTTAAAGACACATGTGGTCATAATCTCAAAGGATTTCAAAAAAATTGTTGGAACCGCGGCAAGGAAATGTTTCATTGAATCTATGGCAAAAATGTTGGAAAACCTATGATAATAAACGGCAAAAAGATTCTTTTTAAAGAGCCAAACCTGATGTAAAGCTGTTTGTTCTTTTTAATTCCTAGTACCTGACCATGAAATGATAGAAATTATATCTTAAAGGAATTTTTGTCTCTATCTATCCTCTTGCCTCTTTTTAAAACTTTTATAGAGCATTCCAAATAATTAAAGGCCCAGAATTGATCCATGTAGAGCTGCATGTGTGTTTGGATCGTTTTTTGATCTGTTTTTATCTAATATTACTTGTCTTTTCCAAAGGTATTGAATTTTGTATCTTGAATTCAAAAGAAAATTAAAAATTCATCGATGAACTGGACATTTTATTCCTTGATAAAAAAGCGATTTCTTTATCATTTAATGTATTGATATAATCAATCTACTTATTTGAAAACTCAATGAAAATGATTTCAAATGAAACGATAGTTGCAGGTGCCTGTGTAAAGCAAAGCAAAACAGTATTCTCAATGTTGTGTTACGCTTTGTTGCCATGATAGCTTTCTTAATAAGATTGTTGTAGAATAAAAGAAGTAGGTCGTTCTTTTTCCGCATGGCCGCATCTTATTCAATTCTCTAACAAGCCCATACAATCAAGATATCTGCGGTGGGAAACAAATCTTGAATGATTATTCACTTGAGTGAGAGAGAAATGTGCGATGTCGTGAACGTCATACAAGTAAAATATGCATTTTGCCAGCTTTTGAATGTCTTCTCTGAAAATGCCACGCTCTGAAGTGCCAAATAGTTCGCAAAAACATCGAGCTGATAAAAATCTAACTAGCCTGAAAGAAGCCAAGGATAGAAAGATCCAGCCTGAAATAAAATGGCCAGAATTATCAAAAGTTGTGTCTTTGCAGAAAATTTTGATCAAGTCAAAAGGCAAAGTTGAAAAGATCACAGAGGCGTACGAGGAAGTAGAAAAATTGGATCAAAGGAGTAATGTCTCCAGTCGTAAACAGATGCTAGCCCGGCGACCTAAAACACAAGCAGCTTCTCGCAGCAAACCACGAAACACCACTCGTTTCGTCGCGGAAAAGGTAAGCCAAGATAGACCTGCATCGGAGGGGTTACCGTATATTTCAACAAACGATGTCAAACTTCGTGGAGAAAAAGGAATTTATACTCAAAACCGAGCGAAATCTCTATTTGTTGGAAGCAGGGCTTGCAAAGATATACACAATGTTAAGAATTTATATATCGAGCGTGAGCAGCCGCAACGGCCAAGAGTTCTCTCGGCAACCCGAAAGTATTTCGAATATCCTGTGGAAAAAGTCGAAGAAGAGGGGATCGAAACGAAATATACGAATAAGCAACTATGCCCTGTTAGCCACACATATTTGCTAATGTTAGAGGATAACCCGCAACCAAGCATGAAGTTGAGAAATCACGGTTTGGATGGCAATGCTCTCTCAGTTATAGGCAACACAATCGAGAATAACAACGATGTAACTGAACTCGATTTAGAAGGAAATTTGCTTAATGACATCGGTATTGAGGACCTTGGAATAATTTTGCGTGGAAACACAAACATAGAGCAACTTAATTTATCCTGCAACCGATTCTCCTCAAAAGGAATTATAGCCATTGGCAATCTTCTTGATGCTAATAAAACTCTTACTGTTTTATCTTTATCTAGAAACAAACTGACAGATACCGACTTGGAACTGCTGTGTAGCAGTTTGGAGGATAGCAACAGCAATTTAAAGACCCTAGACTTGAGTTTCAACTGTTTTACGCCTCAGGTAGGGAAAACTCTGGGAGAATTCTTATCTGAGGATAAAGGGCTTAAAGATCTCAATATTGCTGGAAACAATTTAGGTCCCACAGGAATGAGTTCTATTTTTGAAGGTCTAATGAGAAACAATTCATTGGAAAAGCTGGACATAGCTTGTAATGAAATTTCGGATAAAGGTATTAAAATCCTTGCACAAATGAACTGCCTAGGACGCAGCCTGAAGCGGCTTGATTTATCTGATAACTTCGTGACGTTGAAAGGAATAAAACACTTTGTTTCAGTACTGGATGGAAACCATTCTCTGACTGTCCTTAGATTGGACAATAACCAAATTGGAACGAACGGGCTAATACTGCTATTGGAGAGCTTGCTAGAACAATGCAATGAAACTCTCTCCCACCTGCATGTAAAAGGAGTCTTTGCAGACCAAACAATTCGAGATCTTTGCGATAAGATGCAAAAGCGAAACAGCAAATTTGCCTTATTTGGTGTGACAGGAAACACTGGCAATGGCAAAGATGACACGCTAAAGCTGTTGGAAATATATCTCGTCAATAACAGATTCTTAAACTCTGATCGTTCTGAGCAAATCGATTCAGTACTTGACACAGAGAGTTGATGTATTCACTTTAAGAACTGTGGATCTTTGGTAGGGGTTCTTCAAGATAGGCGCCAGCTTTTGTTTTCTCATGGTTGCTCGAGATTTTATCAAAGATGGCTCGGGATTTGAGATAAAAGTATTTTCGTATTTTCATAATAAATGTACCTTCTGTTTTCAAGTTTTCAAAGGTTAACGATTGAATTCGATCTCAAAAACTGACAAGTAAATGAGCAAAAAAGGTCACCTTAAATGAAAATCTCGACTTCTTAAAGCACAGTTTTTCACGTTTTGAAAAGAAAAAGTGTACTGCTTTTTGCTGTATCAAAAGTTGTCATTAGTGGCTGAACCCCTTTAAAAATTTCCCAGTAGAGCTCCTAAGCCCCCCCCCTTCAATTTTGACACCTTTTGTTTTTTGCGCTGGACGTGAAAAAATTCAAGATAGTGTTTGTAAATCATGTAGAGGATGTGGGTAAAAATGTATATTGTGCAAAGCGAAATCTTTGTATATGTAAATGATGAGTACTTTTAAAAATGCTACAAACTAACACTGTTTTATTTAATGGCATTTATACATACACCAGTTCCAAAAGTATCGATACATTTCATGACTGTTATACTTAGCCTGTCGTGTGGATAAAGTATTCAAAGACTAATATTTTTTGTGTAGTTAAAAAGATTGGTAATAATGAGATTGGACACACAAGCCCTAATGATATTCATGTATGTCCAATAAGGCTAATTCAAAATTCATTCCCTGCATTCACCCAAGTGTAATGATTACCAGTGGCATACACACCACCTTGGTAAAGGGTCTTGATGCAGTGTCCCCGAAAAAAGTATTTACAGTCATGTCCTAAAAACTTTGGGAAAATTTTTAAATATTTTAGAGCTGATCACATTTTATTAATTACACATAGGCATTTTCACAATGTTGTTAAAATGTGTTGGATCTGCCTACACAAACCCCTAACAATTTCTTGATATTTTTGGACAGATCTTGAGTACCATTTCTTTAGAAAGTGGGGAGATCCAGACACCCCTCCCAATTGCCCCCATGCATACACCACTGATGACTAAAACAACACTGAAAGTGATTTTTCATTCTAAGAAACAGTCCTACATCAATAATGGCAAAAATATCAAAGAAAAGCTATAGTCTTAATATTTGTTCTTTCTACCCTTAACTCACTTTTCCTAATGAACCACAATCACTTAGAATCAAATAATGAATAAAAGTAAATTTTTAAACTTATCATCACTGAACAATTGACTTTATGGAGTCTAATTTTTCTATTGAGTGTTTGCTTCATAAAAATAAAATTTTCTTTTCTAAAATGTTAAAATCCCGAACCGATACAGCTTTTAAGACTGTTCAAAAGGCTTGTCATAAAAGTCCCAAAAATCATCATCAGACTTTGCTGGCTGTACTTCAATTCTTGTAGGTTGGAGTTCATTTATGACTTGTTTTGTAGGGGTTTCATCCTCTTTCTTGCTTTTCTTGGCTTCTTTCTTTCCCTTCGCCTTTTTCTTTGTTTCACCGTCTCGCGATGGTTTGCTTTTCTCTTCCTTGACAACCTTTGGAAGTGCTAAAAATGATTTTTCCAAGAAACATTTTAACCATATAAAACAGGGAGTGTATATTTATTATGGTAATAGAAGTGTTACTGGGGACATTAGGGTTTTTTATCAAAATTGTTGTATATTTCAAAAGGCTTGCCAATATAAAAATATTGCAAGACAAAAAAGTAAAATGTACAAAACTTTCTGCTTACATTTAGCAAAAGCTTTATAAACTAAAGTTTTAATATGTTGCTAGCATGCTCAAAGTGGAGAAAACTTTCTCTTTAAAAAACTGATTGAAAACTTCATAGGTAAATTATTCTGAGAACCTTGTCTCTCCACTTTTGGTGCTTCTGTGATGTACTTGTCCCAAGCCTTCATTAGTCTCTGTCTGTAAACATCATGCTCCGCCCATTTCATGTATGCATCTTTTTTGACACCAAAGTCTTCAATTTCATTCTGCCATTGGCCTGGGATTTGCTTTGGAACAAACTCCTTCTTTGAGGAGCTCTCCCACTTTTCTTTCCCGAGCCCAGGGAAAACGTTGGATCTCAAAGAGGTGGACAAGTGTTTGTAGCTACGAAAAGATTCATTTGTGGTTGGCCTGAAGTGCCCCGATGGTTGGGTAGTGTAAGGGGTCTCCGACATATTCATCACACTTGAAGATGTCGAATCCAAACTACGCCTTACCATCGATAGTGGTCGTTTCGAGCTTTCTGATTGGTTAGGTCCTTGAAGTAAGAGTTCATGGTAGATAAGGTTTCTTGTTTGAAGATCTCTACTTTGATCTTCATCCTTCAAATTTTTCACTTCTCTCCATCTTCCGTGCCCATCGACAGTAAATTTTGGAACATACTTACCACCCTTTGTCCGTGGAACTGTCATGGTGTACATCTCAGAAGCAATGTAATCGTCGACATTTCTGAGCGTGGATTCTGGCAGAAAAACAGACTCTTTCATTCTGAAGAGAATTAAGTTAAATGATTCAAAATGTAAGGTTCAAGAAATGGAACTTTGCCGATTGTTCATTTTCTGATGCTCTTTTGTTCACGTTGGGGTTGTTGCTTGTTGTTGCTGTTTGTCGTCAAGGACCATCCTCTTTTTCGCGCAAATTTTAAGAGAGGCTTCCTTTTATAAGCACGATTCTTTCTTGAACGGCGACATTTTGTAGAGGAATTGTTTTTATCATAAAGCTTTAAGGCAAGGTAAATGTTTTGATGATATGGCCACTTCGTACATATTCTGTTTCTTCAAAACTTTCCTTTTATTCTTGTTTTGCATCTTGATTGACGAGAGACCAAAAATGCTAGCTACAACTGCCGGGTGTAATTTATTAGCGATTTGAATTCTCGTTGTTTGTTTGTTTATTGACACTATTTCTTGCTCTTTATTAGATTAGCACACTACTTCTTGGCAAAACTGCCTGGTTTCTTTTCTGAGGGTTTTAAGTAACTTGGACTGCTTTTGTAAGCAGCTGATGCAACATACCAAACATAGAGTTGTAAAGTCACAAAAATCTTTTTTTAGAATTTTTGAAATTTTTTCCCATTTGCGGAAAGAGCATCATAGAATACCTCTGAATCTGCAAAATCAGGTAAAGGTATTTCGAATTGGCTGAGATATATCCAGATGAGCACAAACTCCTGTCTCATCAAACCTCTGTAATTTGGTCTCATTTTATAACTTTATGAACTGAGCCAAAATAACAATAACCCGTTAGAAAACTTCAAATCTTCTATTGGTCATAGCTCACCTGATTGTTGACAAATTTAACTGATTTTGCATATATGGGACTATTTTATGGTGTTCTCTCGTGTTAAGTGGTCAAAATTTGAAAGTTCTCAAATAGTTTTTTGTGACGTCACACTTGAGAACTCTATTGGCAGTATTTGAAATTTTGATAAGATTTTTTTTCAAATTTAGAATAATCTGCTCAGTTGCAGCACAGATTTTTTCTTTATAAAGTTCATCTTCATAAAAATGCTAACGATAAGAGCTTATTTTGTGCTTGTTTACAAATGCATACAGAAAATTAAAAAGCAGTCTGTTTGAAAAAAGTTTTGTAACCTCATTATTCTTCATCTCAGAACTTAAGTTATTTAGAAATCCTGCCCAAAGACCAGACTGCAAAGTTTGGGATGTACAGGGAAAGCATTCCCTGTTAATTAATTTTGTCCTCAAATCTCGTCCACACATATTTTAAAATATAGATTAATCTGCAAAGTTGCAGCACAAACATTCGTGCAAATTTTGTGCACAGCCTTACCACAAGACTTACAAATGCTATTTAAAAGAAAATTCCTACAGCTTTTAACATGCCATTTTGCAACATAATTTTTTCCCCTGCAAATGTAAGCACAAGGGAATAATTACCTGCTCATAAAAATACTATGCAGCCTGTCGAAGACACAGGAAATTGTAAACAGCAATTTTGCATAACTAATAAGCAATGTATAATTTCATAATATGAGTCATGCATGACATTAGAATTGGTGAACTTTGCATAACTAATTACATCTTATATTAATACTATCACGAGTCTGTTCCTATTTTTAAATCTTGACATTTTGCAGCTGATATGTGGACAATGTTATTTCTATTTGTTACGTCCTATAATTTGAGCCTGTAATAAGATAGCTTTGTTGAGTCTTTACTCTTAGAATAAGCTTGCTAATGTAAATGCCATTTAAATTTTTATTGCAGATGGCGTATCGCTTGATGTCCAGTCATAGAGCATTTTTCTCTCCATATTATATTGCCGGTAATGCATCAAAAGTCACTTCAATGTTGACAAGAAAATCAACCTTTGATGTCCAGAGTCAACAAGAATTTGAAGAAAAAATATTGCAAGCAGACAAACCAGTTGTTGTTGATTTCCATGCTTCGTAAGTTGTACTCAGTTATTAGTAAAAAGATTACCATTGATTATGGAATAATTACAAAACTTTCTAAAAGGAGAACTTACCGCGCAAAAATAAATTTTGCTAATATTGTAGTTTGTGACAAGCAAATTCTGGTATCAAAAAAAAATTTTTAAATCACAGTTATCGTTTTTGAAATACAAGCCTCTAAAGTTGACAAACGACAGTTGTTCCGACAATTTGAGACTTGAGGCGAAAATCATCACAAGTGGGCGCACAAGACTTTTTCAATGGACTGGGACTCTGAATTGTAGTTTTATTACATATATAGCGCTCCCACGTCGTCCAATGGCTCAATAGTGACGATATTATGAGCAAAGAACATACTGGAAGTACAAACTGATATGGAATTTCTGTTAAAAACATACTTTTGCTACAATTTAAATGAGATCAGGTATCGTAAAACTAGAATTTCATGTCAGTTTGTGATGTCTTTGTCCAGAGTGCTTTGTCTGTCTGGCCTAATGGGGCTGATTCTCTCAAGTGCCTATGATGACCTAAACGAAATTGCAAGTTACCAATCATCAATGTAACATTGTATGAATTGATTTTATTGTGTCAAACACGGTAATTCTATCTCAATAGTAAATGCTAAAGAGGGCTTGAAAGCTTGAATGTCATTTTCACTGGGCCAGAAGGGTTTCGGAAACTGATACTTAGGGGTTGAAGGAGTCAAAAAATCTTGATTTACGAAATAGACTCTAAGCTTTTAGCAGAACTGCAGTAGGATTATCCTGGCTGTGATGTAATTGACAGATAAAAGTGCAAATATCAGTAAAATTGTGAATCTAAGAAAAAATTTTTAGCAGATTTGAAGTCAGCGACAGATTCTGCATCAAATGAGCCAAATAAATTTATTTTTGCGTATCAGTTCTCTTTTAACCAGCTGCCATTGATATCTTTTCATGTCATTATCAATTATGATCTGTTTTGTACCAAATAGAAAAAATGTGTGGTGTTATTGATGGTGTGTTTCAAAATTGCCTAGTTTTTCAATTATATTTTTTTTCTCCAGTTGGTGTCAACCTTGCAAGGCCTTAGCACCAAGGCTTAGTTCAGTCATGGAATCCTATTCTGACAAAGTTGACTTTGCAAAAGTTGATATTGATGAATTTATGGATATTGCAATGGAATATGAGGTACATACGCAATTTATTCAGGCCTCTCACTGAATGGCACCAAGTTGTGCCCAATATCCCTCAGCTGTTATTTCAGTTATCCAATAGAATCTGTTTGGAATAAAGTCATTTGTGCCTTCCATTGTTTACTTTTTGGCTTGTATGTCAGCAATAGAAAGTGGGTTGGCATAGCATGGTTTGTAGACTTCATGAAATTACTATATATTCAAAATTTTGTGTATTCATGCATCATTTTTCCTATGATGATTGACAAAACAGTATTCCTTTTTAACTTTCATAAACATAGCTATGACATCTAAACTTACAAATTCAAGAGCACACTTTGAAAATAGAGCAAATTAATGGTTGATGTTAAAAAAATTGATCAAAACTAAATCAGGCTAATATTCTAAAACATGTGAGCTTTCCTCTATTAAGAAGCTTGAACTTAATGACTTGTCTTTAATTTTTATAAGTAGCAAGCCTGATTTCCAAAATCTCTTCTTTATTTTCAAGTTTTGGGCCAACATTCTCTTTCTCACAACTGTAACCTGTTTTCCAGGCCTTTTCTTTCAACATATGCTAAAGCCCTCACCAGCCCCCTCCCCAGATTATTGGCCCAGGCTATTGGCCACCTTCACAAAAACATGACTCACCCATCAGAGCCATGAAGTGAATTTTAAGGAAAAACTAGTTTTGTGTAAATTTACAGAAATACTGTAATTTATCGCAGTTTTCATGAATGAAATGTCAAACTGCTTATAAAAGCAAACCTTCATTTGTCAGGAATCATTATTACAAGTTTGTTTAAAAACTGATGGTCATCATACATTAACAAAACTAAACACAAGGCAGTTGTGGGCATTTAATACCCTTAGGCCCTGAATGGAATGTTAAACTTCTGTAGCTGTAATTTGTCAACTTCTTATATTGTTGGATTATTTTTGCTTGTAAAAACATTTTAACAATGTTATTGCACTGCCTGCATAATCAAGCCTGCTATTGCAATTTTCCAAAATTTAAATAAACAAAGTCAAGAAAGCTGTCACAATTCTCAGGAATGTGTTAGAGTTTGACCATCATTTCCTATCCATGAAGATTCTAAATGTTGTATGTAAGCTCAGTCTGTAAATAAAATTTTTGAGATGAGTCTGTTTTTTATGTAGCAAAATGTTTATGGTGGACTGTACATCAAAATGTCTGATTTCGTTGCAAAGTTGCTAGGAATATTTGAACGAAGCTTTTACCTTATCAGGCCTCATTTTGCAGTAAATAAAAAGTCACTTTCATTGTAACAAACTTTTTTCCAACAGTTTACTTTGCTATTAAATAGTAGTTGATAACATATTTTACAAAAGACAATAAAAAGCTGTGCTAAACCCCTATCTATTGTGTTTCATTTTTTATCTCAAAAAAATCCTTTTTTAGGTTATGTCAGTTCCAACGGTTGCTGCCTTCAAAAATGGAAAATTGACTGATAAATTTGTTGGTCTTATTGAGAAGGAAAAAATAGAAGAGTTTGTGGGTAAAGTGGCTTCTTGAGCTTTAGATAAGACCTGTTAAAGTTTTCACTGAAAAACATTGGAAGATGGACATATTGTGAAGTTTTGAGTGTCAGCAACAATCCATCTGTTTGTAAGCATTAATTGCTTGTCGCGTAAATCATTGCTGCTTTCTGCAAAAAGAACCTCTTTATTCTATCCCACCTTTTACAGATATGCATCTTTTCATGAAATATCCAAATTTTTCTAGATAGTATTTGCTTCTGGTTTATGATTTCAAGCGCTAGAAGTAGCCTTGCCACGTGATTTTTCACTAGGGAGCTTACCCCCTTTGGCCTTCCCCCTAAGATTTTTTTATACTTCCTGCAATGTGTCTTCTTATCTGATTTAATTGAGGTAAAAATTGATCATTAGCATTGTATGTGAGAAATATTGCTTAAATCTATAGCTGAAGTTAATGTATTTATCAGTTGAAGATTAATTCCTTTTCTTTTCTGATTGACTTCAAGGTTTTGTTGTTAGAGAAAGAACTGTTAGTAATCTATCCAAAATTAAAATTGTATAGTTTTGATTCAATTTCTGATTTATATCTATACATTTCAATCATTACAAGAACTTATTACTACTGTCACAAATTTTCTTCGTATTTTACTCTTAGAACTCTGGACCAAGTAAAAGATACGCTACCAAAGATTTTGAAATTCAAAATTTCAAGCCTACCTCGTACCTCAAAATTTCTTTGTTATTCTAATTTGCAGTAATTCAAATACGATTGTAAAAGTGGGTCACAAAAATTTGTTCGTTTATTGTCGATGCTGAATCCAAATGTTTCCTTAATCATAATTGAAATATTTCTTGAAATTATTTCATAATTGAAATGTTTTCTGAAATCTTTATAAAATTAAAGAATTTAAGTTAAGTTTGGGTTCATTGTAAATATATCTTTTGTGATTCCTATCATTTTTAGTTTTTCATTAGAGTGTTCCCAGCCCAGTTAACGAGTGTTTACTTAAGCATTTTTTATCTTTCAATTGATTCTATTCTACAAACAAATTAGATACCGACAATATTGCTTTGCCTACAAAAGTAATGGTGATTCTGAAACTAAAAAGCGTCAGTTCATATTATGTACAACTAACTATTAGATTACTTGATTATTTCGTGTAAGATATTTCGTTTTCTCTCCACCAGTTCGAGGCAAAAAGTTGTATTTACACAGCAACCACCACTGTTCACACGTTGATATTCCCTCAACGACTTTGGTGACTTTTAGCGGTGCTTGCCCGTATTCTGTTTTTGTGCAATTCTTCGTAAAATGGCATGCAACGCTCAATCGTTTGCATAACTACATTTGGTAACTTCTCTTCGCCTTTCTTTGAGGCATCGATCTTGGATTTGTTGGGATCCTGTTTCTGAAAGCCTGAGCTTTTCAGTGCGTTTTCATGCCACCCTGCCCACACATCCCAGTCTGGCACTGGTCCTGGCTCCCATTCCAGAATTTTCTTCTCAAACCTGGCGCCAATGCCTTCACAATATGCCTGCATTATGCCTTCAGGATCTTCCAACAAATCGTCTGCATCAACTATGACGGGGCACTTGTCTATGTGCTTGACAACAAATGTGTATAGCTCATACATTTCCCTGAAGCCACTTTCCTTCGGGTCAAAGTAGTCCCATCCCGTTAGCTGTTTGTTCACAGATGCAGCGTGCAGAGACGGTATTGTCTTCTTTGGGTCACGTATGAGGAATGTGTGCTGGAAGCTGCTCATTCCGTCGCCGAGTAAATCGTTGAAATGGTTATCAACAGCGTATGCCATATCTTTTGAGAAGACCAAGTCAATACCGTCGTATTCTTTGAGTAGGTTTTTGCCAATGGCCCTGTAATTGTGCACTTCAACAGGAGTCTGGTTCTCATACCGACTGCTTTGTCGCTGCGGCCCAAAATAGTAAGCCCACGAGTAAGGCTCGTGGAATATCTTGCTGTTCTCTAGCTCCATTACCGAGCGTTCGAATGCAGTTGAGACGCATCTCGGAGCAGTCCAGAGAAAAACTCTCTTTGTCATTGTAATTCGCCGTTGGTCTTCTCAGCACTTCATAAAACTCTTCTCAGATCTAGAAAAGACGCTTTATAATTATATTCTGTCCTTGTTATGAAGTGTTTAATGCAATAAACACACACCAGATTTAGTGAACCAAACTAGCTTCGTAGTTACGCTGGTTATGCATAATTTGAGTGCCATTGCCGCCAACAACAAACACAACCATAGAGATGAGATAAAAAGTCCTATCTCTATTAACTATGTTGAGACTTAAAGGTGCTGTTAAGCGGGAATAGGACTTAAATTTTCATTTTAAAAGCATTACAAAAAAACAGAGATGACCAGCCGAGAATTTATGGGACCTGAAGATGGAATTGAATTTTTTAAAAAGCTTTAATTTCGGTAACTTGGCAGTTCTACAGTTTTTGGATTGGTTATTATAACGATGAACGAATAGAGTCATGGAATCCAAATGAAAATTCGGGCTGCTTAATCTAAGAACTCAAGGACGTTGGACGGAAAAACCGTACGAATTTAGGGGGAACGATGAGAACAGAGCCATGCGGGGACCTATAGGTATAGGATATTGCTGTAAACTAAGAATAGGGCTGTCCTTTTGTTTTGTAACATCTTCGTCCATAGAAAGATGAAAATTGTTTACAGCTCAAATTAATATTTAGGAATGATCTTCCAAGGGTTATAGGGAACAAGGAAATCTTTATTTTTTAATTGGACACAGGAACATCTCATGTTTTAACGGAGATCAAGGCAACGTTTTGGCAAGATCTTGAGGGTTTTTTACAGAAAAATTATTGGAAACTGAAAGACTTTTTAAAGAAATATTTGAAAACGTGGGAACACAGACCCTCTTGAGGACCTCTTTAGAAAAAATTAGAAATTGATGTCGAACAAAAGCTAGCATTTGGCCTATTTTTTTATTCTTAAGTGATGCGTAGTAGCGTACAATTAACAAGGAGCGGTCATGCAGGATCCCAGTAAAGTGATACAACACTCATAACATGAAACGTAGCATCAACAGCCAAATTGCAACTCAGTCAAACTCAAACTGTGTCAAATGGTTCTGTGTGACCCAGTGGCGGACTGGCTACCCTTTGACCCACAGGGAAAAGTAAGCAAAAGGGTGCCAATAGGTGTTAAAGTTGCTTATTTTTGGGGCTTGTAGAACGGGCCCGGAAAAATTTTGCCATAATTCATCCTTAAAATCCTTTGCGATTGAAAACACCCTAATTAGAATGTCGGAACAATTGGCATTGGCATGAAGAAGACTCATTGTCAAATTGACTGTATTTGAAACGTCTACACGGCTGGTCAAATTTGTAGGTATCTAGTGACGTATTGTCCTCAATTTTATGTACCAAATGATGATATGAAATGATAGATTTTGAAAGTTGGACTAAAACTCAAAGCCCGTTTTCAGTTAGCGAGACACTCCCTTCCAAGACTTTATAAAGAAAGCAGCTTCTCTGGCCTGGGAGACGAGATTATTTTCGATTAAACTCGATCTCAAAATCTTTAAAAATTTGACGAAATATGACTTCGTTTTCATCAAACGGTAACATAAATTTTCTTGAAAGTTTTGCAGTATATCATTGAGAAATGTAAAGGGGTGCCTCAGCACCTGCTAGCCTAATGACTATGTTGCTCCTGCCTCCACGCCACAGTTACATATCATTTACAAAAGATATGATTCCAGTTCATCAGCGTGCGGAATTATGATCAGGTATTGAACATGTGCTTAAACTGAAGACTTGTCTGAAAGACATCTGATAACATATCTCGGACAATGGATTTTAAGAGATCTTGCTGCCATCCTTTTTGTGCAAATTGATGATTTTGCAGATTGATAGGCTCCCTCTCTATGAGAAACTGTGCGTAGAAATGGTAAAAGGATAAAGAATTTCTTAAGAAAAGGCACAGTTCCTTACCGGGATAAAAATTTGAGGAAAGATTGGAAAACGTTAATAGCTAGTTGTAGATTTGAAACCAGTTTTTTTCAAAACAGCAGGTTTAACTTTCCATTAAGTTTCCTAGAAGGTTCTTACATGAGGGTATCAATCCTCAACAAATTCTGTATAATTTTTTTTAAAAATTGGTCAAGATTTTTTATTTCAGTTAGTGATAATTCCTTTTGGTGCAAAACTCCTGGTTTTAACGTACAAAAACCAGGATGCCTATGAGTTGTTAGTTGAATTGCTAAACATAATAGCTTGCCACGGACAGGAAGTATTGTCCTTAGAGGAGATAGTTGATGGCTCAAAGAAAGAAGGACTATTATTCAAGAGAGACAACACAAGGAATATGCACATATAACGGAAATATTTGAAAAATCCCCTTCTACCTAAACAACTATTTTAACAAACTTCAACAAATGGCCATTATAACCGTAATAACCATAACGTTTGTGTAAATCCCCCCTCCCCATCTCTGATTGCATAATATGTGAACGTTCCCATACCCAATAGCGAACACATCGATAGTTTTGTCCAGTTACAGCCATTCTGATTAGAAAGATCACAGGGTAGTGCTCTGCTAATTTTTTTTCCAAAGTGCGAGCCCCCAGTTATTGGATATCAGGCACTAGGATTAATTTGCAACAGCCACAAGATTAGCCATAAGTCAAAAAACTGATATGGTTAGTCAGAAGTCATTGGTTTCACAAAATTATTAGTCATCAGTCAATTGGCAAATAGTCTGCTATTTAGCTAGTGAAAATCCCCACTACCCCCTCAATAGAAATCGAATTAATCCAAATATTGTGCACTTGCTTGAAAAAATTGCAAGCTAACCAAAATTACAAGACGTTTTATACTCTGAGGAGTTTCAGTCAAACAATCTTCTAGTATGTTTAAAATATTTTCTTTTTTGAAAGTCATTATCAAAGCAAAACATGTTCTTTACAAGGTTTTCAGAAAATCTTGCAGAATTTGCAGATTGGGAAACTTTGCATTCAATCTTAATATTGCTCAACTTAAAGGTAAAGCTAAACTTTTTATGCAAACGTACTTTGGGCAATTGATGTTTGTAATCAATTTTAGTTCTCTGCGAAGATTAGTTGCCTTTTGAAAATTTTCATGTTTTTGAAAAAAATAACTTGGGCCAGAGGGCGCACCGGGAAATTTCCCGGTGTCCCGGTGGGCCAGTCCGCTTCTGGCTGTGACCTGATCAGCAGTTGTTGGCTTTAATATCTGATACAAAGTATCAGAACGTATAGATAAATCAATATTCAATTTTGATTCGCTAAACTTATACACACTAACAGAGATAGTAGACTCAAAAACTCTTTTTTTGGTTGTTATTCTCGTCTGTGTGAGGGAGCATTTCCTTCGTTGACCCGGGTGAGTTTTAATAGGTGACTAATTTGGCTATGTAACAGTGTAGAAAATGGAATAAGATACGTCTTCGGTGATTTTTTTCTACTTGCTGTATTGATTTATAGCGTGTCTCTGCTGTTGTCTAAAGACAAAGGATTATCAGTGCTCTGAAAAGTTATCTCTCAAAAATCAATCATTTTTCACTTTTACTGTTTCAGTCCGCATTATTACTATCACAGACACCAGTTTACATCAAGACAAGGATTATACCCTCCTATCTTTCCAAGATAAATTAATGGAATTTGTAGTTTCTATTGAGATTTTGCCGCACTTATTCTTTACGCGTAACAAGTCTTAGCAAGGCTCACAGTACCATTCTAAAGCGCATTCGAACCTTGCTGTTTACATTCAACCGCATCGTTTGTATTTCAACATTTTTTTGCCAACGGTTAACAGCAATGTTTACGGAATTTCGGATAAATTCATGTTGTCATTTCGTTGTTAATAACATTCCTTGAGAAATGAATTGATTTCAACATTTTTTAACTTCATTGTTCCTTAATATTTTTCGAGTATGCTGAAAATAGAATCCAAAAGAAATCATGTCATTCAGGAGACGTAGAGTTCTTCATTGCGCTATAAGTAACAGTGCGCCTTTTAATGCCACCAACCTAGCGATAATTTGTTTCCAAACGACAATTAAAGCAAAGGCAGGACTTCTTTTAAGATGAATAATACAATCTGCTGTCCTTTGTTTCCCATTATCGTCTTGATGAAGAGCTTTGCTAATAGCTTGTCAATAACTTTTGCCTCGATTCACCTGTTCTCATTTGATTTATTGAATACTTCTGGTACGACATAGTGAAATTCCTTTAGCGAAAAAGTTTTAGAAAGTTCGTTTTTTAATATTAGAACACAAAGGAAGATGCCTCCCACGTTTTGCATCACGAAAAAAGCTCCTGTGTGCCGTCAAGAAGAAATTTTCTTCCTTTTTGCATTGCTTATGTTCTTAATCAATTTTTTGTCTTGCAGCTGCAGCTTTGAGTTTTGGTGAAGTTTAAAGTCATTTTTGCTCCATCGTTATTCATTCACCTTGACCTATCTCTGTAATGAAGATGATAGCGAAATCGCAGACAAATCTTAATCTTGATGTTTAATGACATCGTGATATTTTAGACGGAAGGACTGGCAGTGTACAACAGCTCTGCATGTTAGTTGCTGGATTTCTACAATACCCTATGCCTTTCAGAGCGCTAAGGAAAAGTTTCTTTTTCTTTACCTATGTGGATGCTTCAAATTACCTCTAGTTCTGTTAACAAGGGAAGATATAACATCATTACAATGATCTTAAAGAACTGTAATTTGACTAGGTGCAATACTTATTTGTTTTATACTTGCCTTGATTTGACGTTGCCTTTTAGTTAGCTCCAGAACCAGTGAAGGAATGTGGTAAATGCAAACAGCAAAATTGCTATTACCTATTTATGCATTACTTCCACCCACGCAGGCAAAGTAGATTAGATCTTTTGATGGCGAAATTCATTAATCTTGCATATTATAAGCAAAGCTGGGAACAGATGTGTCTCTCTTTACCTGTTTTCATTATTCATGCGTTTTGAAAAGGTGTTGATCTTTAATGACCAGTTTTTGACAACATTGGATTTCAACAAGCTAAGGAATAACTAATTTGAAAATCATAATTTGCAGCAGATGTGCAAAGCAATGAATGAGTTCGGAAACAGCCTGGGTTTAAGCGTACATGTGGGTGCCTTTCTTCAGCATAACTCACTACTTTTTTGCCTTCTAGATTGAAATAATGCTTATCGCTTTGACATTGGCTTCAAGCGTATTGAATCTCTGTATTAAAAAAATGTACTTCAAAGATTTAACAAGCCTGAAGTTAATCTTCTCAGTGCTATAAACATCAAATAAAACCAAAATTAGGAAGTATCCGAGATGCCTCTGTAAATATTTTCAAGCAAGCAAAGCAAAAGACTATTTAGCCAGCATACCTGAAGGAGCTGAATTACCAATATTAAGTCGAAGGGTAATTGTGGTATCATTTGTCGTCAATTTTGTTCCATAACTCATCAGAATCATTTCAGAAACAAAGCTTCGAAAATAGCATATTTAAAAAAGAATTTGTTGACAGTTTGCTTGCCCATGAGTGTATTAGAACAGAAGAAGTTTCACAAGCTATGATTTTATTGAAGGCAAGCTTCATTGTGATCTTCGAACGCTTACAGTGGTTGACTTTTTGTATTCGTTGGCATTCTTTCTTTTCCATTGTGTTTTTGGTAAACCCTACAAACCTGGTTTCGAGGAAAGTTTTAGATTTATATAAGGGAGGGTTTGTCAACAACAGGCTACATAATACAATGGGTTATCTTTTTCTTTCAATTATGGAAAATTAAGCAACAATAATTCCTTCATCATCGTCCGCCTTTTCCGCCTACGGCAGATTGCGCATCAACATGTGACAATTGTCCCCATAAAGCGTTGCAAATTATGTCATCTGCATGATAATGGCAAGGCTATACCTGAAATTTATCGAGGTTGAAAATTCAGGTATTAAAGATCAATGTAATGAAAGAAAGTAAATCTATGTGGAAATATTGGTCTGTTAGAGCGTTAATTCTGCACTAAAACAGAAAAATATCAGAAGTTTTGTTGTGTTCCCTAGTTGCAAATTCAGATTTGGAAGAAGACCAGAAAATTTCTGGAATATTAATAATAGGAAGAAATTCGTTTGCACATATTCTGTCCCTTTAGTAAATTTTCTGCACAAAAAGAAAAAAAAGTCATTACTTTGCGGTAGGCTGACATCAACAATGCAACTTGAACTTTATTCTTCCTACTTTCCCAGTTTCTAATCAACCCTTGAGGCAAATCAGTGGCGGAGTCAGATCAGATAAACTTAAAATGTGCACGCAAAATTAAACCAATGGTAATCTTAAGATTTGAAACGATTGACTCTGCTTTAACAGAACTAATTTGAAATGGACTTTAATTATCGAGGAGACGTTGAATTCTTCAGAAAGCTACCGACAAAAGATTTTCAAAATCCATAGGTATTTGAAAACATGTGTGATAACATTTTATAATGTAGACATGGTAAGACTGTCATTTGTCAATCGGATTATTACTAAAGAGTAGCGTTGAATCTTCTCAGAAGAAAAAATCTATGACGTAATAACAACATCGCTGCTTTGTGGCAAATAAACATCAAAAAACAGTTTGAAATGCAGTACCTATCTCGGATTATTGTCAATCCGAAAACAGAAATATTTTATGTAATCGCCCCTCTTGTTTTCTTTTTCATAAATTATTCAGACTTTTAAAAGCTCTTTTAATCGTAAAATTTTCATCTAAATCATTGTTTATAAGAATATTGTAAACTTTCAAAACAATTAATTTTGTAAGAACACTGCTGAAATTTTTTCTTATGGCATGAAAGAATTGGAAGGAAAGGCACCTTCATATTGAAGATGAAAACAGAGATACATAAGAAGAGCGTCGAGAATGCTTAAAACGTACATTTTAAATTGCTATAAAACTTATTTTGTTATTTCTTAATTGCCATTAGTTTCGGCTTAAGAGGAAGAAATGAGTGAAGATTTGAAGACTTTGATTATAAGATTCGCAGCTGTTTTGTAATCGTCCGTAAAACTGTTGATAAATGTGAGCTTTTGTCGCTGGTTTTACCTTTCGCAACGTTTCTACTAGATTGCTATATCAAACCGACTTCCAGGATGACACGTGTATCTTGAGAAGTTTACAATAAATAAAACAGGCCTTGAACACGTCTATTTAATGGTTTACCGCATGCCTGCTATTAATCTTTCTCTACACTGCCAACTCTACAATGGTTTACCTGCAGCAACTCCATTCTACTCCATCCAAAGCAGTCTATTGTATGCCTGCTTGTGCAACAAAGCATATGTCTAACATCAAATTGCTCTCTAGGGGCCACTATACTTTAGAAAGTTGCTTTTGATTAAAATAGACCTCTTCTTTCTGTTTTCTAACAATGACATACAAGTTTTCAAATTCTTATAAAAGTATTGAGTTGATTAAAAGCTAAATTACTAGCAATCTATATAAAAGTGTCATTAAAGCTGAAAGAGTTTCAATAATTGGTTAAAGACAGCCCTTTCAAGCAAAAGACTTTATAGATGTAGACAAAACAATTGTTTTGAACTTCCAAAACAAAGAAGAGAGTCAAACCAACTAGCGGTAATTTAGATTGGCACTGACAATACAAAAATTATGCAGATAATATTGAGCAAGCTGCGTATTAAATGAAGTCATTAAATACATAATCAAGTCCCTTTCTCATTTATACTATTATACAGCGTTAGATACAAAAATTTTCTTGTTACATAATATTCATAAGCATCATCGTTCAGAAACCTACAATTTTTTAATATTCTGCAACAACTTTTGTAGATGATTCTACGGCCCAAACAAGTTTCATATTCAAAATGTTAGCCTGATTTTTTTTCAGTCATACAATGAGCCTGCAAATATCACTTGGTTTTTAGATAAATATTTTTTCATAACGTTGAAATAGACGCTCACCTGCGCACGACATCTTCAATTTTATAGTACGAAGAACAAGCACATTAATTGTTTTTCCTGCCCTCTGTCCTTCAATTTGACCTTGTCAGTTACTCTAACCGGATGAGATGAAGAAGCTGAGTCACCAAAATTCACAATAAAACTGCGAATATATCAAAAAGGTGATTCCAGAAGTGCGAATAACAGTAGAGAAGAGAAAAGTTATTACCATGTGGCCAACGCATAGAAAAGACTGAATCTTCATGAAATTAATCATGGTGTCGTATCTACTACAATAATGTTATTGAAATGTCGTATTTCAGCGAACGAAAAAACTCTAGATAATCGTAACATGCAAAGTTCTGAGAACTTTCTGAATGAAATTTGTGAAGATTTTCAATGCCAGTACTACAGTTTAGTTTACTAGTCCTTCAGCAAGATGAATGGATAGGATACTTGCTGATACTGTAATCTTGTGAAATTATCACCAGAAATTATCACCACAAAATAATTAGATGTTTTAGCAGCCATGTGATAAAGTCGGACAAATTTTTTTCAGCTTTAAAATGTCATTCATAAAAGTCCAGGAGTATTTAAATGCCTTTTAGGCCAAAACAACTAACAAAACATCTAAATATTTATCAGCAAAATCTTTCATCCAATTTCAGGGTTATTTTCCCGATAAGTAAGTAGGCTTTCAAATGGGATATTCGTCCCTCTTTTGTACATAGACGGTGAGTATACTTCCTTGGCCTGTAAACCAGAGCAGCTATGGCTTGCAAATCCGATTTCCACGATTAATTCTAACATTAGGAAACCGATCGCTTTAAAGATAAATGATTATTGTGAATGATAATGTTATCACATTTTAGTACTATAGCTGTAACTTTTTACCGATTTATTGAAAATGACTATTCACCAGTCTGCTGGAGAGATTTAGATGTCACATGGACATGGCTGCATCCATTTCGCTGTAAAGGGATCTTAAGCCTTTATTTTGCCTTTGCTGCGAAGAACATTCCACTTTAGGTTCAAGATTGAAAAAAATTTGTATTATTTAGCCAACTTCGTGTTTGGATTTTGACTGTCAAAACGGCTAAATGGCAGCCCTGCCTCGTTAACTAAGTTTAAGAGTGAAACAAATTCGCACAAGTAACAGCAAATCTTTTGACATTGATGTTCTGAAATGAAAACATAATTGCATTGTACTTGAAGCGGCCATTGTATTTTTGTAGCAAATTTGAAACACCGCAATACGCCGAGAATAAACAACAATAAATACACGTAAATCAGTAAAGGCTAATATTTTGCCCCGGCATACGGGGCTTCATCAAAGTGTTTTCGCATTACATTTCTATCGACTTTTCGCCGCAAGAACTCCTTGGAGTCCGTCGAGCAGCCTGCTACAGTGACCTTTTCTTCATTCACACATTGTATTTTTGTTCAACCTCTATTAGCAACTTGAAAAAGCCAGATAGGTAATAGTGTGAATCACGTGCATAGAATACTGAAAGCGTGTGATTTACAAAACAAATTTTATTTAATTTATGACAAAGACTGAACAAGTGTGCTTTACTCAGAGTATGTACATGCACAAGTTTAAAAATCCATCGAAATCTCAATATGGTTATTCAGAGACACAATGAAATGACTTTCTTTCAGGACCCTTGTTGTCATTTCAAATTTTTTCCGCTATGTTTTCATGAAAGGGCGTTAACAAAACTGCAAAGATTTGGATTTTGCATTGCACTTTTTTACCATAATTTAGAATCAGTCTTTTCACTCTAAAATTATAACTGCTTCCCTAGACATCCAAATCATCAAATTCAAATTTTGAGTTGCTATTTAATACTTGATAGCAAACTTCACCTTGGTTTTTTAATTTAGTAGTTTCTATCTATTAGACAAAAGTGCCTTCTTGGCCAAATTGAGCTCTTATTTGCCTTGAGGAAAAATAAATGAATAATATTGTAATTATAATAGTAATGGATATTGTCACTGAAAATAAACTTGAATTGCCTTTCAATTGTAAAGGAGAGCTCTCAATTTGAAAATGCAACTGCCTCGGGCAGTTGAAATGATTCGTACCTTCAAATTTCTACAATGTTAGCCAATGTATTTTTCATAAATATACTAAAATGCGTGCGGTACAATATGATGTTATAATAACAATAAATGTAAGTAAATTGTACCAGGAATTTTTTTTTAAAAATAATTAACGACGTTTCGAGCATAGCATGTTATCAAGTTAAAATATCTATCTGACTTTTTCAACTTGATAACGGGCTATGCTCGAAACGTCGTTAATTATTTTTAAAAAAAAATTTCCTGGTACAATTTACTTACATTTATCGTTATTAATGTCTTTTTCCATGGTTATAAATTCGAAATCTTTGCATAATTAAAACAGCAGAAAGTAACAACAGTTCAGCTCTTTGAACAAGTTTGTATTATATACTCAATAAACAAGATAAATAGGAAAGAAAAGACTCAACTTCTTCTACAAGCTTTGACAGAATTATAGTAAAAGACAACCGTCTTATTTACAAAGAAATATTTACATTGACTTAACAATATAGTTGACCATTTTCGCCATCAAACTAACTGTCCAATATCTTGAAGAAGTACTCAACCTAAAAAAAATTATACGCATCATTAGTTTTGACATACTTACGTGAATAGAAAAAAAATTATCAAAATTGTAATAGCAAGTGATTGTATCATGCAGGCAACAAAATTGTTAAAATGAACAACCGCGCTTTAAAGATGCTACAAAATGTTTCCAGAGAAATGGAGACAGCAGGGTGTTTTAAGAAAAATTCAGAGTTGCACATTTCTCTCGGGAGCATTGCGTTTAAGTAATGAATATGGTTCTTAGAAGTATAAATAAAATGTACTTAATATGCAGGTAAAGATTGACAGTGATAATACACATGTTTTATCGCCGCGCTTATGGGACATAAAATGTATAAATAAAATTTTTCCTAATAGATTCATAATGTAATATCAATTTACAGGAATAGCAAGAAAATTATAACTCAGCTTGGACGCAAAGTTATAAAGGACATTATAGAAGAAAAAAAATGTTTGAAAATATTTTGAGTTCTTGTTTACATAGAATCACAAGAAACCTAACTCAACCAAATAGAATTTTAAGAAACGAAATTATGTTTGTAGAACGACATTTAAAAGCGTTGTAATATATAGTGTCTACAAAACTTTATAATCGTTTTTATTTTTCGAGCTATGCCAATAATTAGACGGATGATATTAATGACGATAAGGCAAGGTATAAATAGCAGTTGAACAACAACTTTAAAAGTAAATGTATTGCCTCCAATTGATTTTTTACCCATGTCATTTGACCACACAACTGTAAAATTTAAATTCGAAACTCTCGACATGATTTATTTGGTTCTTATTTTTTCAATATTCTTTGATTTAAAAGCTTAACAAGGCTCCTACTTTGACGCTGTCAATTTCATGTCTCGTGAATGTGACTCAAAAAACGAAATAACGACTATTTCCATAAACATAATATTTCTTCACCATCGAATGTATTTCTATATCTTTAATTTTATATCCCGAAAGGTGTTTGTTTAATTTTAGCGCCATCTTCACAAATTTTTTATGTTTCATCATTTAAACCTTTGCTTGTTTGTGTCTACAACAATTTCCTGAATTTTTTGTTTATTAAAGGAAAATTTTAGAACTGTACAGATTTTTCTTTAGAACTGCACATTTTGTGTTGAACTGCACATTAAAAAACCCTGGCAGACAGTGTGGCAGGTAAAAGGCATTTATCTGTTCCAGTGTACATTTCGGTGGTTTGTGTAATGCTTCTATTAACAAACATGCATGGCATCCTCACGAAATCCTGAATTCAAGCATCTACTCTTACGAAAAGTGTAGTAAGAGCACACTAGAAACAATGCATACCTCAAGGGGTCCGTCATCTGGCAAATCTGTGCAGTGGATGGCATTCTTTATCTTATCCATACCAAAACGGGCTCTCAGAGTTCTTGGTCTTAGGTGCCTCGCTATTTCCTGCAAGAAAATGGAATCAAAGTTCTACAGTTCATATCGGCATTCGACTAAAAACGTGCCTCAGCTGTATTTTTACTGTCTTTAAACTCTTTTAAGGGCTTCCATAGAGGTTTTGTAGAACACTGCAAGGATTAAAATATCTTTGACTTAGCAACTGATAATATCTTATTATCAAAAGCCAAATTACCTAGTGTGTTGGCTCTGGATTTAAAAGGCCTCCTAACTTCTATTTTCTTGCCATGCAAATGTAAAAGGTAACATAATGCCCTTCTTGAAACATTGCTCAAGACTATAGAGCTTTCAAGGTCAGAATCTCAAATCCTCAGACCTAGAATGCCCTAGAAATTTCATGGTCCCCGAGTAGGCAGTCGAAGATCTCTGGTAGATTGCGTAATAAAATAAAGCTAGAAAATTTCAATTTTATCATAAAGATATTTTGTATCAAAATCCAATGCTCTAAGCTAAGAAAATGTATACTGTGCAGTTAACATGAACATTGATACTAACTTTATAACTTATTAATGTATCCTCGCACTTTGAAAAAATGAATCAGAAGTGTTGTGAACATACCGGATCAGCTGGTCCTACAAATTCTCTGAACTCCTGCGGCTGATCTGGGTAGGAGATCTCCATAACAATGCAGGAGCCACTGCAAAGCTCACTCACCATTTCCTAGAAGAGAACGCCGGGCAAATGCTCATAAATATTCTAATGAAGTTATAAAAGATTGAGATGGTTTTTGAACGTCAGGTGTTTGAACCAATAGGAATGATATGAACAAAATAGGCCATGTAGAGAGCTGTTTTCTAGGTTCTATGGTACATTCGTGATTAAATTTGGCTAAAAGCATGAACCAAACATTTTGTGGCGTTTAAATTACATTGAAATACTACAGAGAAATTGCCAGGCTTTACTAAGGAAAAATGAGAACAAACTTCAAGGCACATACACTGTATTCACCGACAACTCCTTTGTAAATTTCCAAAAACTCCTCTGCATTTGCCTTCTCCAAATGACACATCTTCAATGCGGTTATCTTGAATTCTGAATTCATTATAGTTGTGATGATTTTGCCAGCAAGTTGTTCTTTTATAGCATGCGGCTTTATGATACAAAGAGTAGTATCACCAAATATGGCAGTATTCCTTCCTTTTTTGAACTCAAAGAAGAAGTTCGACTCCTAAAAGAGTACAAGAATTCGAAACGATCACTTGATGGATTTCGGCATAGGGAAGAAATAGGAAATTGAGCTGCATTCCCACGTGGAAATGTACAGTAAGTACTTTTGTACATACTGTCAGCTCTAAAAAATTTCAATGATTTTCGACAACGTTTCAATCTTCCCTAGAACATAATGCTGTAAAGGATATCACTCTTGAAGGGATTTTAAAAAAGCTATGGCCTGAAAATCTATGCTTTTTACCTTATATCATAAATCATCTAAACGCGCAAGTAAGTAAAAAATAAAATGCTCCAAGATTTTGCTTAAGGATGATTACCCTTTCGGCAGAAGCACCAGAATCTGAACCATGACAGGCGTTTCTTGTACCATCTGTAACACAAATTTAAAGAATGAAGAATTGTTGATAAGGTAGATTTTTGAAAAGACAGCGACAAACAAACAACCTTAATTAACAGTGTTGCGTAATGCCTCAGTGATAGGGATGAAGATAGTAACATGCTAATGACGCAACGTTCTCTTGCTCTAAAAGAAAATGGTTCTGAAATGTAGCTTGTCGCGTCTTTTTCACTGCCATGTTATTTTGAATCAATGAGTTTGCGGAAAATAACTGAGCTAGATAGACAACCTCAAGTTAACCAAAAGCTTAAAGTTGTTTATATTTTGTATATGAAACTCTCAAGACAACGATACACACGAAACGACTGAAGATACACAAAATATGTCCTATGGTGCTAAAGAGAACAAACAATTTATATCAAAATCTGGTCTCACCAGATCCAAAGATGGCGCGAATGGACCCAGGTGCTTCCTCTCTTGCTTTTAGTGTATTTGTTGGCCCTTTAAAGTAAATCAACAAAATATAATAGTTCTTTATAATTTAAAAATATTTTCGACTTTAATGTAGTTTTCTTACGATAATGAGAAGAATGTGAGCTGCGAATTTTGTCAGCCATTGAAATACAATATGCCTACGACTACCAAATTAATAAAAGCTTTCGAATTCATAAAAGAACCAACTAACCAAGCAAAGATCTCCACTTTTTAATAGCATCATGCGCCATCAATTCCATAGCAACAGCTGGCCCACTGGTCATAAAATCTACCAAGCCCCTGCCAAAGACAATTTGCTGGGTTAAATATAAAGCAATTAAAAAGCGGATAGAAGAAAGGATAAAAATATTACAAAGCAACAAATATGCTGTGCAGCTTGAATTTATAAAATCCAAAATAAATACCTAAACATTAAAAATTTAAAGCAATATCAAGATAAGTGCTTGACTCTGATTGCTTTATACCACAGTACAATCTCAATTGACAGAGGCAGAAGACCAATTCATGAGACCCCCTGCAAATAGTTGAATACAGGACACACTTAAATAGTGATATAATGCTTACTCAAAAAATGGTTTTCCTTCATGTTCTGCATAAAATTCCATTGCTTCTCTCCTAGAGCAAAAAGAATAAACATAAGAAATTTAGCAAAAACTCAAATTGTCTATATCTGTAGGCTATTTTCACCTTTTTTAGAAATAAAGATATTAATCTTCTCTCTGAAACCATGCCTACATAACACCCTTCTGAAACCATGCCTACATAACATCTAAGAGAATATACTGGAAAATGCCACTGTGCTAAAATGAACCACAAACAAGGTCAAAAGACTTCCAAACCCTCTAGGAAGGAAGATTTTGAACTATGGAATTCACAAATTAGGCTTGTTTTAGCAAAAATCTGATAAAGGCATTAACAAGGATAACTACTAAAGTACAACCAAAGCATAAGACAAATTGCTAGACATTGGCAGAAAAAAATTCAAAACACTAATGTTAAAAACCTTGAGAGCTGAACCATCTTTGCTTGACAAATAACAAACTCTTCACTTTGTATGATGTTGATGATTTCACCTGGATAAAACACATCCTTTCAGATTTAAGAACAAATTTGCATGATAAAATAGATCTGATAGACATCATCAAATGATGGTAAATTTCTAAAAGGTACAGAAAATTTTTTCTGTAAGTTTAAAAATATCTACAAAAAGTCGTTTTATAGCTCTAAAGCCATACATACCATAGAAAGTTAAAAATCACATTATATACATTATAATTAAACATTAAATATATAAAGTAAAATATAAATCAATATAAATCAAATATAAATTAATTTTGGCTTCCATGTTAGTCAATTCAAGACAAACTAATACTAAGCAGCAACAACTATTTTTCCACTTTCTTGTGCTAGCAAGTAAAAATAATTGACCTTCAGGATTATATCTAGTTTATAACTTCAAAATGCATGTAAGGAAATTTATATTTAATTCAGGAATATTTAAAGAGCCTGTTATTTCTTAAATACTGTAAATCCTCGAATTGCCCCCTTGAAAAAGCCCCTTCTCGAATAAGCCCTCACCTTAGAACTACAAATTTTCAATAAGCTACTTTAAATCCACGAATTGGCCCCCTCTATTTGTTGATTGTTGCCTTCTGAGGTTGCCTTAAATGTTTTACTTAATTACCAAAAAAATTCAAACTTTTGATGATTATTAATCAAATGTTAAAGGTAATGTGTCCATATAAAAAACTGCGTATACCAAACTTGTCAAGCAACATCAAAATAATGGCATGTGATTGGTCAGTATTCTTGCAATGCAAAACTGTTCACATGAAAAGCTAACCTGGTAGCAGGGTAGATAAACAGATCGACTGTAATGGCTAGGGGGTGATGACATTAAAAATCACATGTTTCTGAAAACCCCGCAGAGTTGCTTGCTTTAGCTGGACACTCTTTTATAATGTCTTCTTGATGTCTACTATAATTTGATAAGCCTCCCCCTCGAATAACCCCTCATAAAAAATCAAAAGAAATAGCCCCCATGGGACTAATTTGAGGATTTATGGTATATTAAGTATAAGTATGATACAAATAAATGTATATAGCATAACATATTTAGTATTGATAAATATATCAGATATATTAAGCTTGCAGGCAAAAGAAAACCTCAGATTTGAAAACAAGTTTTGCACTTTCTATGAAAATATTTGATTTTTGATAGCATACCCATTCTTGCAAAGGCATCGGGTTTGATGATTGCCAAAGTCCTTCAATCAAAAAACAACAAAGTGATGTATATGTGAGTGATAAAGAAACACTTAGCTGGAAAATTACAAAAACAAACATATATCAACTTTGGCTTAACAAACACATATCAACTTAAAAAGCTTTTGTTTGAATAAAATATACAAAGCAACATTATGTGATGACATTTCTTCAAGTATGTAATATATTTGAGTGTTGCAAGGATACAAGCTTTAGCAAAACCTTTGAAATCAATTGCTGTTTTAAAACTTTTTATTAGAACAAAGAATTACGGGCCTTTTTGACAGATCCAGAAAGCACCGCTTAAATTTCACAGTGACTTAAAATTTTGGTGCAAGTTGATTTAAACATGTTGATAATGTCCTCCAAATAGTTTCAGTAAATTTACAATGCAAGTCAATTTATAGGAGTTTATAATGCTATTTCAAATAATTTCAGTAAATTTAGAATGACATACTTTGAATGAACAGTGGCAAGTTTATTTTTTGTGTACTGATCACCATATTCAACCAATGAAAGCTGCAAATATAGAATTTACAAGAAAAACTTTAAAAAGAAATGTTCAATATGTAGCTTCTACCATTTATAAGAACTAGAATAAAATTATTTTAATTGGTAACAGTGTCAAAGGTGTGATTTATGCACATGGAAAAATAAATATGCTAAGAAACTGAGGGAAATCAAGGTCACATTTTGAATGAAAGATATGTTAGAAGACATTTCTTGATTAAAGAGACATGAAGTAAAGTAACAGTTTGATAACTTCATTGAATCAAAAATGAGACATGAAGTGAACAGTTTGATATAGCCATAGCTAGGTAACTAGATTTTACAATTTCTACCTTTGTTATCAATTAGGTCACTCCTGACTAAGGATAAAAAATAAACCATAGAAAGCACAAACATCCAGCAGCAATTAAAATAATTAAAATTGCTTTATCAATTCATCTTACTGAACAACTAACCTGTCTTGAGTGTACATTGACTATGGATCCAATATACAAGTCCTTGCTTGCAATAGACTCATACTTTGATCTCTTCAGAAAGACTCTTCTATTCTTTATGTCATACTGAAAAATATTACAAAATATGTTAGCTGCATGTGGTTCTGTATCCAATCATCTAACACAGTGAGCAAACAATTTCAGCACTGAAATGAAATAGACTGCTAAAAACATGATGTTATGAACATTTGATAACAAGTAAATGCTCAAAACAGTTGTGTTTTCAACAGACTATTTCATTTTTTACTTAATTTATTTACTCTTTTTAATTGTTGTTATTGAAAAATATTTTGGTATATTTTAGAACATCAAGACATAACAAAACTACTGAAACAGTGAACAGGTCTTTAAGGCAATACTTTTATCCTTGATTTAGGAAGCTAATACAGGTTTTAAACACCAAAGCCTCAACCATGTTGTCAATTATGGCATACAGATTTGGTGATTTTGCAGCAGATTGCAGTCTCTGCAATTTATGCTGCTTGCACCTTTCAACAGAAAGAAGTTTGCTGTTTTGATGGTGTGGCTACAGTCCAGTAGGTAGAGACACACACACAATGTTGATTTAGTGTTTCATGTCAAAATTTTAATGGTATACATCAAATCTACTATTGGGCTGTTACTGTAAAATTCTGGTTGGTAAAACCAAAATGCAGAATGATTGCTATTTCTCTATTTTACATGAATCTAAAACATTAAAGAGGGGAGAAACAATAGAAAGGATAATACAAACATTGAGTCTTGGCTTATCAGTTAGAGCAAAAAGACCTCATACATTTAGGAACATATACTTACAATTACGAAACAGGGGTTTGGTATGCAGAAAATTTGGCTCAAATGACTCTGTATATACTGGATCTCATGAAAACTCCAATACTCTCACGAAACATTGCTTTGGTTTATTCATGAACAAAGGATCTTAGGTAGGAGTTATTTTTGTGAAACTGCTTCATAAAATTTTTAAGTTTCCTTAAAAAAGCATCCTTTTTGTGGCAACCTGTCAACAAAGCAGTAGGCTTGTACGTGCCTTTCCCCACTAAGTGATTTTGTGGTGTGCATGCCATAATATATCTGCTTATTTACACAATAAATGTTATTATTCTAATTCTATTGGCAGTTTACATTGCAATATATTGCTCCTTCAAAAAACATATTTATGACCAAGTTTGCATTTAGTGTATAGAACAGGATGGTGTCAAGTTTAATGCTTTATGCAATCAATGGGCAACAGTATGTTCAACTCTGTCTTTACAGCATGAAGTACTTCATGAAAGACCAGTAAACAATAATTTTCATTATGAATCAGACATAAAAATTGGCTTGTTTCTCTGAGTGGGCTTAATTCTAACATAGAACTAAATTACTTGCCTGAGGATGAATAATCATTTTAACCAGATAATTCTGAAAAACCTCAAAATTTGAAATAAAAATTGGTATCACATAACAGCTTGTCGTTGCTTCAAAGTTAACATTTAGAGATGATATTTTTGGCATCAAACTGCTGCGTTTTTCCTAATATTTTTACTTATAACTTTAACACAATGTCCTACCATTTCCAGTGTCTGGTCTTTTGGGTAGAAGAGCAACTGGTATCTTCGAACAAGTGCTGCATTTGGATCATACCACTCAGCAATGAAGGCATATCTTTCATCATAGTTAGCCTGTAGGAAAATAACACTTACTTAATTTTGCTTGATAAGTTACGTTGCTTAACTTTGTACTAAACAAGCAAAAATAAGTTTAAGAGCTGACAGAAAAAGATGTTTAAATTCTTTAAAAATATGTATTGTTTTTTGCATACCATTGTGAGACTTCTTCGTCAATTCAATAAAATAACATCACTGAAGTACAAAACTAAAGCATCAAGTGGCAATCTTATTGCCTCTTTTCCAGAACTGCTTGCATAAAATGCGGACTCAAATTTCTGTTTGACAAGGAATATATCGGAGGCCCCAAATTCGATCCGTAATTTACATACGTACCGTAGCTACAACATATTGCTGCTGTTGCTAAGTCTGGCGCTCCTTCCCATCGCAGCGCAGGGCTCGTTCCTCTGAAAAGTTGTTCGATTCAAAAGACGTTTTGAATTCTTTATGATTGTCTAGTAGTTAGTTCTTAAAAAATATGTACGTTGCGTGTGGTACTTCATCCAAAATAACGATAATAGGTATAGGAAAGAAATAAATTGAGTACCAAAATGAAAATAAAAATAAAATGATTTGATTGCTAAAATGACTGTTTAACAATTAAATTATTTTATTTTCATTCTGGTTCTCAATTTATTTTCTTACTATACTATACAGTATTGTAGTTTCTCGATAAGTACCAACAACCGGGACCACAACCAACAAATCTTTTGCCTGTTTCAATTTTCACTTTAGACGCGGTATTATAGATTTATTACCGAAGATATTAGTGTTAAATTTAGTAAGTTGCTCACAAAAAATTAGTGTATCTCAATCCTAGAATATTTCAGGTCATTTAATTTATGTTGCACCTAAATGTGTCAAAAGTACAGTTTTTGTTTTAAAGGACCCAGACATGTAACGCATACAGGGCTCATTAAAAAATTGTGCCTGCGAGCGGAAAGCCGAGTAAAAAATGTGCCTGCAAATAAAATAGGGTGCCGCTTCAGATACTGACAAATATCGGTCAGATACTGATAAATTTTGAATCTGATTTCCTGGTTGCACTTAGTGCTATAGCAACTTATAAACGTATATCAAAACCATATCAGTATTATCATGAGCTTAAACTGCATGTAAAACTTAGCAGATGGCATGGCAATTGATGAAAGTGATATAAATTAATGTGTACATAAGAAAACAATAAGTAATGTGTTTCATCAAATAAAGATATCTTCAGAAAAAAGACTCTCCAACATTTTAAATGTTTCACTTTAAATTAAGCTGTTTATTGGTTCAATTTAAAGCTTTTTCAAGGTTGGTGATTACAGGATTATATCTTCGTTTCATTAAAAAGAGCTCTAAGATTCGGTTCTTAAGATAAAGTGAAACAATCATGCCATTGATCAGCTTTTTACTATGTAACTTCAACTACTATTTTATTCCGTTTGATGTCAGTATAAAGCGATAATCATGACATAAATGGCAGTTTTGGTTGTGCATTTATCTTACGACTGATGACTTTTGGTGTAATAAAATCTTTTACACGTTCTGATCGTCGTACAAAGTGCCAAGAAGGGCCAAGAAGGGAATAATTTGCAAACCTTGTTTCCTAAAAGGCACTGGGCATTTTGAAGCTGATGTCAACTTCTCCTTCCTCTTTCATTTGCTTGGCTACATCAAAAAATTCTCAAATTTTTTGCCAAAATTGAATACCTTAAAAATTTGACAGATAGTTCTTGTGCAAGAAACCAACCAAGCATACTGTGGATCTTTTCGTATGCGGGTGTCTTGCAGCCCGGATTTTATGGAGAGGATTCCAACATGGTGCTTCTTCTTGTCCCCGCTGAGCCCAAAATAGAAATCTAGTCGATCGGGAACGCCAAGAGAGAAATACGCACCATCAAATGACCTTCCAAGATACTGTGGCTGGGCGATATCATATTATTGCAGACATTCTGTAATGCTTTCAGTAACCCCTTCACCGTTATGACGTTTGACCCTGTCTGTTCTAAGGGGGAGGCAAGAAATTTCTTCAAGCGATTTTTAACTTCGTTTGACATAAACAGCAAAACTTTTGCAAGAAAGTCATTTGAATGGTTAATGGCCCCAATATCAGACTGATTCGCAAAATGGAGGTATACGAGAGGCTTAAAATCTATATCAGGTCCCCCTAGTTTGAAAAGGTAGTAGCATATCTGGCCAATTTTTTCCCCACTGAGCACTCCCTTTTGTCATATTTCTCAACTTCTTCATCAGCAGTTTGGCTTGTATTGACTTTCTTGACATGATTAGCAGATTTCAGATGTGAGCTTAGATGTGTTTTCAAATTTCGAAATTTTTTTAGACATTACACCTTCAGATATTATCGGAGTTTCAAGACTTTCGTAGCTGAATGTAGCAAATTTACTTCGAATCGGCTGCTGCGATAGGTGCTGTTCAGGTGGAGAGCACACAGAGCAAATAACCAACTTCTTTTCTTATTCATAGCGAAATTCATTAAATTTTGTAAGAATTTCAGCTAATGAACGACAACTGCCCATTGCAAAGCTCTCAGGTAGCAGATGATCAACTATTTGAGTGACGGCTATTGTTAGCTTTTCTTTCTCCTTAGTTTTATCGCTTATCGTTTCATGAATTTCGTCGATTTTCAAAGACATGTTCCCAAGCTTTCCGTTTAACTGCATAAGCAAGTCCGAATACACACCCTCATTGCCTTCCTTCTCTTTGTGGGTTGATGAACTCAACCCTTAACCCTCTTTGTTTGAAGCATCTGTCAGTGTAGAAGACTCTTCACAAGAAACCAAATATGAATCTGAAGTAGCGGCACACTTATAAAGCATCTGTTTCATCTAAGGCTCGTTTTGCAACCGGTTCTAATCGGTGACGGTGTCTGGGCGATCTAGTCTGTCCCGCTTTCACTCCAAAAATTGAAAAAATAGAGGCCTGTTTGTGTTGTCGCAAATCGCCGGAATTTTCTTCTGGGTAAATTCTTTGAAGGTGTACCTTGTAATTTTGCTCCAAAACGTCAGACATACATACTCTGCATTTTACTTTATTTTTCTTACTTGCACTAACGCGATAGTTTCCAGACGCCATGCCCGACGACATTAGCTTTAAGGAGCCTGATTTTGCCAGTTTACTCTACACGATTGAGTTTTTCAAGTCATTTCAGTTTGCTCAGAGAAAAACGATTGAACAGTTAGTTGAAAATGATCTGATTCATCAAGAGGAAATAGGGAGAAAAAGATAAACAGCTAACTTGATTTTGGCAATTGAGTGTCAAGCTGGCGCCATAGGAGCAATAATAAAGAAAAATAAAAATCGATGCAGAAAAGTGTCTGCAGAAATTCAGAGCACGAGCTTCTGTCCCTGCGAGGGCCGTTCACGCACTTGCGCAGACGCATAACTAGCTATGAGAGTCTTTTCATGTCATAAAACTTGCAAACCAACTAAAGGTTTCAGAAACTTATGTAAGATAGCATTGTTGCGAATTTCCTGAATATAACTGACAAAATATTATGACGATCGCCTCAAAGCAAAATCTTCCTAACCCTAGGCTCAAAGAACATCATGGAAAATCAGTGAAGCATAACGATTTCAGATTGCTGTTGTTGGCTGAGATTTTTTATTCCAATTTGAGCTAATTGTAAAAATAAAAATGAATTCAACATATTATAGAAATATAAACTTTTTTAGACAGGTACAACTTGTTTTATTGTATATTTTGTCAGATAACCTTCAGGATTTTAGACAGCTGCAGTTTGCATTGAAACTGACTGAATTAACTTAAGCAGTATATTCAACGTTGATCTTTCTGTGCAATATCACATTTGTATACTACAAAAAGCGTACAAAATAAATTTTTCATTCCAGTTCCACCAAATTGGTTAAGAAAATGCATGTGTCTACTTATTTTGCCTCGTATCTTGTGTTTTAAAAAATTATTTGGTTTCAACAGCTTAGCAGTGATTTCAGAAGAGACATATAAGATACGTTTTACAAATTCCATATAAAATTTCAAAATGCTCAACATACGTATCGATATCTCATTTCAAATGCAAATTAATTACAAAATATACGCTTAGTTACAAAATACATTGAATAATTTGATATTTAATTCTATGAATTACATTCAGTACTTATATTATTATATTCTATTGAAAAATTTCGAAGGTACTTTGCCAGTTTTACGCTAAATCTAAAGTATAGGAGTAAAGAGGTTTTGAGACAGAGGGACAGGGCAAGCACAGCGGGATAGATTTTCCAACATTTTTATAGATTGTTCAGGGCTTCCGTATTAGACATATTTTGTAAGGATCTAACGTAATAATTGTTAACCATTTTACTTGAAAATTATTTCTTTCGTTGGACGACGACGTAACTGTCCCAGGGGAATCAGCTTGATAACCATCCAATTTTCACATATATAATGGGCTGGTTATCAGGCTATAGAAAAATGCTGTTGTGACAAAACAACCCCTCCCCAAGTAATCGCTGCTGCAACGATACAACAGTAAAAAGGCATATTTTTCTAGGGCCTATTGTAGTGTTTCCAGAATGTCTTTGACGAAACAAAGGTAAAATAATGCTAACACAACGTAGTAAATATTGCGAGAGTTAATCCGTATATTAGCCACATTAGTAAACGTATCCAAGTTTACCGACTGGTCCTGGAATAATCTCCAGTCCAGTCAAATGACAGAAACCTTGCAAATATTTAATTATAAAAAACACACTAAACTTGATACCAAGTGCCCTTCTTGACAATGACAACGATACCAAGTTGTATAATTTCTATCTAAAATCGGTTATATAATTTGTGTATTCAATCACGTCAGTTCGTGCATAAAAAAACTAAATGCCTTATTCCATTCACGCAAACCATTGTAGAGTATTCAAATCTTCACTCAGAAATACGTCTGTTTTAGTAAAGTAACAATAACAACATGTCGTAATCAGACACGACCTCGAATTCACCTTTGAGCAAAAACTAACAAAAGTTCATCAATGAATCATTAACTTAGAATTAGGGTGATCTGCAGCATATTTTGGTTTGTATTTATCGAACAAGATTTGTAATCTTTGAATATATTTCTGGTGGATTCTATCTATGTCCTCCATCGTCGGATTTGTTCTCTTATAAACAGGAATAGGGGCACCAACTGCAAAATAAGAATATGATTGAATCAGTTCGAAAATAGACATGCATGTGTGCATTTTCTCACGTGATAAGAACATGAAGAGCATAACGATGCTTCTACTTCAACGTGTTTTCTCAGATTTAGACTGCAAATCTTGCAGTACTGAGGCTAATCCAACTTTGATCTGAGAAAATCGCAGTATAGCTTTTAATGTGATGATTGTTAACAAAGCCATGATTTGAGATGATTACTAACTGTGAAGAAAGTAAAAAAAATCACCGTTTTAGGGATAACTCGATACTTAAAGATGGCATCTTCGTAACAGACAGTAGCAAAATGTCATTTTTCAGACGATAGGAATGGCTCAACAAATGTGATTTTGTAGCTGCTTGATAAATATCCCTTCTTGATCTGATATTTCCTGATAATTAATATTTTTTATTTACACCATTTAAACATCATACGTGTTATCTGAAAATGTTTTCAAATAGGATAACACATAAATCACCCTCCACTCTAATGCATAGACATTGTAAGCCATGTATGTTGGACTACTTTTTAATAATCACTTTTCAATTCTAAAAAATCGAAAGTTGATTAATTGCAGAATTTTGGAGAGATATAAAAAAGTTCATTGCTTCTTTTCAATAATCTAATCTGTAAAATATTGCTTGTTTCACTGAGAACGAAATTAAGGGACGCAAAATTAAGAGAATACACCATTCTAGAGGGACCTCGGAGCGTTGTAGCGAGAGGGTGGGGGTTTTGAATGTAAATACTTTTTAATTGAGTATTTAATGTGAATAGATGATGGTCTGATTTTGAAATCGTTAAGTTTTTATTAGTCTGGGCTGGTAACAGTCTGCCACTGTCATGGCGTCAGTTTACGGACTAACAATCATTAAATCAGCTGGTATTTTTACAGATGATATTTTGGTATCTGATGAAGTGGTACTCACCAACTGTAGTTACTGGATGTCTGTACGGTAAAAATCCAAAATTATACTGAAATATTCCTCGGCCATGAAAAAGCACTGGTGCAAAGGATACAATCTTCATAAACTTTGTTTGAAACCGCCGAAGCCACGAGCCTTGAGGATTATCAACTTGGCAGTAAAGGTCGTTTTCACCAAATGAAAAAACGGGTACCAGGGCAGTGCTAAATTGGAAGATAGGAATGCTATCAGGGGCTATAAGACAGTGCTGATGAATAAAATTTTTTTTTTTCAATATAAATTATAAACAGCACGATAAGATAAAGAAGTGAAGGGTTCATATATTGAGTAAATCCTGCTGCTTCTTTAAAACAAACGCTCCAGATGACAGAAAAAATGGAAGAGACAGGATTTAGTGCTTTAAAGCGAGATTAATAAGAAGGATTTTTCCAGATCTAGTTTAAAGATTGTACCTAAACAAATAAAATGACAAATATTTTATTGTTATCATTTAAGAACCAAAATTTTTGATCTTATTATTAAAAAAGAAAAAGTAAAAAACGGCGCCATTTGGTTCCATTTTGTCTGGCTAAATACTTAACAAACAGCAATTAGAACGAAACAAATGCACATCAAAATAAGTGTTTCCCAAATAAAAATGACAGGCTGCAGGTGAATGATTGAGATTTTTATGAAGAAGCAGTTATCTGATGCTTACCCTGTAAGTAAAGCCATCTTTACAAAGCCTTTTCGATCTTTAAGAGTTAACGTGGCCTCTCCAGGATGTGCATCTAGAGATTCTGCAGCTCCACCTACAACTATTATCACAGCATTTCCACCTTCTTTCCCAGTACACAAATGTGTTATGCTCTCTTTAGAAACATCACAAATACCATGTGCAAGTAAAATGTCTCTGAAGAACGGAAACTTGAATAACACTGAAAAGAGAAAGAATGTTTTCTTGTAAATAAAGAAAATTCAAAACGACTCCAATCGAAAGGCAGGGCACTACAAGATAAGCTTTGCCGTGCAAGGCTTTATTACTGTATTAGGTAATTGTGTAGCGTCTAACATGCTACGAATGCAGCGGAAGCACAATACCAAATTTTTCATCCCTGTCTTATGTTTGTGCATGTTACGAATGAGAAGTAAAAACTAAACAAAGGTCTAGTCATTTGTCATCCTTTTCTGCAATTCTTTAAATGCAAAACCAATTATTCTTTCAGGCCAGCCTTCTCGACTGCCTACTTATGCCAATGACAAGAAAAAGAAACTTGTGCTGCTCTCCAAAACATTATTCCAAAAGAAATGAAAAAAGTCTGGAGTTAATTCATCTCTACCTATTGCTCCCAACGAGTAGTCGTATCTGAAAGTTCATTGACAAATTAGTTTCATAAAACTAGTAGTTCGCTCTTTCTATCTTTATGACTGGTAAAATAAAAAATTATTAGAAAGTGTATTCGGTCTTGTACAAGGCTTCCCAATTTATTCAGAATTTCCGGAACTTTAAAAACTGCTTCATCTTTCTTGAAGGCTGCTCAAGGGGGAACAGGGCTTATAGAAGAGAATAGTTTTCAACAGTTATTTTTATAATTTTTGATCTGTTCTTTTCGTTTTGTCAATCTCCAGCCAAAGATGTTGGCTGTTAGCTCATGTATATGCAGGATATTACGAATTAGAGTACAAGCATTTTCTGACTGATATGATCTAGTATGCCACATCAAAAATGTTAATAACTAGCAATGGTTAATATATTCTTTAAAGAGTGTATTATAACGTACTAATGGATTTCAAATCTAGAAAAAAATCACTTTTCACCCTATAACCACATACCCATATCCGGCAAGTCTTACGTTTTTTACGTAATTTTGGTGATTTTCAAGTCCTACGATGTAAGCTGAAAATCTTTCTCCGTTTACGAAGTCTTTATAGACATAATTGTTTTGAGCAATATGAAATATTTCAAACACAAAATATTCAAATTTGTGAGAGCGTGCTGGCTAACATATGAGTTGATGCTGTATATCCTAGAAAACCGGACGGGGGATTGTTATCAACGTGTGTCCTGATTAAATTAAATGGAAAAAGTAAAAGCAGAGAAACCTAACCTACTATAGGAAAATCGCTAAAAACAAAGTTACATTGATATTGATTATGAACTATTTACAAGGATGATAAAAACATTACATATATACTAAAAACTGTTCTGCTAAAAAACGATTAAAAAACAATACAAATCTTTCATTAGAGCGATAGATGGTCTTTGCAGCAGACATGTCAAGGTAATCCCTGAGTTTTGTCAACAACCTTAGTCTGCCTGATGCACGTTTAAAACATTTCTCAAAATGAGAAATAAGGCTTAATGAGCTGCCTATGTGGATGCCAAGATATTTGTAATGGGTGGTATTTTATATGTTGGAGCTTCTAAACATAAAGTTGAATGTCTCACTTTGTTTAGCTATCCTCTGTGATGTTCCAAAAAGGAGGGATTTGGTTTTTCCTCTATTCAGATTTATATTAGAGCATTTTCGCCTAACTAGTTTGCTATGGCATCCATATATTTGGAGAGTTTTGACTTAATTATCTTGATATCTTTATCGGCTATATAGATCACTGTGTCATCAGCATACTTAATGACTTTTGCACTACTTATTACATCTGTGATATCATTAAGAAATAAGATGAATAAAAGGGGACCCAAAATTGATCGTTGTGGCACCCCTGTAATTACATCATGTGCATTGGATTGATAGCTGTCATAATTCACAACCACTGACCGGTGGAAAAGATAATCTGTAATCCAATAAAGCTCTTTTTTCGTGAAATCTGTATTGGGGTGTGTTCCTCTGGGTTGGCTTTGAAGTCCAACTTGCAGTAGTGAAATCTGTGTTGGGTTGGCTTTGAAGGAAAAAATGTGGAGGCTGTAGTAGGTCAGGAGTCAGAAGGGCTAGAGGCCAGGAGGTTTGAACTGACCCCCCTACTTCATCTTGAAGAGACTCAAGCATAACCCTTTCCATAGAGGGTCTCTTTGCTCTTTGTTCGTTGACAGAACAGTTTAAATGATGGTAGCAAATGGTGGTAGGAGATTAGAACATGACCAAAAATTGAACAAAAAATAAAAAAAAAATATTCGGAGAATGATAATCTTAATAAAGCAACAAATTAATAATGCATTGGTTTGTCTGACTAACTGTCAAACAGCTGTCCTACTAGGAGGAAATGTGGAAAATCAACATAAGGTGCTGACAAGCAAGACAGGGAAGCATGGGAAACTCTTCAAGAAAAATGGTGCTAATGAAATCCTACGCCCTACAGGGGTTTGCCCAAGTCAAACTATGAAAAAGAGGCAACATGCATGTGAAAAAGAAACCAGAGCAAAATTTGGCTAGTTTGACATCCCACAGGTGCTGAAAATTTAAAAAAGTGACATGTAAAGGCTATGATCAAATACTCTCGCACATAACTGTGTTGGTTTGTACATGTCTGTATGATGCCTCTGTACATTATTTTTAATATGGTCATTTCTATATGTGCATAAAAATTTTTTTTGCCCCCCCCCCCCTCAATGTCCAAATCTCAGATACCCTCTTGCTATGTGATTAAAATAGAGATAATGGCAGGGTCAACATATAATAGAAACTTTGTTTGCAAACATCACTTTCAGATGTTGTCAGATCTACAGGTTGTAAAAAAATAACCGGATAAAAACCTTTAGAATGAGGAGAAGAGCAAAAACTTTAGAATAGGGGGAAACAATTTCCTTGTGAGGATTTTCTTTGTGAGGGGCTGCATCTAAGAGAAGTTTTTTAATTTCTCCCAGGAAACTGATTGTTATCTTTAAGTTGCTTAAATCTCTGTTTCAGCTGCTTGATCTTTGCACTGATCCAATTGTAACAATGAAAATATCCATCGTTTATCACTAATCTAAAGTTTGCCCTTTTCAAGAACAACAATAATGCTTGCTAAATTTCAATGTAAATTTCCTATCATTAAAAAGCTTCTTCCTCCTCACAAGTCAACCTTCAGTCTGCCTCATCTGTGATTTATACAACACAAATTATTTCAACACACAAAAAAACAATTGATGGAAGCCTCAGCCTATCCAAAAAATGTTGTATGTCTCAGACAGGCAGGCTCAGAATATTTGCCGTAACTAACAAATGGTGTATAATTAATATGTTTTGGGAATATTTATCCAGCAAGACCTACCAAAAGTGTCACACTTTTCATTCCAGATTTGGGGGCAGTGGCACCTTTGTGGATAAGTATGCATGTATTTTTTTATCGTTTATCACTAAGCATGATGTTTCAAAGAAATTATCACTCACATTTTAATGTTAGAAGGTAAGGAGTGATTCCAGGAAAAACTTCAGAGAATTTATTTCCTTCAGTCCCGAAATTTACAAAGGCACCAGCTCCAATAACACCATGTGGATGATATCCCAAAATATAGTTCCTTCTTGGATCGAGATCAGCAGTCTTCACGAGAGTGACAGGGAAGTAATCTCTTAGGTAACGCCATATTGACAGCTTTCTGAACCATTGCAATCGTCTACCTCCTTGGGACGAAACCCGTCGGTCATAAATCATCCAAACAGCATATAAGACAGCAATCAGCCAAAACCTTGACAAGAAAATAGCTAGAAACAGTAGGCATCCGATGGTATGCCCCAAAAAAATAAAAAGGGCACCACAACAAACTGCAGCTGTTTGTAAGCGTCTGGGCAACGGTATGGTGAGCGGACAAAACCGGAGCATTTTGCCAATTAACTTAATGAGATTGAATCTCTGCTTGATCCTTATACAATGCTTAAACTTTGCTGATACAGCTGAAGTTCCTCAAGGAAGTCTTGGGGCGCATTTTACCAACATATGTTATATTTCCAGGGTTAGGCCAGTCAACTGACCCTTGACCCACAATGATGCCTTAAATATTGACAACAACAACAACAGCATCATATTCAACTGGAAGGTGCAGCGTCCCTGGAGTGAGCCTGGTAAGCGTTCAGCAACCCCTGAAAAGAATTTACCTCGAAAAAATGTGTTTCAAATTTTTCGTATGATTAACATTGATAGAGGGAAACTACAGGGAAAAGGGCATTACTTGTAAAACAGACCATTTTGCATTGAAGAATGTTAAACATTTAGAAATAAAGCTATGCAATAGACGGTACATCCAGGGGCAAAGCCAAAGAAATTTCAGATGGGTAAAGAAGTGCATTTTGCCGACAAAAAAGGGCATGTCTCACTCTTTGAGGATGTGGTCAAATATGAATACTCTTTTATGCTGTTTTTATGCCTTTCTTCAATGCCATACTTTGCAAACTCAGCTATCACAGAAATGTGTTAACGTATTATCGTTACACATGTTGCAAAAAGAGCTACAGGGTGAGTACAAAAATTGCTTCTTTTGGCCGGCAAAATTCCTTAAAGTGCCGACAGACAAAGTGTGGGGGGGGGTACCGAATCTCCGAATGCCCCTTGGTACATCTTCAAACAAGCTGATGATAGGTTGCTGGAAATTGGAGGATTTTTTGACCGGGGGTGTGGGTGTGGCATCCCTCTGCTGAAAATAATGTGAGACAATTTCAGGTAAAAATAATGCAAGCTTTGTTAATGTTATAAAAGATTGTAAGCTAGATGATCTGCTAATAAAAATGCGCTTTATAATTCGTTTTAAATTGGACAAAGACAGCAAAAACAGATAAGAGAGAAACTCAAGAACCTGTTATCACAGCATATTCTTATTTTCTATAATCCTTTTAACTGTTGTTGCTGGAGAACGGAGGTGTTTTGCATATCTATGACATGTACAAGACACACCAGCTCAGCTAGTCTCGATGTTAGTGGATTTATAGGTAAATGACCAGTATAATTCTTCAGACCTTGGTTTCCACTCATGTGAAGATTTTTTATCATAAAGTTATATGGCAAAGGGTACAGAAAGGTTTCGAAATTTGCAGGGGGCTTGGATTTCCACCATTATATAGAACAAGAGGTTCGCAAAAATACCTTTTGAGATTTAGTGTATCTTTAAAAATTTGAAGTGGAGCTCAAGGCCCTTAGCCTCTGCAATCTCGGCCCTTGATACATTATATGTGAAATTGTTATTTGTTATATATATATAAATGCGATTTTGTGCTTTTTATGGCATGGGTTCATTGTGAACTTTTATTAAAGGTTTGAGAAGAAATTGTCCGGGTATTTCAATAAGGGCTAGTAAGTAAAATATAAGAATTTGACTGTGTTTTTTTAATTTCCACATATTAAATCTTTTGAGGGTGTTGCACCTCTTTTTTCTTTTGAAGTGGCGTTTTGATTGGCTTTTAGACTTCTTTTCATTTTTACATTTCGAAGTCGATAGAGTTAACAAAGTGGAGAATATGTGAGGTCAAGAATTTTTTTATTCTATGATTTGAGCATACGCGATTTGAGAGCTTTACAACTTCGCTTAATTCCTTGTCAACTTATATTTTTTTATTTCTCCTCAAAATAAGGTTGTTCTCTATTCCTTAAAGCAAAAATCTGGTCTCTCATTGTTATTGCCAACTTCCTTAGAGCTTAATTTCGCAGCATTCGACTTTTGCCATTCCCTTAGTGAACAAAGTCATAGCTTAAAGATATTTCATGTATCGGCAATCTGGCTTTGGTTTGTGAATATACGGCTTCAGGTTTGACTTAATTATAGATGTCCTTTACATGTTTTCGAAATTCTGTAATGTTTTTTAGCCTATGAAATGAATGAAGTTCTATCAAAAAGGTTATCAATCTTTTGCAAGTTTTTTATTGCAATCTGTTGTATTTTTACCACCAATTCTTACACGAGGCCATCATAAAGACTGCCTTATATCTTGCAGTGGCATCAAATATGCATCATAAGAATAAAAATTATTCTAATGAGTAGCCTATTCTTGTATAGAGAAGATTTGGCCGTATATGGTGTCACAACAGACTGGATAGCACTTCTCTTGATATTACATTCTGATGATTATACTCAACGTTGCGGAAAGGATTTCTGGGCCTCGGGTCTAAACGGAAGATAAAAGCAAGGCCCACCGGAGGCAACCCTTCTAAGGGGTCCGGGGAAAATTTTTGAGACGATGGTTGCTAAAATTGCAGCTATTTTGGTTGCTGAAATTCCGATGGTTGCTATTAATTCTCTAGTCTTTTCAATATAGTTTGAATATTATTGGTATACTATCGTCACAATGCATATTGATGCTGAATCAATGCTTTTAGCTAGTAATCAGAAATCAAACAACACAACTACAGTCATTACCATTAATCAAGGTTTCAGCTGCTTGGCATAAAACGTTTTGTACTTTGAGGTATAGAACAACTGAACAAGATCTGCTCTTTGATTCAAAGGCAGCTGCAACTCAGCTATCGTTTAGCAAAATATAAAGTTTTGACAGTCAAGCTGAGCACAAAAGGGGATATGATTTGTAGTTTATTGTCTTTGGTAAGAACAAGATTATCGGTAATACATTTATTGCATTATTTGCGTCTTTCGGATTTTTGATTTTTGTATGAGCCCGAGACACAATAGCAGCCACTTGCAAATCTTTGATTGAACCATGGAGAAGGAAATTTGGGAGTTGCCTTTTTATCGAATTCATTTGCACGACATCCAAATGTTCTTCTGTAGATGTCAGTTGCAGGAGATCATATTATTGAACTATCATACATATCACTTAAATGAATTACCACCGATATATTATAGTATTATCTATAATCCTTCTGAAAACATATTCATTGCCATCAGTTTTTTATTTTCTTAGAGCTTACCTTGAAGGCTTACTTTGAAAGAGATTTGCCAGGACTTATCTGTTTATCACAATACCTTAAAAACCTGCTGATCTTCATGCAAATGTATCTAAGTCTCAGTCAAATTTGCAGCAGCCTTGAAGGTGTCTTTGAAAGTACCTGTTCTGTTGAAGGAAAATTATTTGCAAATCCAAATCTAGGATCCAAAGTTCATATCATACGTTTAATCGAATCCGCTAATACCAAAATTGCTCGTCAAGATGAAGTCTTTTTATAGTTTGCTTTATTCTGAAGACCCCGGAAACAAAACCGTATAGGCCATATTCCTACTCCTCATCGATCATGCCATCACCACGATGTAAAGTCACAAGAAACAAGATAGGGACCATGGCAATTCTTAAAACACAATACCGTTCCTATAAATATGTGAATAGTAGGCAAGCTATAAACACATTTATGAAAGTACAGTATTACTTTTTATATAATGGGCAAGGTGGTCAAGCTATACAACAACGCAAGGATCCTTTTCCAAATTCAGGACACATCATACCATTCATTCTGCTTGTTATCAGAGCAGTTTAATTTGCAATATATGTCAGAAGGAAAGACATCTGAGTCTTAAAGCAATATTCGTATAACGGACAAAGTTAATGATATAATCTAAAAGTTTATATTTCAGCTATCAATTCTTGGCTACACGTGGCGTGAACGTTCTTGCAACATTGATTTAGTTGTTGAACTGAGATATAACAATAGAACTGTCGATTGAAATTGTATCAATGTTATTCATTCTAATTTTGAGAAAGTAAATAACAAAGAAAATACAGAAAGATAGAATTAATTTGCTATTGAGCTTAATCAAACGTATTCAGCGGACAGCAATAAGATCAAATGCTTCTTAATTCTAAACCAATTTAAAAAGGTCTTAAAAGATATTTTATTTTCTTAATGTGGTTGAATGATAAATTTGTCTATGGAGCTGCTAGTCAGCCAGAGACTGTTCTTCTGTAAATCAAGCAATTTTACAATACCCTTTCAGTCTGTTAGCAAAATTCATCATATGCAAAGTTGCGCAATTGTATATAAGTTGATGCTGAATACCAACACCAGTACTTGTATGGTATGAAATTGCAGGCGAAAAAATGTTTCAGAGTACATGATAGCTATGATGCTACGTAATCTTCCAACATTTTCATGAAAAGCGGGTTTTTACCTGCACCTATCATGAACTCATCTGCCGTTAACACACCGTCCTTATTTAAATCAAATGTCTTAAATATCTCCAAAATCTTCTCATCAGATATATTTTGATCATCTAAAGCGTCTGCCATTGATTTTATGCTTTTGATTATTGTCACCAGTTCCCTTGCAGTTATGCAGCCGTTTCCATCAATGTCATAGATACTAAATGCCCAACGTAGTTTCTCTTGTGGAGACCCTCGTGTTGTCACCGACAGGGCGCAGACAAACTCTTTGAAGTCTTTGAAGAAAAATATTAGAATAGAAGTAGCCAAGTTGATTAATAATGTATCTTAGATATATGAAAACATTACTGTGCACTATGGCCAGGAACTCAATAGACACTAAATAAGAACAAGAATAACGGAAAACGTGGATTTTTTTAGTTTTACGTATTCTTAGTGTTTTTAGCTGATGCATCAGCAAACAATTGAACCTCTGCACACATGCTTAAGTTATGTATCAATATCAGAATTAATCGCATAATTGAATGAAGGCTCTTTGCATTGGATTTGTCTTATGATTATTTTTCAGCTACTGATGATATAATATCACATCTCTGTGATCCCATCCCCTTCTTTACAGTAGATTTAACTAATTTTAATAATTTTTTTTGTTAGCTCTTCATTAGGATTATAAGTTTTAAACCAATAATTAGTAAAGAAATTGATATTCGTACCAATTCTTCCATCATTGTTTGCATCAAAAACTCTGAAAACGTGTTCTGAAAATCTTTTAGCATCCCCTGATTTGTAATAATCTCGGTACAGCTTAATGAAGTCCTGTTTGGTAATGCTTCCACTGGGGTATTCTTTCTTGAATTTATCATGCCACATTTTCAGTTCTTTCTCATCAAAACATGTTCTGCTGCAAAGGTCACAGAGTTCCTTAGGTGGTATCTTGGCGTGATGTCCTCCCATTCTTAAACTTTTTCAATCAAATTGATCCACTGTCTATTTGAAATGTAGTCTAAAAAAATAAAACATTTAAATCTTTTATAAAAGCATAAAGGAAAATGAAGGGTTCTTTTGTTCTTTTTCTTGTGTAAATTGATAATACCACTCGAATTTTCAATTTAAGCCTTTGAGTGTTTGGAAAACTGTCACCTTCTACCATTGGTGTATCAAAATTTGCGTTGTACTTTTATTCATTTTCCGATCCAAGGGATATGTGAATAAAAGTGCTGCACGATTTATTTAAGTATCATCTCGCAATAACACGAAAGTATCATCTACGTAACGACGTCTGCGTAACAACAGTGTCGTCTACGTAACGAAAACTAACGTCTGCGTAACAACAGTGTCGTCTACGTAAAGAAAAGCAATGCCTGCGTAACAACAGTACTGTCTACGTAACGAAAACTAACGTCTGCTTAACAAAAGTGTCGTCTACGTAACGAAAAGTTGTGCCTGCGTAACAACAGTGTTGTTTACGTAACGATAAGTTGTGCCTGCGTAACAACAGAGTCATCTACGTAAAGAAAGGCAATGCTGCGTAACAACAGTGTTGTCTACGTAACGAAAATTGCAGTCTGTTTTTCAAAGTTTCACCTGCCTAACGAAAGTAGTGTCAAACTGAAATAATTTTTTTTGTTAAAAGTCACACGGGCATTAATGCACTGGAGAGCGAGCCAAGCCTTGCTTTACCTTTCCTCGACGTGTAGTCAGACAATAGATTTCTCACTAAATAATGCGGAATACCAACTTTTAGGGACAATTATCTAAAATTAACCTTATCAAAACTCTAGTACCTTATGCTCTAATTTCTTTGCGTCTACGCTGGTAGCCGGACTTAGAAAGGATAGTCGATGGTTTTGTTAATAGCTATGAAGAGAATTCTTGTTTTGATTCGTTTCGGAAAGTCACAACTTTTCAGATAATAAATTTTTGCCATCAAATAAATGTCATTTTGGCGTCTGCTAGCAAGGACATATTCTATTGAATGCAAAGAGCAATTACGTAAATGTATAATCGCGAGAAGGAAATGGTTTTTATAAACTTTATTATTAGGAGTTAAAAACGACAACGACAACAATGAGCTGCAGTTTATTTAGTCTCGGACCGTGCTATGATTTACATATTTGTGGCTTCAAATCGTAATTATTTCTCTAAAAGTGGCCTATCTGTGCCGCTTGTGGGATTTTTTGATTAGATTATTGTGTCTCTGATACTTAAATAAAAGCTATATGTATCTCGGCTTTAAAAAAGTGTATCTGCATCCGCTTTCTTTCAGCCGAATTACTATCCTGAACGTTTGCAGCTGCTTTTAGGTTTCCACATCTGCTTTTAAAGATATTTCATCGATAACATGCACATTTGACTGTGGAATTCTTTTATCATTTGTGAAGGGCGGTCCATCATAAAATGTTTTATTTTAAACTGTGCAGCCCCTCATAGAGCTGTTGTATTTTGATATTGCAACTTAAGAACAGTTTCTTTTGTAACCGCAAGCACGAAAAGGAATATTATTCGCACTTAAGGCGCTTCAAGCGCGTCACAAGAGCAGTAGCAGATGGCTTTGCCCAGCATGCAATAAACTATTAAATGTTTATGGTAAATGAATTCTGTTTTAATTGTAATGCACCAACTAATTTTTCAAAAGATCTATAACGAACGTTACACAGCAATTCAGAAAAACCTGCAATAGGCCTGTTCACGAGTCATGTCCTACATAAAACAGCTATTTTCTATAGAATTCTTTCACGAAAGCAATCAAGGCTGCAAATAGCCATGGACTCCCAGTACACGACTTTGAAAGTTTGTCTCAATTAAACAAAGTTTTGGTGGCTGACAAGATCGTGCACTGTGCTCTAAGTAATTTAGGTTTTATTGATAGATACATCCAAACGGACCCTGGTTGCTTATCTTGTATTCAATTGTGTAATAAAATGTAAAGACATCTTAGGCTATATTCATTGCTTCCTAAAGATCCAAAACGATAACAGCGCTTTTAGATAAGTTGATATTTACGCTGATGTTACATAGGATTTGTGTAATCCTGAGGGACTCCAGCTCATCTAGATATGACTTTCCCAACGATATGATATTTTCTAAGGTGAAGGGAGGAGTATCGGTATTAGGAAAAGGAAACGAAAAATATATAGAAACAAGGTGTTCTAAGAAGTAATGGCAGGTATTTTAGCTACTTGTACTAGACTATTTCTTGCCATTAAAAACCTTCGGAAGTTTTCGTGAATTTATTGCTTCTCTCCCGTGCCTTTTTTAAGCTAAAATTATCGACTACCTTCAATTTAAAAATTCCATTTCTAAACAATTACAATTAAAATACATTTTAAAATACCCACTTTTCCCCAAAATCAATGTTGGATTTGTAGTTTTATAACTTTTGCTTCAAAGGCATATACTCAATATTGAATCAGGGGAGTGGTGGGAGTTATTTTTCAAAAGAAGGAGATTACATCAGGTTTTTTAGTAAAGTCTCAACTATTTTTGACCAGGATTGTAGACAAAAACTGGATTTTGGTGCCACATCTCTTAGGTGAATGGATAATGATGAAAACGCCCAATTTCAATTTTCAGCGTTTTACTTAAAGAAAGAAAGACACGAAGATAAATAAAGTAACGTCTTGGCGTACTTTTGGCTACTGCTGACCACCAAAAGATGCTTTTTACCGAATCGAAGTGAAATTAACTGATGGATACAAAAATATTGGAAGGATGTCGCACCTCCTACACACCCATCCCAGTAAATCCGTCCTTGGGAGGAACCCTTTCGCCACTTCATCTTTTTGCTTCCCGCCCACAGACGGAAAAAAACCTGACGATATATGATAAAATATCGCAATATCTAAATTTCTAGATATACTTGATGTGATTTGATGAATTAATTTAACGAGAAAGCTTTTCGGTGCTGCTGAGAATGTATTATAGGATTTGATAGATATATCAACATTGATTGATATTTTCGGTGGAGTTAGATGAGCTCCTTTAACAGCTTGTTAGCCGAGTGCAAACAAATAAAAGCTCTGTGTAATACGGCATTCTTAGATTGCAGGTGGATTGAACTAATAATCGCTAGAGCAGGTGATGAAAAAAGACAAATTGTCCCAGATTCTACCTCAATGATAGAGCTTCGAGAAAACTTTCCAACCCCAAACGAAAGGAGTGTATAGGATGACGTATGCACTATTCATTGCACATAGCTTGACGTCGTATAAGACTCTGAAGAAGCGCCTTCAACCCTTTTGTCGCCGACAAAGAAATTTACAGATAAAGAATGTGTTTACGGTCGTGCTGTTAATCGTGTGCTTTGCTACCCCTCATCCCCAGTTTACTGCTACATTGGTAGCAAATAAGATAAAAACGGGACAGTGTTTATTTCAGCGTTGTCCTCACCGTTATACTACTTGTATTACTTTATTTTATTCTATAGACGCCTTAAGAGAAAGCTGGAGCGTTGCGGCAAAAAACCGTGATTTTCTAGGATAAGCTTTTTCGCATTCATATTCATTGAGGACGTTGTTAGAAGCTGCACTCTTTTGTATCATGTGCTTTGCGTTATTTACTTGGAAGTTTTCATGTGGATTTTGAAGAGCAATACATCTTATCAACTCAGAAGACAGCATTGGATTTTTGTATTGGCCAACTTTGGCAAAATCATATCTCCCTTGAAAATTAAAGGAGAAGAAGATTCCCTGGCTTTGAATAAAATGGGAACTTATTAAAAACGGAAATTTTCAACTTCCTATTTTGAGAATACCTTACATTTTCAGGATTTTAAATAGGAAAATTTTTGTAAATTTTATTGTTACCTAAATTCTAGTCCAAAAATTTCATATAGTGCTTAAGTTTCAGAAAGTATATTAAGTTATAAGCATAACGTATAAGAGTAAGAACATACCGCGAAGCTTTTCTGTCAATCAAGCCACTTGGTTTTACACTAGTCGGCAGGTATGTGACAATCGAACTGGACTCCCATTACAGCCTGCGAATGCTTTACTATCACACGCATAAATATTTAATTTAGCATTAAGAATACAAGCTGTCTTTCAATTTGCAAAAAAAACAGCTACCAAAGAAAATTTGTTTTGATTATTAGCCTGTTTTGCGATTGATGGCTTTTTATCCACAAAGAAACCAAATGCGACCCCATCCAGATAGGTCAAACACTTTCTAGTTTCTTCTTATTTGTTTGAAAAATGCAATTGTTAGCGAAGTGCAGTTGGAACGAGCTTTCGAAACTTTTATTGATAAGTTGTACTTAGCAATGGAAAGTTTTATCCTAGAATTGGGGCAAATGCAGATAGTAAAGACAAACGCAGAACATTTTCTGAGATCTTCTAAATATCCAGACAAGCTATCCAGCTTTAAGCTAGACATTTGGAATCATTGAATTGAGAATATATAATTCTTCTCCATGATCCTCCCTTCCTCGTGATTTTTCATGATTCCCCCTTCCACTAATGTTTGGCTTTCATTTAAGAATGGAACAACAATGTTATGTCGGCCGCTAAAAGTGATATGTTATCTGCATTTGCTTATCATTTGTGGATGATAAGAAGTTAGCAACGAATAAATTCATTGGCCGACCAATCATTAAGCCACCGTGAAGACTTATTGCAACCGTTCCTGGAATCCCTAACCCTTCACAATAAAATTTTTTTAAGCACCGGTCACTTTCATATTTTAACAGAGCATCACATGGAGTAGAATGAAAGAAACTGCAGGATACATTGCAGAAAAGATTAAACTTTTTTAAACCAGGTATAATGCACCTGCTCAAATCCTACTTGTAGCGTCATTGTTTGGTCATGTTTAGTTGTCACAGACAACTTGTATAGACTTCACAGGACATTTTTAACTAAGGATGTGTCTTCCCGGGAGGTGTCTTCTGTAAGGCTTTGAATCCTAAAAAAAATTTAGGCCAAAAAAGATTTGTCCGTTTTTTAGGAGCTATTCATCGTTGGGGTGTTCGGCTCCCAATGACGTAAAACAAGTCTTTGCAACACCAAAGAAGGATTTGAAACGGGGATACAAAGGCTAGGATAACATTCACCATCTCCTTTCTCGAATTGGCAGAGAGCAGCAGAATGCTTGTCAACTCAGGCAAAATTTGGTTTTACCCCTTTACTTGTTGATATCCTTTTGTCCAAACCCGAAGGTTCTCCAAAAGCTGTTTACTAGATTTTAAGATGTTAAGAGTTGTGAAAGATAATGAGGGTTAAGTGCTACCCTTGAAATATTTAAGTGCTATATTTTCTCAATAACATCTCAAACAATTATGCGTTAGCATTATCAGTTGATGTATATGTATTGTATATGAACCTTTAGTAAATTTAAAACAAAAGGATACTTTTAATTAATTCCTTATGGCGGCATTTGCTCTTTCTAGTTTTGTATACAATGATTAGTGCTGTATAGATCCGTATATTTAGCATAGCAGATAAAATGTTGGTTGTTGTAACTTTTGTCATTCATACCCCTTCAGATCAAGCTGTCTGACCATCATTCTGCGCTTGCTTCCATGAAATATGTCTATGTAATATTGCTCACCCTTAAAACATTGAAAACATGACTACCAGTAGACTTGTATTTGAATACCATATCAATTGACAAAAGCCTTTTACTTCATAAAGTAAAGAAACGAGCTTACCTCCTTATATATTGTTACTGCAGAGTCTAATTATTTCAATATCTTCGAGAAGACCCTGAGGCTAATGGGTAGGACAGCTGCATGGTACTCCAAGCATTATATTGTCATTTTCGCCTTCATAAAAGACCTGTTGCGTGCAATGCTTTAAAGAGAGTTGCTAAATAAACTAGACACCTGTTGTACTGGTTTCATTACAAAAAACCTTATCGGTACAATAAAATCGTATCATGAATAGGGCGAGTTACCGTATTTATTCGAATATAAACCGTGGCTTATAAATACCGTAAATCCTCGAATTTGCCCCCTTCGAAAAAGCCCCCCCCCCTCGAATAGGCCCCCACCCTAGAACTACAAATTGTCAATAAGCCCCCTCGAATAAGCCTCCACTGCTACTGTAAAATCTCGAATTGGACCCCTCCATTTGATGATTTTTGCCATCTGAGGTTGCCTGTGACGTTTTATTGAATTACCACAACAAATTCATACTTTTGGTAGTGATTAATGAAATGCTCATAAAGAAATTCCTACTAAATAAACGAGGTCTTTTAAACCTGTATTTTTAATGTCTACAATAATTTTATAAGCCCCCCCCCTCGTATAATCCACCTCCTCGAATAAACCTCCATCTAAAAATATCAAAAATAAATAATTCAGGGCTTATTCGAGGATTTACGGTATTTTCTGGCACATTTTGCTGCGGTTTATAATCAAGGGCGGCTTATAAACGAGGGTGGCTGACATTTCTTTATTTAGATCTTGCCAGGACTTCCTGCCACCTTGAATTTGAGGGTGACAATGTAGAAGAATAGGAAGAAATATTTCTTGATGATCCCATGCCGGACGATATAACATCTAGCGTCAATTTTATTGGTTTAAGTACCTAATCAGGTTTTTTCAGTTTTTCAGTTTTGTTAGCGTGGCTTATAATCATGGGTTGTAGGGTACTGTTCTAGTCGAGCCTAGGTACGAAATAGCAAGCAATGATTGTTTATTGTATCCTGCTAGATCTGTTGCTTGTGTATTGAATAATGAGATTCCGGTAACGATTTTTAATGCTAATGACTTTCCAGTCAAGATTTTTTCAGGAACATGCGTTGGGATGGCAGAAATTCTAGACGAGACACGTATTAAGTCGCAAAATGGTGACGCCCATACTAACAATCCCTTTTCAGATGCAGGGATGGCGCCAGAAAAGAAATGCTGGGGGCTGTAATGTCAGAGTGCCGACAGTGCGTGAACCACCAACAAAGATCTAATATAACACCATTTCCGCTGTGGCAATTCCTGTTCAAAAAATGAAAAAAAATGAAACAAAATCAAACAATGAAAAAAAATAAAAAAAAATCACGAAGTGGAAGCTATGAAAGTGCCGAGATTGGTTAAAATTTTTCAAAAATTGAAGTGCCGACGGAGGGGTTCAATGAATTTTTGGGGGGCTCCTGCCCCCCAGGCACCCCCGGTGGCGCCATCCCTGTTCAGATGTGTGGATAAATGAAATAGATTTAGATAACTGTTCGATTTCCAGCCATGAAAAGCAACAACTTTTGCAATTGTTGACCGAGTATAGGGATGTGTTTGTTAAGTCTGATACAAAGGCAGGTCTTGCCAAGCGTTTCACACACAACATCGACACTGGTGCACCCCCCCCCCTCTTTATCAACGTCCGTATAGAATTCCTCATAGCCAGTTAGGTATGATTGATGAACATATAGACAACATGCTAGAAAAGGGAATTATTAAGGGAAACTAATAGTCCTTGGTCTCAACCCTAACTAAAAAAGACGGCTCGCCCAGGTTTTTTGTCGATTTTCGAAGGCTAAACAACATCACTAAGAAACAAATTTTGAGTTTCGCGTTATGCCCATGGGATCAGTCAATGCTAGTTATACGTTTCAAAAGATGATGCAATTGGTATTAAGTGGCTTACAATGGCAAATCTGTATGGTCTATTTAAATGACGTAATCGTTTATTCTAAATCATTCGAAAAATACCTAGCGAATTTACGTTCTTCGATCGCTTTAGAAAAGAAGGTCTCAAGCTTAAGCCTAAGAAATGTCACTTTTGTAAACCGGAGGTCTTATACTTAGGCCATGTTGTAGGTAGGGATGGAATAAAACCCAACCCAAATAAGGTGGATGTCGTTAAGACATACCCAGTGCCCCGTAACTGTAATGAAGTGCGTAGTTTTGTTGCGTTAATATCGTATTGCAGGCGATTTATCAAAGACTTTGCTTCGATTGCTAGCCCTTTGAATAATTTACTTAAGAAAGGAGTTAATTTTCAATGGACCGACGTATGTCAGGTTGCTTTTGAACGTCTAAGGGACTCTTTACTTTAATCATCCATCCTTTCATACCCTTACTTTAAAGAGAGATTTTGCCTCTATACAGACGCTAGCAATATGGGTGTGGGTGCAATTCTTGCACAGAACATAGATGGTATCGAAAAGACCATAGCTTTTGCTAGTCGTAGTTTAAAGCCTCACGAGCGTAAGTGCGCAACCATTGAAAGGGAATGCTTTGCATTAGTTTGGGGTATCAAGTACTTCCGTCCATATTTGTATGGTAGAGACTTCGATGTAGTAACGGATCATAACCCCCTAAGATGGTTGGATAATGCCAGGGACCCCCATTCTAGACTTTCTCGTTGGTCTTTGACACTTCAAAGTTATGCATATACAATCAAGCATAGGTCAGGCAAGTCACACGGGATTGTCTATGCTTTGTCTAGAATGCCAGAATCGACTTCGGATAGGGAACCCCCAAGGGAGGAATTACCTGCTTTGATTTATGCTATTGATGCGCCAGGTTTGCAGTTAGAACGCATCAAAGAGCTCCAACACCAAGACCCTGCTTTGACAGACCTTATAAATTATTTCGAAAAGGGGGATATCCCCGAGGGTTCCATCTCAGCTCGCCGCCTTATGGCTACGGTCGAAGATTACTTATTAGACCGAGGTCGAGCACGGTCGAGAACCAACGTTTCCAAGCAGCTAGTAATTCCTAGATCTCTTAAAGATGAGGTTATGTTATCTTTACATGAGGAAATAACTTCTGGTCATCTAACTAAGACATACCTAAAAATTAAACAACGCTTTTTCTGGACAGGTATGTACACAGAAATTGAGAAATGGTGGGCTTCTTGTGTAGACTGTGCAACTAAGAAAACGCCGCGAAATTTAGCTAAAGCACCTTTACAGCCACTGCCTGTAGAAGGGCCGTTTGATCGCGTGGCTGTAGATGTTTTAGGCCCGTTTCCAACATCGCAGCGTGGTAATAAGTATGTAGTAATTTTTACCGATTATTTTACCAAATGGCCTGAGGCATTTGCTGTCACAAATGCCGATGCTCCAACCACCGCCAAATTATTCGTTGAGGAGATCTTGTGCCGACATTCAGCTCCTCGTAAAGTTGCTATCGGATCGGGGTAAGAACTTCTTAGCTAAAGTAGTGAAGGGTATTTGTCAGATGGTTAACACGTCTAAGGTTAACACCACAAGTTATCACCCGGAATGCGACGGACTAGTTGAACGATTTAACCATACACTTACCACCATAATCTCTATGTACGTGTCAGAACATCATGGAGACTGGGACCTTTTCACCCCTTACGCTTTATTTGCCTATAGAACTGCCTATAGTACAAACCAGACTCCATTTATCTTATGTATGGAAGAGATCCAAGACTTCCTATAGACGTCTCCCTAACGAAAACACAAGAGACTTATTGTAACACTGAAGATTATCGTGGAGTAATTGCAGGTAGATTCTTAGACGCACGGAAACTTACACGCGACAATATAGAACTAGCCCAACAGAGACAGAAAAGCCAATATGATAAAACTGCCAAAGACGTAACGTACGATATAGGACAACAGGTTTGGTTATACACCCCGAATAACAGAAAGGGTCTCTCCTCTAAACTAACTCACAATTGGCACGGCCCATATCGTATACTGGCCAAGAAATCTCCAGGAAACTATCTCCTCGGTGCTAACGAAGAGCGTAATTATATCCAAACCGTTCACGTAAACCGCCTTATGCCATTTATTTCAGCAGATGATAGGCCTAATCTAGATTCTCCCCAAATATTGACAATTGCAACCAGGAGGAGGAATCTGCTTGTTTGGATGATGAGAGCGACACAGATCCAGCTGAACTAGTAGTTAAGGCCATTCTGGACAAGAAAATAGTGACAAATCGATCAGGGAGACGCGACACCTACTATCTCATCCAGTGGGAAGATGACAGTCTAGAGCCATCGTGGGAGCCTATCAAAAACTTGCACTGTGGTGAGCTCTTAAAAGAATTCGAAACTTCGTTACATAATAAGAAAACTTGCTAGTTCGTACAGTGGCTACATTGTCACAAGAATCAAGGGCGATTCTTTCCCCTGCCCCGGGAGGAATGTAATACCGCTACTCCAAGAGCTAAGGCCGACCTCCACTTGGCTGCGCGTACGACGCGATTCAATTGGCGCATGCTCAAAGGCAATAGATTGACAATCACGTTGACAGGTCAGGCGGCCGTCCGTGACAGTTTTCTGCACGTATGACAGTCTAACTCAAGGCGACTTTCAGAGCGGCCGCTTGTTATTCACTGACATTTATCCAATCAGATTGACTAAAAACCTCCGCTCATACGATAGTTGGCAGCGGTAGTGTTGAATGCATCACCCTTTTCAAGGAAACGCAATGTAACACACACACATTCAGGAGAGGCTGAATTGGTTTCCTTTTTATTGATTTCCGAATCAAATGAGGAGCAACATATCTTAATAATTCTTCAAAATTTGAAGCTGACATTCGAAACATCATTCAAAATAATTCGGTATCCGACACTTGTGCTTGTCGAATAAGCAAATTGTATTCACCTTTCAGTGCAGTCGGAACGAAATTCATATTGGGGGAGGGGGGGCTGCCCATTGTTTTCCTTCTCATTCAGTACACTGTTATAAAGGAATCATACTACAGTTTGACAATTATTTCCGACGGGCCTGCCTTTAACTTTCCGACGGGCCCCGGTTTTGACGGGCCTGCCTTTAACTTTTTGTTATTGGTAAATTTTCCTGACGCAATACCGTCCTTTTCTGGCAAGTTTCGAATATAAATGACGTTCTATTTCTTCACTTTCTAACAACAACTTTCTTCAAAGATTTACAACTGCCAAGTCTGTTTGCAAATTTTCGAAGGGATTTCAAAGCTGTTCTCGTGATTCTGGTGGTCATGCTATCTCCAGTTGAACGTACGTACGTGGTTTCGGTTTCCTAAATCTTCCGTACGCGCGGCCAAGTGGAGGTCGGCCTTTCCACTCTCCCAGCGTTAGTCATACTTGTTTGTGCATATTCTTTTGCGTCAACTGGCATCGCACTCTTTGTTGCATTGCGTATACTAGTAGGAACACTTTCACTAGAGAAACCCACCCTCTTTTACAGTATTATTTTAAGAACTACACTAGGGATTGACTCAGCTTATACATACGTATCTAGACACATTCCTATTGTTTTTCTAGCTTGTTTTCCTCTTATGTAGACACCTAAGATTAGCACATTTACATCTTTTATTTGTACAAGGAACTAGTTTAACATATATATATCGTTTTCTACGAATCCTGAGTTAGTTAAGAGTTAGAGCTAACATTGTGAGCACGTACACTTCGCTCTTGTGAAAGGCTTAGTGCTACAAGTCGTACAACGATATACGTTTGAGAAAACTATATCTGTGTTTATTTGTTGTGTCATTCTGAAGTTTTGCCGAACATTTAGCTCGGAACCTGCCGTATTTAGAAACCAATTTACACAATATACCAACAATATGGATTAAAATCGTTAATACACATTGGCAGACGAAACCTCAACCCATGAGAAAATTTCTATGATACCCTGCTTAAATGTTTGCATTAACATATAGCGATTAAATGGATTTCTGGTATCTTGCTCAAGATTTCTCTATCCACAGTCTTATTTTTTATGTTATGAAGCTTTACCAAAGCAGCCTTTTTTGGTTGAAGATCGCAAAAAATTTAGCCTGAATCATTTATTTCCATTAACCATTGTCATTACCACAAAACAGCATTTTACTTTACAGCAGCACTTGAACCAACGTTTTCGGCATGAGGTTTCAAGGCATGTAGCCACTGTCCTGCTTACCTACGACTTTTGAGAAACAAAAGGCCCTTCAAGGGGTAGAAAGAAAACTGCCTCCAAACTCTCACTAAATGACTCTGATCATAAAAAGTTTTCAAAATTTGCTATTTGGTTATATTTATAACATTTTTGTTAAGAGCCTGCAACAAATGTTCAAATCAATGCTTCCTTTATGATATCTGTGTGCCACTCAGAATTTTAGACTAATTCATAGGTGGGTAGCACCTACGTGTGGAACATAGGAAACAGGGCACCCCTTGTGTCGTTTCACGGCAGAACAGTCTTACAAGAAAATAGACAATAAAGGCCAGTTGTTTGCTATTTTAAGCAATGGTAAATTAAACATGAAACTTTGAGCAGTCAAAATTATCTACCAAGTACCAAAAGGACTTGTTTGATCTATTGCTGAAATGGAAGTGTGTAATAAACAATCATCAACTGGTATAGATGCCTTTTTAAAACAGAATTTTCACTTTTTACTTAGGTCAACCCATGAGGAAACTAGAATTTGGTGATTTCGTATCTGATCCTGTTTATACATCGTACATGCGTTCTGGTACACGTGATGTTCTATCTGATTATTGATTCCAATTAGAGAGAGAGTTATGTCCGAAAAATAATTGCTTAACCAAAGATATTCACTGTTTTTTTATATAAACACAGTAAATTGAAATTCAGGCTGGCTGTTTTCAATTTTTTCGAGAATCTGTGGCTGAATTGTTCTTAATTTGTTCTTAGATTATTAGGGTGTAAGTGGTGAAATAGCTAGCTATTGTGCTCGAAATGGTCTTAAGGCCTCATTTGTCAAGGAAAAGTGCGAAACATCCTTCATTTGCCGACAGGTTTGAAAATTCACCGAAAAAGCACCCCTAGATGACAAAAAGCAACTCTTTTTAGATGTATTACAAATTACATTTTGAAAGACAAATTACATTTTACAGTAGCTCAGTCTCAGTTCTTGTTTTTAATTTGCTTTTGACTTTCTACTAATTTTGGGGCTCGTGTTTTTATAAAAAGAAGAGGGTACGCATAAACAAAGATACAACCGTTACCTGAAGATGGCATTCTGAGTAACCATCCTGTCCTAAATATACCCCAAATTGTGTCTACAGTACAGCTCTGTCCTCAGGCACTTTATTATCATGTATTAAATGTATCAAAAGATAAACAGATAGGTTGAAGTTGAATTAATATTTGTCAATTATATTAAACACGCAATTTGAATTAATTAATTTACCATTCCAGCCTCCGTCTTCCTCCTTCTCACTGGGCTATTGGTGTCATGTTTGTGCTGTGCAGCAGCTTTCTATTTTGCGGTAAGAAATTTTATATGCTGAACTGACCTTGGCTTGGTGCTAAAATGGAGGACGGGAATCTTGCTGGAAAATAGTTATAAACTCGTCTGATAAACGCAGTTTTCACCACTCGTGAAGCAAATCTGCAGCAAATGGTGTGTTAAGGGAAGATAATGGTTGCGGTTTCTTGTATTTCATGGTTGGTATGAATCGCTTGGCAACCCTGTTGTTAGACTGGTGTGTAGGTGGGCCTAAATCTTAGTCCTGAATTTAAATACAATAATGCAACCCGGATGGAAGTATGCCATGGAGTACAACGGTGAACCGTTTTGATCAATCAACAGAAATGGGAATCCAGTTTAATGCAAAAGAAAGTGGGTGAAAGTCGTTCACTGATAAATTTGAGAAAATGTTGAAAGTGATTGCGTCGGAATCCAACAACATGTATTTTCGACCTAGGAAAATTCACGGATTTTTTGCCAATAATATGTATCAACCGAAAGAATCTTATACCAGAGCTAAAACAAAACCAATAGATTCAAGAGGGCATCGAAAAGCTTTCAATTGGAAGTTTCCATGGAACACGAGATTTACCATGTTGGTGTTATTTTTGTTTTGTATTGTTTTATTTTTGGATATTGCGAATGCACAACATTGTTTTGGTCACAAATCCATATTAACATCTTTGAGCGGCGCCATCAAAGACGGCGATGGATTCTACAGCAACAAAGTTAGCTGCGAATGGCTTATTAGAGGTGACTATGCTTAATTTGCTTATTCGTTTCTGGTCTTGGCGTTTGTTTTTGTTAAACAGATATGCCCACTCTTCTGTATGAAATCGGGTTCTTCATTATTTGTTTGTTATCCTGTTAGAACGTCAGTTAAGCATCTTGAGACAAACAGAGTATAAATTTATATGCCTGAAATGATTTTCAAAATTTATGAGGGGGGAAATTTTTCAGAAAAGGTAGATTGAAATCAGTCAACCACCTTTAGTGTGGAGAAGGGACCCCCTGTGTAATGACCATGGCAAAACCATGTTTAAACCAAACCAATTTAAACACATTTAAATGTTTGCTTTAGCAATAACATATCAAGAACCATTATGTGCATACCATGAGACCTTTTGATTGCAAAAATGAGACTCATGATTGGCAGTTTGTAGATTTGATTGAAGAAAACTGTAAAAAAATGACAACAAAAAGCTCCCTCCTAGCAATACTAAATAATTTGTAAAAAGTTCTGATGTAACTGAAACCTTTCTGTCTCTTCTAGCACCATTCAAGAACCAGACAATAACCATAAAAACTAAAAGTATTAATTTAGAGTGTCAGTATGACTATTTGTATATATTTGATGGTGGATCATACAAGGCACCACTTCTTGCTAGCATTTCTGGATATGACATTCTACCTGAAATCATTTCTACTGCAAGTGAGGTATGTATATTTTGCATTATTCATCTCAAACAAATGATTTCAGAAAATGATAAGATAGCTAAATGGCAATTTAGCATAATGGAACCATTTTTTCTTAGTAAAATGGTACCATTTTTATTATAGTCTGTGTGTCAATGTTAATTACCAAGAGCATGCAAACCATCTATCTTTAGTACAATTGGGGGCATCAGGCCTATGATTTTCCAACAAGATAACATCTTGGATCGTGTATAATTTTAAAGAAACTGCACAGTTTGATGAAAATAGGTGATTTTTGGGTGGGCTCCTTTAGAAATCAAGAAAGATTTCTTGGAGCAATTTTGACATGTTTAACATTTGTCACTTATCCGACAAGAGCCTAAATTTTTTGACGAGATCACTGATTGGGGAGGGGCCTTAGCCCCCCATAATTTTTGCCACTGCTATAGTTCCTATTTGCTGTGTTTATTCCATTTTGTAATTGTCATAATAACAATCGCTTGGATAACTTGAAACAAGTTTAAACAAATTATCTTCAGTAAAATTAGTTTTCCAAACAATTGTTCCTTAATCTGGCACAAAGTTGATGTTATTTCCTTCTACCCTTTGACAAATGTTTTGTTTTTCAATTGACATCTTGTTGATATATTACCTTGCCAACTTTGGCTTTTAGAAGCTTGTTATGTAAATTTTATAAACATTCAGAAAGAAAGATTGATAGAAATCTATGTTTTAAAATATGTGAAGGTTTTAATAATATCCTTTGCTTTAATCCTTTTATTTACAAGTGCTTTTGAAAGTTTTGTCAAAATGATATTGAACTTCTCTTTAACATGGTGTAGTTCATTGACTTTTACATCCACATTAAACAAGCATAAGCCATTGTTGGTATCATTTGTTAGAATAGAGCATGCTGACTTAAATCAACAAATTTATAATCATTTTTTTCTTTTGATGTCACTTTATGCTTTTTGGTGAAGAAAGACACGTCGTGATTGTTGTCCCTCTACAGGGAAAAGATAATCGTTATGTGATGTTGATAAGATATCATCATAAGGTAAGCTATCATTATGTCATTTTCAGGTCTTGGTTGTACTTCAGACTGATTATGCGGAAAGGAAGGATGGCTTTGAGTTATCATATGAGGTTGCAAATTGTCCTGGAAAATGTTCGGGAAATGGTATTTGTGACAAAGGCAAGTGTGTTTGTAGCTCAGGTTACAGTGGAGCTGACTGCAAAGACAAATGGTGTCCTTCAAGTTGCAATGAAGCAGCAGCCAGAGGCAAATGTGATAGTGTGAGTTTATTATATCTCTGCTTTGAAATGCCTTTTAACAGGAGCTGTTATTTAGCTGTATGATCTTTGAATTGATGAATTTTTCAAGCACTCATTGAAACAAAATCTCTGGAAATCTTGTGCATTAAGTCCTAAAGGGTTAAAAATTAAAATAAATATTTGATTAACAGGCAATATTGCCATAAAACCTTGTATTTTGAAGCATGCATTCTTATCAATGGAAAAAGTTTACCTGATTGAGATAATCTGAAGGCCTTTGCTTGTTATCTCTAATTGATTATTTATCTAATTGATTATAACTCTGATTAATTATCTGTTATTTCAGGGACTTGAGAAATGCAGCTGCAATCATGGGTTTACTGGAGAGGGTTGCTCTCTTCCATCCCAAGTAAATGCAGATCTAAATAGTTGGCATCTGCTTGCATCAAGATCATCAAGATTCAATCCACGATCTGATCATGTAATGGGATACCTTAACGGTTCAGACACTATTGCAATATTTGGAGGTAAGCAATAAAGATTAATGAATATACTGAGGGCTTAGTTAAACCAATGTTTAAAGGTGGGACAATAGTTTGAAGTTTCAAAACATTTCCCTAATACTTGAAGAAGGGTATTTATAGATTATGTTAAGGCAATGCTGAAATTTTCAAATTTTTGAAAACAGGATGCTTGCTTGCCCACAGTTGGATATAAATCAATGGTTATTGGTAACCACTCAGAATATGCAGCCTTGTTTCTAACTTTATCATAAGGTATCTCAACTTTATCAAGTTCTTTTCTAGTCATCCAAGATTTTAGAAATAATGCAAAAAAGAGAGATTTTTGTGCTAACTTCAAATGCCATCAAAATCCGTATTATGCAAGGATTTATATGCTCGTCATTCCTGTTATGCACCAGACACCCCCTGGTAATATATTTCCCAAACTCTTGTATGCAAAATATTGCTTCATCTTGTATCCTACTTTTTGTGGACCCTTCCTAATTCTAAGGGATGGCCAGCCATTCTTTTACTACCACTGGTAGGCAGACGTTTTATCATTGTCAACAACTTCCAGCAACTTCCAGTAGCCTTTACAACTGGCCATCTGCATATTTGATTTTTGTCATATTTCACATGCCAGCTCAAAGTCCCTTTTTTTCTCTTGAAATTATCCTCAGTAGTAGCTGAAATGTATGATGACATTGCAAATCCTTGTGAAATTCATTTGTTGAATACCTCTGTCCCTGATTCATGCAGTTTGATTCCAGTAGAAATTCTGCAATAATCAAAGGTCCTTTCCATACAAGTCTTGGTTTTCATGTTTATACTGTGCTCTATTGAATGCTTGGTGTAACTAATGCAACACATTATGCATCCTTCTGCTATTACACCCCTTTCTTGTCACAATCTTATCTGCTTTCTTTGTTAAGCCTTCTTCTTGCCCTTATGAGTAAAATCCCTAAAATCATTCCTTGTTGCTCAATTAGACAGAAGTTCAATGAGTTGTCTCAACGAGGATTTCTTAAACTGTCTCCCAATATAATTTATTTGCCTTCATCATTTAGGTAGTCAAGCTTTTTTCTCACATGACCAGAATACTGGCATCAGATATCCACCTTGCACAGCTACTCGAAGTCTAGCTTCTACACGTTTTTTGGACTTTCTTTATAGTTAGACTTCTCTAGTGAGATCAAATGTGCAAACTGCAGCGACATGACCTGCACTTGAAAATGTTTTACTGCTCCTGCAGACCTGGTAATCACAACGATGTAGTCAATCTGAATCTTTATCTCGTTGCCTGGACTTTTCAGTGTGTTTGTTCTTCTTGGATATTCTTTGTCCAAGCATTTGAAATTATATACAAAGAATAGGGTGCTGATACTGGGATTCACACGGATACCTATGACATGTGTATCAAGTTCATGTCTCCGTTAGTAATATGCATACCAGAAAATAGAAAATGCTCACAAAATTAAATGGATCGTTCATATGATGTAGACTTCAATAAAGTTGTGGGCAGCTTAAGTAAGAGGGCAGCCTCAGTAAGAGGGCAGCGTAAGTTTCCATAGCTAGCACAATAGTTTTGTATGCTAGCGGTTCACGGATAGAGCCAGAAATTTAATGTGGAATTTGGTGCCGTCTTCTTTGTTGTACACCAAGCAGTGAATAGTTAGCTAGAGTGTAGCCTAGATAACTATCCACTGCTTGGTGTACAACAAAGAAGACGGCACCAAATTCCACATTAAATTTCTGGCTCTATCCGTGAACCGCTAGCATACAAAACTATTGTGCTAGCTATGGAATCATTGCGTAAACTATGGAGAGCAAACTTGGAGGGTGGTAGGGGGGAGGGGTGTGACGCTCGTGTTGTTAAGAGACCATAGGTGACATCTTTTAAATCAAACCCACATTAGTGCAACTATTTCCACCACATTAGCGCAACATAAATTTCTTATCCAATTATTCATTCACTCTACCTATACATTTTAACTATTTAAATTCTAATACTTTTATCCGTAGGTCGTTCCCTAAATGAGGTTTTCAACGATGTCCTTCTTTACAACATCTCATCAAATTCGTGGCTCAATTTTACATCGGCATCAGGGCCAGTAAGTCTACTAATTAGATGATAAATGTTACTTTAGGCGTTAGATTCAACATTGTTCCTCTAGGCCTACGTTCATTCAATGCCACAATGTTCGCTGGTTTCAGCTTAGCTGTGACCCAACCAGGCACGAACAACCAACAGGAAATTTGCGGTACTTGTTTGTTTCTTGCTATATGTGAGCGTGGATATTCAGGGCATAAACTGCATGTGATTTCAAGTGATGCATTGGATCCAAATCATTTCGCCCTTTGTTTACACTAGCATGGCTGGTTTATTTTACTTTTGGCAAATAGTGTCCTATGGATTTTAAGCCCATGTCAACAAACAGAAAATATCAACATCTGATTCATTACTGCTAAGAGTGAGAGCTCAGAGAACCCAATAAGTTGTCAAGGTACTTTTAAGGACTACAAGACCCCTAGGCACCTCTTCTGCCATCCCAGTGGCTGAACAACCCCTTGTGTCGTGATCAATATTATTCTGTGTTCATGGCCTTCCAATTTAAAGTTTAAACTCTGTCTTTTCAAGGTGGAGAGATTCCTTCACGCGGGAGATGTTTACAAGAATAAACTCGTTATTTTTGGCGGAGAAATGGCAAATGGTTCGTTGCTGAATGATTTATGGGTGTTTGACCCCGTCTCGAAGTTTTGGAGTCAACCAGCTGGACATGAAATTAACAAACCAAACAAGGTCGCAGGACATACCGCAAATATTGTTGGTGACAAGCTTTATATATTTGGTGGTAAGGCATTATACCCGCATTTAGTTGTTTTCGGCTTGTGTTCTGTAAACACAAACAATTTTGCAGTCAAATTCGATAATTATGCTTACAGTGAGAAAGCCTACCATTTATTTTATCTGCAGCAAAATAAATTCTCTTAATCCTTGTTCTCGACTAGCCTCTTTCTTTTCCCTTTTCTCTCAGATTGATATCTGCAACTAATTTGAGGCTGAAGAAAAGAAACTAAGTTTATGCAAATTGTATGCAAATAATGAAATAAATCATAAAATAAGAAACTGAATTCATGCTAAAAATGTCTTAAAGTAATAACATTTTGTTTAAAAGGGTATCGAAGTATAAAAGCATCAACAAACCCATGCATGTATTAAATGAATAAAAAACCAATCTACCTTCGTATATCCAGGAATTTGAAGCAAAGCGTAGGCGCTCAAATGACTGACAAACAACGAGTTAATTGTTGATTTTTGCGGACTGCTACACAGCAAAGATTAATGGATCCTCGGGTGCGGAACACAGAACCAAACAGATTATTTAGTAAGAAATAAAAAAGGATAAAATTGTATCATTATCTCAAAATTTCAACTTATTCATTACGGTTGCATGTTTTTATAATCTATTTCTCTATGTTTAGGCCGTACTGAGCATGGTGCCTTTTCAACCAATATTTGGAAGTTTGATTTAAAGACACCGTCTGGCTGGCAAAAGATGCACATTCGTGGAGGGAAACCTTCTTTATACCGATTTTATGGTCATTCGTCTGTTTATTGCAAAGAGACGAATTCTCTGCTTATTTATGGTGGGGAAGTTGCTTCTTCGATTGGGTAAGAAGTATTATATCTAAAGAATTTCAATTTTTAGCATTCAGACAGGCTTTATAACCAGAGGGCGGCATTAGGCAAAATCTCCCTTTTTTCATGAAAAGTGCCAAATGTGCCGTGCAAGGAACAGTTTCACCTTTTTCAATTTTGAAAGGATATTTCTACTTTTCAAGACGCATTTTGTACAGTACTGCTTTATTATGATATCACAGGTGATAATTTATGGTGAAATATCAATTATAGATTAAAAGGCCCAGATTCAGAAAATAGACTTGGTTTATAAATATTTTGCTTCCAAAGCATGGTCAAGGCACCAACAGTTTTGCCTTGGTCAAGGCACCACAAATGTGCTTTTGTTTTGCTTTATGACATCATACCCAAAGAAGACTGTCAGCTTCTTTATCTGATTACGCACAAAATTTTATATTTGGAGTTCTTGTGTCTTGTTCTGTAACAAATCTCTTTAGGTATTCGTTTCAGATCATCTATTTGCTAACCCAAAATGGCTTTCATTTTAGGCGAAATTCAGTGAAGCAAAATCGGATAGTATCGTTCAATTTAGTGCATCACTTGTGGACAGATATAGTTCCTGATGAAAGAAGCTCCACTTCTCTTCCTACTGCATTTCATTCTGCAGTTGTGGCTGGAGATTATATGGTAGTATATGGTAAGTTAATACTGTGTTTGATACTATATTTAGGTCATTTAGTTCCAAACTTTACTGTGAAACAGCAACATAGCCGAATTAATGTTTAACCACAGAAATAGGGCTTAAAAGGCATACAGGCATACGATCGTACCTATTGTTGAAACTATCGTACGTGAAAATATAGTAGCAAGAACGACTTCGCATGGTAAAACCACCAAGGAAAGAAAACAGCAATACAAGTCACAAGGTATTAATTTGAAATTAAAAGTTTTCGCATCTGATACTTGTCAACACATCCGCACGCCCGCACGTCCGCAGTTTTTCAACACGTGTACGACATCGTATCTCCTCCGAAAAAAATTTGTTGAGCCCAGCGAAAGAGAAAGACGTGCACTCATGGGAAAATATAGGGAATGTTGTCTCAAGGGATGGTCTTTGAGCTTGAGAGATCGCTAGTAGCCCTGTTTCGATATCATTGTTTTATCAATAACCGCGTGCTTAACCTCAATTTAGTGTTCGTCAGTAGTTGATTACAAACATTGGGCATCCGTTTAAAGGTTGCCTTCGAATATAACGAAGTGACGTAATCGTCCGGCACTGTCTTCTAAATTTACTCTACAATTTTCTGTCTCTGAAGCTATCTCCACTTGATCCTTGTGCAATTTCTTTGCCTTTTTGTAGGTGGAATCGTGCAGACCAGATCAAAGATGTGCTTTTCAAACGATATTCAGTTCTATAACATTAAATGTAATCGATGGGTACCTGCGTCAACATTGGGAGCCAGTTCAAAGACGGGAAGCACTCAAATCGGCCGAATATCCCACACCGCTGTACTACGTAACGACCAAACAATGGTGGTCGTCGGTGGGTTCAATGGTGTGATGTTTGGAGATGTACATGCTTATCGTTTGCCAAAAGCAGTTATTTTCAAAAATTCTTCTGGATTTATAGTTAACGGCAAGCAATGCCAGAGTCATACAGAGAAGGGTAAGTTTAGTTTTCAAAATGAGGATTTTGCTTACTAAGAAGCACAAAATACAGAGCAATACTTTTTATCCCACCTCCAGTCAAAATAAAATTGACACTTTATTCTAATTTGTACTAATGGGCCAGTTCTAAACATGTCGGCATTGTGAATACTACCCTTCAGCCATTTTTGTTTAGAAGTAAAGATTTTTGACTTTGCGTAAAGTTTCCCTATTTGCACAAATAAATGTATTTTTTACGCATTTTAAAATGAGTCCTATTTGATCGTCAAGAAAGTCAACACATGTTGAAGATTTTGCTTTATTCTTGTTTCAAGTTCATATGCCATTATGATGATATGCATTTAAAGAGATTGTGCCAGCTTTTGAAAGTACCTGGCATATATATGCCTAAATCAAGTAACAAATGTGGTTGTAACAGACCTCTTGTTGGTTACAGTGCCATTGGCATTGATGACGTCGAAATCTGTATTAACATTCCTATTATTTTTACAGCTGAAGATATTTTCTAACATGATTTAAATCATTTTTGAAAACTTTTTTTGTAGCTTCTTGTTACACAGACCCTGCCTGCGGATGGTGTTTTGAACCTCTTACCTGCTTGTCTCTTCAAGACTCAAGCAAGTGTAGTGGGCGTTTTGATAAGAGTTCTTGCACAAGCCACTGCGCAGCATACACATCGTGTGTTTCATGCTTAATCTTTGGAAACACATCTGTTGAAGGCTGCACATGGTGTGTTCAGAGTAGAAAATGTTATTCTGCATCGACCAAGGACAGTTGCTCTTTATCTGGATGGTGGGGATCCGATGGTCAAGTTATTACGGATCTGGAGCAGTGTTTCATCGATAACCAGCCTCCTGGTATAACTTACACTCGCTACAGTGATCCATTCAATTCTGAAATGCCAGACAGTGTTACTATATTAGATAATACAAAGATTAATGAGCCTTCTCAACTGAAATATAACGAGAAGAGTTTCATAACTGGCTTTGTTTATCCTTACTTATTTGAAGCTGATCCATCTGCAAGTAAACCAAGGAAAGTTATAGTATCCGGTATATACCTATCAGCAAGACTTTTTGTATCAAAAGATCAGTCTCCATTGCACAAGGTAAGCTTTCTTGGTTCTTTGTAGTCCCCAGAAATTTTCTCTGATTTCCAGAAGGTTTTGTTGTGCAGCTTGAAACAGTTGCAGAGAAATTATGTGCCAGCTCTGATATTCGAGCTGATCGGCTAAAGTTTATGAACAGGAGTGCCACCCCTTCCCTTACTTGGAAAGCATACGCATCGAAGTAAATATTTATTATCGATGATGTATGACTGCAAAACAATAGGTAATGACCATGTGCTAGAAGAATTTCCCTCTCCAATTAATCCTTAGCGGTACAGCGGTGGCTGTCATCTTGGTATGTGACCAGAGACGAGTGAGAGATACCTAAATGTCTAGTTTACAGAAGACTTATGTTACAGCCTCTGTTTGATTATTTCGGAAAAGGTGGGTGGAGATCGGGGGATCGATTGAAAGAGTATTTTCTACATTCTTAACTCTGTAATGTCTGCTTACTTTAAATCATTGTGAATTGTGTTTAAAATTTTGACCTCTGTGTTTTTAGGAAGAGGTTGCTTTCTTTTCGATTCGTACGTCACAGACCATCGTCACTGCAAAGTCTAAAACTTTAACTAGACTTTTCCCATCGCCTGCTCTTTCTGCGTATTACTACTTACAATGTGGAATGAATTCTACAAAATTATCTTTCAATCGAAAAATGGAATTGTTCTGGAATGTGACAAGTATAGACGTGGTTTGTACAATTTTTTTTGTGGAAGTATAAAAACCAGTAACATCCTGAATATTTTACGATAGGTTGCTGTCTTCCATAGAACAATATTGAAACCATAATGGGGCTTTTCCCTAGCATTTTATAGTTTTATTTCAATTGCTTCCCAGACTCTAATAATCTTTGTTCCTTTAAATCTTAAATTTACAAACTTGATTTCGCCTCCCTATCTTCTTAGCCTCTCCCACCCTTTATTGGGCCTTTGCTGTAGGCCTCCAGGAATCTCGCTAACATAACCCGTTAATAAAAAGAACATTTCAAGAAATTCTTGAACAATGTTGTGTTTAATCTGAAACTAGCAAAGTTTCAAGTAATTTTAGCTTAAAAGAGAGATTTTCACTTTCAATTTAAATCAATGAAGTGTCGAGGGGAAGTTTTTGGTTACCCTTGCGATCATTTACCTACAGGAACTGAATTTTTGTTGATGATTGTGTTTCTTTGAATTTGAAAATAGCTCTTAGCATTATTCCTGTGCTATGATGATTATACTTTTGGTTATATAACAACGAAAATTATTTGTTAAGGTAACATTAAAGTACCATTCTTTTACATGGTTTTCTGCTATATGACAGAAACTTTAATAATAATGGTGACTAAAGTGTCTAACGAGAGCGTGTTCAGCGTGAATATGGCCATGATGCAACCCGTGAAAGTTACCCTCATTTCGACTAGATTGAAAAATTACTAAGCGAAAAGTTTTCATGCTAATGTTTGGACCCAATTTGTCTTTGCTAAGCAAATGGCTCAAATATTAACAATGTAAAAAACTCTTACAGTCGCTAGCGTGCCTCAACAAGATTCCTTGCAATTGATCTGTTATTGTAGTCAAGATACAAAACAACTCTTTTAGACTCATTTTCTTATGAGTCTCCTTATATTGATGATGTATAGACTTTCATTGTTTGCTTTGTCTTTTAGCATATACCTTCAAAATACTTGCGCCCGTTTTTTTCTGAAAACTGTGTTGGCTACACCACGTGCATGGCATGCATTACTGATGCCTCATGTGGTTGGTGCACGGTACAATCTTCTTGCATTCGAAAATCCAGTTGGTCCACGTGCAAAGACAGCTATTCGAACCTAACACACCTTGTTACCAACCAGGCGTTGTGTCCTGTTTGCTCTGATCTTTATGATTGCATTGACTGCTTGGAGGTAAACCCTATCTGTATTTATTCCATCCAAAATTTGATTGGCTGGTATTTTTCCAGTCTTTTTCATTTTTAAAATAAGATTTATGCATTTATTTATGCATATATGATGTAGTGTTTCTAGACTGGAATCATTGAGAAATACTCAATATGAAAACTAAAGGGTAAGTAATTGTGCAATTCCGACCAATAAAATATTTGGCATGTTAGATATTTACCGTTGCAAATTTTATCTCAATACCTTCATTGAATTTGTGGGCCTATCGTGCATGGGATAGGACCCTGCAGATTGTAAAGCTCCCTAGTTGCCTGGTTGCCTACACCAGTTATCTTTGCAAATCAACAATGCTCTGCCGCACCAATGTAAGGCTCGTTAGAGTTATTGGAGCTTGCGTCTTTGTTCAATGAGTTTTCAACATATCTTTAATGGCAGAAGCTTAAAGAATTGGGCAAATTCTGATTCGTATTTTATTTCGATACTCACGTTGCTAGTAATTTTTTTTATATTGTAGAAGCCCAGCTTTTAATTCTTTGAATTTTTTGCCTTAGCACTTGTTCTTTTGTTCTATTTTGTAATATTTTTTCATTTTTAGATTTGTGTCATGTAATTTAGTGATTTCCTAATGATAGTGAGGTTTTTTATTTTAGTTTGAGTCAAATCAAAGATATTCCAATAAGCTATCCGTAATTATTTTTCTTGCTCTGTAAGTTATGTTATTCCATAGAATCGGCACTGTTCATGGTCTGGTACGGATAAAAGCTGTTTAAGAAAAGGTCTTGGATCTCGTGAAATAACAACACCATCAGATTGTCCAAGCCCGTGCCACAGTCGGTCGTCCTGTTCCAGCTGTTTGGTGGATGATACCTGTAGATGGTGTCATCAAAAGCAGGAGTGCTTTCCACCTTCTTATCACATGCCAAGATATCCGCTAGGACAGTGCCATGTATATAGCATAAATCTGGGGAGCAACCAGTGTTACAACTGCTCAACCTTTACAAATTGTGCCTCATGCTTGGCTCATCATCGTTGTGGATGGTGCTCAACCACGAACAACCCATTAACTGGAAGGTGCATTGAATTTTAATCTTCTTTAGTCTAAATTAATGACTATGGCCTTAGCTTGGATATTTAGTTTGATATATTGCAAATAAAGGGTTTTGAATTGTAGAATCCGGTAGGTTTTTTCTGCTAGGACTTGCATAGTGCACGGCACGCCGAGCGTTTGGCAACTTATATTCTACTGCTATATTTTGTATCCTTCTATTCCACTAGCTGTCATGAAGGTGACTTCTCTGGTCCAGTGGACAACGGGAATTGCTCTGTATTGTTGCCAGTAAACGAGACAGTTAGCTGGGCGTACGATCGTTGTCCTGATGCCGATGAATGTCGACTGAAACTCGATGACTGCCATGTAAATGCTACTTGTTTTAACACCGATGGTAGTTATAACTGCCAATGCAATCGTGGCTATACGGGAAATGGGAAAACTACCTGCAATAAGACGTGAGTAGCCACTTAAACATTGTCAACACGTAAAGATTTTAAGAGAAGTTTAACTAAAGTCGTGGACAGGGGGTGTTGAGACTTTGCATTTTCCCTCATATTCAATGTTGATGTCCCTGCTTTTGAAACACGTGCTTCATCTTTGAATTTGGGAAAGAAGGCAAATATCGGCTATTCCGGTATGTGACTGAGCTTTTTTCAAAGTTGTATCCAGGATTGTTATTGTTGTTGGCAGTTCAAATCTCTTGGATAAATATTTACTTTTCTAATAGAGGCAAAGTAAGTCGTTGGAGCTTTTTGAATAGTTTTTTATTGTAAAATTTGCATATCAAATATCAAATATCAATTCATTGCCGTTGCTATCCCATAAACCATTGAACACTTTGTCAAAGCTAGAAATTGAGGTTCAAGTAATACTGGACAGCAAAGATGGCTCAAAATACTATTATCAGTGAAATGATACTTTGAACCAAATGTAAGATACAGTCAGGCCACAATGTTATTATCTCTAAGGTTGTTTTTTTCAAATAAGGTTATATGCATAAAGGTCCATCGAAAGGTGGAAAAAATGGATTTCTTGTTAGTATTGTTTTACTGTTCATGACATCATCGTGTCAAAATCCGTACATTATCCACGCTTTCGCCCTAAAAGTTGCTTTTTGATTTGATATCTGACATTTGCAAGTAGCTGTCAGAAATTTTTTTTGTATTTTACATCACCCATTTTAGAGCACAGGGGTGTTTCTTTATAGTTGCTACCATAAGTGCCAACATGGCTATTGTGGATCAGATTATGAATGTAAATGTGATCTTGGTTGGAAAGGTGTCAACTGCTCCACCGATTGCTTATGTAATGGACACAGTACCTGCAAAACTGGTATTGGAATTTGTGACAAGTGCTACAGTAAGTCTTGCAATCACTATCACTAACTGCGCTATATTGACCATAGGTCCTCTCCAAAGAGGAACCCAAAGATCAACTACATGATAACTTTTGTAGCCTTTGGATCTCACAAGGTCTCGGCCTCGGTGCTTCAACTCTTTTTCTGACAAGCTGAGATACGAAGCTCTGAATTGGGCATCAAAATATCTTTATTACATTGAATTGCCCATAGGAGGTCAGAGAAATGATCCTTGGTTCCCTGGGACATGTACATAATACCAGATACCCTTCCTTGTACACAACTTTGGAATGCTCTATCTTCTTCCTGCTCCCCTGACTCCTATAACCTGAATTTATTCAAAACTAAAACTAGCAAGCTTTTCCTTCCTCTCTTCACTTAAGGCTCCAAAGCCTTTTACTGACATGACCAAATAAAGGCAAATAGTTATCCATTAATGTTCACTCTATCAAGAGCCAATATATTTCAAATATTTTTCTTATTGTTAGAATCTTTCTCATACTGAAGTCCTTAACTTAATGTATGATCATATAAACATTTGTTGGTATTTTGCTGAATGCATGTATTGTCTTGACTATTTAAAAGATTTGATTAGCTATAGGCCTTTTTGAAATTGCAAGCTTGTTATAGTTTATGTCGAACTTGCTTATGAACGTACATACACCTTTGATTCATATTTTAATTAGAGATAGCTAAAGCCAATACTCAATTTGGTAACTGAGGCATTTCTTACGTAGCTTTTGTTGGCCTAATGCATGTTTTTTTTTGTAGATTTCGATGATGCAGTTGTTGATGTAGTTATAAGGAAATTTTGACACCAAAATTTAAATTTTTGCTATTGAAATGTTGAGTTGTTTTTTTCATCCTCGTGTAGATTATACAACTGGAAGCCATTGTGATGAATGCGTTAACGGTTCCTATGGATTTCCGAAAAATACTTCTGGCTGTCTGCGTTGTACTTGTAATGATCATGGTGACTTGGACAAAGGCACATGCGATAAAGGAACTGGAAAATGCTTTTGCCGTGATCACACTACTGGGGACATGTGCGAAAAATGTAGACCTGGTCTTTCAGGTGATTCAAGGTTCGTATCAGCTTTTTGGCCTATTATTATAGCTAAGCCATTTATATTGAGCATTCATAACTCAAGATTTATGTAATCGGCAGTATCCAGTACTTAACGCAGAGTCCAGGCAAGTGTTCATCCTTTCTTTAGGGAATTTCGTTAAGCTTCTGAAGCCTTATCAAGAACACAAAGAAAAGGTGGGGTTTTGACCTGGTGTTTAAATTTATTTTGTTTCCAATTGTCCTCTAAAATTTTACTACTATGTTTTCTATACCATGTGTTCAAATTTGAGCAGCTTCCTGCAAATATGTAGTGACTGTATTGAAGAAAGTGACAAGTCTCGGAAAATTCAATCTTCTCTCTCGAAATTTTATCATTGACGTTCTTTTTACCAAAGTTTATGCGGGTTTTTTTCTTACATACATAGACACATTCTTAATGGAATAATTTCTTTATTGGTAGAAATGGAGGAATTTGTTACCACGGTTGCTCGTCGCTAACATTCATCAAGAACGAATCATTTGGGACTTTGGCTTCTGGAGAGTCAGGGTCAAATTGCCTTTGGATGATTTCGGCTACGAACGCCTCTAAGCGTGATGTCATCTTTTCAAACTTGCCTTCACGAATGGATTCCACCATCACTCTTAAGATGAAGCATATGGATATGTCCTGCATTGATGCTCATTTATACGTGTATGATGGCATACCAGGGAAACCCAATGCATCATTAATCGCAGTTTTTTGTGGTTATGACGTTCAAATTGCAAAGCCCGTTGTGGCACGGTCTGGTGTTATGACAATTAAGTATGAAGGGGTGCCTGCTGCTTCGGCAAAGGTCAAGTTCTACGCTTCGTTCAATGTCCATACTTGTGAAAGCAGTTGCACTGGAAATCGTGAGTGCATCCGATCTCACCATAGTAACCTCAGATGCCTTTGCAAATCAGGATGGACTGGTGCCGACTGCCAGATTCAAGTCTGCCCTGAAAATTGTAACAACGCAACAAGTCAGGGATATTGCGATTATGTAAGTTTTTTTGTTTGAAACCTTGTATTTCCTGTCTGGTTTTTCTTGCCACAAGCATTGCTCCAAAACATGTTGTGCAAAGTCTTGGAAAGTATAATGCAATGCAACAGCTTTCTGTTTTTTGAATAACTTTCCCTTTGGGGTGTTTCCCTGGGCATTCTCCGGGTCCTCATTACTGATGCCAAGCTCAGTTTCATGTCTTTCAAGAATTATTACCCTCAAAATACGCGAGTGATACCTTCTTGAGATGCTCATGAGTAAGTTATGCTCCTACACGTCCTTCGTTGAATCTTCAAATATGAGGTTGTGTCTGGAAATTGTCCTGTTTGAATATTTTTTATTGTGAAACCTCCTTATTTGCAGGCGACTGGACAATGTGTTTGCATTCCCGGCTTCGCAGGTACCAGTTGCAGTCAGCTCCGCAATGACACTTCCTTCCTCTTAGAAGACATGACATGTCAAAACAATGCTCTTCCATCACGCTTTGGCCATACAATGTTGGTAGACCAAGAGTACCAAAGTAGAGTGCTCATATACGGTGGTCGTAGCCTTGATTTCGATTTCGACCCCAGCATTTGGACATTTGATCTTGTTAAAAAGTCATGCGCCAAACTCCAATCAACAAATCAGCCTGTCGGGAGGTATTATCATTGCGGAGTGATTTACAAGGTGACTTTTTCTTGCACTTTTACGTATAACATTAAACATATATATTTCATGAATAATTTTGTAAGTTTTTGTATATCATTATACAAAGTTATTATGAGAATATCAAATAGCGTCAGATGCAAGCTTTTTCTTTCTGTAAACCTTAGTGGTATGCAGTAGAAACTTCTTGTAAAAGATGACTTCCTGAATAAGTGCTAGAAACTCCTTGTTGATGAAAGCATGCAGAACTGAACTCATCATTAACATTTAACTGCATTTAAGTTGATGGATTAGGGTTTCTATTAAACGAAGCGGGAGAAAACCAACTTGTTGTTTTATCAGGCAAAGGGAATTGTAATTGGTAATGAAGAGCCTGGCAATTGTTTCAGGGGATGTAGATACTCCTATTAACGAAGTTATGCTCACAAACAAACCTCTTTTCTCGAGTGTCTTTTTTTACATGTTAATACAAACACGCACAATTATATGTTAAGACGAACACGCGTTATATGTTATCCTGGCATTGGATCAAATTTGTTTACGAAATTGTCACTCGAAAATTAGATTAAATTAGATTTTTCCCGGTTATAGCATTAGGATTTTTATGTATTTCTGGAGGACAACGTGCTAAATTATGGGTTTTTGTCCTTTTAGCTAAAGTTTATTATTGCTCTCTAAATTATTATCCCGTATTTCTTTGTAGGGCAAAATGATAATTTATGGCGGGAAAACCACGTACAATGTGTCAAATGAGATGCTGACATACGACATCAAAGGAGGAGTATGGAAATCCGAAATGGTTTGCTCATACTTAATGATAAATATTTGAAAAAGTCAACGCAGCCTCGAAAATGACGTTGACAGTTCTATTCCTCCTTTTCTCATTAACCTGCTTTATTATTATGAAATTTCAGTAAACTTTCAGTGAATCTGTATTTTGAGTAACTACTGTCTCTTTCCAGAAAACTGCAGCTCTTCCTGATGTTTATGGTCACACCTGTACGTTGGTTAGAGATGTATTGTATATCATAGGTGGCTACCTGGGGAGCCCATTGGGGATACATGAATCAGTTCTTGCAGTTCACCTCACAACCTGGACATGGGAAGAGGTGAAAATCAAGAAATTTCCGATGAAAGGTACTCAAATTATTCTCTTTGCGATAGAAAATCTGAGCTTTCCTTTAATCTACATTGTGGATTTAACGTGTATGATGTCTTTCAAAATGGTTCCATTGAATTTTGCAACCCAAATTTCATATATTTGTCTAAAGCAAAGTTCCAATTTCAGTTTTAGTTGTTATATCTTAACATTCCTCTACATACAATATGTTACTACTCTACATTACAGCTAATTATTACATAAAATGTTAGCACATTACATAAAAATACTTAATAAAAATGAATTACGATTACGTAAGATGTCGTTTGCAGGGGAATTTCTTTAGGAGGAGCTTTTACCACTTTCATTTGCAGGAGATAAAAAAAGTTTGATATGAAAATCATGTGTAAGGCCTCAAGCTATCATACCATACTAGATAAAATAAAAAAATAATGAATTGTACAGTTGAACGAGTATCACGAACAGTCTCTGTTGAAAACAATTTGGAAGGGAAAACATTCTTCAAATTAAAAGAGAAAAATAATTATAGTCAGCAGATACTTATAGACACAAACATTGGGATTGCATTACGGAAATGAGTGACTGCAGATCCATCAATTTATTTGCCTAAAATCAAGCAGATGAAAACTATTCAAGGCTCTACTCAAATGAAGGAAATGTTTCTATTATAGCTACCTGCATATTTCGAAATTTGTACAAAAAAACCTAGATTTTAGATTGTTTTCTTGGCAGAATCACGTTGATAAACAAATAGCTTATCATAATTATATCAATATAGATTTGAATTCGTATAGCCGTGCAAAGCAAAAATTTTTATATGTTAATACACTCTTTTTGAATAAGAATACTATAAGTTTTTCCAGCATCGATATTCTTAAGAAATTTTCGTTTTGATGAGCCTGGATTGGATATATTTGTTATTAAAATTGTAAATCAGGCAACTGCTAAAAAATGAGGTGAGTAATATTCTCAAAAGCCTGAATATTAAAAAAAATGTTCTTGTAAATGGAGTTATTGGTAATGTTAATTTATTGCAAAAGAAACAAATAAAATTTTTTGGGAATCCAGAGAAAAGATCGACCACGAAGGGACTCGAACCCTCAATCTTCTGATCCGAAGTCAGACGCCTTATCCATTAGGCCACGCGGCCGATGAACAATCTACTTGAGATGCATAGAATATACCATCCGCAGATGTTCGTATATTGTAAGGAAGGTGGGAAAGGGAATTCTGATGCTCTCGATTAGTTTTTATTCAATCGATAATCAAACAGCCTTTGGCAATAATTTTTCATAATATTCATAAATGATGCTTATTTTTAAGTAATATAAAGTGAGTCATTAGGACCATTGCATTTTATTAATGATTTACCGACTGTTTTGAAACACTTGGAATATTTTATTTTTGCTGACGACACAAACATTTCTAAATCCTTTGAAAAGCTTTCTAACAAAGTTAATAAAGAGCTTGATGGCCTGATGCGAAAAAACTCTCTCTAAATATAAATAAAACCAACGGATTTTCAAATCAAAATAGGCAATAAACCTGTATCTAGGGCAAAAGATATAAAAGGGGCATCTTTCCTGGAAGCATCATCTCATTGAAATTTCTAAAAATCTAGCTCGGAAATGTGACCTTAGCTTCAAAACCTGACATCTACTTCGAACAAAACAACAGCTAATCTCTTTTTATGGTGTCGAATGCACTACTCATGTCAATCCCTGTTATGTAGATATTTTCTTGATATACTTGAACTCTAGCTATGAGCCATTTATGTGCCCAAGCTATGTTGGAGGTACTACGATATTGTCTATATGCGCTTTGTGATTCAGATGGAAAATTCTCTACTTTTGGCTTTGCTCTTTCTAGTACAATGTTTGACAACATTTTTCTACATCGTTAGCAATATAACTGGTCTCAAATTCTTAACAGGAACTTTAACTTTTCCTGGTTTTGGTAGGAAGAATAAAATTCCAACTCCTGTCTCGATATCATTGTGTTTTTCGAAAGTTTCGTTTACAATGATTGGAAGAATGTCGTGAAGCGCACAAGGACCATATTTTATCAAATGACTGTTGCGTTTTACTATTCGCTTCCTTATTTTAATGTTGTGACCATCATGCCTGCTTTATTTTCATAACTGAATAGGGGGACTCTCTCCTCGTTTGTTTCATCTATCGGGAGCGTTCCTTTTTTAGAATTTCCCCACAACACAATTTTGCAGTGGTCAAAACGTGTATTCTATTAATTTGATAATATAGTAGCTATTAATGCTAAAATATATTATGGGCAAATTTATAATGAAATTGCAATGAAATGAAATTAAAATCTGTTGGAAAACCCTTCCAATTTACCAAGCTTTGAATGATGGTCTTGCTTTAGTCAAGATCTACTCTGCTTTCTTCATTCGTAGATTTTTTATTCAAACTTTCACGTTGTAATAAGCCTATAGTTACTGCGATGACTGGGATGATTTTTATTTTGTGACCAGCATGTCGGTTGACGTTTCAGTTGATTTGAAATTTTATGACTGCCAAATCGTTTAAAGTTTTGTTTTATTTTTCTTTGTCGATTTGCATCAGCGGAATGTACCATTTTTTTGCAAGTGAATGTGATGATCATGCATAAGCTGCATAGTTTACTCGTAGATATGAATCCCAAAACCCATTTCATCATATGACATGTATCTAGATATAACTAATAATAAAATTAGAACACTACATATGCAGATACTAGATTATAATAATACATACACAGTAAAATACAACATATACATATACGGTAAATATTTAAGCCCGTTTCACATTGGACGTTATTGGAAAATACGTTATAATCTTAAAGTTTTTTACCCAATATGTAAGCGATTGAGAAGATTTTTATGGAGTCAAGATGGATAGTCATTTACACTATGATAAACCTAGCGTCAAATGCGAAATGGGTGAAAAAAGAAGTAGGCACATGAAACTGTATGAAAAGGAACATTTTCTTCATTTGTTGATTACCTAAATGCATCTCTGTACAGGCATCTTTGCGCACAGTGCAGTTTACGATGCGACTACAAACCACATATTGGTCTTTGGTGGCGTTGCATTCTCTTTGACTGGTTCACGTGAATCAAACCGGCTTTGGGCACTTGACCTAATGAGAAATTCGTGGAATGAAATCCAGCCAACAAGAAATACGAAGGTATGAAATTCTATTGAGAAGGTAATAGGGAGGTAATTGGGTCCCATTAGTTGTCAGAATATGCTTCAAAAAATTTACACGCAAGGTACATGTTTTCGTGATTTTACTTCAAATCAAGGTACTCCGAGTTTTACTCCGAATTTCACTCCAAATTTGTTTTAATATTTAACTTAAAATCTACGATTTTTTAATTTTGTATCTCCCAATTGATGAACAATTTACTCTCTTTTTATTTTCTTTTTCTTTTATTTTCTAATCTTTTTTTCTGAAATAATAGGGTTATGTAATCAGTTCACAGTTTTATTCAAAATCAGGTTGGCGATTGAATTTGCAAGTCTAATAGCCCCCCTCCCCCCACATATACCATATGTTGATTCAGACCTAGTGGCCCTATCTTTCTTTCTACGTAATTTAAGACAGTTAATTTTTAGTAAATTTCAAGCCAAGCAAGGGATCACTTGAATCTCAAAAACTGCAACAAAATACAATATCATTTCTTTCTGAAATCAAAATAAATTTACCCTTGTATTCTCCAGCATTTGAAGGTCTGTTTCTGTCTTTTCCTATCAAATTGCATCCTCAATTCGACTCATTAAGATTGCATCTTGCATCTGTCAATTTGCATCATCAAATTTGGTGCCGAAAGAAACAAGAGCTCTTACATTATAGTGATTCATATACATTATGATTATACACAGATTTATCAAACTGGAATTGATATGCCCTTTTTTGCCAGCTCCACCATACTCAGCCAATGTAATCATGATTATAATAGTAGTTATGAATCAATCTTGCATTTTAGCCTGTCAGTTTGTATGGCCATTCTGCTTCTATCATCAACGATACGATGTACATACTTGGAGGCTACTCCGACGTTAATAATAAAGGCTTTAATGACGATTTACTTTTGTGGAATATTCGATGCAACCAGTGGCTTATGCTGTCTTTAAATGGTACGTGTCGTAAAATTATACTCTTTCAAGTTAGAAACTAAATTTAAGTGTTATTTTTAGTTATTTCCAACTCATTTACATTAATTAAAAAGTAATACTAAATTCGTTATTTTCTTTTTTTCATTTCATGCTTATATTTTTTATGTTTACTTAGATCATGTACATGTACAGCTAATGAGCAAATTTTCACTAAACTACATAACGGAGAATAACTGATATGGGAAACTAATTCAGTTTTGCTTGAATCTCTATCTTGTGTTTTAGATTCTTTAGGTCTGCCAGCATCCCAGTCTGTATATTTCCCATCAATAGCACAGTCACTGACAGCCATCAACGAAACTCTCTACTATTTTGGAGGCTTCAACGTTAAATCGCTGAACAAAATGGTTAAGATCACACTACCAAGTGATACTTGCAAAGTGTTCAAAATTGAAAGCGAGTGTCTTGGTTTTCTTGGATGCAGCTGGTGTGAATCGTCTGGCATTGGAGTCTGTTTTAAAACCGACACAACACCTCCATTGTCCTGCAATAATACAAATACTAAAAGTGGGGTTCCTTGCACAGAAGCATCTTTGAAGAATGTAAATTGCGCATCGTTCAAGACTTGTAGTGCATGTGTTTCGAAAATACCAGGGACAAGCGAGTCACACTGTACTTGGTGTGTTTTCCATGGCTGCCGAAACTCTAACGATAGTTGTACCAATACGCAGCTGAAGCACGTTGTTGACTGTTTTGACAGCACATGCGAAGCAGCATCTTGTGAAACCTGCAAAACTGAATCTCTATGTATGTGGACGCAATACTTCGTCTATGTAAGTGAGGTTCGTCGGAATTACACAGCTGATGCCCGCGCTTTATCTCCTTGGAACTGCTTTCGCACTGCTTTGGAAATATACAATGGCAAACTAACTTTTCCTGCTCATGACAAATCACCGCCAAGATCATGCCCTGCAAAGTGCTCGTCCTACAAAAATTGTGGTGCTTGTTTATCTTCAAAAGGTACTTCTCTTTGCATTAATTTTTAGCTTTCAATGTATTATCATCATCATCGCCATCGTACTTATCTTCCTTTCTTTTCTATAATAGAAAATCCTATTTCTCTTCTTTAGCATTTTTGTGAATGATGAAATGGCTGTTATATTCCTATGTTCGGAATACCTTTCCTGGGTTGTCATTGGTAATTGTTGTTAGTTTTCCATTTATCAATATTCCATTCATCAGTTTGTAAAGCAACATCGTTACTTGATGTTTTGAATCCACTTTTGTCATTTTTTGTCGCATTATCAAATTGTTACACGTTATGCTTTGTACATTAAGATTTGCGTTTGAATGAATCAAGCTTTTTCTAGCAATGTGTCAGATGAGGTATTATTTTGAAATGAACATCTACATGCCGAGTAATTTCCCCTGCTAAAAGCATAATATAAGAAAACATTCCTTTTGCTCATTTAAGGTGAAGAAGGAGGGTCCAAGTCCTGCTTTTGGAGTCAAAAGCTCAACCTCTGTTTCCCGCCAAGCATGAGGTACATTGCCTGTATGTCTGGAGACTGTGGTCTAATTTACAATGACACACGCAGTTGCCCGACTCCTTGTACTCTCGTTGATTCCTGTGACGCTTGCCTCAAAAAGCCCACTTGTGGCTGGTGTGCAAATCCTGGAATATTAGGGCAAGGTGTCTGCAATGAAGGTGGTCTCAAAGGTATTGCCATGCTGTTTCAGTAATGCCTGCTGTTTATCACTATTGTTTTATCTGTGAAAACATTTATCAAAACTTAATATTTTCTCTGTATCATATGTTTAAAAGTTTACCCATAACTTTAAGTGTATTTTATACCAAAGTAGATGAAAACTTAAGTTTTTACCATTAATCTAATCTAAGGACAAATAATAATCATTAAGAGGAGAAAAGAATCAGTAGAAATAAGAAGTAAGTAGAAGAAGAAAATTTTTTGGCAGTAGAGAATCTCTAAGGTAGAAGTTTTCGATCGATGTTCTTGACGTTTTAAACTCTGAAGTGTGGCAGACGAAAAGCTTTATTATGCCAAAAAATGGTTGCTATTTTCAAAGCCATTTTTTAAATGGAGAAAACGTATCCAGTTTTCCATATTTTTTTAAATTGCCTATTCAAAACTGCATTGAAATGTGATTCTTCTGCAATCAGTTTTCATTGTATATTTCAAAATTTAAGTTATCGAGCCTTTTATGACGATTAAAACCCAGAACTTCTACCATTTTGATAAAGACATTTTCGTTTTTTCGTTCTTTCTTACTTTTCCTTTTTATTATACGATTGTTTTAGTCTTATTCTTTACCCTAATCTGGCCCGTTACAAACTACCTATGTATTATAGAGGTCTGTAGTTGTAGATTAATGGAATTGAAAATAAAAAGTTTTCATTATTATTATTATTATTATTATTATTATTATTATTAAATTCTTTGAAGGTAGTTTTTGCATAGTTTTTGTAAATAAAACTAATTTAGACCAACTATTTACAATGAATAAACGAATAAAGTACTAAGAAATTGTTAAAAAAGAAGATTTTGCATGGAATAGAATGTTTTGATTTTCTACATTCTATTTCAACTTTGTGGCTTATCAAATTTTGCTTATAAAGTCATTTGTTCTTGAAAGGAAAAGTTCTCTTAGTTGCAAAGGAGGCTCATCCTCTAATGCTTTCGGTTCTAGGTTCTCGAACCGGAGTCTGCAGTTATGGTAACATCAATGCAACAAGTATTTGGGCACCAGTATTGTGTCCGCTTGAAAATGAGTGTATGAATAGGAGGCACAACTGTACCATGAACGAAGTCTGTGTCGATTTGGAATATGGCTTTCATTGCAAGTGCAAACCTGGTTATAAGAGAGACAATAGGTAAGAACTGAAATCAAAATTATGTGTTGCATTATAACTAAAAGTCGTAAAGACGTTACAGTCCTTACAGACAGCGAGGTATGTAAATAGTGCGAAAATACAGATTAACTTATATGCTTACAATGGGTGACTCCATGCCTAGTTTATCTGTGACAAACTGTACGAAAGTGTAACCTACACACATGCAGGTCATGACACTAATAAAACCTGGGATCAAAAAGCTTTTATGTTCTATATTTTTGAACTAGAAACTGTGCAATGCTTCATTTTTAGTTTGTGGGATGTAAAGTGTAACCTTCTACCATAAAGTTGATCATATTGTAGATAGATCAGCTGGATGTATAAAGAATAAATTTTTCTCAAAAAAGTAAATTTCTCAAGGTTTTAGACCAATCACATTTTGCCACGAGACCTTATAAATAAATTCGTAAATATATTTGATTTCTGCATTTTTGTTGATTTCTTCAGCTGGCCAACATATTTCCTGTATTTTCATCTCTAGATCACAGCATTGTCTACCTGTTTGCCTACAAGGATGCGATAAAGGGTCTTGTGTGCGCCCTGGTGTTTGCGAGTGCCATTTCGGTTGGACCTCAAATAACTGCACAGTAGCATGCCAGTGTAACGGACACAGCAACTGCCCAAATGAGACTCATAATGATATTTGCATAAAATGCCATAATAATACTCAGGTAGATGATTTCTCTCTCTGTATTAAGATTGTGCCTTAATCGCTATCTTAAAGGCAATGAGTCATTATAAAATGGATTGGGTATACCCTAAGTGCCAAAATCCGCTGAGTCATGATTTTCATGATTGCAATGCTATTGGCTGACCTGGAACTGGTGTCATGAACTCACCTCGTACTGATTGACAAAGCAATTTTCATCAATAGCAAGTTGTCAACAACGGATGCAAATATCACACAAAACAGCAGCGATCACGCCGAAACCAAATGATCCCCTATAAAGAAGGCCTATTTACCATGACTAAATGCCTTTAATTTACGTTATTGAGCCGATTAAACTTAATGAATGCACTCTTAAGATTTCGTCCTAGCAGACTAAGCTACCGATAAGTCTTCCCCCTCCCCCTAGTTTTTTTCCGCACATAAGACTGAATTGTCTCTACGAACACAAATGCTTTAGGATGATGGTTAAGTTATTCTCAACCAGTTCTGTAGATGCGATATATTCGTGCTTTACCATCTGGATTTTGTTATAAGTTTGTCGTAATCCCTTTTGTGAGATGTTACATCATCCTTTTTGCTTGTAGGCAAATTTTGGAAACTTAAGTTAAGACCGGTGGACATTTATCAACTGCTTTTCGTCTGCATATCATACAAAAAATATTAGCTTTGAAAAAAGCAAACATTTAGTAAACTAAAGCTTTTCGTCTGACACTCTTCAGAGTTTAAAACGTCAGAACATAGAACGAAAACTCTACGCTAAGAAATATATATACCCAGTTGTGGATCGAAATAGGCCAATCAGAAACACGAGCACATGACTGTAAAGGTTGACCAATCAGTGCCGCTTGCCTATTAGAATGTTACCAATGGAGTCCTAAGGTGAAAACGAACTCCTTTTGTCTACACAGTAGCGTTTTTTCGTGCTTATGTAGATAGATTCTAAATACGAATCGTCGTTCCACCGAGCCCGATCGTCGTTCCACCTAGCAGTTTTAGAATCTATCTACATAAGCACGAAAAAACCGCTACTGTGTAGACAAAAGGAGTTCGTTTTTACCTTAGTACTCCATTGGTAACATTCTAATAGGCAAGCGGCACTGATTGGTCAACCTTTACAGTCACGTGCTCGTGTTTCTGATTGGCCTATTTCGATCCACAACTGGATATATATATTTCTTAGCGTAGAGTTTTCGATCTATGTTCTGACGTTTTAAACTCTGAAGAGTGTCAGACGAAAAGCTTTAGTTTACTAAATGTTTGCTTTTTTCAAAGCTATTTACAAGTTTTGTACCACCAAAAGATTGTTTACAAAAAATATTGTTAAAAAACTAAGTATATTCTCGTATTTCTAAGGGACCTTCCATCACATACATGTTAAACACATTTTAGTGTTTGTTTTGATGTTCAAGTGGAACACCCACAAAAATTGGACGTTATCTTATGTTATTCGTCGTTATCTGCCTCAGTTAGTCGCTATCTGGCGTTTCTACCCAGCTTAAGTTACGTTAGCAAAACTTTCAATTTTTCCATTTTTTGAGTCACCAAGGCCACTGTATGTATACTTTCTAGTTGAACTGATACGTCTTTAAATCAAGTTTCAACCGTTTCTTCACATTTAGGGGCCCCATTGCAGCGAATGCAAAGCGGAGTACGTTGGCGACCCGACGAAAAATGTTCCATGCACGGCTTGTCTGACGCTCTGCAATGGTCGAACGTCGATTTGTGTTTCATCATCAAGGAAAGCCTCCTTTCCACCATCTGTTTTAGCGAATTCTACTCTGGTAGGGCTATTAAACCTTAGAAAGTATTTTACATATCTTTTGCTAAAGATGTTAAGTTGATTTATTGAAAGGTCGTGGAAGTCTAGGTATTGTTTTTTAGTCTTCTAAGTTTTGTCAAAGTCGTAAGAAATGACCTAATGTGCGTTGTCTTATTTCTTAAGTTTAAATTTTTCCAAAATATTTTAAAATATGGGTTATAAACTGTCTTATGAGTTTTTAATGATGATGATGATGGTGATGATGGTGGTTGTGAAAGTCAAAAGAAATAATTAGATAATAATTTATGGAAGATATGAAGCATCTTCTGGATCAATTATGCATTTGTGTCTTTTAATTAGCAAAAACTTCGCTGCATTGTAAAGATGCTTTGAAGGTTGAAAAATTTTCCATAGTCTCCAGAGTTATTTCTCCTAAGCCAACTTTGTGGCTATGCTACCAATGAATAAGTGTCATAATTGTTATCAACTACTACCAACATAACACATGACACCCTCAAACCCTCGCTTTAACACTCACTAGCAAAATTCTCTATTACCATCAAAGTTCCTTAATTATAACCTTCTTTTTAGCTGCGTTCTATGATCAAGAAAGGGCCCACTGACCCTAATGATATCGTTTGTCTGGGCTGTGGGGGTCGCAGTGAAGGAAACCTTTGTGAAACATGCATTCAAGGTTTTTTCAAAAATGACAAAACATGCACAAAGTAAGTACTGAAGCTTTACTTAATTTGCTATATTTGTTCCTTCTTTTTTTTAATTTTTCCATTCAGGGATATTAATTTCCTTACTTTCGATGTGAAGCCTTCAGCAATTTAACCATTAGTAACTAAAAGTGGAGAAGTGGCTTTGAATATTGCCAGTATATAATGTGTGCCCCCGTCCGTCAATATGTACGAGACGTACTTTACACCCAAATGTCTTTTGGGAAAGTCTGCTTAGTGGCAAATATTGCTCTTCTTGTGTCGATTTTGTGTCGAAATTTCACTCATGCTTTCCCATTTAAGATGTTCTCCTTCTTTATACCCAGCCTTTTCAAGTGTATAATTCTCCAAGGCTGTCTCTCATGAACTCTTGTATTTATATGGGCTAGGTAACCTCCCTCCGTTTTCAAGTCACTACAAATATCCACACTGGTGATATTGAGGAAATACTTAGAAGCGACACTTAAGGATTTTTGTAGAATTTTTGGGGGGAGGGAGTGGTGAAATGACATTTCCTGTATCGAAAATTATGGAGAAGTTTTGTCAAATGTCGTTGTATCTTCTATGAAATCTGTTTTTGTTCAAAATTACTTGTTCCATTGAGGCGTCTAACAATACTCTCTTATGAAGTTGATTCACTTCTTGTTCTTCATATGTTAATAACAATTTGTTATGTTTTTCTATAAGTTATAAGTTATGTTATGATTTCCTATGTTTTTTTATATCATTACCTATGATTGCTGTTAATTTATTTTGTCTGGCTAAATCTATACTCCACTCTCTTCAGATGCCAATGCAATGGACATGGCAGTACTTGTGACAAAAAAACTGGATATGGTTGTACTTGTCAACAAAACACAAAGTCTGAAGAGAAAAGCTGGTCAAAACAGGTGGGGCATTTTACTTTGACAATGCTATGCACAATAGCATATGAATTATCTGTCCAGAAACTAAGCGATTAGCTCAGTGGCTGAAATTCTGTGATTGTTATGATTTGTTATATTGTATGTTATATGATATATGTTAGATGTTATGTTATGTTTGTGTCCAGTTTCTACACTTTTGACGATTATCTAATTCCTTGCTCCTTCCTATTTTGATATTCACTCATTTTTTGCACATATGCTTTCCTTCCAGTAAGATATCTTTCTCAATGCTAGTCTATTCTCAATTTAGTGTAATCAATGCAAGTCATTGGATTTCTATGGCAATCCAGTTGGTGGCCGCCAGTGCTTTCAGATAATGAAAAACGAGCAGTCACTGACAATTGGAGATGAAAGGCTACGAGTTGGCAGTGATTCGGTTATTGAAGGTATTCTGCCGAACAGGACCATGTTCTTCGCTGTTCCTCCAAGATTTACGAATGTTGACATACGCTTAACCGTTGACGTCCTTGAAGGTGCGCTAGATTTGTACATAGCAACTGTCGATAGTGTGTTTGTTGTAGATGTGAACCACACGTCAGGGGAGCACACTTTGCTGTCCCCAACATTACACTCTCGCGCAAGAAGGAACGTTGTAACTGAAACTGTGATTGAAAATGGTTTTCCCGAAATGGTGGTGGAAGAAGATGGAAGTTCGGCGAGATTCCGTCGTGAATCACCCCTTGTTTCAAATACAACACGCTCTACAGTGCACCCATATGTCCCCAAAGCTAACCAAGTATACGCTTCAGCAGATACGCCAAGTATGTACACTGAATACAAAGGGGGGATCTTTTTGGTTAAAGGAATCCAGCGCAGAGTGATTATTGGCATTCGATACAAGTACCTTGATTTTAGTTCCGATCGCTTTTATGTCGGGATTGTTACGCGCGGAAACAGAGACAATGTCAAAACTGCCGGCCTGATCTACTTCAGACAAGAGCTTTCCCAGATCGATTTATTCGTCTTTTTCACAGTGTTCTTTTCAGTCTTCTTTCTAATTCTGTCATTATTTTTCTTGCTGTGGAAAATCAAGCAGCTGCATCATGGGCGGCAAGTTGTTATGCAGCAGCAAATGGCTTTGGAAACAATGGCCAGCCGACCTTTTTCTCTGTACACAGTGCAATGCGAGCGCAATGAACCTATCTCTACATATACAAAAATCCACTCTGAACTCATGGAAGTCCCTGCTTCTTTAAAGAATCGCAAGGGTAAGCGCGATCGGTTGCCTACCATGTACCCAATGGCCATTGAATTCACAGAAGACGAACTTGCCGCCGTTGGCACTGTTTTCGTACAGTTTCCTGAGAATGAGGAATCGTTGTGGAACATATCCTTAGGTTCAGCGATTTTGCAAGCCACTCCTCAGCATCTGGTTGCTAGCACAAACAATGAAATGCAGAAAACGACTAGGTTTATGTGCACTATTACCAGCTAAACTTTCAATCGTGGGGGAAATTGGCATAAATGAAAGACTTTGGAAAATCATTGTAAGGTCTCACAGCTCTGCAAGTGAATTGATCAAAATTAAAGTGATGTTTAACACTTTTGAGTGGCGAATGTCTAATACTGTTGTATTTTTTTAATGTATAGCTTTGTATGGCTTTTGTTACTGATGCGCATTACCGTAGTCCAGCTTTCATAAAAGTTTATGATAGTTATTAGAAATAGGCTATTTTCGCACAGGATGAGTTGAAAACAGCCTTGTTGATTCAGTGGCTCCTGAATGCTAGTCATTCAACTAAGCTACTTCATTTGTCAAGCCCTGAAATTTGCCAAGCCCTGAAATGTCTCGTCATTAATCATGTTTAGCACGAGTTTCATCAATCCATACTTATCCGTGGAATAACTCTGACCAACGTCAGTTCTAACAAACGTAATTCATAGAAAAACTTTCAAGGTTTGCACCCTCCCTGAGTAGATTTGCTTGTTAGAAATTCCCTCCTAATTCCCTGATCTTCTTTAATTGGACAATGTTCTTCTGATAGAAAGAACTGATTTTTATTCACTTTTATGCAATAGATCTTGCTATTTTAAAATTAGTAGAGACATTTTAAAAGCAATTATTTTGAAGTGGCATTCTTGTTATAAGGGTCGTAGCGTTTTGATAATCACTGTTGTTGATAAAAAATGCAGACGCAAAATTGGCTTTTCCATCTGGGATATTGTAAATTTCTAATAGACATTGTAATATAGTAAAGGTGATTGCTAAATTAAAGAGAGTGAGTTTATTTGATACATATCTTTGTGTCAATTTTTGGTTACTTGTTTTCTTCAATTTGCAAAGGCTCCAACTCTCCCGATTTGGGCGGGAGTGTCCCGATTTGAGAGTTATTTTCCCGTTCTCCCGATTTCAAACCTAAACTCCCGGTTTCAGGATTTTGTTATAAATCTGTTATAAAATCCCATTTTGAAAGAATATGTTGAGCAAAGATTGAAGATCTGCACGAGTTTCTGTGAAACTTGTCACCGTATCTGCCGTATCTATCTTTCTGACGTTTAAACCGTTGCAGGTAAAATGCTTATTAATGAGGTTATTTAGACATTTCAAGACTAAAGACATCAGAATGACATCAGAATGAGACTCACTTGGCACTAACTGGACAGATAGAGGGGAAGAGAATCAGAGGAAGGCAGATATTACTGTGGATGAACAGTCTAGCTGGATGGATCCAAGATGCTTCAGGCGTTTCCAGTTCCGTGAGCAGGGGTAAATTTGTTCTATTTGCCCAATCAAATGGTTTTTACATGTTGGCCAATCAGAGGCCACCGTTCATAAGTTACTTCGTTTCAAGGCGTTGCAACCTGCTCTTTCTGTGGGGATCTTGATAGAAAAAACAAAATCCTCTATTTTGTTGGCGACGAAAATATACTCTTTATCAGTATTCCAAATGGTTTGAAACATATTTTTTCGATAAATTTTCTAACAAGGAATTACCTGTTGCCATACAAGGTCGGGGTATTTTTCTGGTCATTAGAAATGTCTTGGTCATGCCACGGTATTAAAATATAGCCAACCATTTAAGTAGCGACGAAAATATGCTTGGATTCTTGCTACAACAGGATTTCAAATGATTTTTGCAAGAACTTACTTCTGTCAATTTTTTTTGCTTTTTTTTGGACGGACCAAATTCTAATATTTCACGGAAATTTGTTAAAAAAACTCCAGGCTCATTTTAAATATTCTTGTCAGTGCTTTTTGAAATACATTTTCCAGAGTTAACTTCATGCCTGTGACAGGGATTCTCGAAAAAGAATGAGATAACCTTCCTATGCAACTCCTTGAAATAGCTCCCCATATTAGAAGAAATCCTCTGTTTTTGCCGGGCTCAAGACATTTCACTCTTTCGGTTGGGGTGAAAAATCGATTTATTTGGCGCTTCCAGGCGCAAGCCCCTGTTTCAACTTTGCGAATGACAGTACCTATAAGTTTAATTTGTTTTAATGAGTGTTGTGTTCCTCAGGCTTTTTGCGTGAAAGTGAAAGTCACTCTTGTCCTGCTCAGATAACTCGTATATGTAGTTTGATTGTCGATGAAATTAGATCATGGCTATAATTCTTTACTAATTTTTAAGTTTCAAAAATTTCGTGCCTCAATATTCTTGTCAAAACCGCATAGAAATATGCAAATTCGGAGACAGGGTTGTTCAGACAGTTCGCGGTTGCTGTTGTGGAGTGGTTTTCGGACAACGATTCCAAAATGGCGGCAGTTGTAAAAGGTGCCTTGGCTGGCAGACAATTTGTTGGCCAAGTTAATCTTAGCAAGCTAGTTTGCAACAGTGTTTTAAAAGCACAGGTATTTATTCTGATTGTCTAAGTATCTTGCTGTGTGCATAAAGCATGTTTGAGATGTTTTTGGGAGAAAATCTAATGCTTCTGTTTAATTACACGTGGTCAATTTTTATTCTGATAAGATATTGGAAGGACTAGACCAGAAAATATGTTCATTTTCGCTATGATCCCTGTTGTACAGGATGTTTTTCAAATGTAATTTAATTCTTTGTTCAGGATTTCGTTTACGCAAGTGTGCTTATTTAGATTGCAGAGAGGTATTTGCGATTTTTCGAAGGAAAAGTTGGCGGCGATAAATTGTTTTTTATACAGTATTTTTGTTGCTAAAGCATATTTAAAAACATATTTTTAATGCTGAAGTATATTCCTCATATTATCTTATTATTAGGTACAGCTTTAGTTTGTATAAATTTGTAACAATTTTTCATCATTTGGCTCTATTTTTTTCTTGATCTTGGATTGGAGTTGGCGCGGTAAATTTATTTCATATTAGCCAAAATGGATTAAATTATTGGAGTATTCATGTTAGAATTAGTCTGTGCTGAAAATTTCATGTCAGGCCCTATATAAAAGTTACTCTATTTTAAAATTTAGCATTCCTATCCATGTGTGAAATCCATGGAGCTTATGCTGGATATTTCCCATTGTTTTTCTAAAGTATGTTGCCATATATCTGGCATGGGCTTTATATAGATTCCACCCTGGATGAACACATTCCACTGTAGCAGCAATTCGGCATCAACTTTTTTCTAAAATGTTCTTGCACAGCTGGTAAAGGCTGTGACATTTTGAGATCTGGGCATGACATGGGTGTGTCATTTTGCTTCAGTCAAATGAAGAATTAAGTTTCCTCAAGATCAACATAATCTTGCATTCGCTTCTTAATTTATATCCTTGGCTTCTGTTCTATTATAGTTTACTTGCTAATGTGTCCAAATGAAGTGCACACTTATATCAAATTGTACACTTGCACACTTGAAATTTTGCTCTTGCGCACACCTGAGATCTTGCTGGAAACTGGAGTGCGGTTATGCTTTGGCAAGGGTCTAATGCACTTTTTCATGTATGACATACATTTTTCAAGTTCTTACCGAAATTTACACCTAAAAGATTATGACCGAAATTTTTTCCACCAAAATTTAATCCACCAAAATTTTTGGCACTGGAAATTTTGGTGCTTAATATATGTCGTTTTGTCTCTTGCAAAAAATGTCAAATGCAGAGTTAAATATCATTATTATCTTAAATGAATGCATTGGACAACATTGCAACTCTTAACTTTGCATAAAACAACTGAACTTTGAAGTGAGAATGAGGAGCTGTAGGATTGCAAAAGGAAACCTTGCATAAGGTGAACTTGTACAGGCCAAAAAATTTTTTACATGTTTACAATTTTTACTAAAAATATTGTAATGATCTGGGAGTGAAGTGTCAATCCTTCTACCATGTTTTTCTGATAAATTGTAAAATGTATTATTCTAATTCTCTCAAATATGTCAAGATATTTGATTTATAAAACTTAAAACTATTTTTCAGGCATATCAGCGATTACAGAGGTTTTCTACATCTAGGATTCATGGAGAAAAGGTAATCTTTCAATATAAAGTGAAGAATAGAACATTATTAAATGTTATATGAGCGGCTTATTTATATAAACAAAGGTAAATCACAGTTTGAGAATGAATTAGGAGCTTTTCTTTGCTAGATTTAGTCAAACAACAGAAATTCCTGGGCAGTTGCAGGCTCAAGGAAATTCCTTGCGTAATCTATAATTGACTCCCAATAAAGTTCAAATTTTAAACTTTTATCAGGCATTTTTTAAATAGATTAAATAAGGATTTTATTTTTCAGTATTTCAACAAAGTTTTAATAGCTAATAGAGGAGAAATAGCATGCAGGGTGAGTGACTTTGAATTTTCATTTTCTTTGTCAAACATTTTGCAAGCAGCATTTTTACTCAAAATCTAATAAAAATGGCAAAAATATATTGCAAAAGTGCCTTGTTGTGATTATATATTGCAATTTTTGAGAGCATAGTTTTGTTTAAAAAATTTAATTGAATTAAATTGATTTGACAAGAGAGAGCTCAAATGGCTCAAATGGCTGTGCAAGGGATTATGTCTTTATTTGTGATTTATCATTGGTAAGGAATGGTGATTTTATGCATATATTTGAGGGTAAGGTGATCACATAATGCATTGAACTGGAAATTTTTCCAGTGCAGAGCCATTCTGTTCTAAAAACCAATGCATGTACAGTACAGCTCATCCTATACAGCAATGAGCACTTTCTGACCGACTTTAAAGCAATTTTACAATATACAGGTGTATTCAAAATGATGCCAGATCACTGAAAGATTTTTCGTGTTATTAATTTTGCAGATAATAAAAACATGCAGAAGATTAGGCATCAAAACTGTGGCTGTTTATTCTGAAGCAGATGCCAATGCTGTGAGTTTATCTTTCACTTTGTTTGTTTACAAATTATTGATAATAAAGGCTCAATATCCTGAGCTTGAAAATTGTTTTGTCACCATGTAATCTAGTCATCGTGAAATATCTGACCAATGGCACCTCAGGAAATGTTTTCATAAAAGTGCAAATGTGATGATTCTGCTGATGATAAATTGTTTTTCCTTCCAATTTTTTAGAAAGCATTTTAATTCCTTGTTGATAAAGAAATTTGTAAGTAGAATTAAAGAAGGAAGGTCAAATACATTGCTGTTTGAAAATATAGGTATTAATAAGGTAGTAGTTAAGTTAGGTTAAGTTAGTTTAAGCTTATTATGATCTTCAATGCAGTTATTTTAATTTATGAATATTTAAATATTCAAAAGCCTGTATTGATGTTTGATTAAGAGTGAATGAGAAGGGCCATTAAATTATTTTATGTAAGAAACTAACAATAAAAGCTATTTTCCCGATTCTTCTCATATCTTTATTTTCTGTGAAACATCAGTTGCATTGCATATTTGTTTGTATTTTAATGCACAATAGTGTTAGGTGATTTTTTCTATATAACTTAAGTTCTGTTCTCTGAATCTAGATGCATAGTCACCTGGCTGATGAAGCTGTGTTGATTGGGCCACCACCATCTGCCCAGAGTTACCTTAGAATGGATGCCATTATTGATGCATGTAAACAAACTGGCGCAGAGGCTGTAAGTGTTTTTGCAACCTTTTGAGCATCACAAAAGAACTCCCTTAAAACATAATAAGCTTTCCTTCATCTCTATTTACTTTCATGTTGCTGATGGTATTTTTTATAGAAAGTGAAATATTTCAGTCCTTACAGTGACAAAAATTACCAAAACTAGCATGTTGATATTATAAGTAGTTTTATAATGCAGGTTGCAGGTTGCAGATTATCATGAACGATATTCCTAAAATTTAGTCATATAAAAGTATAATATCATTCTTTGCAAACATAATTTTCTTAAATTTGTTGTGTGCTAAAACAACCTCCGTTTTTAAAGCTGATTACAAATGGTTTAGTTTAATGCGAAGTTGTATTGCAATACACTTTCACGAATTTAGGTTCATCCTGGCTATGGGTTCCTGTCTGAGAATTCAGTGTTTCACGATGCTCTGGTAAGCCCTTTCTATAAAGTTTGATCGCACCCTTTTTGACAGTATCAGGCCTCTCATGTATTTGTCAGCCACATGATTATCTGACTATTGCAGGTCTAGTGCAGGTCTCTTTATGCTATTAGTCTATCTTGTCAACGAGACCCATGGTGTCATGTTTTTATTCAACCTGTGTCCATTCTATGTAATGTTTTACAGTGCATTATATTCTTTGAGAAATGGAGCTTAAAAAGAAAATCACGGTAGTTGTTGTGAATCAAAATCAATCAGGAGGATAACCTAAAAGTTTAGAATCGTTTTTCTGAATTCATCATGAGATCATCAAGCGATTAAAGCACAGAAGCTTATGGGGTTATCTTAAGATACCACAATAACTGGAATCTTCATCTTCATTCTGTTTATTCTGTAGCAAACTAGTTGCTTCCCTAGGGAAGTGAGAACGAAGAAAGAAGTTGATTAGCCTTGCTACTTCATTGTTGTGTTAACAATGTTAGGAAAGAACTGTCTTTATACGAGAAATCTGGCGTACCGTATGTACATGGTTTAGACTGTGCTTCTTACCTGAAGTATTTGATTTCACTGGATAATCCTGTCATAGGATTATTCATTGAAGAGATAAGGATAATATGAAAGTGTTTGTTTCTCTGCATGTTTCTTTGAAAAAGTTATATCTTATATATTATTGGTTTTGGGTGTTTTAGGAAGCAAATGGTATAACGTTTATTGGTCCTTCTCCATTTGCCTTGAAAGCAATGGGAGATAAATTGGAAAGCAAAAGAATAGCACTGAAGGCATCTGTCAGTACTATTCCAGGTTTTGATGGAGTGATCAAGGTAACAAATGTCAAATTTTATTTGCAACGAATGGCTTATGTTGTTTATGCTTGACACCTGAATTTTGTGATGACAGGAAGTGTTAAAAATATAAAGAATTTGGCCTGAGTAGAAATAATAGCAAGAGGCAGTGTTCGAATTTCATGTTTAGGTTCTAATGCAAAGACACAAACAGTTTGTTGTAACAAGGTTAAAGACACAAACAAGTTTGTTGTAACCGTAGAACTTACGACATTATGTCAATGGCTGTAAGTGTCTACAATTCGCAGTTAGCTGTCTCTCAGGAATATTTACCATTATACTATTTGCAAAAATCACTTTTAAAATGATTCCAAAAACCTACCACAAATTTTGCTAACTTTAGAAGAAAAGTGAAAATCACTTTTAATTGACATAGGAAATCCATACAACTTGTTCTCAGGCAATAGTGCATTATTCGCTCCGTCAGAGTTGCCTACAAGGCTAAAGCTGTTTTACCTGATAAAATAGCAAAATTCGCTTGTGAACGCTCATATTAACTAAACCCTGGCGTAGAATAAACATTTATTAGTTTTTCTGTTTTCTGAATCCTGAAATATCAAATTGTCAATCAACGGTTATATGTCTTTATATAAATTGTTCATCTTAATTTTCGTCATTTGTTTTTTGAGTGACCTACCCCGTCATAAATCTGGATGAGTCCAGACCAGCATTATCTCTATACTTGTAAGCTTTTTCGCTGTTTCTTCCTTTTTAGGATGATGATCATGCTGTTGCCATTGCCAGGGAAGTTGGTATGTTTGTCACTTTCTTTTATTAAAGTCTTCATCCCTGATCGATCTTAATTTATTCTATATATTATGAACAGCTGCTCTGCTCTGAATACCAGGGTATTTCATGTGTTTCAAATTAAAAAGTTTATGTCAGTTATGTATCTGAATACTCGATTCCTTTACAATTTAAGAGCCCCATGAGTCCTAGCAAAATATGTTTTGTTTAACTATTTGATATTGTCCGCTTTGTCTCTTTGTTTGATTTTTTCTTCCGTTTTTAAAAGCTTTTCGATGACATGGACATTACTTCAAGATTAATGCATATCTCCAAACCTCTTTTTCGTCCAACCTTTACAGTCAAATTTGTCTAATTCCAACTCGCGTACTTCGAACTAATTCATTCGTTGTGTAGGGTTACGAAAATTGTAAAACTCATGCAATCCTTCGTTACCTCATACGTTGATCTTTTTGGTGCTACTATTTTGCAGGATATCCTGTCATGATAAAGGCCTCCGCAGGTGGAGGAGGAAAAGGAATGAGAATTGCAAATAATGATACTCAGATCAGGTATATACATTTCTCACCCACCATGTTTTGCCCATTTGCAGCGACCTTCACCTACACCTTCATTGAATTCTCCTTTTGGTCATGTTGTCATTCCCCTGAACTTCTTAGGTAGTCCATACATGTAGCTTGTAGGTGGGCTTTTTGGAAACGCACCTTCTTCCGTAAATTTTAAAATTTATTGATAGAAAGTTTTGTCTTGAAAATCCCTAGAAAATAAGCTCATTTTCATCTTTTTGGGCAAAAAGATTATTTTACAACTTTTCAATTTTAAGAATTTTCTGTTATATCTTTAAAGAGTTAAATTATCATTTAAGTTCGTATTTTGATCGCTACGTTTATTTTAAACCTTCATAATCATCAGTCATTTCTGAAAGATTTTCAAATCCATTTGGATTTGCTCACAAATGGCTGTATCTATTTTATGCTTAGTACTGAGATGTCATGCCTTCAATGTTTGGTGCTTCAATTTTTTTCTTGTGGCTGGTCCCTGCTCTAATGAGTATCAACTGTATAAGCATACATTGCACCCGCACATATCAAATAAATTCTCTTTCACAAAATGATTGCCTTGGTATTATTCTGAAAATTAAAAGAACCACATCTTTACAGAGAAGGGTTTCGCCTGAGCTCACAAGAAGCAAAATCAAGTTTTGGCGATGACAGGCTCTTGATTGAAAAGTTCATTGAGCATCCAAGGCATATTGAAATGCAGGTGAAGTTTTCTATTACTAAGTAAGGAAATACTGAAGTCCGTGTTATGTTACCATATCCCCATTATTTGATCTTTTTTTCACCTTCTCTTCTCTATTGTTTTTCTTTCTATTATTTTAACAGCACTCCGTTACCTTATGTCCCTTACACTTCAAGTTTTCTTTAATAGTTAATCTCCCTGCAGCCTTTTCTGTACATGTAATTTTACCTTAGTCATTTCAAATTTTTAAGATAGTAGTTTGAATATTTAGAGAGCTATCGACGAAGGTTTTGCAAATTGTGATAAGTAGGCAGCTTTTGTGATAAAATTTGTATACTAAGGTAATGGCAGTAATGGCTTGCAAACAGTAGGTTGTTATCAAATCAAGCTGAAAACTAAACTCAAGTAACAGCTTTTGAGTCATTGATAAGCCCTTTAGCAAAGTGCCTACGCCATAGCTGTCTAAAAGCTTTTTGCCAAAGCAGCTAATTTCAATATATTCTTTTATTCTTATAGAACACTCCCCAATTGTATTATACTTCTGTTGCTTCCTTTTTCGAGATTTTGATCAAGTAGATTTGCTGTTACCAGTAGCAGGTCAAAAATCCAAATATCAGTTTTTCTTTTATTTTAACAGGTCATAGGAGACAAGCACGGAAATGTAGTATGTAGAAATTATTCCATATGTATTTATTTAAAATCTTTTAGAAAGGTTAGGATACATCCGTACAGGAGTTTACATAATCTATAAAGGCTATTGTATCAACTGATGTCTTTGCAAGAAATAACAAAACATTTATAAATATTTTAATTGTAATTATATGTAAATCTTCAACGAATTTTAAAAACCCTTTTTTCACGATCCTTATCTGTAACTTACTTTTTTAGTGCTATCTTAATGAAAGAGAGTGTTCATTCAAAGAAGAAATCAAAAAGTTGTCGAAGAAGCACCAAGGTAAGCCAATTCTTTAAACCTAAGATTTAAACTATCCTTGAGAATTGCGCCTTGATAAGCAATGCATTCTATATTGTAACTATGTCTTTAATTCCTTTATAGCCCATTTCTGGATCCCAGGACCCGGAAAGCCATGGGTGAACAAGCTGTCATGCTTTCTAAGGAGGTCGGCTACTCATCTGCAGGAACTGTTGAGTTTCTAGTGGATAAATACAAGAATTTCTACTTCTTGGAAATGAATACACGTTTGCAAGTTGAGCACCCGATCACAGAATACATCACTGGTCTTGACATTGTTGAGCTAATGTTAAGGTCTGCCGCCGGTAAGAATTTTACTCATCAAAGTGTACTACTGCAACAGCATTTCATGACAACGTATTTGCCTCTGTATTTTATTTTATTCGAGTTCAAGTGCTTGACAGTGCTCATTTCGAAGAGTTTTAAGCTACGTGAACCATCTCTGTTTGATTTGATGCAGTAATATACCCATTTAAATGCAATGCACTTAGGCTGCATGAGTTAGAGCTTGTTAAATTTATTTTGAAATCATATTCGACAATCAAATCGAAGTTCCATTCTGTAGAATTGGAGACAACTAAATTCTGTGAAAGTCCTCATTGCTTGCAAAATTCATCTTTTACATCTCTTAATCTCATTGAAATCACAAGAACCCTATTCTCGTTACTAAAAACTTCAATTCTTTTTTCCTTGTAGATTATATATCTTTAAGTATTATTCAAAAAGCTCGCTAAATCACATCCCATGTTCACGCGGTGCTTATATAGCGTGGGCTGTCAGCATAAGAAAAACGTGTAAACGAATGCAATATGAATCTGTCAACAATTATGTGACCATAAAAAAGACGTTACACTCAAAATTGACACTAGTGTTCAAGTCATTTGGTCCATCAGTTCAGTCACATGTATCATCAGTCATATTTGAGTTAAAATGGTCTAATTTTCTCCAACTTTTAGGGCATCCACTACCGTTGGAGCAAAAGGATGTGCAACTGAACGGATGGGCATTGGAATGCAGAGTGTATGCCGAGGTATCAACTGCGGAATCACATAATCTCTTTTATGACCATGCGCTGGGAGAATGATATTGGATTATATGTTTGTTCCGTTGTTAATTAATTTAGGCAAGATTTGAAAGGTACCAAAAAACGTAACTTTCACAGGAATGTCACATATGCAGATGTGTTCGATATTATATCTTTTGTGGTATCTTTTATTTTGTTTTTTCTATAATATGTTTTTCTGTTTGTTTTTTAGGATCCGTACAAGAGCTTTGGTTTGCCATCAACTGGCCGCCTTTTCCAGTACATACAACCTGATCACCTTGAAAATGTGATTACCGCTATATTTTTAATAGAATTAAACAAGGAATATAAGTAAAATTGTTCTAGAAAAAATAAACAAACCTTTTCCTAGTATAAACAATTTTACTTAAATTCCTAGTTTTAATTCTATTACATTGTACATCACACAATCTAATATTTTTAATAGATTCTGACTTTGGAAAACGCAGCTTGATAATCAGACAAATAACAAGTACGGTGACAAAAAAGATATTGTGATAGTAGCATTCCGACTTCTATTGACGTGAATCCATTTGATAAAATAGAAGTCGGAATTCTACTATCACGATTTCTTTTTTGTAGCCGTACTTGTTATTTGACCGCTATATTTATTGCAATTTGCCCTAGTCTAGCTACAGATTTCATATCTTAAAAATCCCACGTCATAAATTCAAAAATTGTTTTTTTAATTAAGCCACAAAGCTGCTGCTAATTCAAATTTACACTGATATGTTTCGGTAATGATTGTATCATGCTTTCGTGGTAAAACTGTTTAAGTAAAGAACAGGGGCCTTTGGTAGCGGCTTTTCAGGGACAAAAACAATGCTGAACCTCTGATCGTTTTCGAAACAAAGATTACTCTAGGCAATTTTGAGACTGTGAACCAACAAATAATGTGTATTGTGAAAAAAAATCAGTTGTCATTAGACAAAAATCCCTTTCCCAGAAATTCTTGGTTCCAGTTTAGTCATTTTGCGATATGCTGGAATTTTTGTTCGTCAAATAATCAGTTTAATCTTTACACTTGACTGCTAAGATATTTTTTGTTTTAAAGGGTATTTCACAGATTGCTTTAATATTTTTGAATTTTTCCTAAAGGTACGTTGTGATTCCGGCATCATGGAAGGACAGGAAATAAGCATTTATTATGATTCTATGATTTGCAAGGTAAGAAAAACACATAAATAATGTCGAATAATTAGGTACCTATAAGAAGGCAGAATCCGTCTTCAGTCTTGCTGCTGCAATTTTAAATATTTTGACAAAGTCCTGATATCATTTCCTTGTGGTGCTACTTTTTTCTCGTAATTTGTAACCGTGATACAGCAATCTTTTTAGACTCAGGTAAACGTATACAGTGTCGTTTACTTACATGTTCAATTTCTACAAAATCCCATGAATGTATTTAAAAAAGCATAACTGTCATGTGTAATTCACGAATTATTTGCTTCTCTTGCATAGCTTATCACGTACGGGAAAACACGAAATGACTCAATCGAGTCGATGGAGAAAGCTCTTGACTCTTTTGTAATTCGTGGTAGGTGTCAAATTTAATGATGAAAACTTTTCACTTTATGAAAACTTAAGTTATCATTTATCTATTTTTCAGATTTATTTAATTATTCATTTCTTTAATGTTGCCTCTAAATGGCTTGGATTCTAATCGATGTCAGTCACCTTAATAATGAATCTTCCTGGCTAATCTCTTCGTGTTGTGTATCGCCCTTAATTCAAGGAATATTAATACTTCAAATTTGCTTTTTGTATTGAAGCCATGGTACATTATATGTTGCAAATTTTCAGGGGTGTTGCACAACATCTCCTTGCTGAGAGACATTTTAGATCGACCATCGTTCCTAGCTGGGAATTTGTCAACAGATTTTTTGAATGAAGAATATCAAGATGGTTTTAAAGGTGAGCTCGTGTTATCTGCTTTAATGAAAAATGTCTTTTAGTAACTATTGAAAACCAAGTATACTGCAAACAGTCATTGCTCATCACATTTGTATGATACATTAAATATATCTGTAGCAATGGTCAACAGTATTTGGTTATACTTGCTGAGAAGGGCAAAGTATCGTGAGATGTTCCTGGTAGATGGTAAAGCTTTTAAGACAGATTGAAAAATAGTTTCTGTGGATTTCTCGTGGTAGCTATGGAGAAAAATGCAATTTTGTTGATTTTGCTTTGAAAGATACAGCAATAGAACGGTTCCGAATCCAATATATGTTTTAGTGATAATTTCTTATTTGGAACTACGTTTTCATCTTCAGTCTTATCCATAATTTATAACCCTGCCATGACAATTTTGCTAACCTATTCTAGGCTACATTAAAAGAAGGTTTTAAAATCCTTCAGCAGCATAAACCAAGAAAATATATGGAATTATTCCTTATATGGCAAACCTTTGCAGGCGCCTGATAGCTTCATTGTAGCATAAGTTTGTATTTTGCGGATTTTTAGGTAGGATGTTGACTTTTGATGAGAAGAATGAATTGGTTGCTGCTGCATGCCATCAATATGTTCATCGGGTTATCAGAGCTGGTGAATACCTGAATCAGTCGCGGTGAGTAAGATTGTTGTCATCATCAAATGTAACCATAATACAGTTAGTAAATAAATTTAGTACCAGAATGAAAATATAATAGTTTGAATGTTAAAAACACGACGTTTTGAGCATGTACTCGTTATCCGACGTTTGGTTAATGAGTACATGCTCGAAACGTCGTGTTTTTAACAATCAAACTATTATATTTTCATTCTGGTACTAAATTTATTTGCTAACTGTATTATCGTTATTCTGGATGAAGTACCACACGCAACATACATATTTAATCAATTATTACCAGTTCTATAAAGTGGTCAAATTATGACGTAACATATCTTATTGCCAGTGAAAGACCCGAATTTTGCCAATTGATTCCTGTCCTTTTTTCTTGGTTCAGGATTTTGGAACGAAGACCAAATTACAGTGCTTTGGAAGAATAAGAGCTTGCCCCCATGTGGCCATATCTAAGCCAATTTGTACCAGGTTAAAGGATTTCGCAGATTTAGAGCTATTTAATGAAGGTTTTCAGATTATATGGCCTCATGTCGAAAATAGAATGATCTTAATGTTAATGATGTCATCACATAGCCAGTCTATTCTGTATCATAATTTTATTCCAGAGATTTATTTATTTCTTTTTAACACAATGAATTTATGATTTGGACTATAATCCATCAATTAGTAAAAGAAACCAGTTTAAACTTATTCAAGTGATAAGTTATAAGGGTGAATTATGAAGTGGCTCAGTGTATTTTGCAAAAATCAATCTCAGCATCTAGTCCTCAAGATGTCGATCTAATACGGACACATGATTATAAAGTAGCTTTGAACCTACAATCCTGGCCACAGCTGTTGAGGCAAATGTCAAAACATTTATAGTCACACAAAATCAAACCATCCCATGTATTTAACACCAGAGATATCGACATCAGCAAACTGGGGAAAAGGGAGGTGCAAAATCGTAACACTGATTATCCAGGAATGTACTATTATGGGAACAGTTTAACCATGACTTTTTGAACAACAGATTTTTTCCTTTTTTCGCGGTCGCAACTTTGCTTTTGATGACTACAACAGTCTCCTTAATAAAGACCTCATATTTCTCGAACCTTGATTTTTTCAAACCGTTTTGCAGGCCCAATAACAGTTTTACATATAATTGTTTTTCTTGTTAACGAAGGCTAGAGTGCATTCACATAATGACCACATTATTATGTTTTACATAATTCAGATTAACAAGCCAACGAAACCTGCAGTCTTTTGAGCTGGTTTGCACCATAGACGGGGAGAAGTTCGAGTGTGCTGTAGAAATTATTGATCAAGGCATTAAGGTGAGTAAATATATGAGTGATGCAAGTTTTAAATATATGTTTTAGATTAAATCCAAGTTACGTGGGCAATTAAGTGTTTTTACAGAAAGACCAAATAGAATTTAACCTAATTTGCATATAAGGTTTGCTTGTTAATATTCATTTTTGGATAGATTTCACTTTACATTGCTGATGGCTATTTTGGGAACGTTTTTGCATCTTAATTGTGGATTTGGACGTGTTTTTATGGCTGAAGTTTAGCAAATAGTTGCTCTGAAGTTATCAAGATAATTTTAACGTGTTGCTTGATGCAATTCCGACCTTCAGCATCATAGGGCTAACATCACAGAGTTATGATTTTACAGGCAAATATCAATGGAGTCGATATTGTTTTCACTTCACATTCACCAAAGCAAAATACTTTGTTGGAAGCAGAAGTTAATGGCGTTCCTTGCGTATTTCAGGTGCGTTTAACAATTTACCTTCATTGGTGAAAAATGTGATTTTTGTTCAAACGAACACCCAATCCCCCACTTAAATGTTTTTCCAATCAACCTCTCCCAGCAAATTAAGGATTTTTCAGAGTGACTGACCAGTATCGGAAGAACTAAGAACTAAGTTTTAGTTTTTTCTGATATTGAAAGAAAACATTATTAAAGCAAATTATTTTTGCAAAAAAATTTTAAGGGTGCAAAAATTAAAACTGGCTTTGGAAAATACAAAAAATCTGAACCAAAGCATAATATAAAATGTTTGAGTATACAATTCAGAAAGTAATATGCATTAATCTCATTTTGGTCTAGCTTATATTTTTAAACTGTGTTACTCTGCGTTACTCTGTTTTAAACTGCTTAATGACAATACTTTTAAACTGTATTCCTCTAGCCATCTTAAAACACCAAGCATGAGATGTACGAAAATAGTACAGAAACATAACAGAAAATAGGAGAATTTTCTATCAAATTGTCGATTAGAAAAAGGGCAGAGGTCTCTGCTAATAAATCTAAACAATGTTAAATTTGTTTAGAAGACAGTCTTGTAATTATTATCGATAGTAAAAATTACATCCTAAATAAAAGACCTGAAATTTTTTCAAAATGCTGATGTCAAATGAAGTTTCTATTGTCTAACCGTCAGTAAATCGATACATAATTGCCCCCTAATTAGCAACTACAATCATTGAAATTGCTGAAACCTCCATGGACATCACAATTGAATATAATAATACCCTCAGAGAGAATGGTTTTAGCAATTGATTAATAATCTCATGAAGCATGAAACTTGATGTAGCAAAGAAGAACAATCTGCTTGTACAGCTTTACCATACTGCATCAAGCACTTTATGATAGATCAGTAAACAGTAGTATTCATTCTGAAACAGAGAAATGTTTTTGTCTGACGATCATCCGTCTGACTCACTTTCGTAACTTTAAGTTGTTTACTCTGAAAAGTTACAGGCAAATAGCTTAAGTCGATTTTTTGCTTTTTTCAAAGCCATTTCAAATTATGATTTTATTATATTTTGATTTACCAGAATCAAACAAAAATCTCTTGGACAAACAGCAGAAATGTTTTGCTGTTATTCTTTTCTCAACGCTAATTTTGGAAAATTTCTCTTGCATAAACCTCTACTAGTTTGTATCATTTTTGCATTAGAAAGAGCAAAATTTCAGAACTGAGTGGCAAAGTAAAGTTGTACATCTTAATATTGCCTCTTCGATGTTTTTTATCATTGCCCAAGTTTTGTTTATTGTGTTTCCATTGTGAATTGCATTAGCATCAGCATCATCGATACAAAAGGGTAGTCAATTTCCATATGAGGTCTAGGCTGTATTTACACAAAATCAATTCCACACTGAACAGTACTACTAAACTGAGTATTATTAGGTCTTCTGTTCACATGGGACCAGGCAAAGTTGTACAAAATGGAACTGTTAGCAGCAGCATAATGGGATCATCTGAAGAAAACAGTTCTGGATGGAACTGCTACGAAAATTTTCTTTGAAATGTTTGGAATCTTGAGTAGGGGCAGGAAAAAGGCTTGTTGAAGTCTTGTGATGAACCTGTTTCGCAACTAATTTTACCTCACAACAGTAGGTGTCACATAAATATGTAGCTTCCTACTGAAGTAGTCATTACTTTTGTTTAGAAATTCTCAAGATATGTTGGTCAGCAATTCAACATCATTCACAAAGGAACAAAGGTTTGATTTTTTGCTACCTTATCACCATGAAGATTGTTTTTTGTTTATGCTTATCATAGCCTTCCCTGTATTTTGTTATTTGGTGAATCAAATAATATCTATATGTTTTTAAGAGTTTATTTACTCAAGAAAAGTCATATTGACCCATGTTCACGCTTGCAAATATTATTCTTGGCACCTTTTCATTGTATTCTGTTAGCAGATCTAATGCCATAACCATTATAACAAGAGTGTCTAATAAGTGACATTCTATATCATCTTTGACATCACACAAGTAGACCCCCTCATATCTGTAGCTTTACACACCAAAGAATCATATCAATAATAATTTTCATATTATTCTCTATGCTCATTATGGGATCCCTTGCTCAGTTCTAGATATGCTAAATTACAAGCCAAGTCTTAGAAAATCACACCCCCACCCATAGTCTATCCAGGCTAGTTGAGAATCACAGCAGATCCCTGAGCAGCTCTTTCATGAACAGCCATCTTTTATTTGATGTTTATTTGTAGAACTGAAAGGATTATAGACCCAAGTTAGTTCTGCAAACGGGCCTCATGTCAGTTGTCTCTTCGCTTCTCGGTTGGTTTGAGGCCTTCCATTTGAAATTTTGGATCATTTTTCTTGTCAGTTATTTTCATTCTTTTTTCATATAAAGTATGGTACTGCCTTTATTCTTTTATAGTTCCCTGTTATTGTGAGAACAAAATTGCAAGAGCAACTGCACCAACACATGCCTGAAAAGCCAGAGGTAGATTTTTATAGCTTCAACTTATTTTATTTTTGAAATTTCAGGTTTCAATGCTCTTAACCAAAAATGCTTGTTTGATGAAACATTTTTTATTGGTTTGTACTTCATTGTTTTAGGCTGACCACACTCCGTTCCTTCGATCACCAATGCCTGGGACACTGAGGGAAATACGCTGCAAAGTTGGAGATGATGTAGGTGTTATGGCATTGTACATTAAGATAGTTGTTTTATCAGGTTTTTGCATTCTTTAAAAGCTTTGAAAGACCAAACAAAAAACATGTATAAAATTGTAGCAGATGCGAAAGTTTAAGGAGGACAGCTATTAAAAGAGGCTGGTTATTCAATCCCTGCAGCTAAGAATTCAAAACACTTAGCTTTAAATGCAAAATTGAGCAATATTTTCAGCAACAGAGACATTAAATGAAATTTGTTAAAATTGTTTTGAAATGAAGCAGATGTTAACCACTGAATGAGCAAAGCAGAAAACTTTGACCATGGTCAAGGTTTGCTACTAAATGAAAGTGCATATTACCAGAGAACAATTTGGCATAGCTGTGAAAACATTCATTTATTGTACCATCCTGTGTTTAAAAATATAAGGCTAAAAGCTCATTTGAAAATAATTTATTTTTTCAGGTGTTTGTGGGCATGGAAGTTGCTGTTGTTGAAGCAATGAAAATGCAGAACATGCTGCGCGCTGAGAAGAATGGCAAGGTTTGTTGCTGATGCAGCAAAATTTAGTATTCACTATAATCTGTAGGATTCAAATAGTTCTTGAGATTATACAAGTAGAAGGATACAAATAGAGATTCAGCAGAACCCTAAATATCTCCTTTCTTGATACTTTTGCAATGAATGTGAAACACCATGCAATTAATCAATTTAAGATATGAAAGTCAACAATAGGAATTTACTCAGCTATATCAACATTTTCTTGTCATTTCTTCCGTTTCATGGCCATTTGGTTCTAAAAAGATGTGAGGACCTTTGATGCCAACTAGTCCTCAATCCTAGAATTTACAGACAGCAGACACATTGCCACCTATTTCTGGCTCGTTAAATCGTATCATTATAAATATAACAGAAAAGGAAATTTTCAGGGAAGGGGAAAAGTTACACACCCAAAGAGGTCCAGAAAATTTGGCAGATAAATTAGCAAAAATTTGATATTTTTCTAGAAACATGCTGCTTGAGAAAAGCTTAAACTGCCTTCTGGCCCTTGCCACTGTACCTCGCATCCTGTTGATATGTCAATACATACTGTAACATCATATTGATTATTCTGTATTGCAATCAATATTGTTCTGAAACAAAACCTTCCATTTTTAAGGTGCGAGCAATTTACTTCAGAGCTGGAGACAGTGTTGCAGAGGATGATCTTATCTTGGAAATTGAATAATGCTTTTGATAATAGCTTCATGCTTTTGCTGTAGCTGATTTTCAACTTGAATTTGAGAAGAACTTATTTATTATGCATGCTTTTCGTTCACATAAAACTGATATTACTGTATGCCTCTGCTTTTATGAGCGAAATCCAAAGTATCTCAACATCTCATTTAGCATCATGAAAATAACAAAAATTGGTTCTCCTAAAGGTTCTTACCTAATCCTAAAAACCCTTTGAAATATTTTGTAAAAACTTGTTTAATCCCATTAGAAAATAGATTCAGTTTTTCAGATGAATTTTGAATGTCTAATTTCAAGAATAATGTCAGCGTGTCTTGCTTATTTTATTTTCTATAATATCCCAAAAAAGTTGCAAGCAATCAATCCAAAGCCTATTTAATTGTAATATTGCTAATTCGTTGTTATTTTTTCTCATTGCATTAATGGCTTGTCAGCATTGATATTTTCAAAAACAATCCATCATGTTATACTGCATATTTCAAACTAGAACAAAATTGAAAATCTTAACCCAAGTATTGTTATTGGAGCAATAATTAAAAAGAAACACAAAGGAATGATAAGCTCTAAGCCTGTTCCTTGAGCCTTAAAAGTTTGCTTTTTGACATGGAGCAGATTTAGAATTGATTGCTGTTAGTAAGGATAGAGATAGAATTTTAGATGTGACAATAGTTTGTCAATAACATGAATTGCTTCACTTTTTATGGCAGACACTAGTAATTTTTTCAAATAAGATGCTTGTATTTGTAAAAGAGCAATGAAATAAAAATGTCAATTTGATATTTTTCTTTTAACTTTGAAAAAACTTGTTATTGCATTATTGTCATGACTTTGTTTACTTCTTAGTTTTCAGCAAAGTAAGTGAACAATACCAGGCCTGTTCCTTAACTTACATGTTAAGCCTATATAATGCATCTCACTGACTTTTCGAAGTAGATGATATACAATGCCTGCTAAATTTACTAAGAGTGCCCAATAGCTTGTGCCCTTATTTTTTACTCTGATCCCCTGTCTCTCCAGAACAAGGTTAATGGCAAATATAGTGCAAATAATATATTTGATCAATTCTCTTTTTGTCAATTTGTAGAACAAAATTGTTTTAAATTGTTAAGAGGGATGGCTGAAATCGCCTTTTAAATTTGATGATGTTCTAGTCTTCCAAGACTAATGACAATTGTTAATGACCTTTTTGAATGTACTTTCAGCTTGAATTATCAAACCTTTTAGTGATTTATACTTTTATAAATTTAAAAGAAAGAAAAGAATATTTTGGAAGCAACTTTTTTTTAGAAGCTACATCTATTTGTTTTTGCAAAGTATGATCTGTTGTTCACAGATTAACCAGATGTTCATGAAAATCTGTTGGTGGATTATGTTGAAAATACTATAGCTACTCCTAGGCTTGGGCTTTTTTCATAGTATTCAAGTTTTGTTCTTCAAACGTGGATTGAATGGGTCTTTATGATACTGCTAAAATCTGTTCAATGTGGATCTTTTGCCTTAATTTCTTTTGTCATCTTGACAACCAGCAACTTGTCACTAATAAAAGAAGAATTATTATAAAGCCAAGAAAATTTTTTGGAATTCTCTCTTCGTGACTAAAGCCATTATATCTAAATATGTATGCAGAGGCAGCACCAAGGGTGGTATGAGGGGTGTAATTACATGGTCGGCATATTTTTACTAGAAACTAAAGAGAGCTAGATAGGGGTAGATCATATTTTCATCTGAGTAAGGAAAATTTACCTGGTACAAAGCACTGAAACAAGGCAAAAGGGCGTGGTCTCACTGTTCACACCCATTACACACCCACTCGACAGTAGCTGCTACTGCCACTGTATGTGCGGCAATGCACCTTTGATGTGGGTGTTCCTATCTCTGTCTGGGAGCAAGATGGATGGGAACAGATTTGGATAAAATTATGTTTTGAAAAAGGTCAGTGGAAGTGAAAACAAAGAGTTTATAACTATTAACACCTTGAGTTTCTAAGTGTGTGTGTGATTTCAGAGATGCGGTCTCAAATTTCCAAAGGGAACTTGTATGGGCAAGGAAAAATCTTGAATGGTTTTCTTTCAATAAATATGGCCCATTTGGGAAAAATTGCTCCATACAAAGCCAATTTATTGACTGTTTATGTATTGGCACTTACAACATTCTGGGGTTTATAACACAAGATGAGCTGAATGTAAAACATACCACACATTCATCCTCACGAGTTGATTTGTCAAAATCAACAACTTGGCAATAACATGTTGGGGAAGTATTTATAAATCAAAAATTTAAAAGGAAATTATAAATTGCATTGGTCTCTAAACCTATATGTATTTAATAAATTTCTTTAGACAACTAAAATAGCAGATCAAAGTGTATCAGATGTATAAAGGTATTTATATAATATTGTTCAACTGCTTCCCTACATACTAAAACTCATTTGTTTGATAAGACAAGCTCATCAAGAAAGTCACCAACCAAGTCCAAGAATTTCCAGTTATCTATGCAGATCCAGACCATAGTTTCTTCATTTGCCACCTTGATGTCCATCAATATATGATTTGCAGGTGACAGAAAGACACCAATCTTATATCTTTGCTTGGTCTTTTCAACACAGAACCCTATTAGGTCTTTTTCTAAAACTTCGCTGATTTTGTTCTCTGAGATGTCCAATCTTTTAACTGACAGTGCACAAGTCTGTTCTGATGAGCCCATTGTCTTCTGGTTTTTCTTAAAGTGCTTCCACAAACACTCAAACAAAACCCTTTTCTCTAATCCATTTTCAGTATCATCAGAAGCTGATATAAGTGGCTGGAAAAAGTCAAAGAAATTCAACTGAAGTGGTTTAGCTGGTGCAACACATATTCTTCCTTGTTCATTCATAAAAGTGCAGCTTACAGCAACTTTGAATGGTAAAGAGTCAACTGGATACAACTTCAGCTTGACTACTTGCTCCTTGTTAGCTTGTTGCCTAGATTGAGATTTTGCACATGTGTATGGTACAAGAGCATCAGGTATTTCTTTGCACTTTCCATTGCTGTTGAATTTTATTGTCAAGGCATATACTTTTGATGGTGCATTATTGGCTACATCTTCCCTGAATGCAACCTTTATATCAAGGTCAATACTTTTATCAGCGAATTGTTCAAGGACCATTTTATATGTTTCCACATCTGTATATAAGCTTTCTTTCAAGCACATCACTTTTTGGCTTCTCTGTTGAACAAATTTATTGAAAGTAAAACATGGAGAATCTAGACGAATAGTTGGCAGTACCCCCTGAACTAAGTCAGCAGGAATCTCAACCTCTCCTTTTTTGCTAGCTGATTTGGAGTTAGCTTCTATTCCAGGCTGGGCAAAAAGCTTAGTAAAGTACTTTGGTGAAGCACAGCCAATTATCATGTAGAAGAACAGGGCTCTGTCTCTGATATCTTGATCTTGATATCTTTTGTGTATAAACCATAAAAAGTCAGCTAGCTCTTGTAGTATCTGCAGTGAATCATGGGTTCTTAGAATCGCCTTGCATACTGACAAAATTTGGCTGCCAAACATCCACTCGCCATAAATGATACCATCTGTATAAATGGTTGATGTCAGACATAAAGACCTCAACCATTTGATAACTCCATAGGGCCACAAGCGAGCCTCTGAGCAGGCTTGCTCAATCAACGGAAAGTAATTATCTGATTGAGCAAGGAACTGTGCCTTTTCTAATTTAAGAATGAAGCCTGCTATCTGATGAATAATATTTTGTTTTATTTGTTCTTCAGGCCCTTTTTTGATTCCCATTATAAAGTCAATGGTGTACCCAAGCAACTTTGGCATCTTAATGGTCATATGAACAATCCTCTTTGCAATTCTCTCTTTCTCTTTTTTGTCACCAGTCTGGTTGAATCTGAAATAAAATGCCTTAAAAAGCAAGGAACTATATTGACCACCTATACCATTATTCACCATCTTCAAAGGTATTTCTAAGCTTTTCATAAAATCAAAGGCTGTTGGGTTTATTTGCAGTAAGTTTGCAACCAAGTCAATTTTTCCATTAATGATATTTATGGGATCAAAAGGAAAAGTCTTGATCATTTCATCAAAAACATTTTGAAGCAAAAACTCTGAGTCACCTAGGAAATCAATTTGTCTAACTACTTCAAAAAACCATTGCAGGCACACCAAAACCACACCATTTGGAAAAACAGGTAGTTTTATCAACCTCAACAAACAATGGGCTAGAGCATTCAAATCCTGTGAAGTAATAACTCCTTGCAAATGATCAAAAGCAAGCAGTAAGCCAAGATGGATTACTTGCAGATCAGTTGAATAGCAGCATTGTACCATCTTGTTTTGCAAAACAACCTTTGGCATGTGGAGATTTTCAAACAGAAACCCAATTTTTTGGCCTATTTGCCACAGGATAACTGGAGACATGTTGCTCAGATCACCTGCCAGAAATGATGTGATTTGCTGTTCATCTTTTTCCCCAATTCCATGGTGTGTCATGTTGAAATCCTCATAGTATGTCAGGTCCTGACATCCAGATTCATTATACTGCAGAATGTTACATAACACGGTGCTAAGCAGTAGCATATAACTCTGTGATGCAAACGATTTCTCTTTCTTTGTCAGATCAAACAACAAATATATGCACTTTGATAGGATAGAAGGGATGGCTGTTTCTAGTTCAAAGAGACAGTCACAAGCAACTTTTCTTACGAGTGTTTCACTGGGAATATTGACTCTTTTGCACAGGTCAACAAATATTTGTGTTATTTCTTTGACAAGCTGTGGATTCAATTGATTAAGCTCAAACTGAATGATGAGTGTAGTTGTTGTTACCAGACAATTGATAACATAATGAGTGTCATGTTGGTCTGCAAGAAGGTCTTTGAGGATACATTTTATAGAACCAACAGCATGCTCAGCGAGCTCTTGAGACTGTATCAAAGATTCTCCATACTCTTGAAGCACAAGCAGCAGTTCGATTTTTGTTGTCTCTGATATGTCTTCATATAAACCCTGTAGAATGTCATAGAGAAAGGAAGAGCATTCTGACTCTGTTCTGTTTTGCTGCCCTTTGAATTCAGCTATCTTTACTGACCAAAATGTTTCACTTGTTTTCACCATCTCAAAGCCTATCCTTAAGTTTCGTTACAAAATTGTATATCTCATAATCTACAAGAAATTGTAGAATAAAGCCTATATCCAGTATGCAACATGTCCAAGTCAATAATATCTATTGAACATCATTTGCCTGCATAAGCCTTGGAACCTTGATCACTTCCTTAACCTCGCATTGGATTTTTGGAAGATTGTCTCCATTTCATTATTTGTCATTTTCAGCAATGGCGGACGAGGATGATGATGAATGTTTTGTGACAATTGGAACAGCGTTTGATATCCCAGAAAAAGATGAGCAGCCAAGAAAACAGTTTGATAAGCATGAGCAAGTTGTTGTTGATTCAAAGGGAAGAAGGCGGTTTCATGGGGCGTTCACCGGAGGATTTTCAGCTGGTTATTTTAACTCTGTGGGCAGCAAGGAAGGTTGGACTCCGTCAACATTTTTGTCTTCAAGGTCGAGCAGAGCCGAAAAAGAGAAGAAGGTACAGAGACCAGAAGATTTTATGGATGATGATGACTTTGGAGACTTCGGAATTGCTCCTAAAAAATTCATGACGAAGGAAGATTTTTCCCCTGCTGACAGAGAAATAAACGAAAGGAAGAGAGTTCTGGGGCAAGCTGTCCAAGAAGGTGTTGTTAGAAGCGCTATACCGGGTGGTATCCCTGTTGATGACCTTATCATTCCATCAAGATTGTCGATTGGAGTCCAGCTCTTGCAAAAGATGGGTTGGAAAGTTGGGCAGGGTATTGGTGAAAAGCAAGAAATGCCCAAGTTGGAGCAAGAAGATTCCACACTTTCCAAAGAAAACAATCCCTCACAAAAGGTGAGCTGTTATTCTCTGTTACGGGAAATTTTTTCTTCACATATGCCAAAACAGAGCACAGAATTGGAATCTTCATGTTGAAATTTTTCTGTGCCAAAATTTTCATCTTGTTTGGGCCACCAGGCAATGAATTGTCCATTTGCAAAATTTAGCTTTTCCTATACATTTCAATGGAATTTGTTGCTGCAGTGAAACATTTTCCCTACAGCAGCAAATTCTGGTCAAATCTAAAGAAATTTCTAAATATTCAAACATTGACATATGTTGTGCCGTACAACCCAAATGACATGAAGTTTTCAATATTTATACTGAAAACATTGTCTTGAAATTAACCTATAAGCTAATTTCAAGACAATGATTTCAAATCTGGAGTATAGCTTTGAGAAGGGCGAGTGACATGCAAATCAATGACATCAACCTGGAACGGACAATTATTTTCATATCGCTTGGCTTTTTGTTTTGACAAGCAAAGTTTTGTTTTATGTATACACAATTCTTTCTATGTTGACTTCTCAAACCTTTAAGCTTAATGAACATCTATTAAAATAAAGATAGTTTTGATGTGAAACTATATAAATACAACCAGGTTACTTTCACCTTAACAAGCATCTGAAGTTGTCCCAAACATGTGTAGTTACTTTAAGCTAGAGACTCAATAATAAGAACCAACAAATACTTGGTTTTTAAATGCTTTGTTGGTGTTTTGTTTTACCCCTAATGTTTGATTTGTTTACAATTTTAACAATCTAATTGCTAGCTGTGTAATTTGAAAGAGGAAAAGGAATCCAATTCTCCTAAGAGTAAAATCTTGATATAATATATTTAGCCTAAGAGTATAATTAGATTTTCTATTTAAACGCCTTTGTAGGTAATTATCTGCATCTAGGGCACTGGGATAGCTTTTTAGGTTTATCTCAGTGCCCTAGGCAACCTTTCACAGACCATCTTCCCCAATCTTTTGCTTCTTTATGTTTTCAATGATAGTTGTGTTTTAATAAATATATATTTTATGTACACCTTGTATGTTGCTAATTACTTTGATTTTAATTTAAGCAGAAATTTAATTCTATACATGAATCAATTGTAATATTAGAGGGAGAATGACATGTTTGTTTAAGATTCCCAAGAGAGAGAAAAAGGAACTCAATCTGTCTGCACAACTGGAGGTCTTTTGTTTTGATTAGGAGATATATCAAAAAACCTTATGAAAAGATGATTCTCTCTTCTTGGTTGACAATTTCGACAATTTGCTTGGACATGACCATGCTTGGACAATTTTCTCTTACAATGATATCTTACAATCATAGGTTTATGGGTGTTCAGTACCTCAAAATATGCCATCAAGTACAGATTTAGATTATAAAAGTATTGTGAACCTTCTTGCCCCAAAAGATGCCCAGTCTATCAATTTCACGCCAAAAGAGAACATACATGGAATTGGTTATAAAGGACTTACCCCTGGTGCAGCCTTTTCTCTTTCTGCTGACTATTCTTCAAAATCATTCAAACCAACTGGTAGGGAGAAAAGGGGAATCAGAGGACAGGTAAGTTTTCAGTGTTTAATTGCAATTTTTCAATATGGCAAACAAAAGAAACGTTTTGTGAGAGTATCTTTATGTAAAGGTTAATAACTCAGACCTTTAGCATCATATTTTTTTGTATTTATACAAATTGTGCTAATACAAGAAACCAGAGACCACAGAACATCACTTAAAAGTTTTGAGGGCTCAGCAGGTCAGGGGCCAATTACAACAATGATTGATTTTATGGCTTTAAGAACATTTTTGCCTTGGCAACCTTCTGTGGTCCTTGCGTAAAACTAATTTTTACAGGCAAGCAATATCCATGGTAAAGTACATAGTCATGGTCATGGTAAACTTGTTTTAGTCCACCTACTGATGAAGCCCCATCTGCCTGGGCAAAAAAATTAGCCTTCACTAATTTACGTGCTGTATTTGTTGTTGTTCATTCCGTTTCATTGTGGTGTTTCTTATTTGCTACATTTTTATTGATTTTTCTCTGCAAGAATTCCTTTGGAGTCCGTTGAGAAGCCTGCTATTGTGACCTTTTCTTTATTCACACAAGTACAAATATGGAGTTGTTTTTATGGCAATATTTTCCAGAATGCACTAAGATAAGTCTAAATTTTCATATCAAACCTTGAATATTTCATAAGTTTCATGTAGATTCATATACCTATAAATCATGGACATTGTGTTTTTATATGCAAACATTTTTAGTGATTTCTTCTTTATGTCACACATATGTATTTATTTTGATTTTATTCAAGGCTTTTGGTGTTGGTGCATTTGAAGAGGAGGATGAAAATATTTATGGCGCAGAAGATATGTCTGAATATGACTTTGCCTTATCTTCTGAAAAAGAACCAAAGCACCTGGGATGGTCTGGCCCACCAAGAAAGGATAAAGAGAAGGGTATGCACTTCTACATTGACATTTTGAACTGAGGTTATGCCAGGTTCTAAGACACAACATGGCTACCTTGCTTTTTCGTGTAGATATAATATTAAACTTCTAACTAATTGCGAGGAAAGAATTTGATGTTAGCAACACCTAAAAGGGGCTAGCTAGCATAATATTAAATCTGTAGAGGAAGCTTAAGCCTAGCAGCTTATATTTTACATTATGCTAGGCCAGGTTTCTTCTGACAAGAAGATATTTCAGCATTCATCAGATCATGTAAAATTAGTTCTGAGTGAGGTTATGAGTTAAACTTATGTGATATTTTCTTGATGACATATGTATGGTTTTTAGAACGTGTGTTTGTTGAAAATATTACTCTTAGAGCAATTGTACACGAGCAAAATCTCTGTATTTTTGTAGGGATTAAGCAAATAGAGAATAAAACAATGTTGCCTCGTGTGTGTAAACAAACTCAATAATTACTTTTTATTGACTTTACTTTTTTCTAAGGTGCAATCGCAGGATTTCAGAAAGCTTCAAGACCCACAGCAATCAACAAGATTTTCCGTCCTCCACTTTTGCCAGCAAACTATGTGCCAGGACAAAACTTTTCTAACGTGAAACCCAGCAAGAATATAAACGAAGGTGGGGGCTTTTCTTCGCTTAATTCAAATGCCAGAGCTCTTCTTCTTGGCGAAAAGGTATCAGCAAAGCATGTGGCATCAGAAATTTTCCAATCAACAAGAGAATCAGTGATGTCGCAAGGAGGGGAGTTTTCTTCAACAAACGAGTGTAATTTTCGAGCAACAATTAAAAAGCCTGGAGAATTAGAACCTGAACGTCCAAGAAAACCTTCTCGTTGGGATACCAATGTGAGTGGCTCTATTACGTACGCAGGGCGAAAAGATCCATCAAGAGAAGGTTCTTTTCAGCCATTTTTGAATGACCCTGAAAAGCAACAAAGATATGACTCCTACTTGGAATCGAAAAGGTTTGGCAAGAGCTCAGAGCTGAAATATAGCGAGTAAGTCTGCACTTTGTTAAATGAAATTTTGTTAGTTTTGATGCAAATTTCAGTTTCTTGTACAGTTTCTTGTAAGTTGTTAACCTTCCTCCAGACAAAGAAGTCCCAGAAGGCAAACCTTCCTCACAAAACAATAGAAAGTGGGCGTGTTTTGGGTGTGTCATAGGAGCTTCTATTGTTTTTCGTGGACCTTCCTACGGTCAGTGGCCGTGCGACCGTAATGTTTTCCTGAATCTGACAGTTTATTTAGCTTTCTTTCCTCCGGAAATGCGTATAAGCAATTTTATCAACATTTGACAAAGTATATATGTTTTTGTACAATCTTTATTTGTAAATGCAAAGCAGAAGGTGAATTTTAATTCGGAAAATGGCGTTTTAACGTTACTTGAGAGGCATTGTTTTGATATTGTCACTAATTTCGCAAACCGTTTAAATAATGAGAGAAGGTTTAGAAGAAGCGATGAAACATTAAACTCTAATTTTGCAAAGCACAATAGACTGCACGAAAAAGTATTAACAGAAAAATACCCCGTAAAAGTATTTAATGATAGATGGAATCAATTGATCATTTTAATGGAACTGTTACATTAAGCTGCAATCAAAAATCGAGTGGTTCTAGTCATCTTACTGGATAATAGTAGTTTTTATGTACTATGAATTCCATACTATGCCATACTATGAATTCTTCAAGAACAGCGCCTTTTCATTTTTGTACACCAAGAGGGATAAGGAGGGGATGGTATGTACACCAAGAAATACGTGGATAGGGGGGTGGCACGTACACCAAGAAGCGCAAGGGATGCGGAGTGGTTTTAATACCTCACCGTGCACTTTTGCAGATATGTGTTTTTATAGTATACATCAATAGAAGCACTGGCCTATTCCACTCATCCAATGATCCAGTTATCCATGTTTGAACCTCGTTTATCCACCATCATATTTGTCAATATTTCCCAATTTTTTTATAGAAACTTAACTGAATGGGAAAAGGAAAGAGAAATGGAAGAATTTGCAAGAGCCTCTGTATTATTTCGACCGATGTCAAGCTCCATTTCGTCTCGATTTACTAGAGGAAAAGAGTTTTCAGAATCTAAAGAGAAAGGAGACAAAAAGCAGGAGGACCAAATACCAGATTGTGAAAAAGCTGCAAAGTTAGGAATGTTTGGAAAGATGACCAGAACGACATACGAGTGGCACCCTAGTGCAATTCTTTGTAGAAGGTTCAATGTCCCCCACCCATATCCGGGCTCACGTTTTACGGGCACACCAGGTCAGGAAAAAAGAAAAGCAAGCGACTGGCTTCCCGTCATAGATATGACAATTAACGACGAAGACTCTTCGAGGCCTAGCGATTCTACAAGATCCTTTCGAGAAACGAAACCTGAGAATTTGAAAAATGAAAAAGTACGTTATGATGGTGAAGAAATTTCAGTCAATTCAGTAGACAATGAAGTAATGCAGCCGACAGCGTTCGATGGAAAAACGTTAGATCAAAAAGGAAGATCAACAGAGTCTTCTAAACAGGCTGGACCATTATCATATTTAAACGACAAGAAAGAGGTGGATGAGAAGGGTGTCACTGTCCTTGACACATCTTTGGCTGATGCTGGAGATAGACCATCATTAGACCTTTTCAAGGCAATTTTCTCCGATTCAGAGGATAGTTCTTCAAGTGAATCAGATGAAAAAGAAAATGCTGGTCCTGATGAAGAGAAACTTGATAAAGTAAAGACTGAAACTGATCAAAGTAGAGAAAAATTTCAAGGTTCGCAGGATAATGATTTCGCAGAGAAGCAGTCTGAAAGTGATATATCTATTAAAATTACCAACACTAGCAGAAAAGAAAGAGACCCCCCGGATACTTCCGAGAAAGTTCAGATGACACTAAGTTATACCAGTGGAAATGATGCATCCAGTGGTGTGAATTTGTTTGGGCCGTCTTTACCACCAAGGGAGAAAAGCGTCGATGATAAAAAAATGCAAGAAGAGAAAAGGATTTTAAAAGATCGGGAACGGTCTTCTGAACACCATAGCGAAACTCTCAGTAGAGAGGAACACAAGAAAATTGATTTTAAAAGAAACGAAACCACTTCTCAAAGTAAAAAATTAAATTCGAAGACTCGGAAGAGCGAAACTCGGAAGAGCGAGACTCGGAAGAGCGAGACTCGGAAGAGCCAGACTCGGAAGAGCGAAACTCGGAAGAGCGAGACTCGGAAGAGCGAGAAAAAGAAGCACAAGAAAAACAAAAGCAAAAAAAGAAAGAAAAAATCCCACAAGACTACTCGAAAATCTGAAAAATATCTTGATAGGACAGACAGCTCATCTGAATGGTCTTCAGGCTCAGATGAAGCTTGGGAAGGATCAAAATCGAATGTCTATAAAGACGATGATCGTGATTTGGAAATCAAGAGTGATAAGCGTAGGGAGAAACAACGAAGCCGGCACGAAGAACGTGAACAGCATCAAGAAAAGAAATCAGCTGATATTTACTCTGATGCTTCTTCGACTGACAGAAGGCATAGACGAAAAAGCGATAGCGAAGAGCGTGTTCCTTCTGCAAGGGATATATATAAAAAGCTGAAAAAGCAAGGTTTATCTATCCAAAGAATGTCTGCTGCTGATTTTATGTAATCGTTACAACTGATGCAGCTGCCTTACGTCAAAGTAGTTGCTGAATAGACATAGTGACGTCTTTTTGTGTTCGTAAACACATTATGTGATCATATTCTTAAAGCTTTTTCACCCCTTCCACCCAATGTGAGCCTGCAAAATCATCGATGAAACCCGGTCTATTATTACAACTGCTAGATGGGCATTTACGCTCCACACCTCTCTTGAAAATTTAAAGGAGAACGAAAGAAACACTGATCTTTGTTGCTAATTCTAGTTTAAAGCCGGGCTTCATTGAAAATGGAGCCTTATTAATAAGTACTCAACGAGATTAGAATGAACTGTATGAAATCTTTTTAATCTTCCGTCATCATGGTTCAAACCTCCTCCTTTGCCCCCTAATCAGCCCTGATCGTTGTGAGAACTCCATGCCACCTTACCAACTCTGATACCCTTTCGATATGTAATCTAAGTATGTAAATGATTCCTTATGTTCAATGCAACCGTCTCTACTTGTATTGCCATATTGACTCATTATGTTCAATTTTCCAGTTTCTTTGATTTGGAGCCTCTGAAAGCAGAAGCTGCTAAAAACTATAAACCACTTGCATAATGTCATGCAAAAGCTGGGTGAATATAATGCCATATAATGGTATGTATGAAAAATGTTCTTCTGAGCCAGTGCTCTTTTCTCGAGTTGTGCCAAAACTCCTCACCCACAAACTCTGATACTTCACCCACAAACGTCACCCACAATCAAAATACACGACAGTGTCCCGTGTATAAGAAGCACCTTTTTCACTTATAGGCCTGACATGTTTTTCAAAAAAGAGATTATTAGAAATTAAAAAAGAGAGCCTTAAATCTGTGGAAAGTTTCGTATTGGACAAAAAATATGCTATCGATCAACTACTCAGCTGCGACTTCTATTGACTACGAAACAAAGTGTCTCTTAATGACTTCAGAAGAAGGATAAGTTGAATTGCAATTTTTTTAGGATACAGAGACAATACAATTTGGTAGCTGGCAAACAGTGTTGGTTATCTTTTATATTAAAAGAAGCGATCTTTTTCTCAATCATATTCCTATTTCTCATTAAATAGGGCATTAATTTGGAAATCAAAGTTTCTTGTTTGTAATTTCGCGTTTCTTGTATGCGGAACACAGCTGTAAATCCTCGCTCAACATGTGATCATAGTATTATTGTCTGTTTACAGAGACGGCTGTCTTCCTGGATTGCTTTCTTTATGATAAAACTCGTGATGTAACGCAATTTTCTATGTGTAGACTGTATTTTAAGAAATCCAAGCTCAGTATTTGATGCTAGTTTCATTATCATTGTTTGTTTACAGTTGATGATAATGAGGTGATGATTCTTGATTTACTTCGGTACACATGGCAGCAAAAACAAATATTTGTCTCTTCGAAATCTTTTAAGTGTGTCATATATCCAGGTCACTGGGATAAATGTTTCGCGTTTACATTAAACATCAAAAGACTCAAAGCAATAAAATGGCTTTTTGTTTCATCATCACGTTAAAACTTTGCCTTTGTTTGCTTTTTGGTAGTTTATAGTAAGATTGTAAGCGAATTTTTCATGAACAATATTTTGTTGAGTTGGGTGAAAGAGACTGAAAAGTAGATGAAGAGATGGGAAAACTCTTTGCAATCACTGGTTAGAAGAATTTGTTTGGTTCGTACAGAGTGTGAAAAAGTACGTTAACTTTGTTATTTTATTACTGAGCTTCGAGTTGAATTGAGCTATACTTGAATATGTAGCCTGGATAAAATTATTCCTCGAACATGCAACAAGATTTAAGGTCTTTTTTGAAAACTTTGACATCCTTTGAGCAACCAGCTAATTAATGCCATTAAATTTTTCTTAACGAAAAGTATTTGTAAGTTTTCTTTTTTAATTAGCAATTTCCGACTGCTGGACACAAAAACGCTGCTTCATAGAAATGTGACAAATTATTTTACCTCGATGTTTGTAAATATGCTCTTATTAAATCTACAATTTTATTCCTATATACACAATATTTAACGGGAAACTTGATTAGGACGTTGTCATATGATTAGCATTTTTTTTAAATTGGTTTGTTTTCAAAATGCCATATTGGATTCCTATCTTTAATGCATCTGCTCCAGACCAATATGACCCCTTGGACCAATATGACCCGAAAGTCATATCGGTACAGATCCAATATGACACCAGGGTCATTCCGGTCCAGGGAGGGTTTTATTGGTCCGTTTTATTATTTTTCTGTACGAAAAGTTGGCAGAAAAAGTAACAAATTATGGATGCAGTTTTACTTGCATGAAATTGCTTAAATAAAATAGTTGGATGGCAAACTCCAGTTTTCACCAGAATTTAACTTGCACTGAGCACTATGTAGGTTATATTGTTCGATAAAAGAAAGGATGCCAAGTGAACAGTTATGAAATCTTTAATGATTTTTGAATTTGAATCATACCACCCAATGAGCGCCACAAAATTGACTCTGAATGTGAATAACGATTTAAATCTACAACGAATTGGCTGAGGTATGGCCACACGAGAACTCCCTTCCGTAACAAATCACTTTATTTTACTGGTCTTATAATGTATCATTCAAGCCAAGGCTCAGGGCAAAAGAAAGATAAAAAGTTATTGGGGCCGAGAGCATTGGTTTAGGAGCAGGTTCTCCAGAAAATGTTTTTAGGCCACTTCTACTGGATGCCCATAAAATGCTTTGTTTTACATTGACATCACAATGTTATCCATTGAAACCTCACAAATAGCACAAGATATTCTGAAAATATCAGTATATATATCTATAGATTCAATCTACTACATTTCTTTGACTGTCACACTTACTGTACATCAACTCGCACTTTAGTAAACCGTGCAATAGTTAGTAAAATAAAGGAAAAGTAAATTTGTGATTCGGTTAAACAGAGATGAAAATGCATTTTAGCAGCGTGATTTCTTCGTGAGATAGGGGAAGTTATTACAATACAACAGCAGCAACACCTTTGCATCAATCAGAAGCACATCCATCTTTGGTGAACAAGGATGAAAAATGTTTTGAGCCAATTAGACTGTTTGTTTACAATTTGAACCAGCCAATGGTATAGCGTCAAAGACAATAGAAATCTGGAGAGAAAATAGCATCGAATCAGCCGCAACAGTAACGCTCGCACCTCCTATCCAAAGCTGTGGGGAAAAACCGGCGCCACAAAAAGTTAACGCTGAACGCGAAAATTGTCATTATTGAAGTGCTTCATACAATTATGCATAGCAAAGGAGTATATCTAAAACTTTGCCGTCCCCATTTTTGAAATTCGGTCGTTAACCAGAGATAAGCGATGAAACGTTTACCCCATTATTGCCCTGATTGAATCTGCTTACGATGGTTATGGTTGGTTGTACTCCAAGAAAACGGCATCATGTCATTTTATTGAAAAACAGGTCATTTTGAAATCTTTTTACAGGTCGTTGATAAAATTTAAGCAAAAAATAAACCTTGAAAAATTGTGCACATTTTACTTGTTATTTCAAAAATTGCTTGTTTAAAAATTTGTAAAGTAAAATTTGAAACCTCTGCATGACCTGCAAAAGTTCAACTGAAAAAGCTATTGAGATATAACAAGCTACATTTTTTGAGTTCTCATTATCTTATTGGAATACAACGATCAGGGTCATTATTGAGCTTATATTTTGTAAAGTGGTACATTCTCCAACTCTTTTTAATGAAACTTTGCAAAAATATTTGAATATATTGACATGCAAAGTTGGGAAACCTTGAACCTTTCACTCAACAAAGACGCACTACATTTTACAGTAAAGACGAATACAATTCTTGAACCCTCAAGCACTTCGTAAGTACTTCTGAGTTTTTTCTTAAATGAATCCGTACTTAAGTCACTAAAAAAACCAGGGGATTTATTTCAGTGGAGACAGATAGCGTGGGCCGTTGCGTGCTTAGAGAAAACATTTTATCGTTTACTGTCTAACGTTTTGAAGCCTTTATAACAATTCGTGTCTAGAAAATTCGTTGACAAATCGTCCTAAAAAACTTTGCCATGAGAAGAACCATTGCTTGCACCTACAAAAATACGAAAATCAGGAATAGAAATAAGATTTTGGAATAAATATTTGCAACAATGCCGCTATTTTCTCAAGATATGCATTTCTTCTATACGCAACACTCTAGAACGCACTCAATGAAAGAAAGTTGACGGACTGTCTTAGGGTTAAGAACATGCAAGAAAAAGGCAGAATGAAGGGAAAAAACCCAAGTTTGGTAATCATCTCTCCGTCTTACTTTAAAATATACGACGTACATACTTTGTAAGTAAAAAATGACCTGTTTTTCAATAAAATGACATGATGCCGTTTTCTTGGAGTACAACCAACCATAACCAACGTAAGCAGATTCAATCAGGGCAATAATGGGCTAAACGTTTCATCGCTTATCTCTGGTTAACGACCGAATTTCAAAAATGGGGACGGCAAAGTTTTAGATATACTCCTTTGCTATGCATAATTGTATGAAGCACTTCAATAATGACAATTTTCGCGTTCAGCGTTAACTTTTTGTGGCGCCGGTTTTTCCCCACAGCTTTGTATAGGAGGTGCGAGCGTTACTGTTGCGGCTGATTCGATGCTATTTTCTCTCCAGATTTCTATTGTCTTTGACGCTATACCATTGGCTGGTTCAAATTGTAAACAAACAGTCTAATTGGCTCAAAACATTTTTCATCCTTGTTTCTTTGGTGTACTACAAGGAGGAAGCTTTTCCCCTATTTTGATTACACTTGCAGCGCTTCGTGGAAATCACTGGGAACTTGCTCAGAATGGAGGATAATTCTGTCGTTCAGTTAAAAGGGTTGATTGCTAAGAAAGAAAAAATTGAAGAAGACCTAAAGGATTTCCAAGAGGTTCTCGAGTCTGTATGTTGTCTTGTTTGTTTTCGTTGTTTATTCCATGACATTTTGATCAATAATGTTTTTAGGCCACATTAATTTTTTCAGAAACTCGATTTCAAATTTCTCGGAAACTCGATTTAGATGAGAAGCAGTAAAGTTTTGGTTCTAGTGCGAACAAAAGTAAACTTGAAAGGACACTGTGTCATGTCTGGTTTAATCGAAAATATCACCAACTAAGTAGGCCCACGGCTAATCCTCTGACGTTCAAGAATGAGCATGATTATTGATAGTTCAAGTAACCTTGAAACAGATTTAATTTTGTCACAGCAAAGCAGCTATTTTTCTTAGATTGGCTTAAAATGTTATATTTCATACTGTTTTTGCTAAATATGATGGAATTCTTTTTTCTACGTCACAGGGTAAGAGGTCTTTTTGCCAAACCTTTTGATACATTTTGAAATAGAACCAAAAAGTTCATCAGTTGGGACAATTTGTTAATTGAGGTCATAGAGGTTTGAGGTGTAAAAGCTTTCTTTCCAGATACAAAAAGAAAACACAATGCTTGGTATTGTGCCCCCAAAAAAGTTTTTTGTGCTCTTCTTTCAATGTTCATTTATCTGCTTTCATTAGAATGACAAAAACAGCTATTTTGCAAAATATCATTGGTTGCTGGAGGAACAACAACATTTTATATATCTAGGGCAGCATAAGCAGTTAGTGCAGGTTAAATTTTAGTTTAAATGACAACAATGGAAATCATCTGTCAATCAACTATTGACCAATCAAGAAGTGAGATAGTACTCACATTCTTGCAGAGGAGAGCTGTTGACTCCCTCACGCTAAACAACATAATAGCAAAATAAAAAATGAATGTTGAGTTATGTCACCACAGTAGCGAAATGAGGGGGAGGCAAGAGAGGATGAACACCCTCCAAGGGGAAAAAATCTCTTTGGGAATTTTCTCACTCAACTTGCCTTTGTCCCCAACCTTCCAAATTGGCTTTGCTACTGATCAGAAACCATTAGATTGTTGTCCACAACCCTAATCACTGTGTCATCCTCACATCTAAGCTAGTTTTTGAGTAAAAAGAAATGGTGCAATTTTCCTGTCTACCATTGTAGTTGTACATAAGAAATTTAAAAGTTTGATGCTTTTTATGTAGAACAATGTTGGCATGAAAGAAGATCTGGTTGATAAAGATGGTTATCCGAGAGCCGATATTGATGTCTACAGTGTAAGAACAGCCAGAAATAAAATTATTTGTAAGTTGCTTAGAACATCAACTTTTGGTAACCAGAGAAACTATCATTTGTTGTGAATGTAAAATTAACAAGTTCATTTAGTTGTCTAATGAAGCTGCATTTTCTTGGTTTGTGGGCTAAAACAGAATGTATTCAAATTCTCACAAATTTTGCACAAGTCTCATTTCAGAAGGAAGAATCAATGAAGTACAATAGAAACAATGAAACTAATTAGGTTCACCATCAAACCTTTGAATTAAGAGCATGAAACTGACAGGTATGCTAAGATTAAACCCCCTTTTTAGACCAGCTGCATGGTCTAAATAGCCAAATGAAATTGCCACATTAGTTTTATACAGGAATTTCCAAAAAAATATCCTAGGCTTACATAGTACAACCTAGCCAAGTATTACATAGTTTGTTTTGATTATTTTCCCCAGGAAATAGATATCCTCTGCTAGACAATTTAGAACCTTCTACTTATGCCTTCTTTTAATGTGTGTTTCAGTTCACAAAAAAGTTGCAGCAGATGTTTACCTTGATTTGCCAAAAATGAAAAATAATGATTAACTCACAGCATTGCAAACATGAAGAACAATGTATATGAAAGATGCAAATATCTAAAGATGGTCAAATAATGAATAACTATATTGGCTAAAGAAATACCATGCAAACACTTGTAACTTTAGGGTAGGGCATGGGGCTTTGTGTGGGTGTGGGCACAGTCCATGAGAGCTGATAATGCATCCAGACCTAATTCTACTGTCTGTCTAAGATAAATCATTAAAGCCGTCACAAGAATCATGAAGAGCATAGCCTGCATTCTTTTGCATAATGAAGCAAATTTCTTTTGTAGGTTTGAGAAATGACCTGAGTTCCATCATGAAGGAAATTGAAGAGGGATTACATAAAGTTCATGCCATGGCAAGAGAGAATCCAAAGGAGTCAAATGTAGAAGATATGGATACTTCTCCAGGTATTTTAATTTGTCATAGTTTTCAAGGTTTGCAAGTTTTATAAACATATTTTTGGAATGAAAATGATAAGTTCTCTTTGAACTGATTGGAATCTCTTTGTTTTCAGATTTGGAAATGCATCCATTTCTTTCAGTTGACTTGATAAGCAGAGAGTCTCCAGCTGAGAAGGCAGTAAGTTGAATATCTCAGGCTGCCTTGAAATTTGTGATAGATCATTGGTCTCCTGAGCTGCGTTACATAATTTCAGTCTTCATTTCACCTTTTCAATCATTATGTCATAAGCAGTTTAAGATTATAAATGGTGAATGCCAAGCTGAAACTTTACAAAGTCGTATAAAGTTACAATTCTGTGCCTCTATTCAGAAAATTAGTTCAACTTTGCATCTAATTAGTTCAACTATAAGCTATGCCTGTGGTGGCAGTTTAAGAGATGAAAATGAAACTATATTATATTCACTGGACTAGAAAATTCAAGTAGGGCTTTGGTTTATTTATTATTTGAAAGCCAAGACATGCAATTAAGCAAAACGTCTTGTTTATTTGGGTAGCATTGTTGACGAGAATAACTTTGTATGCACCTGCTGAAATTTTTGTGACCCGCAGCTTGCATGAAACAAACTAAAAAGATCAAATTATCTGAAGGACTAGAAAACAGGGAAATTAGTTAAATCACTTAATTGAGTTTGGATAGCCAATGACTTAAAGTAATCAGTCTGAAAAGCTAAATTTCAGAAATTATTCCCATAATTTAACTGAAGTTAATTACATCAGTCCAAATGAACTTATGAAGTAATTTTCTTTTCTGAAATAACATGAAAATAAAAATTATTAAAAAATAAAATCAAAATTGTTGGCTTTTTCAAATTGTTAATTAAATTTCATTTTTTATGAATTCTTACAGGGGTTGACACTTGGTGATCAGATTTTAAAATTTGGCACTATAACATCAAAGAATTTCAATGGGCTAGCATCAATTGGCAGTCTAGTACAACACAGCAAAGGGGTTTGTTTTCTTTAATCGAAAATGTTGTGTCACAAAAATAGTTACAGTCATGGCTAGTGTACATTTAGTGTTAAGTTGAGTTAGGTTAAATAAAGAGATCAATATAGCAAGAGCTTCTGGGTATTGTGTTGAGATATATTATACTATTTTGTACAATGCCTGCCAAAAGTCTTGGAACACTGAGATCAATTTCCAAGGTCAAAATCAATCATCCCCCTCTCCCCTACAGAACAATGTTGGGTTACTATCAAACGAGTTAAGATTTTAGGAAGCACTTTCTTTTGCGCTTCTTTTATGATATTTCTCTAAATCATCAAAATTGTTTTAGGGGAAGGGGCGGAAGTAGCAATTTTTTTTCATGAAAGGAATGAAAGATATCAAATGCAGCGTAAATTGCTGGGTGTTCCAAGTACTTTTGGCAGGCATTGTAGTTCTGTTTCAAAGGAAATTGCTGGACATGAAGTCTCCTTGACTGTGTTAAACTGCAAACATATCGGTACATCTCCAATGTGAGATGCAATATGATCTACAATCTTGTAGGTTTGCAGTTAAACATAATTTTAGTTTTTGCTAGTATTAGAATGTCTCTCAGCAGAATTTGTGTGCTAATTGTTTCACATTAAGGCTCATGAAAAGAAGATCAAAGATATTGACCAGCTGATATGTATAAAAAGGCGACAATATTTTTGTGCTTTTCTATGAAAATGTCCTCTCAGCATTTTTTGACATCTTATTTGAGTTAACTTCTATTTGTTATGTAGGGATAATATTTCAAATGTTTTATAAAAATCTTTACAATAATGGTATACAACTAGTTCTGCAAAGCTTTCTGATGATACCATGCAAGTGCTTTTTCAATATTTTGGTTTTGTAGTATAGAAGTAAGTTTAAATATTTTCCTTTCAGAAACCTGTGCCAATAGTTATTAATCGTGAAGGATCCATAAAAAATATCACACTAACTCCAAACACTTGGGAAGGTCGAGGTCTTTTAGGGTGAGCTTGATTGCCTCAAATTATTTCTTTGCCAAAATTTATACTACAGTTGACTCTGCTTATAGTCACTCCACTAAATAGTCACAGTCACATCAAAATTAGACCCAAATATACGAAACTATTAAATTTAGCTCCACTTACAGTCAGACTCCCTTTACAGCTACAAGTTTCAAGCAATATTTGGTGTGACTTGAACCGGAGTCTAATGTGTCAACTTAAATAATTTGTGAATGAAAACTAGCTTACATTGACTTTGGATGAAAATATTTATTACTACTGTTTGTTTACAATTTCCTGTGTGAATGATAGAATGATAGCAATTGCCTGTCAGTTTTGAAGTTTACCTTTTTGTTAAACATCTATATCAACGTGCTGTGGTTCAGTGGTCAAGGCAAATAACCTCCTTATTTCAATTACACAAACATGATAAACGGTAAAAATTTTTGTAGACTGGTGCATTGAAACTGATGCATCATTTTTGTGTTTAAGATGCAACTAGCCATTGAAAATGCCCTTGAACTAAGCAAAGTCCTAGGAATCTAGGAAACAAGGAATTCTTTTAAACGAAATAAATATGATACAAGAATGTGGTTGAAAATATGTGTTGCACATATTCTGTGCATTCTCTGTTATGCTAAAGGCTTTTTTTCATTTTAGATGCAATGTTGTACATATCAAGTAGTTTCATTATGAGGTGAAGTTCAAATCTTCTTGGAAATTACAGCCAATGCATCAAAAACAGAAGGCTTATTTGTTTCTCTTTATTGATTGGCAAAACCGTATAGAATGCATAACTTTGCCCACACCTTTAAGATGGCAAAACATGCACCATAAAGTTGGTTTTGCTATGAGAAAGAGGTATGGAATTGTGGAGTAGACAGTGGCAAAAAGTGCATCTTCAATCTGCGGCTTAAGCTGTGAACATTAAGTTTGTATTTGTGATTTGTTAAAGCATGCATTAATTGGTAAATATTGAAATATAGCAAGTATACTGGTCTTCCTTACATGTAGTTCTGGCTAAAAATGACATCTTGAAAGATATTCTTCTAGTGTATACTTTCTAGTAGATACTTATTTGTTATGTATCTTGTATTCCTCCTTTGTCAACAGAGATGAAAAAGTTAGAAACTCTGTCTTGGGCAAAAATATATGTACAAGTAAATTTTAACAAAAACAGTTACTCGTGGCCTAATATGTGTTTCAGAAGTTTCTAAACATTCCATTGATTGCTTTTTCATGTACCACTATGGGCTGTCACTGGATGAGGAATCAGAGGAAGTTGACATTAACTCTACATCATCTGTATTTACTGGCCTCTCTTCTCCATTGAAAATTGGTGGTTGAATGGCATTAGCAGATACCATAGCATATGGTTGCTCCTATGAATATAACAAAAATTTAATTTTCTCAATGATATAAAGAAAAAACATAAGAAAGAGGTATTATCTAATGGTACTTGGATATTATTTTTTAATAAAAGGTTGTTTTTCATGTTCATAGTGATCTCAAAAAAGTCATTTTTAATTATTTTATACTGCAAATAACTAACATCATCTTATTCAACAACACAGCATAAGATATATTCAAATCTCACTTTATTGTCTAAAATTTGTTGATAGACTTCATTTGTCTGCTCTGATAGCGACCATACACCAGGATTATTAGGTCGACCTGAAAAATAGTTCATATGAAATAGAAAAGAAATGCAAGATATCGTTTTTGTTAAAAACAATGATTATGGTTTTAACATCATAATTTGGTGTTCTCTACCAATGTTATCTCTAGAGCCTCTACGTCTTCCATAAAGTTTCAAGTATATGAAAGCCTGTTTTATGGTCAATTATTGACTGGATTGAAAACATTTTTTTTACTGATACTTCTGCTTCTTTTTTCTTCATTTTTGTTTAATTTCTTAAGTACCCATCTGCCAGTGAAAACGTCTAAGGCCTGTAAGGACTAGATTGAATAGAAAATAGATTTTATTAAATGATACAAAAAATCCTATTGTGGCATCTAGTGACCCCTTTTTGTGTTTGCTATCTGAACAGCTTAAAGTCTTTTGTTTCAAATAGGAGTAAGATTACGAACCAGATGTTCCTAAAATATCATTTGTTGTCTCACTTGAATTGCTAGCTGCTACTGAACTAGCTGTTTGATCTTCTTTCAAAGTAGGATCCAGAGCTTGTGAATAGTCATCATCAGCTGAAAGCCCACTTCTTGACTGCTGGGACATATGACCCAGCCAGCCTCGCCGCATAATGAAATCTAAAGGATATGGTCGTCTTGGGTCTCCTGAATTACCATTGAAAATATAAAATAATAACAATTAGACCAATATTCGAGGTGTCGGGATAAATATGACTAAAAAGTGGGCAATATTGGATGCATCAGAAGGTAAATAAATATCTCAGGATGCTATTAAATGGTTCTCTGTTGCTGAGAACCTTAAATCATGTAGAACTACAGGTTTCTACAACAGATATAGGAAGATAATTCAGTAAAATTTTATTAACATAGTTGCAATTTCCCACAACAAAAGTATTTATTATTATTGCTAGTATATAGCAGTATCTAGAATTTCTGTTTAGAGTTTCATGATAGCAACTTGTTTTACTCATTTCAATATAGGAAAAAGTTTACCTACAAGCTTCTCATTTGAATAAAAGAAGGAATATATTTGCAGGATTTGGAACAGAGGTGGCTTGCTTTCATAACTGACAAAAATATACAGGCCCTACCTTGTTGCCAATCAGAAGGTGCTTCAACAGCATTAGAACTGCTTATCCTGAAGGCAAATTTGATGAGGTTTTCGGATGAAACTGAAGCTAGAAATGGAGTTGAGATAACAACTGAGATTAAGTAACTGTTAAATTGGACCATTTGTGAATGAATGGTAATTTCTAAATAATGGCTACTATAAAAAGTTGGTTTGTTGAAGGAAGCTCCAAAAGGGCAACAGTGATTGAAGAAGAACAGAATTGAAGAAGATACTGAAAATGAAACATTCAAACTAAAAAGTCTTGAAACCACCAATATATGATAAACAAATATAGCACTTGCTTCAGATCAATAATGGTTCTCTGTGGTGTAGTGGTTACTGCATAGGACTAATAATTCAATGGTTTTGGGTTTGAGACCAGCACTTTTGACAGCATCTTTCAGCAAGGTGTTAACACAGATTTTGCGGCTCTCTATCCAGAGGTTCAATTGCATTCCTGGTTCTTAGTTATGTGCCCTTTCCATAGATGCAACCTGCTAAATGCTCTTGTGCATTGCAATCAGGCTACAGTATGGGTTAGTTGAGTGTAACTGAGTCAGGCCTTGCTCTAAGCAAAATGAAAATGCTCCATAAAAAGAGCCCCTTATAAACTCTAGGAGCTCTAATTTGCACCTTTAAATATAATATCCTTAAGAGCATCCTTCAAGAGCTTTGGAAGATCAAGAGCTTCATATCAAAAGCTTTGGAAGAGTGTTAAATAAGAAATTCAATGGTGATACCAAAAAGCACCATAGTATGAAATAACAAAACATGCAGCAAACACTATGTTAATGCAAATTTAGAAATATAGGAAAACGCATGGCTTTAAGTCACGTTTATTTTATTTCCCTTTTTATGCTATCCATTCTATAAGAGACACTAGAACATCTACTACTCGCGAAAGCAAACGAAAACTGAAAAGCAATGCGGTAATTTGGATGGAAATGTGATTTCTGATTTGCAAAGGTGATTCTAAATTATTAAGAAAAAACAGAAAATAATACTTCAACAGAAGATTAACGCTTGCTCGAAAATCAAATAAATCTGCAGGAGAATACGCTTGATGACCTGTGTCCTTGGTGGTTATTAGAGGGTTATTAGATTAAAGATGGTATCGAAAACCCAACGTTGAATTTGCTGGATTTTTTTCTCAAGGGGTAATCTGGCGCAAATCATAATATTGTGGTCTATTGGGAAGATAGCTTATGCTTGATCAAGTTTATTAGACAAAGGCCAAGAAATTATTTTGCTCCGTGGTAATATTGTTTTTACGTTTTGAGGGGCTCTATAATTGCTCTCCAAGGCTTTTTTGGGTGCGCTCTAGGCGCGCGCGCTCGATCGAGCCCCTTTCCGGGCAAGGCCTGCTGAGTTTAATCAAAAAAGAAGTGAGAATATGTTGCTATTCTCATTACCTGGTGAAATTTTATGCTGGAAACAAGGAAATTTTATTCAACTTCAAAGTACAAAGTCATCTTTTAGCTATATTAGTCTTTGTACTCACTCAAGGTACAACACTCTAAACTACATTCATTACCAAAATAACTATGCTACATTCATTTGCTGTGATATTATCAAGCTTAAAAAGTTTATGTTTTAGAAGCCAAATAAACTTACCACCATTTGCTTGTCTGGAAGCATCTAGCTTTCTTTTTGCTTCAAACAGAGCATTTGCCTATAAACAGAAATGAGATTGTGGACCAATGATTAAAAAGTAACAAAGGCATGGTCTTGTGTAAAGTAAGAGAAAATTGTTGATAAAAACATCATACCAATATTTGTTCAGCATCTCTCAGCTGGCTTTGAAGTTGCAGAATTTCCTGATCTTTTCGTGATATTTCATCTTTGATTTGTATTATTTGTTGCTGTTTTACTATCTGTTTCTCACCTAAAAATAAGGCATTCAGTAGTCCTTATAAAGCAACATAAAATGCCTTTTATCACAATTGTGACCACTGGAGCAGTATGCTCTAAATTTGATGTGGCTTGGGCTTTTCATCATTTCTCAACCATTCTGAACTGAACAGAAATTGATGCTTTATAGTAAATGATCTGTGTGCTTTATATGGTGCTAGCAAAAGGTAGTGGGATTATGTTGAAATTGAGGCTCTAAGAAAAAAGGGTATCATTTGGAAACAACTAAGGAGTTTGAGAATCAGTCTGAATGCTTTAACTTTAACTAACTAACTAACTAACTAACTAACTAACTAACTAACTAACTAACTAACTAACTAACTAACTAACTAACTAACTAACTAACTAACTAACTAAACTAACTAACTAACTAACTAACTAACTAACTAACTAACTAACTAACTAACTAACTAACTAACTAACTAACTAACTAACTAACTAACTGATAGCTGCAACTATCAGTGAAGGGGTCCTTTTTGCAAACCTTCAGCATGCAGATTTATGACTTCACATGTGATGCTAGTTCAATGCAAAAATGACTAAGGTAGAAAAATTATGCAACCTTGTTACCAAATCAAAAATAGCCTTATAATTTTAAATAATATTTGAATCACACATGTTTAAAATTGGCTAATCAAATAGCATAATTACCAATTACCATGATTGTCAGGCTCATTTCCATTAAATTTGTAAATAAAGACAATCACAGATGCAGCTTTAACACATAGTTGATAAAGTAGCAGAAAATAGCATATTTTGCCATGTATCAGATGCATTCTTGTATAAGATGCACACGTTGTATGTTAAAATTCAAAGAAAATAGTTCCAACTACACCTTGCCAAGTATAGAATGCATCCTCCTTTCTCAGTATTTGTAAAGCATATATTTTTAAGTGACAAAATAAAATAAACTCAAGGATACTAAAGAAGATACTAAAGAAGCTCAATCTAGGGTGGAAAAATTGGTCAAACCAAACAGGTGCACCACTACAATCAAAATTGGCAAACAGAATGACAGGGATGTAAAAATCTTCTTTGTCTCAAATTTTCTCAACAACTGTTGTTCATCAGCCCTGCATATTCAGGAAACTTTACAAATTAAAGCTGCATTCAGCCTACTTAGACTCGGGGCATCCTCTGGGTTCAACCATATAGAAATATTTGCTTTATTAATTCCATACTGGGTTATAGTTTGCCATATGTTGGATGTTTTTGCAAAGTGACACCTTTGGCTAATGAGGAGAATATTTCCTTCAAAAGCGCTCTAAGTATCATAACATTTTATTACTAAACAAGCATTTGTTTTAAAAAACAAACAACGAAAAAGGCAATAAACATGTGTAAATAAAATGTTAAATAAAAACTATGTATTACATGCATCCTCAAAACAGGTGCATCATAAACATGGCAAAATACAATACTGAAAATTGTAATTGGCCATCACTTACCTACTTTAACTGCCATTTGGATCTCTTTGTCCTTTTCAATGAGTTTTTCAACAGTCTTTGGAATCAAAAGGTAAATGCTCAGAACAAAACAAACTTTCTCAGAACTTTAGTCTATAGTCAGATGCACACTGTACTAAAGTAAAATTTACAAAATAACAATGCCTTTTTGTCAAAATGGTTTGGTACAAGCCATGTTATTCATATGTTAATCTAACAATTTAAATCCTTAACCTACGTAGCGGCATTGAATGAGGTCTACCTACTTTAGACATTGCAGACTTATGTTTGTAGCTACCAACTTATCATACTTGATGATCCTCCCCGAAAAAGGGTTTTATCACAATTGATGTTACGATTGAAGAATTGGATGGATCAAGATTGATTGATATGCCAATTTTCTCCAAAAAAACCTACCTCTGACACATGTTGAATAAGATCATTTTTTGGTCCCCTCTGTGATGCAACTGATGCAATGTTGTCAATAAGTTCTCTGTTGAAGAATTTGGAAAATCATTATATTTTAAGAATGCATCTATAGGATTACATAAATGGTTTGGTGAAAGGTGAATATGCAGATATCCGATGTCAAAAGAAGAAAACCTAAAAACTTTGTAGAATGGAAAACCAAATCTAGAAATTTTAACGTAAATGTGGGACAAGGATAAGATTATTAAGAAAGTTACAAAAATTGAAAGAACATTTGTTTTCACTTCATTGAGTGGTGCCCTACCTTCAAGTTGAGCTTAAAAACTGACATACCCTGGATACACAATAGTTTTGCATCAATTTTTTTTAAATAATGCTGAATAAAGTAGAATTTTGAATAAACTTAAAGTATAAAATAACCAGATGAAACAAAAGTCAATGTTGAGTTCCCCAGTTTCTTAATGCTTTAGGAAATTTCAATAATAGGAAATCATTTTTTAAGTATTTCTTAATTGTGATGTCAATAAGTCTAGCTTGTGGTCCTATATCTAATTTTCCTTGCTAGAAAAAAGTCAAATAAAAAATTGATGGGGAAGGTTTTTTGATTGCAAACACAGACTGGAAAAGTGAGACATTTTTATCTGATCTTACGAATGTCAGTGGGTCTTTAATGAAAGTGTTGTGCAGAAAATTGATCATATTTTCTTCAGATGCAAGCAAAAGTGTGCTACACGGTTTACCAGAATACATTTGAAATGGAATGGGCTTCCAATCAGCTAAGCTCAATGAAAAATTTATCAAATTTTCTACAAAAATACAACTGGACAAATAGTAACAGCAGATCAGGCTTCGACTATTCAGATTTAGATTAATTTTTTTCACATAAAGTATGCTTGTTCAAAGCACAAAAACAACCTAGGCTAGATGTTCCAGACTTCTGTGATCATTTTGATCTTGGGTGTGCATATATTGGCTGCTACCAGCATGAAATCCATGTAAAGCCCACACCAGATATACACCAATAATGAACAGACCATCCATGCCAGATATTTCCCATGTAAGCTACATGGACTCAACATGGCACTGCTATCAACAATGAGACCTTTTGATGTTTCTATAGTTTTCACTAAAAGCTTGTTAGATTTCTTTCAAGGGGTTTTCTTTGTTTTATATGCTTAGAAAAGGAAATTATGTTTTTTTCAGGTTCAGATTCTGGTTCTGTGTTTTCTGTGTCTAAAGTTTCTTTTTGCCTTGTGTTTGCTTAGTGTTTTCTGGTGAAAACATATTGATGACCTCTCACTCTGGCCTGTCACTCTGTCAGAATCTTCAATATTGAAGGCAGATAGTAATTGATAGATGTTAATGTAAAAAAGTAGCCTCTAGTCCTCTACCTACACACATGCTTAATTTATACGTTAAGTTTCTAAAAAAGAAACAAGTGTATGACACTTGTACACCTGACATATAAATAAACACGTATAGACAAGGTTTTAAAAATGAGCACCTCAATTTCTCTCACTAATACCTGAAAAATGGGCATATTTTCTAGTCTGGCTGCTTGGGCTCCCCCGCCGCCTCTGCCGCTGCCGGTCAAGTGTATATTCGTTATTCAGCACGAAATCAGATAGAAATAATTGCAGATTAAGAAAAACTTGCACGAAAATAAACAACATACTTGCTTATATTTTCAAAATCATCAATTAGTCTTAATAGAACTTCTTTTGTCGAAACTGAACAAGGCACTAATATCCCACCGTGATCATCATGTTCCGCCGCCATTGATGAAAATCTCGTTTACAGGTCAGACACACACAACAACAACATTCTGGTTCCTGGAGAAAAGAAATGGCGGCCGGATTGGACAATTCGAAGACAACCCCTAAAGATGCCCTTGTAATGGCATCAATATTAAAAGAAATGGGAGTCAGCGAATACGAACCAAGGGTCATAAATCAGATGCTTGAATTTAGTTACAGTAAGTATCCGAATGAACCTTTGAAAATAAACTAATCACAGACCTAACATTTTCAAAACCGGGATTTCTCTTCCAGAAAAACAGGGAGGTCAGCCAAAATTAGGGAAATGCCCAAATGCGTTAAAATTTATAAGCACACATTTGAAATTTTGTGTTAGGCAAACTGTTCTATTATGACGATTTTTTGCTTATCTGTAAACACAGCCAAAACAAAACATAAAACAGAAAACACTATATGGAACTGGCTTTGAATGATTCTAGAACTTGATTGCCCTTTTAATTAATTTATCGCATATGATAATATGAATTGATTGAATAGTGTCATTAGGTAAGTATGATTAGTGTTGTACCCAGGACTTAAAAAAAGTGTTGGTTAAAATAAGTTAGAAACAGGGAGATTATTTTGAAAGACCCAGACTGTAAAGCATTTTTTCTGCATGGGGAACGCCAGAAGAATAATTTTGACATTTGCGGATAACAAAAGTTTCCTACGAAATCATGCAAGGAATTTGAAGCAAAGGCTTTTGAAGAGACCTTGTATTCCTTGTTTTTTCTTGTTATCAAAAGTCAGAAGTTTAAATGAGTATGATTATGTTTCTGCTCTTATGTGTTATGTTTATATTATTTGTAGCGGGATGAGGCTCAAACTGCTCTCTAAACTTCAGAAAGCCACCTGTTCTTAAAAAATATTGGACCGTGTTCTCCAAAAATATTCAAAACATTGTATCAAGGACTTTCTTACGTTCGCTGAGTTCATGCAAAACTTGAACATCAAAAAAAGAAACATCTTTCATGTGTTCTTTTGATATTAGCAGTCTTTTCACAAATGTCCCTTTGAGTGAGACCATGAAAGTATGTGCCAAGGCTTTGTACCGGAGCAAGCTTAATATCCCACCATTCCCAGAGGAAGTATTCATTGAACTGATGGAAACTGCAACATGTTCAGTTGGATTCAGCTTTAACAATGAAATGTACCAACAAAAGGATAGTGTCGCTATGGGTAGCCCTCTGGAACCTGCCTTGGCCAATATCTTTGTTAGCTTTCATAAAGAACTTTTGTTTGACTGCGACCAAAGCCAGGTGTTTATTTTTGGTATGTGGATGAAACATATACCATTTTAAAAACAGAGGCTGAGTGTGATACTTTCCTAAAACGCCTTAATGGCCTTCACACAGCCCTACAGTTTACATTTGAAAAGGAAGAAAATAACTCCTTGCCATTTCTAGATGTTTTGGTTGAAAAGTCTGGCAATGGATTTTTCACCAGTGTATACCGTAAACCCACATATTTTGGGTTATACACTCGATGGAGTATGTTTTGCCCAAAACAAAGAAAAATCAGCCTCATCAAAACGCTTACACATAGAGCACTGATGATTTGTTCCAAGTCTAAATTTGACTCAGAACTTGAAAAACTAACTAAGATCTTAATGGAGAACGGCTACCCAGAGGGTGTCATTTCAGTTTACATTAAGGAGAAGATAGGAAATTTTTCGGCTGACGTAAAATTTGGTCCTCAAAAGTGCTTGGTCTATCTAAACCTACCCTGGATTAATAACAGTTCCCTGCGTTTTGAAAGTCAAATAAAACAGGCCATTACAAATTGTTTTTGCAGTCAACCCACTTATTGTTTACATTACGAAAAAGGCCCTTCTGTCCATTCAAAAGAACTGCGTTCCTACCACACAAAAAAGTTCCGTTGTTTATGAATTTTTGTGCCAGTGTGATTCTGGCTATGTAGGACGCACTACCCAAAGATTAAAACAAAATATTCCGTCTAGCATTAGAAACAAAACTCTTCCCCAAAGAGAACAGCCACCTCGATCTTGCAAATCTGAAATTGCAACTAAAACCTGCGATTCTGCTATTGGGCAGCATTTACTGGAAAAGCCAGATTGTGCAAAAAACTATAATGGTGACATGTTTTGGATTATTGGTAAAGCCCGATCGTCATTCCATCTAGCAGTTTTGGAGTCTATCTACATAAGCACGGAAAAATCGCTACTGTGTAGACAAAAGGAGTTCGTTTTCACCTTAGCACTCCATTGGTTACATTCTCAATGGGCAAGCGGCACTGATTGGTCAACCTCAACAGTCATGTGCTCGTGTTTCTGATTGGCCTATTTCGATCCACAATTGGGCATATGATATATATTTCCTAGCGTAGAGTTTTCGATCTATGTTCTGATGTTTTAAACTCTGAATAGTGTCAGACGGAATGCTTTAGTTTACTAAATGTTTGCTTTTTTCAAAGCCATTTTCAAGTCTGTACCACCAAAAGATTGTTTAAGAATTTAGAGAAACAATTCAGCTACAAGTTCCATTATGTTAATATTTAGCTTAACAGCTTTTTGAAAGTGATTTATGTAGCAAAAAGAATATATTTTCCTTACAGCAAGAACAAGATGTCAAAAGATCTTGATATGATTATTATTTTGTTTGCATTGCTGCAGCATGCTATCTGTTGAATCGGTCATTGATTGAAGGCTTACGTGTAAAAAAAATTCAGGAGAAACTACCAATCTAGGTGGAGCGTGCAAAGAGGGAAATTGTGATTGCTGTTCATGGTTAAAATATCAAAAAAAATGAAAGTATCCTTAATTATAGTAGCAAACAATATCAAGCAATAAAACCGACTGCCCTTTCCTTCGTTGCTCGGATAAAATTAAGGACACAATCGCTGGAAATTTTCCCTTTTTGTCAGTAGCTAAAATTTGTTTAAACTCTATAATGCTCTTTTTGTTTATAAAACCATCATCATTCTTAAGTAATCTTCTGTTAAAGTAGTTCTTTGAAAATGTACCGATCTTTGCGTAATTAAACCTTACTTTACCTCTTTATTTTGAACAATTTTATATCCTACGCATTACATACGAAAAAAGTCTTGCAGGCACCTTTTGCAAAACAGTTTGTGCTCGCAGGTACGAAACAGTTATAGGGAGGTCTGTTAATTTATATTATGTCTTGGAGTATGAAGCTGTTAATTTTATAGCTAAAAAAACAAGGCTTTTGATGTTGCTCACAATTAATCAACTTATAATATCATATGAATTTATATTATAGTATCATATAATATTTTAAAAAGGTTTTATGAGCATTTCATTCAGTTAAATCCATTAGCAATCTTGCAGTCTTTGTTCATTTATCTCATGCAAAGAAGCATAGAATAAACTGATGCAGTTTAAGAAAAACTGTCTACTAATAAATTTTGTTAGCAATAATTTATAAATATTAAAGCCTTGCATTATTACAATAAGACTATTTCCTTCGTCATCTTTTAAGTGCTGTTCTGGGTATCTCACGCAGCAAAATTTTTTAATAACGTGAGATCTTCAAACCTGCAAAGCACAGCCATCAAATGAAACTAGCATTTATTCGCAAGACAAACCAAGATAGTTTGGCACCCTGCTTTTCTTTTTTCTACCAGTGCTCTGATAGCCCTCTTTTCTATGCCGCCTCTTTATGTAGATTAATGTAGATTAGCTGATTTATTTTAATGTTTATTAGCTCTGACTATTTCCACATCTGGTAACCCTATCATTCAGGAAAATGTGCTAATCACAATTTTATACAATCTCAGATGCATGTTTCATCTTTGTATCTATTTTTTGTGCTTTATATTGTAGCTTTGTGCTATTATATATTATAATGTATCTCATTGTTTTAATGAAGGATATATCACAGATGTTTTAGAAGATGCCAGAGTTTGTTCTCTGCATGCCTCTAAGAAGCAGATCGATCTTGATGACGTGAAACTGGCAGTTGAGAGGAAACTCGATCATTCTTTCACATCCCCACCACCAAGAGAGGTAAAGAACGCTAATAGTTTATTCCAATTTATTTGAAGTTCCAAGTGGTTGAGAGCAGTGGCTGTATGAATTCCAATGTATGAATTATACATTTCAGACTTTCATTCTCCAGTTTGTCGTCAGCTATTGCTTTTAAAATGATTTATTTGTTCATTTGCAGTGATGGGCGTATGTTCTGTGCTCACCTAGGGCATTCATTTCTGCCTCATTTACTATTTTTGCAACGTGTGCTGGCTGCGTATCATCAGCCAACGCCTTTGTTATTCTTCTGTTGCCCACCTGCGCCAGTGTTGCCCTACGTTCATTTAGATAATTGCCTTTGATACAGTTTCCTTATAGCAGAGTTTGTTGTATTCAACTATAGTAGTTTCAGCCCTGAAGCAGATGTGCAACCACATCCTATTTTTAAATCACTAATTGCAGTTTGCAAGGTTCCTTTTTGTTTTCCTTCCCCAATGTCTATCCTATTAGCATATACGTCATGCCCTGCAGATTTGCATGACAGTTCCATGACAGTACGCATTGATTTGAAAGAGGTTCTTAATAAGTTATTAAAAATATGTCGTGTAGAGGCCATTATCCTCTTGGCTTCCCCTTTTGCACGACCCTTATGGTTTTCTGTTCCCTTTTTATTTGTTCTGCGTATACTGTTTGCTTGTCCTCTTTCCTTAATATTTTTTTTTCAGTTTCTTTTAGTAAAGCACAGGTAATAAAGAGTTTTTTTTCCTTGTATTGGCTGTGTAGTATGTTCTAAACACAGGGGTAGGATGCCTTCAAAACATGATTGACATGTGGCCTCGGTACATGCATTTCAATATGATCCAAAAATGGATAACCCCGTAATTTTAATCAACAACGTGGACCGGTTTTTTTATAGTGACCTTCAATTTAAATCCACTTGAAAGCTTCTGCTTTGCTCTCTCTATTCAAGAAAGGCCGATAGCGTCTTCTCAACAAAAGACCTAAATCTCCTTAACATCTCAGGCCTCTTTTACGCCCCCTTTCGGAAGATTCCTGTCCAAAACATCATTCTTGATAATACCTCTCCCTCGAATTACCCTATGTTTTAAAAGCGTAAGATGTATATTTATCGTTGCATTTGTGTGTGCAAAAATTTGATGTAGTTCAAGATATGTAGGAAATCAGAAGCTTCTTGGACACATAACTGTTATTTGATGCTTGATTTGCTTAATTTGATTTTATATTTTTATTCAAGATGTGCTCGTTACTGTCTAAATTAAAATGTTTTTAGTTAGCAATTTTTCATGAAGAAAGCGGATCTTCTTTGAATCGACCCTAAATTTTAGGAAAGTACGCTCGCTCTGCAAGTTTAAATTTCTTAAAAGCATTACTGCTGTTTATATCATATTTCAAAAATGAATTTCTCATCATTTTATTTCTTCTTTTGTTTCACGACACAACTTTTCTTTTACAATGCCCAGCACGAGGACTGCCTCGTCAGTGTATTTTTATCGCACTACTACCATGAGCTACTTCCTAACACTAAAATGCAAGGCTTAACTCCATACAGGCAATACTGCCAAGTTCAGCCGAGAGCTTAAGTTGTCTTATCATCGAAATAGAGAAAAATAGTTATAGCTCATGGTTTATTGGCATATATTTCTTGCCAATGTTCAGCAAATTGTATTGGAGTTTAAAGACAATCGACGCCGCCTGTCAATCAACTATCGACCAGTCAGTGAGCGTGCTACCGCTCGCACTTTTTTATTCATTTGCTTATATGGCCTCCGATGTTCTACTTTGCATACTTTTAATAAATTATTCGTTAAATAAAACGAATACTCTCGCAGTGCTTTTCATTGTGCAATATCACTCTAAGTAGCCATTCATTTGTAGTTTCTGCTAGAAGTTGCAAGGATGAAAAACGGGCAACCATTGCCACTGATACAAGAAAAAAGCGGACTGCGGTTACCTCCTGATCGATATTGCCTGACTGGCTGTAATTATAGACTTAAATCTGGAACGAATGCACAGAAAAAGGTATCTACTTTGTGTATTTTGTAGCTAGAAAAACGATGAAGTATTTTTAAGATGTAGGTTTACATAATAAAAAGGTAATTGGAAATAACTGAGAAACATCTTATAACTTCCAAGTAAAATAAGAAAGGATGCAAACAATCGAAATAAAGATTCAGAACTATTTTAAATAAACCTAGAAAGACTTTTGATACCTCTTAAAAGTGTATAAATATTGAACCCAGATGGTAACCTTGCTTTTGATAGCTTGTATGCTCCAAAAAGGAGACCTACCATAGGAGAATTGTTTTCTTACCGTGACCAAGCATTTAAAATCAGCTTCTTTCTAAAAACACCGAAGTTCATACATAGATAGTCTTGTCCCTTCTTGACAAAAATGCTTAATGTCAACCTTTTTTTAATCCTGTTTAGGTACCAAGCACACACAGATTGAACGTCATCACTCAAAAGACTCCTGGCTCAGTACCGCAGAGCATAGGAGCCATCAAATCTGGTAAAGGGGTTTAGTTATTTTATCTATACGAAATATATTTGTTATTTGTTATGAGGTGCAACTGCCATTACGATTAAGTTTTTCCCTTATATTCCCCACTCTACCATTCGTATTTCTTTGATAAGATATCCTCTGCCGATCTCTTTCTTTGCGGGAATTTAAATCTATCAGCAATATGACAGCGAAAAGAATCCACTGCCAGAATTCTGTTTAGTTATTAGAAAAAATTGAGTATTGTTTGTAGCAAGACTTTGAACTAAATCGAATGCAGGCCATCCTTCTATCGTGCATTGCATTTCAACATGTGCTTTTCAAAGAACATCACTTTTCTAATTTGCTAATCCGAGCACGCCTGCGGTGACCATTTGACAACAGTTCTGTCGACCTTTAATATTTTATTACCGTGAAACATTTGTCAGTTTGTAGCCACTATTGTAACAGTTTGGCCACAGCTTTCAACTGAAACGAAAGTAGGATCGTATGTCAGTGAATTACTTCTTGAGATGAACAAATTCAACAGTCATTTCATTTGCTGCTTTATGAATGACGTATAATCAAGCTGCGCGTTAAGCATGCATTGATAACATGTCTGTGATCACGTGCTCAAGATCACGTGTTCGTGATCACGTGTACCTGATCAAGTGTCCGTGAAATGTATACACCTGTTTCTCATTTTGCTGCACTATACTTCGGCTGAAATCAACTTTCTAGACAGAAAGGCTTCTCGCATTGTCAGCATTCTCTTTCTGTTCACAGAAGATAGAGATGCAATCTTTTTAATCTTTCTTGTGTATTTCTCATATTTATTTATCACATCTCAGAAAAATACATTACTGCTTTAGGCATGCTTTAGACTTAGAGGGTAAGGATATCTGCTATGTTTAAATACTTAGGAACGTATACCAAATTTTACTGGTTCAAAGAAGTTTAATGATACATTCAATGCTTGAGTGGAATTTGTATTGAGAAGTGCGTTTTTAATTCATGACAAAGTATTTGTTTTTATATCAGAAATATTCATGAGTCGCTTCGCTTTGTTTTCAAGGAATTTCCACTGCGAGAGATGCCATGCTGGCAAACCAAAGGCTTGTGAATGCTTCGCTTGCTCAGCAAAATGTCATGAAAGCAAATGAAGGAAAACCCCGTCCATCACTCAACGTTTGTCTTGTTTTCTATTTATCCCTGGATATTTATATTTTATTAATTTTGCTGTCCCCTTTCCCCCCAATTCCTGATTTGCGATCTCCCCTAAATCAGGTTAAGCTTGTTCAATTCCGATATGTCAAATTGTCTTCATTGCACATTTTCTTGAATAGAACTAGGTCCTTTCTCTCAACGAGCAGTTCCTTTGACCGAAGACAAAGATGATCTCTGATGACTGCCTACTGGACCTTCCAAAATCCTTTTTGTTAAAAATTGTCACAAAGATTTGTTCTTTGAATAAGTTAAAGGGTGCATAATCAGACAAACTTTATCTTTAGATTGCTATGAGAGAACTTATTCTCTTTTTGATGTGCAGCCTTTTTACAGACATAATTTGTCTTTGCCAGATGTATTCTTATGAATTGGCCATTTGATGTCTGTGCTTTGCTGCCATAGAGACACTGTACCTTTATTGAGACACTTGCATTAAGCCAAAACTATCCATATATTCATTTTTAGAGACATAAAAAATTGACTTCTTCTTATACGTCTCTAGCCATTGAACAAGGGAATGAATGTCGAAAGGCAAGATGTTTTGATTAAAACCGAGAAGGCCCCGAAATCCAGCACTGTGACGTCATTGCCGTCGATGGAAGAAACTGCTGCTAGTGCACAGACCTTTCCCAATTTACTCAAGAGGAAGCGTGATGGAGACGACGAGGATTACGACGAGCATTGAACTTTTCATCAGTCAAACGACGACAGTAATCCAAGAGAAAGTACACTAGAAACAGATTGTATTTTTTAAGAACAGACCAACGGGAGGTTGCATTACATATGCTTATCCCGACCTCATATCAAAAGCAAATCTGCTAGTGTCCTGAGCTGAACGTTCATTTTGTGAATTTTAGGATCTTGCATTCTGAAACCCTACCAAGCACTAGTTGATCGATCAGGCAAGGCTAACACCACTTTAATTGCATGTAGAACGGTAGTAGTATGGAAACTAGATAGGTAGACCATTTTGCAATGTATAATTTTTTAGGTCAAGTCTCAACTAGATAAATGTGTACGTTGGACAATAAATCATGCAAATAGTCGCTGAATCAAAGTTATCTGTTTCTCTTTCGTTTTATAATTTTTCCTTTAGCCAGAATGATAGGAAGAACTCTTATCTTTTTCTTGGAGTCTGATTTGATTTGAGTAGATTTTGGCCTGTTTTTACTGGAAGTTTCATCGGGGTCAACTACTTGAACTTCAAACACTCATCAAAATGTGACAAAGGTAGCGTCATATCACGTGAGCTAGATTTCATTGGCCACAACCTTTTCCCTAATCAAATGCAATCGTGTATATCCAAAAAATGCTATAATTTTTTAGCAAACAAACTTTTTCAAAATGCCAAGCTAAAGAAAATTTTCTTTCCAGGGACTTAAATCAAAACCGTGACTTCGTTTGTTTACTTAAGTTAACATCGTAAATGATTGGAATTAATTCTGCGGCAGGGGTTTTGTTTCAGTAAAAAAAATTATCCTACCACATGGAGTTATTTTCCAAGGCAAATTTCCAAGGCAAATTTAATTGAGAGCAAGGCAAAGGATATGCAATACAGTAAATGATCTAAAATGTAGCCGATAATATAAAGTGACAATTGCCGATAGCAACTGAGTAGCAAATGCTTTATTTACTAACAATACTTCCGGGTGTAAGTAATCATGCTTGCCCGGCTTACTTGCATGGTTCAAAAACTCGCAATCACAAGATTGGCCCATTGGCTTCCACGATTGGGTAATTCAACCCCATTGATGAAAAAGCAAAAATATTTAACTGTTTTATCCGGAACTCGAAGGAATGTTTGAGCAGCCAAGAATTATATGTATCAGTACCAGCAGACCTTTCTCTTTGCTCAGTATTTTTGAACCGGTTAGGTGATGCGTGAACGATTAGCGACGCCCCGGTTGTTATTTGAGCCCAAATGTTAAGCAGGTCCGGGGCCACTCAACCAGGTGATTGTGCAGTGAAGTATGAAAACTTGCATTCAGTTGACAGCTTAAATAATATCCAACTTTGCTGCGAAGATTATTTTGCAGATTTGCAAATTACTTCTTTGCGGCTGTATACGTGAAGAAAGAAAAACTTAAAAGAGGATTTTAAGTCAGTCATTGCAAGGGTCAAGGTGGATGAACAGCCAAAAAATCAGCTTCAAAAGTGGTTCTGACATCATCAAAAGAGAGGCCTTTCCACCAATCAAAGGTCGCACCCAGGGTTCGCATGAATAGCTGCAAATGCCAATTGATAGTTAATAATGCAGGTCTTTTGAATGTCGCCATACGCCAAATCCTGAATCTTTTACAATAGAATATTTGTACCGACCGTAATACCTCGCTTTAGTTTTAGTTTAGAATATGGATTGCTTGTAGCTCGCACTGCACCAATGCACCTGAGTCTGCTAGTGGAAATATAGCACAACGGACAAATATACATGATGCAACGAATCTGAATCAACAGCACCTAGGTTTATGGAAAATTGGATAGAAATTGCACTCATAGCATATAAGACTTAGCATATTATGCCTAGATCGTTTTTACTGAAACAATACTTTAGAAGAAAATACTACTGGTTGATTGATGATACCTATGATGAAGGTAAGCATGCGTCTTAACACTTTTCTTTCCATATTTGTCCTCGATCCATATTAAGTTTGCAGCTTATTTTAACGATGTGCTGCAGCTAAAAAGGCAGCTTCTAAAATGCAAAGCTATTTTCTGATTTTTTTGGGAGTATCCTTCATTATTTTTTGCACATTATAGACCTTTCACGGCACTTTCACGGATGCTTACCCCACTGAAAGGCAACTTCCGTTCCCCTTGGTTTTTGCTTATTTCACTCCGAATGCAATAGCTCTTAATTTCACTTGCCATATTGCACTGCTTCTTGTCTCTCTGCTATCACAATAAATGCATATAATATCAAAAGTACTGCTGATTGAAATATTAGCTAGCGGACTAGACTTGGATTGGAAACCGAGCCAATCTTATTTCAAAGAAGTTCCCAAGTTAAAATTTCATACAACATCAACACGCTGATATCTGTTTCCAAGAAAGAACCCCTCAAATATAAATCTCAAGTTTGCGTCTTATTGTTTTAAAATTGTTTTTACTTCCGCAATGGCATTTTAGGCCAAAATTTCTATGCATCATCAACATTATTTCTTAGCCATTGAAAGATCTAGAACAGTGAAAGGTTTGGCATTGCATTCCATTTAACTTCAATGACATATTTGCTGTGAATAATGATGAAACGAACCTGTGAGCAAAGACCAGTGGACCTAGTCTAACGTTAAATGCTTCCTTTGCAACTGTTGCAGTCTCCAAGATAACTACATTTAAATGCGCTCTTAATTCTTTATCTTCACAAAGCACCTCGTATCATCAATTCACAGCTCAGTTTGTTGCTACAAGGAAAGTTCCATCGCTTTTGTTGATGAAGACTATCGTAGTGTCCCAATTCAGCTGCTGTCTGTAAAATGAACTGAGCAATAAGATAAATAGAATTTACAAAGCTTTCAGAATTGCAAAACAATGTTTTTAGTTTTTAAAGATTATCAGAAATTTTAAATTCGGTCGAGATTTACAAAGCAGAATCATAGGCCTTAATATCTGAGGTGTTCCGATCAGCTAAATCTACCGAAGGGAAGGTGAAAACAACTTGCCTTATAGAGCTAGGACTACGATTAGAAGCAGAGAGAGCGCTTGGTGTCAAAGACCAATCGATTCCCAACTACTTTTTTAGACCTTTCTTAATTCATTATCATAGCACCTGGATTTGAATTTGATTGCAATTTACGGCTTGATAGGAGTGTTGAAATTTGAGTTCTCGAATTATGCTAGCTTATCTTTTCGCACTTTTTTAGACGAAGAAAGCGAAGCAGATAGTGTCATTTCAAATTTTGCTTATGGAAGTCGAGACATAGGTCCATTTACAAGCGCATCACCTCATCCTGCAGTAGAAAATTATAATTGGAATTATGAAGATGAGAAGTCGTATTGGTTTGAGTTAAATGGCCAGACGGATAAAGAACGTATTGATAGCGGAACCAAGCATGGCTTTGAACAAGGTGGAAGGGAACCAATTGCAGGTTCTACAACCAAACAGCTTCCAAACAAAAGTGATTCCGCTCCAGAGTTGCAAACATCAGATAACTTATCGCAAAGCAATTTAGATGAAAAGTTAAACCAAATGTTGCAGTAAGTGACCGCCCTATCAAGTGTTCATTTCTTTTTTCAAAGTCAAATTGTTATTGGTTTTTAGCAATATTATCCTAATCAATAAATGTAATAATATATTATATGGATTTTTAAAATTTCTAGATGGAACGGCGATTGAAGAACGACGGCAATGTTTCTTTGCTGTAAGCCCTCGCATTGTTTACAGTACTAGGGGAGTCCTTCCATTCATTCAAATTATTGTGTTTTTTCAACCCAAAAAAGTTCCGTTATTTATGACTTCACATGCCAATGTGATTCTAGTTACGTAGGACGCACAACCCAAAGATTGGAGGATAGAATAAAACAGCATTACTCTACAACATTAAAAGCAGAACTTTCCCCCAAGAGCCTCCTCGGTCTTGCAGGTAAACAAATTACAAAAACATATGATTCTGCCAGTGGGCGGCATTTGCTAGACAACCCAGTTTTTGCCAAGACTATATTGACGACATGTTTCAGATTATTGACTCGGTCGCTGTTCCATGCAGACACTGTGCAGACGACACTGATTGGGCAACCTCAACAGTCAAGTGCCCACGTTTCTGATTGGCCCATCTCGATCCACAACTGAGTACATTCCCTAACTTTGAGTTTTCGATCTTTATTCTGACGTTTTATACTCTGAAGAGTGTCAGACAAAAAGCTTTTAGCATGTACTAAAATGATTGCGTTTTTCAAAGCCATTTTAAACTTTGTTCCACTAAAGAATTAATCATAATAAGTATATATAATCCAGACTGTGCAGAAAACATCGCACGTGTCTGCTGCATGGTGCAATAACTGCAGCAAATTACTGAAATACTTTGATTTATTAACTATATCCACTCAAAGAAAAGCTAACCTGAATATTTCTTAGTATTGCAGGTAACATTGCTATTTAGTTTGTTTTTTTATCAGAAAAATCCGTTCCATGTTATTTTAGGTTGTTGCCACAAGGCCTAAAAAGTACGCTAGTTAACAATAGTTTTGCAGTTTTGCAGTTAACAATATCCTTACAATCTTTGTAAACTGATTTTTAAGATAAATGCATGTATCGCAGATAGGTAATAGCTTAGAGCTCTATGGTCTTAACATCTTTATATGCAAAAGTCAAGAAACTTGAGTTATCGAAGAGATTATAATAACATTCTAAATTTATTTTTTGCAGGGAAAATCCAGACATTGTAAAAAGGAACATAAAGCAGTTTTTAGAGAATAATAGAATACTTTTGACGGAAATTTCTGTTGAAATTGGCATCAAAGAAGAAAATCTGAAGTCGTACATCGATGGCAACGAGCCATTTACAAAAGAACAGAGAGAAGAGTTTTATAAATGGTATCTTATGAAAATTCTTAGGCCACCAAGTGGATTAGGTGAGAACCTAGTTTCAATAAAACATTTCCTATCTTTTTATTGCCCGAATGATGTTTTACTATTAGTTAAATTCATTTGCATATATTTTCCTTCTGACCTCTGCTCTTAATGTTGGTTTCAGTCTTCTAAACTCTATGATGATTCACACCGAATTGAGGCCCTTAGAGTTTCTTTCGCCGTGGTTTCAAATACATCTATACCCTTGTTTGCAGATGAAAAGAGCTATACATGTTACAAATGCGGAAAGATTTTTGCTTATGAGAGCTATCTTGAGAGGCATATTAAATATGTGTGTCCAGATAATACTGGCAGAACGTGGAAGTGCTCTTACTGTGGAAAAGCATTTCAGTATCCATGCTACTTGAAACGTCATATCAGATCCCACACAGGTAAATATGGCACATCATATATCTGTTTTTTTCCATATATCAGTCTATAATCTTCTTATCCTATTTGCTCATTATCAATTATTAATGTCTTTGGTCGAGAATTTCGTACTTGTTCGTGCGGAATAACCTGATTTTACACTCAATTTCTGATAACCTTTTCTACTATTTTCCTTTGTTATCGGAATAACGATGGGCTATCAAGCACGTCTTGATGTCATTTCAAAGTGAAAAAGATAGTACCCGGTGAATTTTTATCTGTCTAATTGTATACCGGGAAAGTTCGCAAGTTTAATAAAATTTGAAGCGAGCTTTAGCATGTTATTGTAGAGTATATAAAAAGTTTGGAAGTTAGCAGGGAAAAAAGTGGCTGAAGGACGGGCTTGTAAAGTCTACAGCTAAAATTGCGGTTTTGAACTGTTTTTCTGACCGTTACTTAAAGAGCAAAATAATCGGCCAGAAATTGACAGCGTTTATTTCTTAAACATAAAACTAACTTGAATACAGTAATAATTCTGACCGTTACATAAATTTTCCCGCCAATTATTTTGTCCGTTTGAAATTTTGGAGCGACTTTCGTCAAAAAGGAAGCATTTTTTCATTGAAAGTTTGCTTCAAGCATGAAAATACCAATATTCCCAACGACTGTTGTTCCTTTTTTGCACCACAACAAGGCAAGGAGCACTTTGACTAACAGTTACAAACTCTGTGGGTTGATATGGTAATGGAAGAAAATACTCTCTTTGCATCAAAACAAGATCTGTAACTTCGACATATATTTGACGTGCTCGCATGCTTGTTTATTCTAATTTCTCCTTTTAACCCCTGTGTTCATTACATACGTCGTTACTACAACAGTGGACATGAATATTTAAAAACTTTTAGTTGGCTATTTTACTTAAACTTGTTTTTAAAAACATCACAACAATAAAGCGTTTATTTGATCTTTTTTCAGGTGAATCGCCTTACAAATGCGACCAGTGTGATCGGGCGTTCGTTCGGTCAACAGACCTTCAACGGCATATAAGGAACCATACTGGTGAAAAGCCGTACAAGTGCTCAGAATGTGAACGTGCCTTTGCTAGATCAACAGACCTAAAACGGCACATGCGCACTCATACTGGCGAGAAGCCTTACAAATGCTGGCAATGCGGAAAGACCTTTTCACAGTCTGGCAGTCTTCAAACACATCTCCATACCCACAACAAAGAGAGCAATGGCGGAAGAAAACTTGCTAAAGGCTCTAAATGAGATTTGATCGGCATCTGCATAGCAATAAGCAGCAATTCGTACCATCTTGCAAAAGAAATCCTTTAAGAGCATCAGTTTTCTGCTTTGTTTTCTACTGATGACAACATTCTTCAAAGAAGTTGGTAGGAAGAACTGGCAATGAACTGTCACCGCAAGATTCAGATATGTTTTCCCCACTATATTTAGTTTAACCATCATGATGGTTCAGTGTTACATTTTTTTTAGTGTCAATAAACGTTAAATATACGTTTCGTATCGTAATACAAATTTATACAATGTTTTTTATAATCAAAGTCTAGATATGATATATTTGCTTATAGTTTCAGGGTATAGGTTATTGCGTATTAGAATGATACTGCTAGAGTATTATTACTTTTGCAGCTATTTGCTTCGAAGTAAATCCTGAATAATCCATCTGTCACAAAGCCACTTTTGCCATGCTTGTATCATGAAAAAGGAATATAGTTGCAGATTTTCGCTTTTTTAAATAGTTTGATATAGTTAGTTATCATGAATTTTAAGACATTGTAGTTCAAAAAAGAAATCCAATTTTTTTGCTTAAAATGTAAATGTGTAAATATGTTTTATTTTGGATTATGGAATGATAGCTATTTTGTTCCAAAAATTTTTCATCCTTAATCTTTCATATTGTGAATTGTACAGTTTTAAATGAAAATATTTTGTATGAAGATCTCTTTTCCCTTGTGCTCCTTATCTGTTGTTGCTAAAATCTTTGACCCGATGAAGCAAAAACTTGCTGTTGTTAGAGTGTTTGTAGATTTGTAACGGTATAGAGGAAAAATTCAATTCATTTTCTTGTGTTTTTCATTTGTACATAACGACGTACTAATCGCAATTGTATTTACAAGCACACCTCAAATATAATCCCTTAATAAGCGAAACAATATGCAAAACAATAAGAAGCGCTCGTAGAAAAGTAGTCTGGTACTAGCCCGTTCAATTTTTCTCTTCTTTCCTTAATGTGATCTTCATGACTAAAGATGCAATTCAAAGCAACAGATCTTGGCAAGAAGGCAGTGTCTGTTGATCAACAAAAGATTTCAACAGTTTCTTCAGTTGTCTATATTCCACTTACCGTAAATCCTCGAATCCACTTACCGTGAATCCTCTTATTTATTTTCGATGAGGGCTTATTCAAAGGGGGTAGACATTAAAAAGACATTATTAAAAGATTTTGTCTACATTAGCAGAAATATATTTATGAGCATTTAGTCAATTTTTACCAAAAGAATGAATTTTTGAGGTAATTCGATAAAACGCCAAAGTCAACCTCAGATGGCAAAAATCATCAAATTTGAGGGGGCCAATTTAAGGATTTACAGAAGCAGTGGGGTTTTTTTCGAAGGGGGGGGGCAATTCGAGGATTTTCGGTATCTAAAGTTGTTTGAAGCTTGCTTTTTTTCGAAGTTATGCTCATTCTGACACTATTCATTATTCCATTCATAACTAACCCTGTCATTTCAAAGCATTAGAGCCTTCCCGTGCAGCCCTCTCGTTTATTTCTTCAAAGGTTTTGAGTTTACTATGTGTGCTCAGGCATGTCTGGCCCATTCAGGCCATGTACGGCACAGAGTAACGAGCATTTGGCTCGACCCAGTGAATTGCGAACCGTTATTGCGTCAATCAATAATGCTAATAATGATTTTGATGAAGATATTTTCTGATCCTACAGACTAGGTCTGGACTAATATATCCTTTAAGCTAATCCTAAGCTTAACACAATGTCTTAGACTCTGTTATCAAACTTCGTTGCAAGAGGTTTGATGATCTAGGCAAACGTACTCAGAGTCTGGTACAGTGTTGCCACCTCGCAGATACGTCGCAGGCCTCTTTGCTTAATATGCGACAGTCTTTGCTTACAACATTCTGCAGGCAATCTTCCCTTGCTATTGCTAGCTAAGTCTTAGTCTTTCGAAATCGTTTTTCTCCTTGAAAATAAGATGTCTTGCTTTTATATGTGTTTTATGCAGTGAACGAAATTCTAAAAGATTACACGAAGAAGTTACTCTGAATTAAAAGAAACTTCAACTTACTGAGCATGCGTAAAGCAAACAGTGTTTGACGAAGTGGTTAAAAGAATGCAACATTGTTTGCCAAACATAAAAACAAAGAAAACGTAGGGCTGACGAAAATCGACTTTCATGAAACGGGAGATAGTGGACAAACAACTTTTATATTATTTCCGAATCTATGTTAGATGTTGTTTCAAGTACAAGATTGATTCGTTTAGCCAGAGCTTTACATAAACTTTTCATTCATTTAGTAATTTTGTACTTTATTTTTATTTCAAAAATTCCTGGACACCTGAATTCTCTGAAGATATTCTCCGAAAATAATCAGATCTAAATTGAGGCTTATAAAAGAGAAACTTGTTATCAAATGTGATTTAATTCTTCGAATTTCACTTGGTTTTCAAATACTTTTGTCAATATTGGTTTAGGCTCATCCTTACCAAGTTAAGTTTTCTTGCATTTAGTGTAATGCAATTCCAAGAATTAATCCTATGTGATCAGATATGCTCTGTTTTGATTTTCAAGGTCGGTTTGACACAAGAAAACAATTCGCTCCACTACGTGATAATTAAACCCAATATGTCGCTAATTCAATTTCCATTCAATTTCCAATACCGCACTTTCTTACCTCTACAATGCACATAAAAGCAGATTTGCGGGCTTTTCTATAAACAAACATGCAAAAATGCAGGGCTGCCTTGTTCCCGCTCAAATCACATGTTTCCATAGATTATCATTTAGTTGCAATAGATCCAGCGGTATAATTCCATATTGACTAACCAAAGTTCAGGAATGCGTAAATTTTTCATTTAAAACAGGCAGTTCTTTTTTAAAGCATGCACAGGCATTAAATATCATTAATTGCGCAGGTGAATTCATTGTTTGGCGGAGACCGTCATTTGAAAGCGTTGGATAACTCTTTGCAGCATTCGATTTTTACGACAGCTATTCAAAGGTTGATGGTATCGAAGACTATGTTGTCTGGCCTTGCTTTAAAACAGGTTAGATCTGTACAATTTTATTTGCCAGCTTACATATAATATTGCTGTTTTTGAACTGCTTTCTAAAGCTGCTGGGGCATCTTTTTCACTTTTCAGATAAGGTAAGATGTTATCGAGTTTATCGTGCCTATTTTCTATAATGTTTATCCCTATCATTGATGTTTTTGGTAGTAATTTCTTGCGTGTTCTTGAATAAATATGTTCCTTATTTTTCCATTGAGAAAAGTTGTTTGAAAAATGCTCAATTAATTAATCATTAGATATTCTCCAGTACTTTATCATTCTTAATCTCAGCTTTCACGGTCTGTCAAAATATTTCCTGCTAAATTTTCCTGCTTTCACATCACTTGAATAGACGACTTTATGTTACGGTAAACGTTTTTGACACGATATTCCGTTTTCTCTCCCTAAAAGCAAAACTATTAACGAAATCAGATTAAAGTATACATCATTCGATGCACAAGAATGTGGCGGTTTCAACCATATCAAAATAATTGACAAAGATTGTAAAATGATACTTTCCAGGCAAATTTATTGCTTAAATGAGTGTACCACCTTCAAAAGCTATTTTGTACCCTTGCGTTTGAGGTAACAAAATCTGATTTATGTAAGCAGATAGCTCAGATCCTTAGCTACCAAATTGTGTCTCAGATTTTTCAAAATTTTCTTCCCCTTGATACTATACCCTGTCAAAAATTGGCAAACAATTTTCCTTTCCTCTCATAGCTGTATTTGGCTATAAAAGACGGACCAGAGCAAATACAGAAATTTTGAGACATACTTTGCTTACCCAACATCTGTCCTGGCCGTGTGCAAAGTTTTGAGCCATTCGATTGGTTCCTTGGGTACAAAATTGCTTTTTCGTACCTGTATGTAGACGAATTGTAAGTCCACAGTGTTATCCGGGTCAAGTCACTTGAAGCTTTAAGATCAATAAGACTGTTTAAATAAACACGGCCTTACATTGGATACATGGATGTACCAAGCGATATTGTGAAAGAGACATGCGACCACAACCGCAAAGCAACGATAATCGGCTTAACAGATCAAGAGATTTTCAGGCCTCAACTAAAAGTTCTGATAAAGAAATTTTGAAAACCTTCGCTTACACGGGATTTTTCTATTTTCAAAATTCCTGTTAGTTTCAAATTTGGTATCATTGTATGCCTTGGAAGTTCGGCTACTTGAATGAGAAAAAAACGAAACAAGGATGTTTTCATCCAGATAACGTTTATCGTAACCTTAAATCATATAAAGAGTACTGATAGACCATCAAAAGAGCATGTGCAATGTACTGGGTGGAATTCAAAAGCATAAAAAAGAAGTTACTTTGAAGATATTGCAAATCTAATCTGAATACAGTTCGAGCTTATACGACGTATTGCCTATGCAATCACAGCATTGACTATAACCATAGTGATTTAAACACAGCTAGGCAAATGGACACCTTCAGAGTGTTTGCTGAATTTTAGGCTAGCTATGTACTGAACTCTGTGGCATTTTTCACTACAAGCTGCTTAAAGACCAAAGCCCAGTTAAAATGCTCTTAACCAAAATTTCATTAAACATCACACTACATCAATGTTCATTGAAATATTTGGTACGTTATAACACCCTATTCGGTGACGTCTGAATGACTTCGTGGCTTGACATAGCATTTTGTGGTGCATCTTCTGCCTGTATCAACAAATCATTTTCTATTCTAGCAGTAGATTTAAGAAATCCAGGCATTCCTGGCCAATTCAAAGTCATTGCAAGCATATTTCGTCCTTCAAGCATTCCTCTATGCTTTTTCTTGTATCTTAAATATTATGCTAAGTTCAAGCTTCATGCATGTAAACAGTGGGTATATTTAACTGCAAAGCCAGCAACAAAATCACAAAATGTCATGACTGAGGAGGATCAAGTGACAACCTGCTCAGTTCTCGGTCAATAAACATGGTTACATAGTTAATTGAAAACATTATTTGAGGATTTAGAAGATAGCATTTATCAACGAAGGTTCCATTGAAAGACAAAGAAATGTTGTAAGAAATAGGAATAATGAAATCAAGATGAACTTCATGTAAATATAGCAGAAATTACCATATCGTATATGCAAAAGCATACTTGAGGAAGTTTTTTAAACCTAGGAAAAGCTGTTAAACTCAGCTAAATCCATCAGCACATGCATTCGATGGCATTTTGAATGTACAGCATGTAACATAAAATCAAAAGTCTATAGGCTTCATATCGTTATACGTAAGTCTACTGCACGACATTTATCAAAGCGTATATAAGCACAGGGATTGTTATTCAAATCTTTACAACCTTTGAAACTGTTTATGATTCTTATCGTGCAAAGCTTCAATACTACGTAGAGCAACATTGCAGCACTAAAATCTTCTCAGCAGTCATACTAATCAACTGTCCCCTAGAGTTTTGCCATGTGAACATTGCTTGTCTCCATCAAACAATAATCAAATATATTCTTTGATCCCCAACCGATCCTGTTTTTCACTATCTATTAGATATTTCTTGTGAGAAAAGCTTTCATCACAACAAACTATGCAACCATATAATGTTTTTAAAATTAAGACTTTCTGACTGAGTTTCGGTTTAAACCACGAGATCTCGTTAACGGGTTGGTGCTGTGCTGTTGCCTAAGTAA